CAAGGATTCTCGGTGTGACGGGATCGCATCGAGACCTCGGCATAAGATTTAAGAGAACCCCAAGCAAAGACTATAAATTAATACGTGTCCATCGCAGTCATCATCCTCTCGATGAACAGCCGGAAATACATTCCATTTCGCACTCGCCGGTTTCGGGATGAAGGCCCTCGGTACTCGACATCTCGTTCTAGGGCATCATTCATGTTCTTATCGAGCGATACCGCCGACTTTGTTGATGTGAAACCACGTCGTTTGAGTTGGATATACGTACGGGATACTCGGCCGGCGGCAGAGATACGCGACGAAGATGGCGAGCCATAAGCAGCTTGCTCAATCATCCTTTGTTTTCAAATACATAGACTGTGGAGAGGTCCAGAGGCATCGCGGCCAGTCAACGATACGGGGTCCATTACCCTACATCAAGAACCATGTGCTACCGAAGAGTTCATCCTCGAAGGCATGGCTAGTAGTCAGAGAAGGCACAAGTAGTGCATTTAAATATGTAATCTCTCATTGAATTCTTCCGATGGCTCCAGAGCACTGGTTTGTCGATGAAACGAAGTATGATGTCGTGATATCGGCGTTTGTAATAGTCTAAGCCGAAGTTTCTGTTACGGGTTCGTCTTAAAAGACGACGTCGATGGCTGCTCCTCATTCAAGCTCGGGATCAGGTCATTTCTCGAGAAAGTGTGATCTGGCGATTGGCGCCCCGGGAGCAGAAGTGAATTGACTGCTGGCGAGTGTTCTTCTCGAATGGGATTGGCCGTTAGGTATGAGGCATAATGTTTGTCCAAGGTCACGTGTTTGAGTTGAGTCTGTTGAATACACGACTAGTGGTGAAGAAGGACGTAGGTGAGAAACAGAACCGCATGTCATTGGCGTTTATGAAGTAGTTGTAGTTGGAGGCTCGTTGTGACTTGTGAGACTCGAATATGATGGCATCTGGATCGTATTGCACCTTGAGGAAACCATGATTACATCGATCAGTCTCAAAACAGGGCCTATCGTTACTGAATTTCGTTTCTTGGTGAAAACATCCCGTATTTATAACTTTCTCTTTTTTATTTGTGTTAATCATTCCTCCAAGAACTAGAACATCGCGGCTGGTTTTAACTTATCGGAAACACAGTCTTGCAGTTGATAGACAAAGGAATACTTCAATATATTGGGTGAGTTGTTGCTATTCAAAAACGAGTTTGCCGCCCTTGGTTAGTGTCTGGCACGTGTCGGGAGGCTTCTTCATCATGTTCTAGGCATCGCCGGTATTCCCTTCGTTCTGAACCAGTTGTACATCCAGTGTTGTTGCCACCTCTTCAGCTTTCTTGAGACCCTCTGAAGAATACACAGGCAGAGATGAAATTGGACAGAGAGGGGTCGAGGCGCAGAAACAGTTCGAGATGATGAGCTATCTGGCTCGGCCTGTGTCTCACGTATGTGAATGGATAGCTTCGCCGACGAAGGAGTTCATCGCAACTTGGCCGACATAATTTGTCTTTGCTCGTCGCCTCCCAGACGACGTGTATGGTTTGTTAGTGCTTTATAGGTATGATGTATAGATTCCCAAGAACCCAGAGCAGACGATCTGCCAAGCGCTCCCCATCTCGCCAACTCCGGTGGTCTGAAGGTGGACAAAGTGGTTTTCCATCATGACAGTTTCTATAGAGACCCGGCCCAAGAGAAGAAACTTACAAATAAGCTCTTGATGTTGAATGTACTTTCTTGACACGACTCCAAACTTGTGATGATTTCTACCACCTTTGCTCTGGTAATGCCATTCGTAGCAGAGGACGTTCCTGTTCGGCTTGAATAACAGTGCCCTGGGTCTCTATTGATGCTGTTTCGAAATGCATTCGAGTTATGCAAATGTATACACTGGTAGAGACAACGGTCAAGGACGCGGGACAAGAACCGGTTTCTTGGAGTACGGCCTGTTTCGTCTTCACAGTCTGTACTTCAAGAGATCTTCATACGGATGGATTGGAGACCTTGTCGTACCCAGGTGCTGGTGATTGTAGACATTGATGGTGAGGAGACATACTCGGCCAGCCTAGTCACCTGTTTCTTATAGTCAAGAGCGAATTTCAAAGCCAGCATCATCTCAATAGCATGACACCTGCAACTCTTGACATTGTCTATCGAATCACTCAGCACTGCATATGAGAGGTTTCTCCGTACTTGGCTCGAGGACTGGAAGCTCTCATTTTGCAATACTGGCCATTTGGACAGCCATATATGGTTGTGGGAGGTGCGGTACCATCTAGAGACTTCCCCCGGGGATGAATATCTTGAGCTATGAGAATGGGAGCCAATGCAAAGGCGCAGGAAATCTTCGGCCATCCTGGTTTGGCGAATGGAAGCATCATATCAGAATATCCCCAAGTTTGCGCATCACTAATTGATGAGCAAGGCTCTCGGCTACGCATATTGTCAGAACGGAAGTTGTCCTTCTTCGATGACACTATCTGTAATGTATTCTTGTATGAATTGCGTGACTCTCCAGTGGACAGCTGGGGCTAGCTCGTTCGCCGAAGAGGACCTGAAATGGCTGCAGCAAAAGAAGAGAGTTGAACTGTCGATCAATCGGTCCAAATCAGTCACCTGAAGAAGTCACCCGAAGAATGCTACCACATCTATCTTTATATCTGAGAGCTGAAGGGAAACGCGGTGAACACCGAGATGGTAACTGACGGTCAGGAGCGCTGGTGAACAGCGTTTTAGGAATAGCGGGAGTAGACCAGCCGCGGCCGCCTTCTACACTCATGAAGTGAGACCAATTAAGAAATCTAAGGGCCAGCCAAATCGATACTGCTCATTATGGCCGCATAAAGTGAGTTGCCCCGGGCCCGATTGGCAGACCAGCTGCTGTCTTGCTTCGGGGTTTTGTGCTGACAAGACCACGGAACACTGGTCGAACATCCTTGACACAACCATGACATGAGCGTGTCTTGTTTGTAGAGTGATATGCCAGGTCAAATGATGTGGCATGTGAAGGTACGGCATCTTGGGGAAAGCTGGCGTTGGATGACCAAAGGCTTGGGTAACAGCCGCCGAAGGTCAAGCCATCGTGGAGACAGGTCTCCACGAGATCGGAGGTGGAGACGTGGAGGATGATTCCACTCTCCAACCCAACGTCTTGAGTAAAGTTCATCACAGCAATCCACGTACGACAACATCAGGGTCAAGAGATTGGGGAACCAAAGCATACGGTTGTTTTGATGCATTTCATATTTGAGAGAATCATGAACCCATTCCCCCTTTCACGCCGCGTAGACTCTAGTATTTTATGTGCTCCGACCAACCCAGCCGAAGACACAAGGGATGATGCAAAAGCCGCATTGTTTCTTCGTCGAATAATGCACAAAGCCGCAGCCGGATGGATGACCCCATGAAATAAGGAACCCCCCAAGGAACACACGAGCCCAAGTCGACGACATTTTTCATTTTGATGTACCACCAACGCCGTCCACGGTGCGGATGATCCGGGGAATCCCTCATGCGCCCTGACCCTAGGCAACAAGGCGAACCGCTTATTCCTTCTTCTTCTTGGCACCCTTGACCTTCGCCGTTCCGCGCAGAGTCTTCTGGCGGTTCTTGCGCTGCTTGCCTGTAGAGCGCGGGTAGAGTCAGCCACTGCTTCTCCAAGTTTGATGGTGTCGCCACCCGGAACATCTGTCGGCCCAGCAGCAGAGGGACGGTCAAAGACACATCCAACCGCTGGCAAGCCTTTCGATATCCCGGAGTGACAAAGGGGTTTCGACGTACGCTGCTGTCTGCTGGCCTTCTCGATCTTGTTGGCCTGGCCAACGCGGACCAGTCTGTAGTGGGGCTCGAACTTCTTCATGGCCTCGGGGGAGTCGTAGACGAGGGCGAAGCCGGTGGTCTTGCCACCACCGAACTGGGTGCGGAGGCCGAAGACGTTGATCTGGTCCTTGGTGGCCTTGTAGAGGGAGCCAAGCTTCTCGCGGAGCTCATCCTTGGAGATGTTGGCGCGGCCGGGGTGGAGGATGTCACTGTGCGCGGGCAGTCAGCACGCAAAGTTCCTGTCTCGAAATTTTTTCCCTCCGTGTCTCGCGAATCCCACGCGCCCGCGTCCTCTTCGAAATATGCGCCCGTCGGACCACAGTTGATGATGTATCGAGAATCGGTTGGCGGATTGATGATTTGTTTCGCGTCGTGATGTCGCATCGCTCTTCTTTTCTTCGGTGTTCTCGCGGGGGAGGGAAAAGGATCTGAGGGGCAAACTCACACGACCATCTGCTTACGGCCAAGCAGGGGGTTACGGATGAACTTGCGAGTTCGCAGGGTGACGGGGGTGTCGACGTCCGCCATCTTCGCGGTTGGGCTGATCTGTCTGTCGAGAGGGTTGACGCTGGAGACAGAAAGTCGAGAGGTGTGATATCGTCAAAGTCGCTGGATGGGAGACAGACCACACAAACCTTGGAGGAGAAATGCTAAGCGAGACGGGTGGGCGGGAATTGGGCAGAAGCCCTGAAAGAGTCCGTGCACGGCCTCAGCACGCACAGAAGGAGTGAGTCGGAGGGTCACGTGGGGCTGCCTTCCGTTTGAGAGGAAATCATGTGACTGCGTGGCGTCTCGGCGAATGGCGACGTCTGGAAAAAATAGAAAATTAAAAAAAATCGAGAAGGGGAAGGACGGGAACGGGCACTGTGTTTGTACGGTCCGACCGTCCCTTCTGACTCAGCAGGATTGATGGATCGTGAACCTGCCTATTCTTGTTGAAGTCAATGACTGCCTTTCTTGATATTGGTCACTTGATGGCTCTTCCTATTCTTCTGGAGGTCTTTCATTCCTGACTTTGATACTTCCAAAAATTTGCGGATTCGATCTTGCCACATTTCATTTCAGGACACTGACTGTCTCGATATTTTTTGCTGTCAGCTGCATACATCACTTCATCACGTACCCCGCCAAATCGGGTATCACGATACCCTCACTGCCGACTACATCGATCAACGTCAAACTCACCAGTCCCGCTCAAGATGGCCTTGCATTCTACATCAGACGACTCCGTCAATCGGCTCTGCTCCCAATATCTCCAGCTCGAGGCAACGCTTGATTACCCACCCGCCCAGGTTATCCGAGAACCAACAGCCCAGAATGCAATCTACAAGAGGCTATTTTCAGACGAAGGCCCACGTTACGCTCCTCCAGCCCGATATCGACTGCGAACTCTCAAGGAGCTCGTTGCGATAATCGAGTCCAGTATCGAGGACTGGGACCAGCATGTAAGTGCCTCTCAATCTGTGACACTCCGCGACACGTTCCTGGACGAGTCGTCTAACCAAGCTCAGGAGGTTTCGGAAGATCTCATGACAGCATTATCTGAGTCTCTCGCAACTCCAATCCCTTCCGAGGCGTCTTCCGTCCAGCAAAAGTCCTATGTCACGTATCACCTCAGTGGAATTGAGCAACATTCATCAGATCAGGCGGCGTCCAAACCTGACATCACCCTGCTTGAGGCCCGCTCGCTGATCTCTGCTTCTGGCACCACAGGCCTCCGAACCTGGGAAGCCGCGTTGCACCTTGGACAATACCTATGCGCCAACCGGCAGATCATCACGGGAAGAAGGGTTCTAGAACTTGGCGCAGGCACGGGATACCTGGCCATTCTCTGCGCCAAGCACCTCGCCGCCGCTCGTGTCGTTGCCTCGGACGGGTCTGATGATGTTATCAACAACCTCCCCGAGAGCTTTTTCCTCAATGATCTTCAAGATAGCGAACTCGTCAGACCAATGGAACTGAGATGGGGACATGCCTTGGTCGGAACAGAAGACCAGCAGTGGAACAATGGCGAGAGCGTTGACGTTGTCATCGGAGCCGATATCACGTACGACAAGAGCGTCATTCCGGCGCTTATCGCGACGCTCGAAGAGCTCTTTTCCCTGTTTCCTACGGTGGAAGTTCTGATATCTGCTACCCAGCGCAACGAGGTCACTTTCGAGGCCTTCTGCGGCCGCTGCCGGCAGCGCGGCATGAGCTTGGACTACGTCGACTTCGCTATTCCTGCCAGAGCTCAACAGCAGGGACCGTTTTACAGCGATAGCGTCCCTATTCGGATATGCCGAGTGTCTGCACCGTCAACTACAGGCGTGATGTGGTGAGATCATCACTCGAGCGACCGTGATACTCGGGTGAGGCCATGTCGTTGGTGAATAACCGGCGGCAGGAACGTTGACGCGTATCAATGCATGCGTCCGAGACACTGCCTTAGACTCAAGCTCGGCATCGTGCATATGCAACTTGCGGGAGGCAAAGCAGTCAAGACGATGCATTCCCGCACAGAGGCTAGGCTTCTCTGTCGAGGGCCATTCTGAGCTTCGACATAGATGTCGTCTGGACAGCATAACTTAGAACTTAGCGCAATGACTGCATGCCGAAACTTTCGACAATGAGTCTGACGGGATGGCAGTAATCTCACCAAAGTCAACATGTGAAGCAGGAGATCGCGAAGGCCTAATCAGCGACGTCTGCCAGTGGTCTGACGCCGAATGGCCTCCATCAGGGTGAGGAGATCGTAAGGTTGACAAGGATCAACGATGAGATGCGCGCGAATGCAAGACGCAGGGTCCAAGCTGAGGTGGGAACGAGATGCGTCTCTGGTAGATGGGAATCTTCACCCGTGATGGAGGGGAAATCTCACGACCCCAGGATGGATGTCGTCTCAGAACAGCGAATCATGAGCTTCTTCTTCCAAGGCCGGACGATGAATAGTCGGGGTCGAAAGTCAGCTCATGAGGAGTAACACCACTCATGGGCCGCGAACATTCACCCTAAGCTTTTCCGCCATCATAAGATTCACAGGGACCTCCGCGAACGAGTTGATTATCAGGTTATTGCCTGTCAACCTCATGCATCCCCAGCTTTCCCCGCATTCCGGGGCTTCCAGGAGGAATGTGGTCTGATGCTCCGGCAGTCTCAGGGCGTGGAGAGAGTTCAAAGTCACCGCAAACGTTTGGGATGAGGGGTTCAACATCAACAACAAATCTTCAGTCCCGAAAGTCAATTCACTGCACCGAGGGAAAAATGCTCCATCCAATGGGGATCGGAATTTACGTAAGGCTGCGACCGACCCTGAGATACGGAGTCGACGCTCCGGTTCACGATGTGCGAAAGCCTGCTCGACGGATGGACGTCATTTGGTCGACATTGATGATGTGGCTGAAATTGCTGGCGGGAATGGCAATTATGGCGAGACCACCGAAATCTGGGCCTGGGTGACGTTGCAGGTCTTGTGGCTCGCACGAAGGAACGCAACCCTTGCTCACCCATCACACTGATAGCGACTTGGAAGCTCAATGATTGGGCGGGTTGACACCCTCCGGGAGCACCAAGGGCGTTGCCAATCCGCCGGGATTCTGGTCTGGACTTTTCATTTTGTGTTTCGAGAGCTTTGAGAGCTTGGGGAGCTTCCTTCTCTAAGAGACGGGAAACGGCGCGGCCGGGGTGCGATCGAAATCAGGAGAAGGGGGTTAGGGGCAGGCGGGGGACGAACAGGGTGAAGCCGTTGAAACGAAGCTATGAAGTCATCGCGCCCGCCCCCGAGAATGAGGATCAAAAGGCTCAGATGATGGGCCGGCCTGTCGTTTATCAGTCCATCATTTGTTCGGTACAGGTGGTCGGGTGTGCGGTTTGCGACTTGTCAACAATCTTGGGATCGGCCGTCAGTCACTCTTCCATCAGTTGGGGTCCGAGAAGTTCTCTGCAAGGTACGAACCGCCATTCGGTGGTCTCGTGGCTGCGGTTGCATAGACCGGCCGCCGATCACAGAGGCTGGATTTTCAGGAAAATCGGATCGCGCCCGATCATTTGACGATGAAGTTCCCCAGCTTCGGCCAACTAGCAGCCCAGACGTCGTCAGGCTGAAGCGAGAGAAGAAGTCGTCTCCTTTGGACCTATGTCCGTTTGCAAGCCTGCCTCAAGATGGTGGTGTTGGAATGACATCCATACACCCATACGCGCACAAGGAGGGTTGTGTCTGTCAAAGCCAAACTACCTACGTAATCCAGCGCCAGAAACTTGCTCTTACACCCCTTCACCGCTCACTGTTGCGGCTGCTTCTGGGGCATGTTTGTCTCTCATATTTCAAGCCGTCTCGAGGCCAGTCCGCGCTTGAGATCATAGGCTAACATGGGCAGGCTGATCAAGGAGTCTGCCCAGAGAGATCTACCGCAACACGAGCACGCGTTTTTGACCGAAAACAGGATATCCCCTTATCAGAAGATGATTTTCTCCAGCAATAGCATTGGCCATAACCTTTTTTCCCCTGCTGTTCGGAAGCTGTGCCGGGCCAGCTTCTATTCAAAGCACTTCGGAGCAAAAGAGCATGAGCGTTAGCGGGCCCGTGGGCAAAGAGTGGCTCCCTGTGTCCCCAGGAATACGTGAGGAATACCTCATCGGGACAAAAGCAGGGAGAGGGAAAACGTGGGATCGCGATACATGTGTGAGACCCCAAGCGGCTGGTGAGCCACATGGCCTTGTGAGGCACGTACGTCACTGTGTGTTGGATTGGAATTTATTTGGCGACCTGGCGATGGGAAGTACAAAATGCCACCAGCCTCATCAGAGTCAAGCCCCGAGACACTGGTTTAGTGTCCAGCAAGCCTGAGTCGTCAACACCAAACAACCGACAAGACCGCCCGATATTATTACCAGCAAAATTAGTTGTATTGCTATGTATCATTGTGATATATCCTGGATCAACCCCGAATCCTCGGAAATCCAGCATAAACCTGGACACGGACGACATCAACATCAGCAATTAAGTCAACAATCACGAGAACAACAACAATCCGGCCCCGCAGACACGAGGACGCACAGCCATACGCCCCAGCAGCAGCAACGACGACATCACGATCACATCAGCTTCGCGCACCTCCTCGCCTCCAACCCCAACCCAACGCTGAGAGCTTCGGGCGGCCGTTTCCCATTCGCCAGAGAGCTTCTGGTATCGCATCATCAGCAAGACGGCAACCGCCACGACGAACACGCACGCGCTAGCGGCAGCCAGCTGAGGTCGAATTCGCCTCCAGGGGCCCTCGCACCTCATCATCCAACTGTGTTATCATCCTCGCCAACCGCATCGCCGGTATCACGAGGCTGCACTAACAGCGCCACGCCGACGCGACCCTGCGCATCACCCTCTCGTCACCCCTTTTGGCAGTAGACCCGTATCAGGGCACCAAATTGGTCTTCCAAAGGGACCTCCAAGGACGAGCCGGGCAGCAGACGAAGTTCCGAGTCCCCTCCAAAAAAAAGTGCCAAAGATAGTGCCATCAATATCCGTGGCCTACACACTATCCAAGAGCAGAGCAAGGTCTAGCCTCGACGTGGACCAACTGGACATCTCCTTGGACACTTTGGCTGCATATTCTAGGTGTTAGGTGCATGCTGTGCCCTCTCGGTCCCCAGAATTCCTGGGTTGGATAACGCAACATCGAACCGGTTTATTGCACCACCGGCAGCGAACCGCATCCACCATCTGCCAACTCCGTCTTGCATCGAGTGGGCAGCGCCTACAAACACGCATTGAAGACGACAGCGCGCTTGTCAGTTGTCTTCGTATCGCAATCCACCTCCCATCCGGGCTGGACCGGGTCTATTAATTGGACCAGGGGTTGTGGAGAGTACTCCCTCCACACACCATTTCCCAGACATCCCTCACCCCCGTCCATCCCGTCTTACGCTATCGGCCGCCATTATTAGGTAGTTGGGCTCCCCTCACCACCACCACCATCACCGGCGCCTCCCTACGAGACTCCCGTCAGTCACTCCAAGGTCCCCGGTCCCAGGTTCTCTGAATCCAGGTCTCCCCTCTCCAGCGGATCCCAAAGAAAGTTGTTCTTCCTGTTGTCACGGACGGCGGTAAAACCATCACACCAGAGAGCTAGCAAAGTTTTAGTTCTCGTTTGGCTTTGACTCTTAGACGACAGACCTGAAAAGCATCAGTGTCCAGCGGAAAAGCTTCCAGACCACCATTCGGTTGTCGGCCGGCGTCTTCCCTAGTCCTCTTACCGCACCTAGCTTGCGTATCTTTTCTCCTGACTACCGGGCACCAGTCCCTGTTTGGCTTCTCACATCGCGGGTACGCCGTACGTTGTATTTATTAGCAGTGGGACGCACGCACAACTCGACCAGCTTCGCCATCGACCACACACACAAAAACCCGTTGGAATATCCAAACATCCCAGTTTCCTAGTGCGCGTGTTAAACGCCGTGGCTTTCAGCTATTATTCGGCGCCACTTGAACGGTCCATGTCCACGAGGGAGTCCAAGATTTGATTATTGCAACACAGGGTCATCCAACGTGTCTTGTCTCTGTTCAGTCGAGTCTCTCATCTCCAGTTTCTGACAGAGTCTGAGAGTCGGTCTCTGGTTCCCTTCCGTCACGCCGCCGCATTACCTTATCTCGTCACTCTCCGCTTATTCCCTTCCGGGTCCCATCCACAACTACCTCTACCCGACCTACTACACTATTGATAAAAACAGAAAGATCTCGGCTCGGCGCTCAGTTGAGGAACCAGTTGAGGAGCTTCTCTCACCTACACTACCGAACCGGCCCTTATCCTGCTGCATCGGACGTGCACACCGCAAACTGCAAAAGAGGCACACCACGCAGGTGCTCTTAGCTACATATTACTTGATCGCTTTCCCCAGAAGGGCCTCAATCTCTGACCAAACATCTGCTCGACAGCGGGCACGCCTTGATCAGTCGTTGCATCCCTACTCCTCTTTTTCACATTTATTACCGACATCTGAGGGGAACGTTTGGCTGCAAGACCCCCGCCAACCCACGCAAGTCGGACCAGGCCCCAAGTCACCAACGGCCGGCGCCCCAGTCCGCCATCTTGTTCTCTTGCACGCCAACGGGGGGTTCATTTGAAAGGAGACAAAGGACGTCGGCTCCGCTCCACCTGTGATCGACGCCCATCGACGGAGCAAGGAGGGAAGCCAAGGTACCACCACACCTTGGTTGGTATTAGTACTCGAACGCACGCTGCTGCTCCTCGAACCATCGGGCCAAACCAAACCACGAGTCAATCGCTCTCTGTTTCCCAGCCATTCACCGTCGACTAGACCTTTCCTACTCCTTATCAGACGCCAGCCGCCGTGTCACCGTTGGAGAACTACTCAACACCAATTCACCACAACGACTCGGATAGTATATATCCAGCTCTTCACTGAGAACCGCTACGGTCCCGATTGCCTTTCACTATCCGTACATTGACGACATCGTTACTCGCTCCACTCGATTACACGAGCACATCATTCACCGACGACGCTCCGAACACCGTCCTCGTCTACCAGTTTTAAAACACCATCAGCCCACAACCAGCTTCAAAAACATATTTCAACCTCACTGGTTTCCGATGGGCTCGTCAATAGCCCACAGACATCTCACCTGCACATTACAATTACCACACCCGTTAACAACATCACCAAAAATGGCCGCCCCGAGCACATCCCCCTTCTCCCAGGAGCAGACCTCCTCCAACTTCGCCCTGCAACAATACCTCGCTCTGCAGTCCCAGCACGAGGAGCTCCGGCAACACCTGGACCAGATCCGGCACATCAACACCTGCAACACCTCCCTCGCCTCCTCTCCGTCGGTATCACCGACCCGCAGCGCCTGCTCCCCCTTCGGGCAGTACCCCAACGCGGCGCCGTCGCCGTCGTCGTCCGGGCGCAGACACCACAGCCGCAGCCGGCGCTCGTCGCTCTCGTCGCCTAAGGCGCGGCGGAGCAGCTCGCTGGCTCCGATCGCGGACGAGACGACCATCTGGGCGGTCGCGGAGGAGGAGCAGCGCCTGTTCGACGTCAACGAGGGCATGAAGCGGGCCCTGATGGAGCTCCTCAACTGCGAACAGGTGCGGAGCGACAGCTCGTTCCGCATGTGGGTTCAGTGCCGCCTGATGGACACGGAGAGAGAGCTTCGCTCCGAGCGACGACGTAAGAGCGCGCCTTGAAGAGTCGGTCGTTGTGGGTGCGATAGTGTGTGTGTTTCCACCTACGTACTACCTACGTAACTCTTTTTGATCGGCAAAACAGCGCGGCGCAAACGCAAAAGAATAACCTAATATTCTGTGGGAAGGGACATTGATTGTGTGTTTTTTCAGCACTTGGACTTGGGAAACGACAGGGAAAATCATCATTACCCTGCTCGAATGGCGTTGGGGAGTGGGAAATCAAAGCCGACCTGCCGAGAAAGGCATGGCAACAGGCAAATGGGCAAAGGCATTGCATGGCATGGCATGCAAACCACGGGACAAAAAGTTGGCTGCATACGGGCGAATACCATTTGTGTTTTTCTTTTCTTTCCTTTTTCAGCATTCGCCCGAGGGAACCTTATGTTTTGGCTGTTCAACACCGGCGAGGACTTGGTCAACACAGTTTGACGTCCTGAGCGCCTTTTCTTCTTCTTCTTCAACAGTATTATTTTGGCGGTTGTAGGATACCACAGACATAGAGCTTGTAATGACCGACACGACCCAAAGTACTTACCTATTCTACCTCTTCAACTCGCTACGATTTCATTGTGAATATTGATGAAGTGACATATTCAAATATCCGGTTCTACGCACTCACCGCTAAAAGCGGCTAATTAGCAACAGGGTGCTAATCTACCAGCTTAAACCCCTTACCGTCAATTGCCCTGCCTTCCGTGATAAAGTGTGGATGAAGACATCTTCACACACTTTCTTCGTCCATTTGTGTCTCATGAACATGTGGATGTGGTTCGAGCATGACGGGAGATCTTCGTGATGCATGCAGCCGGTCTGAGTATTCTGCCCAGCAGGTACAGATACAGAGTACGGGAATACCGAAAATCACCACAAAAAGTGCCAGAAATTACGTACAACGCCCAGGACCGAAAAAAGCAATCAAAAGAAACAAAATTGGAAAATCTCAGGAAATCTCCCAAGACCGACCCAATCGGCCAAGCTCCAAAGCTCCAAATTCAAAATAATGGAGCAGGTGGACCTCGCGGAGCCGAAACCCCTTTTGATTCGCGGATTAGGGTGTACAGTACAGATCGCCGCGCTTGATAGAAAATGACACTATGTGACGAGGCCGTGCCGTGTCTCTCCTGCCCGTTGCGTTGCCTCGTGGATCGTGTTTGCTTCCACCAATTCCCGTCGACCGCAAACATTCCAGAAGAGCGATCCGACCACGCGATACCACCCCACCGACGCTTCGCTTACGTAGCTGTTCCTGCCGGGCGAAAGCTTCGAGGCTCGAGATCTCTCGTGTTGAGAAGGCCATTTCCTTCGTTTGGCCGAGGCTGTGTTGATTAGCTCGTGGCGCAAAAAAAGTTCTGGAAAGCTCCGGATACGACGCCTGGCGCCAACATCAGCTCCTTTGATACCTACGTGCGCACAGCCGCCCGAGCAAGCCGACGTCATTGCCACATCTCACGATAACGACGCTGAATACCGCCGCCCCAGTACGCGCGACAACGACACCAAACCACCGCCGCCATGTCGGTCCTTCTCGAGACCAGCTCCGGCGACATCGTGATTGACCTTCTGGTCGACTACGCCCCGAAGCTCTGCGAAAAGTAAGTCAGCACCGTCCCTTGTCTTTGCATGCGCCGCTACCAAGCTCTTGCTCAGCTAACCACAAAGCGCGACAGTTTCTTGAAGCTCTGCAAAGTCAAGTACTACAACTTCTCACCAATCCACTCCGTACAGAAGAACTTCTCGTTCCAGACCGGTGACCCTCTGGGCCCGCTGTCCAAAGAGTCCGATGGAGGCACCTCGATATGGGGTCTGCTCTCCGGCGACGCCAAGCAGAAGATGTTCCCCGCCGTCTTCCACCCGAAGCTCAAGCACCTCGAACGCGGCACCGTGAGCATGGCTACCGCGCCCCTCGAGTCGGACCCCGATACCCGCGTAGCAGCTTCGCAGTTTATCGTCACTCTGGGCGAGGAGACGGACTACTTGGATGGCAAGGCTGCCATCTTCGGCAAGGTCGTCGAGGGCTTCGACGTGCTAGAAAAGATTAACGAGGCCATCGTCGACGACAAAGGACACCCTCTCATCGACATCCGAATCAAGCACACCATCATCCTGGACGACCCTTACCCCGATCCCCCTGAGCTGCGAGAACCCAGTGGCTCGCCTCCTCCGAGCAAGGCACAACTCGAGACCGTGCGTATTGCAGACGAAGCTGCCCTGCACGAGGATGACGACATGGACGAGGAGGCTGTTGAGAAACGGCGGAGGGACAGGGAGGCGCGGGCACAGGCACTCACTCTGGAAATGATGGGTGATTTGCCATTTGCCGAGGTCGCCCCTCCCGAGAACGTCCTCTTTGTTTGCAAGCTCAATCCCGTCACCACGGATGCCGACTTGGAGCTCATCTTTGGCCGGTTTGGCAAGATTCTCAGTTGTGAGGTCATCCGTGACGCCAAAACGGGCGACAGTCTTCAGTACGCCTTCATCGAGTACGCGGACAAGGCTTCTTGCGAGGCCGCATACTTCAAAATGCAAGACGTCTTGATTGACGACCGCCGTATTCACGTCGACTTCTCGCAGAGTGTGAGCAAGCTGAGCCAGGTCTGGAGAGACGATACCAACCAGAAGCGGAGGAAACACGCTTCGAAGGGCGGATGGGGAGGAGTTGACGAGCTTGAGAAGCGGAGACAGTACCGTGACGTATATGAGCGGGATGGCGACAATTACGATCTTGTGTACGGAGATGAGGAGATGAAGGGCCGCGCAGAGCGCGATAGCCACCGCAAGTCTGAGCCCAAACGAGAACCGGAGCAGACCAGAGATCACGCCAGAGATCACGCCAGATCAGATAGGGCCCGAAGGCGAAGTCGAAGCCCCGGACGACCCAGAGACAGGGACAGGGACAGGAGGGGAGACAAAGATCGATACCGATCCGATGATCGGGATACCGGACGGCGGTACGATCACCACGACCGGCGACGCGACGATCGGGACTCGGGTCGCAGAGACCGCAGAGATTATGATAATCGGAATCGAGGTAGGGATCGAGACGGGGATAGACGAAGATAGCGGAGTCAAGTGCGAGCTCGCGCTTCCTCCTTCTTTCTCTTCAACCTCGACATCACAACAGCAGATCAGAATACCCCCCGTCACCGCCAGCCAGCTCGCAGCAGCGCGGTCGACAACAAATGTAGCCACCCAAAAAATACTTCAATTGACGCCGACGTTGCCACTGCCGCCCGCGTAAGGCTCGTGTTTCATGAAAAGTTCGTTGACCTGTCGAGATGCGGCCACGGCAACCCGCACCCTAGCATCTCGGTTGCATCTCTTGTTGGCCAGGAGTCCGGACGTGGGGGATGGGGAGATGGGGGTAAGTTGGGGAGGAGGAAGTCATCTCCAGCATGATTCTGGGACGTTTCCTCATGTCGCACAGGGCGAATGACTTGCTCGAAGCGATAGAATGTCTCAGTATTTCGCCGTTGAGTTTGCAAAACATGCCCCCGGAGCCATTTCGACTTGCATGAGCTGCACGTAAGCGTTCGGAAGACAACCGCGGAAGTGGGGATCGGTGCACATCAGAGAGGCCCGCGGAGGAAGGCTACATTAGCCGCCCTCGTTTGATTGAAGCTGTCATCTGTCAGTTGTCATATCTTCAACTTGCCTCTTGTACGCCTTGGCGGCATCCAGACGGGCGATGGACCAAGGACAGCCCATCTCTGGAACTCGCACGCAGGGCCGGGCATGCGTGTAACAACGGTCTCGACCTGTCAGAGGAGCGTCCGGTCACATCCTCAGACTTTCAGCTGGCCACATGGGGGGGGGTTTCGAGGTTCCCACGACCAGGTTTCGTCGGGTGAGAATGATATCTTAAGCTCGAGGTCTTCGTCACCTACATCCGACAACGACCGATCCCTTTATCGTGGAGAATATATCTTTTAATGCCGACTGCAACCCCATCGACCCATGACAACGGCATCAGTGCCAGCGGCCACCATGGCGGTCTCTCGAGTAGGTCTCTCAGCTCCCCGACGCCCCGTTGCATCAGTCGCTAACGTCACACAGGATGAGAAAAGTGACAGCATGTCGAGTCCCTCTGCAGAAGAGTTGTGGTTTTCCCCCAAGGCAGGCAGGCAGGCCGGCAGGTATCGACGAGCCTGTGTAACGGGAGCGTCCTCAGCAAGAGACATGATGGCAAATCTCATCAGCCGTGTTACTCTCCGAGCTTGACCTGTCTGGAGATGATAAGCTGCTGGCTGGTGGAGAAGGCCGATCGATTCCTTTCAAGTCTAGACTTTTGGCTGACAAAACCATCCCCAAACGTCTTCGTTGGTAGTATCTATCAAAGCCAAGCACGTGGGTACACTTTCGACGACCTAGACCCTTGACATGACGCTCCTCATCGCCCAACGGATAGTGGAGGCAGCCGGATCGGCTCGTACTCTGCGCCTCTTTGGTGCCTGGCTTGGTGGCTTTTTCCTCACCTTGAGCGGACCCCTTTCCATCTGCCCCGGGCATGGCCGCTCTCATTATGGCTTGTGTGCTTGTCAGATGACATTGTGTTCCTGGGAGCTGGCCCAATCGCTTACGGGCTTGTGTCATGGGTGCGACGGATAGCTGCATGAAGGGGCCGGGGCCGGCTCTGGCAACGATTGACACTTTGGAAGGGGACATGCAGCGCCCCGGGGATGGCTGGCGAAATTTTCCGTTGACAGAGCCGGCCATCGAGAGCCATGTGGGTTGATGCCAGCTGCCTTCCCATCATGAAGCCAGGCACGCACAACACGCAAGAAATATCCGGCATGGAGGCGGAGGGCGGATCTGCGTTGCAACAGCCTGATCGTCGAAACGTCCTCACCTCGCTGGTCTACGTTCGTGCATGATATCAGTACTGACGTTGTACGACACTGCCAGCAGGCTCCTCAGTCGACTTTCGATACGAACTGCCCTCTCGAAGCCCTCAACCCACCGAGTGCGTCTTTCTTTGGTGTCTTAGGATTGCGGCGAGGACCTCTCGAGCGCCAGGTTTACCCGCGAGACCTGTCGATTCAAGTAATCATAGAAGCGAGGTGAGGCCATGTCTCATCTGCCGCGCGCTGCCGGGGAGGTTCAGCAATAAGCTCATGTGGCGCACGGATTTTGATCGAGAGAGCTTGTGGTCTCGTCCTCGTCCTCGTCCATGCCCTCGCCCTCGCCCTCGCACCCCGTCAGACGACGGATCTTCTCTGAGCACTTGTACCGTGACGGCTCCATTCGACTCTGTCGCCCGCACACTCGTCGGTATGGGGGGAAAGCTTCTATGCGGACCGAGAGAAAAGGGCCCCCGAAAAATGCGACGCTATTACGGACGTTAGGGTTCAGAGGATGAACATGGTCCGTCGGCTTCGAGCATGAGCGTGGAAACCAAGTTGCCTCCCGGTTCCTGAAGAGACAGCGAATGCTCTGCGACGCCGCTACGGACGACCGACTCATCAAAACTCCTGCAGGACATTCGCCTGCCCCTGATTCAGTTGCATGGGATATCGGACAACGTAGCATTGCATCTTCTTCCTTCATCATCAACGTCTTCGGCCGTCTCCAGGTGCTGACCGCTCGCTCCGGGGTGGGGTCTCGCGGACGCAGGCGGACGCAGTGTGGGAAGAGAAAGCTTGCAAGCGTGCTGTCACGGATGTACGTGGGCCTCGCCGCGCCTGGATAATACAACGGCAACGCAGAAGCGGGAGGGAGGGAGCCACACACACCTTCTTACGTGCCTCAGCCGCCCGCGGTGCCGTTTGCTGCTATTCTTGTCCGTTGCTCAACCCCGCGTGTTGTGCGTCGAGCTGTTCCCACCATATCCGTCTTCTTTGTTCATCAAGGCCGCGCCGCAGTTCGGAATTGTAACGTTCGTGGAGGCCCAACCATGCTGCCAAGTTCCGGATTGTCATAATCTGCGGGCGGACGAGGGGTGCCGGGCTCGGATTTGGAGTTGCAGAAACGACATCAATGGGCATACAGACGGAGAGGGGGAGGCTGCAAAAAAAACAGCTGCACCACCACAGCCTGCTTCAAGATTGATGGTGCAACGCACACGACTTGTTTGGCAGCTTTCCCCTTGAGCCAAGTGGCCGCCTCCGCGGCCTCTGGCGAGGTGAGGTGAGGTGAGTGTTCGGCGGCCTTCGCGGCGGCCCATTCATGCAGTCCAATCGCCTGACAGCAAAAACCGAGCGACCATACCGAATGCGACCTTTGGATCTGCCCGGCCGTATCATTTCCTGCTACTGCCAGCTGTACAGTCTCGTCCGATAGAATGCTCCGGGGAAGCTGCCGGCTGGCATAGGCGATGATGCGTTTACCAGATTGGATCATCCTGCTGCAGATGACGACCATTTCAGCATGGTACTTTTCTCGGTGTCAGTTCTCTCTCCCAACGTTGACCGGGCATATCACATCTGTACGTGCGTTGGCCGCAATGTTTGGCGAGCGAACGAACGGACAGAAAAGAAAAAATTCTGCACATCATTCTAACGTTGCCAGCAAATGATTTTTCTTCAGCAGCGACGGGCGGTGTCACTTGCAGACGGACAAGCAGAAGCTAGCACCTCTTGATGCTCCATGCTCGATTTCTCTCATTTTGTTTTTGGAGCGGTCGGTATGATCTCGCACTCCTCTCGGCTCTTCCTGTCTCCTGTCTACACAATGCAAGCAAAGGAAGGATTTCTGCCGCCCGCTGCTCTGCAGAGTCACACAGGAGAACAGCGACACCCACCACAAGCGTATTCATTGACGATGGCTTGCGTCACGTAACCTTCAGCTCTTGCAGCATTCTCATGTTCCTTCCATCTCTGCGCGTCGCAGCAACAACCCTGGATTGGAGTGCATCGCTGCCAGAGTACCACCTTTACCCCTCCACCCTACCTCATACATGCTGTCGATTGGGGCGAGGCCGGCTTGTTCAGATGCATCGTGAGAGGGTCGGACAATCAGATTGAGGGTTTGCCCAAGTGGGACCGAAACCGCCGTTTTGCCCGACGACGCTCGACCAAGAGAGGGTTGTTTGCTGTCGAGCCCTTCTCTGGTGTCATTTGGAAGGGCACTTTTCCCATTTCAGACGTCGTTTTTCTCAAAGCAGACATCGACTTGTATCCCCTTTGGTCCGTTTTCTCTCTTGACGATTGTTGAGCAGCGGCATCAAGTGGTTGGGGGCGAGCAACAGCAGTGGCTAGGCTGTCTTCATGATACATGTACGCTCTTTGGTTGCTGAAGCATGGTTCGAGCCAATACATCTCGAGCTCGCCGTTGGACGACTTGCACCGAGCGTCGATACGCCGTTTGGCTTTTGTTACTACACCAACTCGGCAAATCTTCAGCAGCGAGAGAGGCGTGGACTATGCTCTTCCCTCGCCAGTCGGGGTGTCTCGTCTCGGCGGTAAAGCTTTGACGTTGGATGGTGGCGATGGCAACGAGATCTTTCCTGCTTGTCTATCAGTCTCGTCTGTCTCTGCCCCCGGCTTACGAATATCGAGGAGCGTCTCATTGGGTCCCGTTCCCAAGTCCAAGTACGGCTGAGAATTATCAAGTCTCAAAAAGGTCTTAGACCAATCCTACTTCTTCTCTCCCCAAGTTCACCCACGGCCGCAACGCAAGATTCCTTGGGCCCAGATTGGCCCAGACCCCAGACCCCCATACAAGATATGGTACAGATCGCCCGCTGCTGGCCCTACAGATCTACTCCGCCCCTGAACCCTGCTCAGCCTGGCGCTCTCTCTTGCCCCCCCTCCATGCCTCTGGCGTTTGCTCTGTTCCCTCATTCTCCAGACCAGGGTCGTATGTACGTACTTTGATGTGAGAGGTCCGCAACGACGAGGGGTAGCGAGAGGCTCCTTGGCTGCTGCTCATAGCCATGCTTGTTTGGCATCGCCAGGAGCCGCGCCTTGGTGTGGTGTCTTCCCTTGATGCCTGTCTTGCTGCACCTTTCCGTCCGGTGCCACCATAGCACGCACACAGGTTTCGCTGCAAGAGAAAAAAAAGTAGACTTCCCACACCACGTCGGTCGTGGTCGATTACAAGGGCTGCCCCCCAATGCCGTAGCAGCTTGCCCTTGGACCCGTCCAATGACACCTGTCGTGGATTGTTGCTCTTGAATTCCTTGGGGGCGCGCCAGAGGGGGGGAGGACGGGAATACGGACGGGGGGGCGCGCGCGGCGCAACGACGAACATGGGGTAGTGAGTGTACCAACGGTTGATGAGGAAGAGTGACTTGTCGCAATCTCCAAGGGCCGGGCCTCTATCTGGTCACTTCTCCAGCAGACAGAGAATATCGAGATAGGCAAGATGTGATATAATGAAGGAGGGGGCAACAAACAGCGAACACCAGCACGGCCAAATCAGAGGCGGGAGAGTCCGTGACCCCAGATGACAGTATAACATCGAACCGGCTGCAACTGCTTCTTCACTCCTCTCGATTCTCTTTTTTTTCCTTTTCTATTCCATCCAGCATATCTACCTTTTTCCACTCCTTCGTGTGAAACATTTCTCAAGTCTTCACTTCCTTGCCTCCTGAAAGTGATCACCACTTCTCTCTCTTTAAAACATCCACGTCTGACAAGGAGGCGCGGCAAGATCTACCACCCCAGAAGAACCTCTTGACTCTTCTCTTACCCCGGAATCCAGCCCTCGACGCAGGAAAGAGATCCTGTATGAACGACCCCGAAACCCCATCTTGCTGAAACGAGACGCTTTCACAACATCTCTCGACGTCGTTCGTCGTTCGTCATCACAGAAGACGTAGGGGAGGGCAGAACACCGCCTCATCCTCGCTTCCTGTAACAGCCCTTTCCTCCTGATTCCCCCCCTATCTTCCACAACCGAAGAGCCTCAGGGAAGCAGGCCGTACCGAACCGCAACGATGGTCACTTCATCCTGCTACCCGGACGGACGGAGATATAGCCGCCTCGAACCGCCCTACGTCTACTCCGACCGCCAGCAACGATACTCATCCACCTCCGAAGCGCGGACATCGACCATGACTGAACGAGAGCCCGAGTCTGACACCCCGCCCCGCAAGCGTATTGCCGTTGCCGTAAGTGCTTTCTTGTCTCTTCATCCGAGCTTCTTCTTTCCTTTGGACCGGGGAGCCCTTGTACTTGATGGGCCCCCTTTTCCTGCGTTTGATGTTATCGTACTCGGTGGAGGACGAAAAGCAACCATCCCAAAGATCGTTTTAGCTGGAGACACACGAAAAAGGGAGCTTGCATATCTCATCGGGGAAAAAGAAAGATCTGACAGATCCACAGTGCGGCCGTTGCCGGAAGCGCAAGATTCGCTGCAGCGGAGACGCGGGCAACGGACAGCCTTGCCAGAACTGCAAAGCCGCCGGTATCGACAACTGCATGTTCCTCCGTGTAAGTCCCTTCGATCATACAAACTCACTACAAGTATCAGACTGACCCTCACCTCAAGGTCGCCTCGCAAGAAGCACCCTGGGTCCAGCCTTCGGACCAGACCTTCTCCTACGAGCTCAAGGCCGCGAGGGCCTATCACGCCCACCACGCCCTCGCTTCTCCCCTCACGGCCTCTCCCACGCACTACGCCTCCGATATCCACGATGGTCTTCCGCGGGCTCCGCATGGCGGATATCCTCCTACCACAGCGGGATACTCGTACGGCGCCGGGAAGTACTACCCCTCCATGCCCAGCTGGTCGTCCCCGGCGACTTACCCCGCCGACGACGGCTCCAGCGTCGACTACACCACCATGGGAGGATACTCGTACCCCTATCACAGCCAGGACCCGTCGTACCTCTACCGCATGACGGCAGCGAAGACCAGCTCCAACGCGGATCTCTACGTCAACACCGATGGAACTGGCTACGGCTACGGAAGCAGCGGCGCAGCCCTCGTCCACCGACCCGCCGCGGCGGCGGTGTCCCCGGAGGCCCCCAATTTCTCCCTCTCCAACGTGGCCGCGTCCCTGCCTCATGCCGGCGCAGACCGTCTTCTCCCGAACCCATCCCGCCTCCCCGGCACGACCAACGTCCTGGCCTACCGCACCGACACCTCGGCGCCGTCCTACGCGACCTCGACGTCAACCAAGTCTTCAGGACCCGCCTCCTCAAATCCCTCCCCGACAAGCGCCGTCTCCGAGGTGACGACGAGCTACGAAACCTCCCCGGTCTCCGCGTACCCTCCCCCCTCGCACACTCTCCCCTCAATGACGCACGTCCACCACCGCGCCGACATGTCCGGATACCCCCCGTCCTCAAGCAGCGGCGACTCCATCTTCACCCCCTCCGAGAGCTCCCTCCGCACCCACGGCTCCGCCTCCGACCTGAGCTACAAATACTCCGACAGCTCCTCGTCGGCCTCCGGCCGCCGCGGCAGCGGCGAGACGTCCTCCTCCGGCGGCTCCCTCTCCAACGGCCAGACCTACACCGTCACGACGCCCAGCTCCGCAATGTACGCCGCCTCCATGGCCCAGGGCCGACATCACCACGTCGGGGCCTACGCCCTCATGTCGGAGGACTGCGAGCAGCAGCAGCAGCCACAGCCACAGCACCCGCACCCGCATTCGCACCACCACCACTCACATCACCATCCCTCGGGACGCCGGTCCGCGGGTAGCTTGAGTGCTTCCTGAGTCACGCTTCGGCCGGAGCTGTCGGACTCGAGACAAGGCGCGCGCGAACAAGAGCAGGGGGAGGGGGCTCCCTCCCCGCCTCTGCGCCGCCGAGATTCGTATACTTCCTGCGTTGCTCTGCTTGTTCATTGTTTTACTGCCCCCCCTTTCCATCTTTGCTTGTCTTTTCCAGCATCCAACAACCACCCAACCCGTCACCTACACACCCGCAAACCATGCCATGCCGTCATCATTCGTTCGTCCTGAACAAAGGGAGTTTGACAGGCATCTTATCCGTATCCGACCCTCCGTCCGAGGAATACGGGAGGTTTGTGGCGTCCGTCTGTCGAAGAGATGCACTTTCTCAACCAACCGACATTCTCCCCAACAAGCATCATCAGCCGTACATCACGTACGACGCCTCGGACTTTTGGCACACACACACAGCCCACGCCAAGGCTCGCCCTGCAAGCCCGTTCCTGCACTTCATATAGCAGAAACGTAACGTTTCCCGGATGACGACCGGCGCTGCTACGCCTTAGCGAACCGGCATAGGTTGGTGGCGCGCCCGACCCCCCTTCTCGTACATCATCGAAGGGAAAGAGTCGAGTCTTGGCGGCGGAGAAAGAAGGAATTGGGGGTTGACTTGGCTTGGGTCGGTTACCTCCAAAACCCAACGCTCCGGACCGGGATTCGAAATGCAAGGGGAGCTGGAGCTGGAGCTGGGCCCGTTGGGACGAACTAGACCCCTCCCCCTCCCTCGTTTCTCATGCGGCTACCCGACCCGAGCCTCGCCCGCCCCCAGTCCCGTTCCGTTCCCGCCCTCCATCCGGGGGAGGCGACCAACAATGTGCCGACAGCCCCTCCTCTCGTGTCGCCCAACGGCTTGCTTGCCCCTCCCTTCTCGATTCCGACGTGGCTGTCTCGGAGTATGGCTTCTCCCCTATTGTTCTTCAGCCACCTCTCTCCGACCCTGTCATCCTCTCTCTCTCTCACTTTGCATTCCGCCTCCGCGTCTATCTTTGGAACCGAAGCGGGCATCTCTACCCAATCACCCCCAACATGTCATCGTCTCGCGTGTCTCGACCCCAGCACTTCGGGGTGAAGAGAAGGATGAAGCTCCTCGGGATATCATTGGGCGTGTTCCGAACACGCACACACAGGAAAGTTGGTTGCTTCTGCCCTTGCTTCATGCCTCTCGGTCTGGTCTGGTGTTCGGGTTTCCTCTCTCTATTGGTTCGCGCCTCGCTTCTTTTTACCCGCAAAGTCCGTTTGCCGTTCGATCGTTGCTTTTTCTTTTTTTCGCTTTTGGCCTTGCTTGGAGGGACCATCTTGTAATATTTCTGTTTTTGGGAATATGGAGAGCATCATCATCTCTCCCAATGGGAAGGAAAAATACCGGTGGTGGGACCGGCTTATGGTGATACAGAAAAAAGGAAATTTGGCATGACTTACGTTGGGGCATCATCATCATCATCATCATCACGAAAGAGGAGGGTATTATCATGATAATTTCGGGGCATCGCCGGCTTTTTCTTTCCTCCTTTCAGTTGCCTTTTGGTTGTTTTCATTGTACCACGGCGTTGCGTTGGGCTTGACAAATTGTCTTCTGTTTTTGCTTCACGGTCTGTTTGGTTCCCTCCCCCCCGCGAAAAGGGGGTCAGGGGTAAGCATTTCTTATCATCATCATCGCCACTACCACCACCACACAACGCCATGTTGTTTTTCTCAGGCAGAAGAACCTTTGCTTTCAAACCTTTATTCATTCCCCCCTCTCATGTATCCTGAGGTCATGGGCCTGTCGTAGCCTTAATATGGCCCAGGGGGTTGTCCAGCAGCTGTGTCTGAATGGTGCGGGGGAGGAAGCAGCACAAGGGGATCTCATGGGAAGGTCACATAGCTTAGCCGGAACCGGGAGTGCCTTGCATGGAGGGCAGGAATTGAAATAATTATATCATCTCTCGTTATGTGCTTTGTGTTTGTTTTCTAGGTGTCGTCAAAGAATAATTTGATACTGGGTATGTTTTACCTCCACTTCGCGTGGACGGTGCGTGGGTGTATGTTGTATCCGTCGCTCTTACAGCTTTTCCTCCGCCATCTCGTCAATCTCGCAAAACGCCTTGAATGTAATGAACTCGTCATCCGGGCCGCCCTCGGATTGCAGCACTACTTCGGCCGTCGACCCCACGAAGAAGACGTGGCCCTCGCTGATCTTCTCCACGGTGGGACCGACCGCGATGGTGCCCTTGCCCGACGTGCAGAGGATGATGCTGGGGCCCTCGAGGGGGTCGAAGGTGGCCTTGGAGCCGTCGCCCTTGAGCAGCGAGCGAACGACGCTGAACTCGTCGATGGGCGGGTCGTACAGGATGACCGCCGACCCGGAGCTGTAGGCGGTGCGGTTGAGGGTGGCGTAGGGGTACTCGGAGGGAGACATCTTCTGCTCGTCGATGGGGGCGTAGTTGTAGGTCAACATGTCGACCAGCGTGGGTACGTCCTTGAACTTGGGGGTGAAGCCGGCGCGGACGACGTTGTCGGAGGCGGCCATGCATTCGATGATGTCGCCCGAGAGGTAGGCGTGGATGTCGTCGGCTTGGAGGAACATGGCTTCGCCCGGCTCCATTTTAACGTAGTTGAGGAAGAACAGGACGAACAAGCCGATGTCTGCACCGAATTCAGCGTGGTTGCGGATGATGAGCTCCGACAGAGTCGCGCCGTCACTTTCACCTGCGCCGCCGCCTGCGAAGTCGCTGCCTTCCGACTTGGCGAGGGCGACAAGGCGCTCCGTCTCTTTCTCGATCTCTTCGTTTGTGGCGGACAGGAGGGAGGCAAAGACGTGCTGCAGGGCAGTCTTGTTGCGCTTCTTGGTCTCGGCGGACTCGGTCTCCTCCTCGCCCTTGACCGTGTTGATGAACTCGTCGGCCTTGTCCTCCTTCACAAGGCTCCTCAACGGGGGTACGGTGGAAAGAAAGTGAGAGATCTCGGCGAGAGGACGGAAGCCGCAGAGGCCCTCGAAAGGGGTGATGGCGATGGCCATCTCAGGCTTGTGGTTGTCATCGGGGTAGTTCTTAGGGTCGCGGGCGTGCAGCTGTCCGGCGAGCTTCTTGTTCGGGTGGGCTTGAATGGAGAGGGCCTTGTTGATGGAGAGGACCTTGAAGAGGAAGGGCAGCTTGGAGCCGTATCTGGAGGCGACGGGGGCGGAGAGGAGCTGTTGATTGTCTTGAACGAGGTCGAGGAGGGTTCGGCCGGATTGGAGGTCTTTTGAGGGGTTCGAGGGGTGGGTGCCCATCCAGAGCTGGAGGCGTCAGTAAGTTGTAATGTGGCGGCCAAGAATTCGATGTCTTACTTCTGCGTATGGCTTGTCGGACTGGACGCTGAAGCCTTCGGCCGGCGTCGTGGCCGCGAAGCGCGCAGCAGCCGAGTCCTCTCCCTTCTTACCCCATTCGTAGGAGTTGACTCCGCACTGGAGCCTGAAGAGAGGCACCTGCAAGACCATACTGACGACAGAGCTACAATAAGCCCAGAAAGAAACAAGAGCGACAGAAGCTGGGCCACAAAGAAGACACGAACGCGATGTCGTGAGAATTAAGTTGGGAATGCTTCTGTTCACCCCACCATCGATTTGACGTCAGGGAGAGCTTGGAGGACCCCGCAACGATCTGGACACGAACCAGGCCCCTTCCAAGGGATGATCGGCATAAGCACGGGGTCCGGCGCAGTGATCGGGCCGCATGGTGCTCTGTGAGTTGAAAATGTTTGATTGGACGAGGAGAGCAAGAGCTCCTGCCACCGGGTCCACTTCGGAAATCCACACTGCAAGCTGTCACGGTAAAAATGACCAATGACAGGCGTTAGCTGGAGCTCGAGCTGGCGCATGTCATGACCCGATACCGCCCGCATTCTGCCATCTTCATTGCGTGCACCTCTCCATATCGATTACCGTTTTCCTTACCTTGGCGCATTCGTCGCGTCTATCATGGTACTCGAAATCCAGATTTTGCCAAAAGCCTAATAAGTCGCTTTGAAAAGGCTCGTCATGCCCTAACGATTATGTTTGCATTCTCTCTTCTTGTATAGCATTCTCTAAGATACCCTGCTTTTGACCGTGGAAGGCGGCTCCTGCCTGATTGCTTCCACTGCGACCTGATCTGCGCCCACATAGGTAGCAATAACCACCTTTGGCTGCTCTTTCCCTGTAAGTTGCAGTCTTCGGACCTTCCTCGACAAGCTGCACTTAGGACACATTGTGTGTGGGTTGTCTGGGCATCCTCTGTAGCCCTCTTCTACACGCATCTTGCATCCATCACACCTCACTCATCGTTCCAATCGTCAACATCGATCCCGTCAATCAATGATTGTATCACCAGACTAACGTCAAGATGCCCAGAAAACAGAAGAACAAGGCCACAAACAAGCTGCCCCCAGGTAGCGAGAACGAGCTTTCTGCCGCTGCCACCAACGTCGATACCCTCGGAGCCAAGCCCAGCGGAACACCCCGAGAGCAGAAGATTGTCACAATCAAGGTACCGCCAAACATAAAAAATACTGCGGAAACTAGTTCCAAGGACAAAGGCGAAGCCTCTGCTGCCGGCACCGATATCCCTCGACCGGAAGCGAATACCTCCCCTGAAGTGGTTGTTTCCAAGACACCTACCTAGAAGAAACGTGTTTCCAAGACCAACCAACCTCGCCCTGTGTCATCTCTCCAGGCTAAGATGTCCCAGAGAAACCGCAGTGGCCGCGGCTCCAACCGAAACAATGGCAACGCCCATGGCGAGGAGGTCAGTATGTGGGCGGACGCAAAGGAGAAGATCCAAGAACTCGTCGCCGGCGTCAACCTAGAAAACGACAACCTGGCCGAGCTCATTAAGCTTGACAAGAAGGCTGCTGTTGCCAGCAAAGATGGTGGAAAACCCTCGGGCGGCGACCTCAACAAGATGGAGCAGCATTGTCGTTCCGGTGTTAAGCTTTCGGAAACCAATTCAAACAACATCAAAAGCCTGATAGAGACGCTCCAAGTTCTGAAGGCCGTGCAACAAGCCAAGGAGTTGGCGGAAGCACCGCCATCGACATCGTCACGTACAGGCAGTTCCACGCGAAACAGGGACGCAGCAGCTGCGGCACTCTACGACTTTGACGGAGCCGGAGACTCTCCCGTCCCCAGCCCAATCGGTGGAAACTCGCGCAAGTTCGGGGACCGGGGGAGCAACCGCGACAGCATGCCGCCAAAGGCAGACAGCGTCGAGCCGCAGGGATCAACGGGTAGCAACACGGCCGGGTCCTCGTCGGGGGCGTTAGGATCAGGTGGCTCTGCAGCTCGGAGCAAAGTGTCGTTCTCCAAGGGCGACAAGGTGGCGTTCAAACGCAAGAAGGACGAGCCACAGCAAGGCGAGGCCCCGTACGACTGGATTCTCGGCGAGGTGGTGGGCATTATCGGGGAAGGCAAGAGCAGACGGTACAAGTGCTTGGACGTGGAGCCGGAGGACAACGTCAAGCCCAAGGAGTACAAGACTTTTGCATCGGCCATGATACCGATCCCGCCGGAGAACCAGACGCACAATCTCGCCAAGTTGGAGGCGGGCAAAATGGTGCTCGGGCTGTATCCACAGACCACGGCGTTCTACGCGGCGGACGTGGTAGGCACCGAGGCGGACGGCAAGACGGTCAATCTCAAGTTTCATGGCGAGAACGATTTATCGACTACGCATCAGGTGGAGCGGCGCTATGTTCTGGACTACAAGCCTTGAAAGGGAGGATAAGCCGCGGGAGAGAATAGAAAGGGAATTGGGCGTGGGGGATATTGGACGGAAGCGGGAAACAAGACATTGCAGAATTGGCAAGCGAGAGCCGTAACGGGCGTCGAGTTCGGGGATCGTCGCGCGTATTGGTACGGGCTCGATCAAACGAGATCAAACGGCCCGGGGATGGCTTGATGCGCGTGATGGCTCATTAAACAAACAATGGGGACTTCATGACGCGGCGGATCCGGACGGAGTTTAAAGATTGGTGCTAAAGCAAGGATTGGCCAATAATGTACTAATCCGTTCAAGATATTTTTTTACGGATACAATGGAAGCGACGAGTCGAGTCAACAACAAGGCTGTGGAAAAGGGTCTGTTTTCTCTTGCCTCGTGATACTGGAGCTTGGTCAATCTCTGCAATGAAAGAAAGTCAAAGAAAAGAAGGTCGCGTCGATGGCTTCCTGTCAAATTACGCCCCTGACTCTGGCATGGCACGTGCATGTGGTTTTTTAGCGAATGCCGCGCTGTTTGGCAGGCTGCCGTGTTGAGGTGCCATGTACCTGCATGGCCATGGGGACTTGGGTGCTGGAGGGAGCCCGAGAAGTGAGTCGGGGACGTGCAGACGTCGCTAACCCGAAAACGGCAACGAGAGTAGGGGCCCCTGTTTTGTTTGGGCTCCACCGGCGAAAAGGTACCTGACGACGCTCATTGGTACGCAGCAATTTGCATGTTCCCCGTTTGGACCGAAATACGGTACGTACCGGCCTCACTTTCCTCTGCGTATGAAGTACCGTTCAAGGAAGGGACGGTGGACAGATAATACATGACCTAGTATCTATCTCTACGAAGGAACCACCGTATTGATCAGATGGCGATGTGAAGGACAGCCTGCTACACTTGCTGCAACTGGAAATCCCCCCTGAATCACCTCATTCGCCTGAGCCCGAGTCTGAGTCTGAGTTGAGAACACATGTGCTGAGTCCTGAGTGCATGTTGAAACGCATAAGCCTACAAGTCCAACAATCCAACCAAAGGCAGCTCTAGACGGGCACACACACAAACATACTCGGTTGCACACCTTCTTTATCTGCTCATCTTCGTTTCGGAAGACGGGAGCATTAATTTGGTCCCAAATATAGCTGTCAATTGGCTCGTTTTGATACCTGCCGCCTTGGCTTGCCATACGTGCCAAACGCCCGAGCACCATGCACCACGCACCACAGCATCCCGTCTGGCCTTACGTCCTCATCGCCTCCAGCCTTTGAGCCTCCCAGAGCCCAACAGTGAATGAGACCGCCAGCTGCTTTGTACCTTACCCCCTGCCTCTACTCTACCCAGGTGGACTGAGAAAGCGGCGACGGCGGTGGTGCTACTCCATTTCGACCCCAACCTCCGATCCCCGACTCGGCAAACGCCAACAGATCGCAAAGTTGCTTTTTTATTTTTTCTCCGTTTTACGACACCAGCTACTTTCCTCCGTCAGACACACACACACCGCAACCTCACACTCCTTCTTCTCTCCCACGACGAACCGCACAATCCGAGTGCGCGCGACCATTCGAGGCGATCAATTGCCCGTCGCTTTAATCCACCCGACCGACTAAAAATTCCAGGAGCGATCCGTCACACGTTGCGACATCCCCTTTCCCAAACACCCGACTCTCGACCCAACCCACATCACGCCAGTCTCCATCCTCGACAACACCAAGCCTCGACCATCCATCTCTCTTTCCACGACACACGAACCACACACGACCGATATTCACAATGGGCGGTCAACTCTCAAAGATGATGGGCAAGATCTTCGGATCAAAGGAGATGCGCCTCCTGATGCTGGGTCTCGACGCCGCCGGAAAGACGACCATCCTGTACAAGCTCAAGCTCGGCCAGGACGTTACCACCATCCCCACCGTCGGCTTCAACGTCGAGACCGTCACCTACAAGAACGTCAAGTTCAACGTCTGGGACGTCGGTGGTCAGGACAAGATCCGTCCCCTCTGGAGACATTACTTCAGCGGTGAGTTCACGACCCCAGCACCAAGTCCCCCTGCCACCCGTTGGTGGACTGCGCTAACGAGTACTGCTGCCGCACAGGAACCCAAGGTCTCATCTTCGTTATCGACTCCTCCGACCGCGCGAGAATCGAGGAGGCCAAGGCCGAACTTCACAGGATCATCAACGACCGCGAAATGAAGGACAGCTTGCTGCTGGTGTTTGCAAACAAGCAGGATGTCAACGGAGGTATGTTACGGCCCCCCAGAAGCCAAACAAAGGCGCGACAGGACATGCGAGACTGACGATGCCCAACAGCCATGAAGCCGCAAGAAGTCACCGAGGCCCTCCAGCTCTCCAAATTAAAAGACAAGGTCTGGTACGTCGTGCCCAGTTGCGCGACGACCGGCGAGGGTCTCCTCGAGGGCCTGGCCTGGTTGTCCAACAACGTCAAGGCACCCCCTGCTCCGGCCAAGAAGTAGACGACGAGCACGACACGACTTCACCCAATCCGATCCGCCACCCGATTTCTCTTTTGACGACCAACCACTATCCGCCTACCAATCCGTCACCATCCACTCATCTCGTCGCCATGTCCTATCCCGCAGGCCACTCCAGAATGCACATCGAGGCATCGACCGCTCCGGGACCGAGCAAGTCGAGGGCAAATGTGTCACATATTCTATCACCCGCCCCGGAAAACCTACCTGCTCCTCCACAGCTCAGACGGGGGACGCAGGACAAGCTGCCTTCGGCGAATGGTGCGCTGAGTAAGTCCCGCCGTACCAGCAGAGGCGGACTCACCTACGCATCACACCGACGAGTCATCATCACACCATCACCCACGGGTCCAGGCACGGATCTTGTTTTTAACCAAATGTAACGCTTTTAACTACGCTGATACGGAGAGCAGAGGGAGCACGGGAAAAGAGGAGGCGGCCTTTCGAACTTCACATTGTATGCTTTTTCTCCACCCTGGGCTGCCCTTGTTTCTTCTACAAACTTTTCCCTTTTCTCTCTTCCATGCTGCGTGTTGTTCTGAAATACCCGAGCTTTTTAGAAGGCGAGAAAAGAACGTGGTCTCTTTAGTTTTATTACTGTATCTTCTTCTTTTTTTCACATGGAGGGCAGGACGGGGCAAGGCAGGGCCAAACGGTAGTCTTCATTCTTCCCTTTCCATAGTTGTTGTATTGAAATGATATACAAGAAATTGTCTGGAAACCCCGCCCTCTCATCAGTGCTGCAACTGTCACTACTGAACAATAGAGGGCTGGCTCGTCGTCTGACCGTGAGGCCACATACGTAAGTTCATCAAATCTTTTCTGGTCATGACATCGTAAGAACCCAGCCAGCTGGGCTGTGCAGTTTAACCATCCCCCCTTTCATATCGAGGAGGGCCGAATCTCGGAGAAAAAGGGCCGAACAGGTTTTGGCGCGCGCCCGCTCTGACATCAATGTCCACACCCCGCGCATGGCGGGGGAGATTTGCCCGGCGTAAAATCGAAGCGCGCGGCGTCCGCCCACGGGTCCTGCCGACGATTTTTCCCACATCCATCGTGGGGACGCGCGCTTAGGGGCGATGACTGACGTGGCTCGGACGATTCGTATTCGGGGAGCACGCTCGGAGGGAACAAAAGGAATTCTCATCCGCCGATGATGACCCCGACGACACCGGCCACCACCGCCGCCGCCCCGATCCCGGCACGCGAACCGGCCGCTGCCGCCGCGTTGTTCGCCGGCGCCACCATGACCGGCCGGTGCCAGCCGCAGTGCACCGAGACGCCCCGCGTCGCGCACGAGTAGTACGTCGTCTGGGTGTATCCCATCTCGGCCAGGTTCGGCTCCGGGCGCGGGGTGACGCCGGGGGCGGGCGGGATGAGGGAGGCGTAGTCGCGGGGACCGTCTGTTAGTGTTTCTACGGCGGCGGCTGCTGCTGCTGCTACGACGGCGGCCGGGGCGACTGCGTCTTGTTCCTCGGGTGGTGTGATGCTTGTGGGCGAGGGTTTCTTGTGCAGGCGGGCCGGGCCGAGACGGAGCGGTCTGCGCATGGAGGCGCAGGGGACTGTGCCGTTGGATGAGGAGGAAGAGGAGGAGGAGTTTGAGGGGGCGCGGATCGTGGTGTAGATTGGGGACGGGGTCGGATCTGGACCTTGGCGTGGTCCTTCTCCTCCTTCTTCTTCTCCGTTGTCGGGCGCGGCTATCGGGACGCCGGTCGGGAGGAAGGGGCGCGCTGGCGGGCGGGAGGGGGAGGAGGTTTGTGTCGCCATTGTGCAGGGGGAAGTTGGGTCCGCTGGTGTCGCGGGGAGGGCGGAGGCTGTTGAGGCGAAGAGGATTAGGAGGAACGAGAGGGGATGCATATTGTCTGATGTGGTGATGAGTGAATATGAAGAGAAGCGAGTCCAGCTCAAGAAGGGTATGTAAGATGGGTATGGAGGGTATTATCCGCAGAGATGCAGACGAAAAGAAATCGCGAGAATGGAATCGAAGGCCCCGGGCTTCAGGGGAGACAAAGGAGAGGAGGAGTGATGCAGACCAGAGGCGACGGCCATGCTCTCTTTTATCATCTGTCACGGGTCACCGGAAATCAAAAGACCAGGTTTTGGATTTGCAAGCAGCCCTCTTTCGTGGCGATATGCAGGAGTCATCAAGCATTCATCGCCAGCGGCGCGTTCCAGCGCGTGTGTGACGATGGGACGGGAGGGCCATGTTTGTTTCTAGACGTCCTTTGAAGTGTTTGCCAGAGACGCAACGCGGCCCCGCTTACAGGTTTTGGTCTGTATGGTGATTGCATGGGTCTCAATTTCTGTTTCGTTTCTTTCCTCCCCTCTTCTTCACTTTGTATGGATTCATGACATGCGTGGTCGTGTTTGAAATCTCCAGCGTGGTTTCTTTGGGTCGTTGTTCACACTTTTTTGCGTGGTGGTGTTTGGAGAGGTTGTGAGGGGGTTCGGATGATTGGGTGGGAATGCCCTGTTGGCGGAAGGGGGGTATGGGGATTTTAGTGCTGCGACTTGAGGAAATTCGCGTTCTTGCCTTCTCGTTTGGGAGGGGATGTGAGCTTTGGAGACGGCATGGAGGGGGCTAATGCAGTGAGATAGGTTGAGTATGGGTAGGTGGATGTCAACGCGTCGGGCTGCCATCGGCCACCATAGCGACAATGGTAGGAATTACGGCAGCAGCAGCAGCAGAGTCGACTTCGGTGCTTGCAAGCACTGAATTCCCATTTGCCGCGCAGGATTCTAATTATATGATTTACACAGAATTATTCAACGCTCATTGCATCCCGACTAATACCCAAACTGCCTCACCAACCCAACACCACCACCACCACCACCGCCACCGGCCCGGCCCGGCCTCCGCAACACCGGCGTCTCCACCCCGAGACCCCGGCCCCCGCTTTCCTACGGCCGCCGGCCAAGAACCCTATACACAGGATACTCATCCCCGGCCTCGAGGTCAATCACATTATACCGCACAAAACTGGCATTGTTCTCCGGCTCCAGCGTCACAAACGCAAACGCCGCATTCTTCTGCCTCGCGCTCACCCGGAACCCGCCCCGCGGCACCGTCACCGTCCTGACAGTCGTCGACGTCGTCACGCTCGCCTCGACGACGCCCTCGTACTTGGACGCCGCGAGCTCCACCGTCTCGGCCGTGAGAACCTCGGCCTCGCCGACGAAGTCCTCCCCCAGCGTCTCGACTTCCACGCCCAGCACGCGCAGCTTCTCCGCGACCTCGGCCCACGCGCGCGGGAAGACGTACGCCTCGGGCCGCGCGCGCGCGAGCTCGACGGCCGTGGGCGTGCTGTTGCGGAACTGCACGGGGACGCGGACGACGGTGCCGTTGCGCGCGTCGATGAACTCCCACGTCGTATTCGTCACGCGCGCGCGGTCTACTACGACGATCTCCCCCGTTTTGCCTTCGGCGAATTCTTTCCGGGCGGTCTCGATGGTGTCGTGGACGTCCTCCGCGTTGTCGACGGCCGTCTGCACGAGCGCCTCGACGGCGATAAGCCCCGCCGCCACGCGCCGCTGGAAGTGCTGGTCCGCGAGCCTGATGCCCCTCGTCTCCGTCAGGAACGAGACCGCCTGGAGGAGCCCCGCGGAGTTGTGTCCGGCGCGGGAGACAGAGCTGGGCTCCGTCAGGACGGGGATGTCTGTGCCGCCGGGTGCAGTGAAGTACGCGCTCGTGCGGAGCCCGTGGCTCCTGACCTTATTCTGGATCGAGCGCAGGAAGAGGCCTTCACCGAGGGCGCGGACGGCCGGGTGGATGTTCGGGTTCTTCACGTGCGAGACCTGGACGTCCTGGGCCTTGAGCCACTGTCCCCGCGCGCCGAGCTGCTGGCTAGCGGTGTATTCATGCGCGTCGAGGAAGATGTGGGGGTCGAACGCCGCGAGGAGGCCCTTGACGTCCCTGGTCTGTCTGCGCTGGAGGAGGGCGTGGTCGCGGTTGGGGTCGTAGTTGGAGGCGAGCTCGCGCTGGAAGTAGGCGACGCCGTCGGGGTTGTAGCGGGGGAGGACGAGCAGGTCCGCCTTGTCGAGGACGGAGGCGGCCCAGGACTCGTTGGCGCTGAGTTTGCCGAGGAGGGCGAGGATGGCCTGGTCGCCTGCGGGCTCGTTGCCGTGGACGCCGCCCTGGAGCCAGATGCGGAGTTTGGTTGGGGATGGGGAGAGGGAGAGGTTGAGGTAGGGGATTGGGCGGTCGTCTTCGGAGGTGAAGGGGACGTGGTAGGTTGCCCAGGAGTGTTTGTCGGCGATGTCGCTGAGGAAGGATTCTGGAGTTACATCGTCAGTTTTGACATTCGTACAATTACTTCTCAGACAAGTGGCTGAGAGTAGCAGTTGCAACAGCGACGAAGACGTCGACGTCTCCTCGTCAATTATTCGGAATTGGGGACTTACCCAGAGTATCTTGACCGGTAGGCCCAGACGTGCCGTTACTCCACCCAGACGGAACAGTCTCCGGCGCCGCGAACGCAGGCGAGAGCAGCTCAACGTCTACATCCGGGAAGAGCGCAGAAACTCGGTCGTTGTCCTTGGACACGGGGACCTGGTTGTCGGCGTACTTGGTCTGCGCCGAGACAAGACCTGCATGAAGCAGGCCCAGAGTCAGACCATCGATGACGCGCATCTTGGGAGTGCGGTGCGGCAGCGCTGGATTAGACTGATGTGTCTGGCGAGTGTCTCGTCCTGTAGACCTGGGTCATGCCGAAATTTGAGGTCGGAGAGCACTTTACTTATGAAGTCCGCTTTCGCAGGCCGCTGCTTATTCGCGCCATCACCATTGCATTGCGTCTTTGGTATCAATGATCTAGATGAAAATGGTGTGAGGTGTCCCCGCCATCGCGTCAACTATCGCGTCCTGGCATACCGCACTGCAACATCTTGGCAGATAGCTAGTTGCCGTACAAGGCAGGTGACGTGCCGGTCCGGGGAGGGGAAACGTCCATCGACGTCTGATATAGGGAAGAGAGCCGCTGCAATCTTAATCTCGAGAGTGTAGATGTCCGGGAAGCTTGGGATCCTGCCATTCGAAAACATTTGTCCAGGATGAAGGTGAATTGACGGGCTGTCTGTAGCGAATGACAACATCTGCGTCTTGATCATGTCACTCTTCTTGGCGCTACTCCGCCATTTGCCAAGACAGGGCATCAGTGAAAAGAGATGTCACTTCGGAGTTCAGGGTGGATCCTAGTCTCACGTCAATGCTGGCCGAATGCCGAAGTCAAGTGCACTTTTGGCAATTCCATTAACACTAACTAGGTGCCTCTTCGGGCACGGGTATTGATGCTCCAACCCATACGTAGAGCGGCTGCAAAGTAACAATAAAGCAAATGTCTCCTCCGAACCAACTCCCAAACCCACTTCCAATCGCGACTATCCGAAGTAGAATCTCTCCTAGAACCTCGACATCGACTTACGCTGCAGGCGCGACTTCGCACTCGACTTGGCCGGCGCTGTGCTGGATGGTACCGAGCCCCTTTGGGCTCCTGCTTTGGCGGTGGTTCTCGCCGCAGGCATGCTTTTAGCACGGGCGTTGACCCTCGGCGGCTTGTTCTTCTGCACCCAACCTTCTCCATGGGGCAGGCTGCTGCTGTTCTCCTGGTAGTCGTCGTCGATATCGTCTTCCGCGTAGACCTCCTCTGCGGGCGAGTTGGATCGGCTGGACGACAGTGCAATGACTTGAGAGCCGGTCGGCAGTACAAACGGGGAGCTCCTGCGCTTTCGGGTCCGCAAAATGGGCTTGATATCCTGTGACTCGGTGAAAGAAGACGGAGCAGTTTTCGGAATCGGCTTCATGTCTGGCAGCTCCGGTGATCTTGACATGGCCGGCTGACTCGAATTAGGGAAGAGTTGCTTTCGGGTGCTCCTAAATGCCTGCGGCGACTCGTCTTCTTCGTCTTCATCCTCCTCTTCATCTTCATCTTCCTCATCGAGGCGTCGCATTGCGGATTCATACTCCGCGTCGTTTTTGACGATCGATTTGCGGGACTTGATCTCCGAGAACACCTGAGACTTAGAAGGACTCTCGGTATTCTGAGTGTTTGGTTGCGAAGTCGCTGTGAGAAAAATGCGTTCCAGAGAGGGAAAAGATGTACCGCCTGTTGATGGCTCGTCGGACAACTTCTTATCTTGAACAGGAGTTTGAACTTGCGCGCTCGCCTTTGGGGTGGAAGCTCCCAAGATGGGAGATCCGTCACCAGTCTCGCCCAACAGCGGCATATCGTCATCTCCTATATCGAAGCTGAAGTCCAAATCAGGTTGTCGGCCACTTCGAACACTGCTAGCGGAAGAAGGTGGCGGCGCAGCATCGCTGTGCGGCGGAATAGGCGTGGTTTCTTTGGTAACGCTCATCTCGGAAAGCGGTGTCTTTGAGTGAACACGAGACGTGTTGGCCACTTCCGACATTTGTTCTAGCAGCTGGCGAGAAGGACTGCTCGTCTTCCTTTGCAACACAGAGGGCGACAGATCTTGGCGGAAACCAGCTTCTCGAATCATCATACTGATCTCGTCACGGCGATCCGTTGAAATAGAGAAAGCAGTGACAGCTTGGCTAGCTCCCGACTGTTGCGAGTCCTCCGTCGTGTCAACGGGTTGATCGATATTTACATATGCGTTCGCCTTAGGTGTCGCAAGGTTGTCCTCCTCCGCACATTCCTCGGTAACGGCATCGGCTTCTGAGCCTGGGTTGGGTGTCGCCGTTTCATTTGCCGCAGTCTTCGTAGCTTGGGCGTTGTGCTCAGAAACGTCCGCAGACTATCCATTACCCGTATTAGTTACGGCTCGCTTTAGACTGTCCGGCGTACACATTAGCCATGGCTTCACTAACCTCTGCATCGAGCTGTGACTGACTTCGTTCATCTGCCACGGACTGGCTAGGATTGCCACTGTTGACCTGGGAGGGCTGGCTCTGGCCGTCGTAAACAGTTTCATGAATGACACTGTCGGTGGGAGCGCTAGACTCTTCGTCCGGACGCGGGTTCTCCTTTTCACCCAGAGGCTGCTGCAAAATCCTAGGATCGATCAGATCCGCAAAGGCTAGCTTGCGATAGCCCTCGTCAAGATCATCTTCATCCTCGTCCTCATCGTCGGGGACTTCGAAGCGGTCATATATCCGTTCACCAGTGTTCTCGTCATAGACCTTTTGGCTCCTGTCAAGGTTCCGATCCCGTTTGGCCAGTATGAATTCTAAGTCTGTCGCCTCCTCGTCGAAAACCCTAATAAGGATGCCGGTCACGTCGTGGATTTCCGGCTGCCAGTTGGTTGCAGTCGATAACATCCACTGTTTCCAGGTGACAACCATGCCAATTTTGGCCTCCCCCGGCTGGAGTCTGGGAAGGAGGTTGATGTCTTCCGGAAGGGAAGGCAAATCGTCGTTATCTGTAGCTTGACTTCCCTCGGCTTGCACCTTAGGCACGTGTGGCTCCTCAGGCTCCTCGACGGGGTCGTCGTAGTTGAGTGTCGTGTCACCTTCTTCAACTGCGTCCGAGAAGGTCACAACGCTTTCGCCGCCGGTCAAGCGACGCTTCTTCGACGACTGGGAGTCTCCATCCTCATAGAAATGAGCTTGATTGCGCTGTACGCGCTTACGTTTCCCCCCACGCTGATTCTTCGAACCAAACCATTCCTGTACTTGCTGTTGGGGGTCCCACCGCTGGACAAAAGGAAAAGGCGGTTCCGAGAGCTCGACTCCCTCGTGGCAGCATTCTACGGCTCGGTAAGTGATTTTTTCGCGCCAGGCTTCGGGATCTTCCTCTACCGATTCTTGTGTCTGATCAGATTGGTCCGTCTGCGGGACCTCTGTCAGACGCGCATTGGTATGTGGGCGAACGCCCTCCATCAGGTCTTGTCTGATTTTGTCTTCATCGGCTCTTGTCTTCGGATTTTTGAGGCCCAGTGAGCCCATCAGCATGCGTCTTGCGGCACCAACATTTGGCTTCACCCGACGCTGCTCGGCAGCAGGACTCTGTGAAGCGTCGGTAACTGGTTCCTGCGCAGAGTCTTGAGGGGCAGAGTCGGGAATCTCCATCGATTGCTCCTGGCTCTGAGACTGTTCGGGGGCATCTGACACGATTGCTTCGAGCAACGCCTTTTTCTTGGCCAAAAGGGCTGCAAGATCGTCATGATCTTGGCTTGCTGTTTGGGCCACCTTCCTACTGCTCTCCGCGGGCGCCGAGACAGTCTGCGCAGTCGCCTGCTTGGCAAGCTTGCGCCTCAGATTCCGCTTCTGTGTCTTTGATAACCCTTGCCCAGGAGGTACAGGTGTTGTCTGAGCAGCGGGGACGACTGCGGGGATTGCCTTGGGCGGGCTCGACAACCGGATTTGTTCTAGGGCCTTATGTCTGTTGCTGAGTGTTTTGGTAGGTATCTCCTCTGGTTCGGACTCGGAGCTGGACTCATCGCTGCTGCTTTCTTCCGATGATGATTCCGATGAAGAATCCGAGGGAGAGCCATCCGAATTATCTTTAGGAGAAGCATTCGACGATGACTTGGGAGAAGATCTCCCTGCAGCAGTTGACTTTGCCGATGACCGCTTCTTGGTCTCTACTACGCTTGATGCATCGCTGTCCGAATCTTCCGAGCTAGAATCTTCTTCAGAGCTTGATTCGTCCCGATCGGCGCCGTCTGAGTGGCGGTCTTCCGGCGCAGCTTGTCCGCCTCCTGACTTATTTGAGCCATCTGAAGACGAAGCTTCAGATTCGGCATCCGACTGGTCCTTTGCATCTTCATCCTGATCTTCCATTTCCTCGTCGGACTCGGAATCTGATGACACAACACTTGACTCGACACTGGAATAGGAATCTGATCCGGATGCGACCTCATCGTCCTCGGTGTCTTTGGTACTCGCGGGGGCATTGTGGTTGAGCGTCTCAGAGGCCTCAGTACTCTCCTCCAAATCGTGGTCCAACCCCTCGTCTGAGTGTTCACTCGGGCTATTCGAGGCATGTTCGGCTGGGCTCGTGTCTCTCAGAACGAGCTCGCGACCCTCGCTCCCTTGGCTCTGACGAATAGGACTGCTGGAGAGGCTCCTCTCCTGTCGTTCCAATATCTGATGGAGAGGAAGATGGGGCTTGAAGCTCTTGCGCAGCTTGCGATACGCCTTTTCGAGGTCCTTGCCGTTCCTCAGAAGTGACTGCTCAACGACAGAGATAGCCGCGCTTGGAAATGCAGCCCTCAAAGATGATATTTTGTCCAGAGAGTCCATGTCGAGATGTGCTCTGGAAGATCCTTTACTTGCGGATCTAACCAGGGCATTGCTGGCTGACGCAACGGGGGAATCGGAGTATGGTGAAGGCGAATATTGGTCGCGTGTTCCGTCTGACGCCCGCTTGCCTCGAATGTTGCGCAATTCCTCGAGGAGATCTACTTCCCTAACGGCAGCGTTATCCTCTTTCAGAAGACGAAGCTCGTCCTGAAGATCATCATCCTCCATATCCATATCTTCGTCTTCGTCCGAGTTCGACTCGAATTCGTCGTCTTCTTCGTCGGCATCAGACTCGGCATCGTAGAAGCGAGCGCGTAGCCTGACGCTGGAGGGATCTTCCTGGGCCCTGGTCGAGTCGTATTCAATCATCGGAAGCTGCGGATCTTCGTCGTCCTCGGAAGGCGAATCGAGTTCATCTTCGCTGCTGTAGGTGACGCGAGCCTTTTTTCTTGGTGGTAGGGTTACGGCTGGGCGATCTCGTGGGGCCTTGAGCCAGGAGCGGCCGTAGGCCAGACCGTCCACCAGGTGCTTTCCATCGGAGGATATCTGGTGCCTGCCGCTGAGCCGTCGTCGCTTGAGGTCGTCGGTTAGGAGAGGTCGGATGCTATTACCTTGTCAGAATTGTCTATTTAGATGCTGGAGCAAGTAGCGATTGACTTACAGCACTTGGTCGTCACTCTTGAGCACCTTGGAAACAAGGTGGTAGTGTACACATTCGAAGCCTTCGCCGGAGGGATCCTTAAGCTCAACGGCGTAGTCCTCGAGTCCCCATTCGCCGCTCTCGAGGGGAACCACTTCGTGAACCTGTGCGACAAGCTTGGAGATGGTCAAGTCTTCGTTGGTGGTGACGTTCCAGAGGAGCTTGACGTCAGGCACGCCGTGGCGCCGGACCACGAGGCGCAAACGCAAGTCTTTCTCCATCTCTGTCGAGATTGATGAATATTTCGGGTAGCGCGATCAAGGCATGAAAGAAAATAATTATTCAGTAAAGCGATCGAGCGGAAGAGAAATAAAGTCGCTCACAGTTGTCGCAGCGACGGCGGCAATTACTGGCGAAAAGACCAAGGAGATGCGAGGTAAAGTGCTGCGGAAGAATTGAAGGGAGCTGCGAGACGCGTGGGGGAAGGTGAAAGCTCCAAGCGCGACTGACGCAAATTCTAGAAAGAGTGGGGCCGAACCGAACCGTCCAGGAACCTTGACGGGCTTCAATATGACTGCCGAGCTACCTTACCTTGCACTGCAGTACGTACAATTAATTACATCCAGCCGAGTTTCAGTCACCCATCACGGATTTTGGCCTCGCTGCGTCAATTATATCAATGACCTTCGTCCAATTCGCACATTGGCGGCTGCCTGCTCGAAGATGACCGCCAACGATCGTCTCAGTTATTTTCCACGAAATCGCCACCCATGAGTCCAGGAACCATCAGAAGATACTGTGGACAATGACAATCATGTCAAATAACCCCGATGACAAGTATGCCGATACGCCAGTTCCCAGGTATTCGTGTCAATCCGAACGCCGTCTATGCTTGTAAACAAATCCGCCTCGTATGTTTTCTGTATATAACTGCCAAGATACCGGAACTCATGAAGGCATACCCCCCATATCAAGCATGTGTCCCATTTTCTCGATCTGGATTTTGGTCAGCGAACGCAACATACGCAGGGGACCGGTTAAACGTACCTTTGTCTTGAGGTAGCCCTCGACCTCGTTGCTCCTGAACCCTCCTCTGCCCTTCCATGACAAAGGCACCATCGCCACACGCTCAATCACCCTAACCTCACGGTTCGGGCCCTCCACCGCCCGAATCTTATCAGGGTTGTTGGTCAACAAGCGAACCTCGTGCTGGTCCAGGTCCAACAACATAGCAGTCGCAAGTCCGTAACTGCGGGCATCAGCCGGGTGGCGAAGCAACAGGTTGGCCTCGACAGTGTCGGAGCCCAGATCCTGCAGGTTGTACGCCTTCAACTTCTCGCCAAGACCGATACCGCGGCCCTCCTGGCGCAAGTAAATAATGATGCCTCCGCTGGTGTTGCCCGGCATGCTCATCAGCCTAGCCGCCTCGTCAAGCTGCTCGCCACAATCGCACCGCGCAGACCATGCCGTCTCGCCAGTGTAGCACTCGGAGTGAATGCGCACGAGCGCCGGGCCGCGCTGCGCAGGTGGCTCTTCGCCCACAGGTGTGGCCACACCGCCGGGCATACCACTAGTTGTCCGGCCGGGAAACAGACGCCCCGTGTAGGCACCGCGCACCATGCGATCCATCTCGGTCTCCCCGGGTCGGGGCGCATCCAACGACTTGCTCCGGATATGCGGGCCAAAGACAATGGCCAAGTGCTCCTTGTTATCGACGTTGTTTGTGTACAGATGCAAGAACATCTCGGTGCCGGTGACGGTAGGGATACGTGCTCGTACGATGCACTGCACCTCGGGCAGGGTCTCGAGGAGGCGGGGCCGCTTAGTGCCGCAGCCGCCGGACGGGATGGAGGAGTCGACAGGCACGCCACGGGGAGCCTCGGCGCCGGTGAGAGGGGTCGCTGTGCCGGGTGTCGCGGGAGGCGTAAAGGCAGGCGAGAGCAGGGACGGCGGAGGCGGTGCGGTGTTGGTGTTCGTCGAGACGGCGTCGTCTTCGGATCTCGCGGGGACGGCGGGGTCGGCCAGGCTTAATTCAGGAGCCTCTTCGGCTGCGGCGGCCTCTCCTGAGCCATTGTCGGCGGGACGGTCGAGACCTTTTGTCCGTGGAGAGTAGAAGGACGGGAGCTGGTTGGTTTCCTCGCGCCAGTCCTTGGGCGCATCGCCGGCCTTCGCTTCGAAGTCGGGCATGGCGGGGAAGATGGGGGGAATTGCGCTGGTGGGGAAAGAGGTGATGGCGATGTATGGAATTGGTCGATCAATGCCAATGGGTATTCATGCGCAATGTAAAGCAGTGCTCCTTGGAGAAAATACAGATGTTTCAACCGGTAAGATAGACTGTAGGTAAGGTAACGGAGAAAGAGGCGTGAGCGGCAAATGTCGAGTGCACATTAAAGCGCGGCCGACCGGTTCCGCTCCGAACGGTGAGGTGGTGAAATGCGGTTCAATTAGTCATGCAGCCAGATGATGACAGCGCGGGTGCTTTTCGCTGAGGATCCCAGGTGGGTGGGTGGTCTTTTCGCCGAGGTTCCAGCCAAAGCGCCGCGCGCGCGGGGGGGCGGGCAACAGCACTCGGGTGTCTCGAATTCGGATTTCAGGGTCTCGTTAGCGGGGTGTCGGCTGTTGTCTCGCGCTGAATTTTTGTGCGACAGCGCCGGCAGCTCGGCGGGGTTCGGTGATTACATCATCTCATCCTGGGATAAGCTAATCCGGAAAAGTTGGATAAGGTATCTGGTGCTTCATCCGCTCGTGAAGATAAGGAAGATCTCATGAATTTTTACGATCTGTAACTTGAATGTCAGTTTCTACTTACATATCCTTTGATGGATACATGGAAATTCAAACATCTTGCTATTGCTCTGGTATCTAGTAGTATTTAGACATAAACGCCAACCTTTTAACTTCGAGCTCACGTCACCGCTCAAATCAGATGGAGATATTCATTTCTTACAACAACTGAGCGGCTTTACTAAGCTTACTCATCACAGCATTTCCTTCTCATAATTCATGATACACAAACCTCAACAGTATTGACAGCCACCACTAAACACAGCATCGTGGAAGGTGCTCAAGAAGACCTGGAGGCGAGCCACAATGGCCCTCTGAGAGACAAACCAATCAAATGACTCGCTTCCTCTCAGTTCCGGGATTCGTCAGTCAGCATTAAAAATCAAGCGCGCGGTGCATCGCCTAAGATCATCCACAGCCAACGGCCCGTCGGCTCCTCCACAGCGCCATCACAAGCATCATGGATGAGTCCTATAACCAAAGACACCTCTTCTCATGCGAACAAGATGTCGCACTCAGAAAACAACCTCAGGAAGCCATTCGGGACCTCCCACGGCACCTCAATACCCATCCGATCTCCTCTCCTGCGGGTTCCTGCATCCCGTTCCGTTTACCCTCCATCCCGGCCTCCCGAAACCTACATGGTCTTCCCTTCTGCTTCTTTCTGACCAGTGACTGCAGGATTGAAGCCTCGAACTCTTTGAGGCCCGCCGAAAAACGTGAACCCCGGCCTGCATCTGCATCCATGACAACCACACGCGCCCAACCAGATCAACCAGACCGGTTCGTCGCGCTACCATTGCCCATCGTCGCGTGTGCGCTGTCACCGTCAGTGAGTCACAAAGCCGCAACGGCAACGAACCCATGCCGCCGCGTCTCCTCCGTTTCCCTTTTGCGAATGGGAAAACCAAGCTCGTCTCCAACTCGTCCACAACTCCAAATGCCATGCCAACAGGCCGTGCGAGGGGCGCGGAATCCATTGGCTGACGCGCTTCCGCGCTGCTGCACCAAGCTCATCACCGCCCTGCAACCACTTCTTTTCTGCAGACTCGCCTCCCCGTTTCATGGTGATGCCCAGATGGGGATCATCAGGCACCGTCCTGACAGGCTGCCGTCTTGTTTACCTTTCTTCCCGATCGTATGCACACAGAAGAAAAATTCTCCTTGGTTCAGGTCCCACCATGCGTCTGACAACCTAGTGGTTGTCGACGTCTTATTTGTGCTGGCCAGCAAAACATGCAGTGCTCATCCAGTGGAGGCCGGCAACCTGGTAGCCACCGCACCTAGCGCACAAAAACATCGCCAACTGTCTCTTGCTTGACTGGTGTGGTCTGTTTTATATAAGAAGATCAAGTGACTTCCTCACCCTCACCACCTCTTCTGTTCCTCGACAATCAGAACCACCAAGCCAACACAATACAATAATACAACGTTCATTCCGAAGGATCATCAAAGAGATAACCTGCAAGGTCTATACGGAGCGATAGAGACACATACGACACCGCTCATTCTCATTCATTAATACCGCCTCACACACTTTCGTTCTCCTACCTGTCCGGATTTCACTTCATCGGCGTCAACTTCAACTTTTCTGTATTCAAGGACATCACATCACATCACATCACCCAAAATGGATCACAACACCGTAATCGCCTGGCTTCTCCCCTCATCGACGAACCAACCCGCCCTCGAGACCGTCCGCCTCCTCGCAAATTGCAACCGCCGCGTCGCCTCCATCCCCGAAGCCTTCGATCCCCAACCGACCCCCAACCCAGACAACGACACAATCAACCCCTTCCTCCTCACCAAGAAGCCCCCAACCTCATCCCTCCTCGCCAAGCCCCGCCCGGCCCTCGAGCTCTCCTTCACCAACCCCCCAAAGAACCACACCGGCTTCGTCCTCGGCACCGACCCGTGCTGCGACATCCAGCTCCCCAACCTCCCCGGCATCGCCCCGCGCCACTGCCACATCACCTTCGACGCCGAGCGCCGCCTCGTCCTCCGCGACACCTCCGACGCCGGCACCGCCGTCTGGTACGACGGCAACAGCAACGGCGACCGCCCCCGCGAGTCCTGGGTCCTCTCCCCCGGCTGCTCCTACGGCTTCCCCGCCATGGTCGACCGCGTCGTCGTCGACATCCAGACCGTCCGCTTCCAGGTCGTCGTCAACGACTCCCACATGGCCCGGCCCGACCTCTACGACCGCTCCGTCGACGACTTCATGGACCGCCTGGCCAGCCTGTCCCTCGACGAGATCAGCGCCCGCGAGGAGCTCTCCTTCGACCTCGACTTCCGCGACTTCGGCATCGACTTCAGCTTCGACGACCTCGGCTTCGGCTGCGGCGCTTACGACGGCGACTGCGGAGGCTACGACTACGAGATGGACCTCGACGACAAGAGGGACTACCTCGCGCCCCTGCCCTCCGAGGTCGCCCCCGTGTTCGTGAAGTACATGTTCGCCGCCGACGAGGGTCTTCCTCCGGACACCTACCTCTGGAACACGGCCCGGCCGTGGGAGCCCATGGTCAAGGTCACATGTTGACGCGACCTACCCCCTCATTTACATCATCACACTCATTATAATGATCATCACCAAATTCGTCACTCTTTAATCGATAAAATGGGAAGCGTTGGGGCATCGGGAGATTGTACAGTAATGGTTCAAAGAGTTGCACATCCGGCAGTGCTGGCACCTGACGGCGTTTCTCTCATAATATCCGGAGTCTGGAGCAGGATCGAGAACAACCTCACCACCACCAACAACAACATCACATTCCTTTTTCATCACCTCCAAAAATTGGCATCGCGTCTTCCCGGAATCACTTCCTTTTGTACATTTAGTGTAGATACCCCCTTACATAGCGGCGTTGATCTTTCACATCCACCAAACAAAATCAAAACACAAAAAATCAATGGCTGATCCTCGCGGACGGCCTCTCAAAACATCACAAACACACACACACCGCGCCTCCCTTGCCCACTTCCAAGTTTTGCCTCTCTCTCTCTTCGTCTCATGTTGATTTTGACTCAAACTACAGCCTTTTCTTCTTGTGTTTGGTCTCCGCGGAGACGACAGCGACGACAACAACCGCCAACCTTGCCACGCTTGGAGATCGACGGGCACGGGGCGTTTTGGGGTTCAGCACATGACTGCCACTCGACCCCAAAAACCCCCCAACTTTTCGCAGGAAGCGCGGGAAGCCCGATCTTGCTAGCAACGACCACCGGGGGAAACTAACAAATGAGATCGGACGAGGACCTTATCTGTCACGCTCGCCTCTATCATCCCCCACCACCTATACCACGCGCGTCACTGCGAACATCATGTCTCCGCGGGCCATCTGAATATTCAAGAAGTTTTGGTCCGATTAGGATTTCACAGCTGGGTATATAGTCTACACAGGCCCCATCTTAGATCTAGAAATGGGCAATGGCGAGGCAGGATAGACGGTGCTTCTGTGATTGGCATTCTCGTTCGATCTTGTTTTTGCATATAGAATCGTAGATAAGAATCAACACCAAGCCCAGACATGGCCTCCGATAACACGGAACCCGACGAATCAAGCCCCCTCCTCCCGCCGTCCCAAAGCAGAACGTCCATCCGGGGCCTTCTCACATCCTCTCACTCCGCGACGTCCCTCCTCTCCAAAGCAGACTACGCCCTCGGCCAATCGCCCTCGCTCGGCGACCGCCTGCCCTACAACGACTACACCACCATCGACTGGCTGCGCGATCTGACCATGGACTCGTCCCGCGCGCGCCGTCTCCGCGAGCTGTCGGGCATCCGGGGCCGGCTCGTCCGCTTCGTCGACCGCGGCCAGGGATGGGTCGCCGCGGCTGCCATCGGGGCGTTGACCGCCCTCGTCGCGTTTGTTGTTGATGTGTCGGTGGCGACTGTGAGTGATTGGAAGGAGGGGTACTGCGGGACCAATGTCTTTGTCGATCGTGGACGGTGTTGTTGGGGCTTGAATGAGAGCGAGACGTGCGAGGCCTGGAGACCTTGGATCGCGGATGACGGTCAGGCGGGATACTTCGCCAGATATGCCGTCTACGTCCTCTTCGCCCTCCTCTTCGGCGTCGTAGCGGGCAACGTGACAATGACGACCAAAACATCACTCCCCGCGGTAAGCCCTGACACCAAGGCGGAGGGGAAGACGATGTACATGGCCGCCGGCAGCGGCATCCCCGAGATCAAGACCATCCTCTCAGGCTTCGTGATCCCGCACTTCCTCGACCTCAAAGTCCTGCTCGTCAAGGCCGTGGGCGCGACCTTCGCGGTGTCGACGGGCATGTGCCTGGGCAAGGAGGGCCCGTTCGTGCACATCTCGACGTGCGTCGGGTGGCTCGTGGCCGGCTGGCTCCCCAAGTACAGGGACAACCCGCGCAAGATGCGCGAGATGCTCAGCGTGGCGTGCTCTGCCGGGCTGTCTGTCGCGTTCGGGGCGCCGATTGGCGGTGTGTTGTTCAGTTACGAGGTGAGTGTCGTCGTGTTTTATGTCGGATGTTTACCACCCAATGACTGACGGCGAGTAGGAAATCAGCACGTATTTCCCTCGGCGGGTGCTCTGGCGGGCGTTCCTGTGCTCGCTGGTCGCGGCTATTGCGCTCAAGGCGCTGAACCCGACGGGTACTGGGAAGCTTGTGCTTTTTGAGACGAATTACGGCGTCGATTATGACCCCGTGCATTATCTTGTCTTCGTGTTCCTGGGGGTGTGTGGTGGGGTATTTGGCGGGATCTTCTGCAAGGCAAACTACATGTGGTCGAAGAGTTTTCGGAAGTACGAGATCGTGAAGAAGCACCCAGTGTTGGAGCTTTGCGGTGTCGTTTTGGTGACGGCTCTGCTGCAGTTTCCAAACCTCCTGATTCGGGATACCGGTGATGTCGCCCTGTCAAAGCTGTTGGTCGACTGCAGGAACCCCAAGGGGGAGTGGATTTGCGAGCAGGAACAGAGCGACGAGAAGACGGGCTACATGTTCTGGCTCGCGAGCGGCACGGTGGTGAAGCTGTTCTTGACAATCATCACTTTCGGGTGCAAAGTGCCGTCCGGAATCATCATTCCCGCACTCGACGGCGGTGCATTGTTCGGACGTCTTATTGGGCAATTTGTCGGTGGTATATCGCCCGGCATATTCGCCATGGTCGGAGCGGCGGCTTTCCTCGCCGGCGTCTGCCGGATGACGGTCAGTCTGGCGGTCATTATGTTCGAACTCACGGGCGAGGTGACGTATATCCCGGCGTCGATGTGCGCCATCCTCACGGCGAAGTGGGTTGCGGATGCCATCTCGGTCGAGTCGGTGTATGATCTCTCGCAACACCTGCTGGGTCATCCGTTTCTCGACGCTGAACAGGCTTATGAGGTCGTCAAGCACCGAGAGGCGACTGCGCGAGAACTCATACCTCCTACCGAGACGATGGAGGAGATCACCCTGGGCATGGGAAGAGAGTACCGGGTGCGGCGAGACGTGCTGGCCGAGAAGCTGCGGAAGTTGAAGGCTAGGGGTTTGATGGATGCCGGGGTTGTCTTGGTCAATAAATCGGGGTTGCTGTTTGGGTACCTGCCCGAGGTAGAGCTTGAGGTGGTTCTTGAGGCTGAAAACCAGGCGGACGAGATTGACTTGCGGTCAGGGATCATGGCTGAGTTGGTTGATCGCGCGCCCTTGACGGTCAATGCCGAAGCACCCATGGAGTATGTCCTTGAGATGTTTGGTAAGCTTGGACCGAGATACCTGATCGTCACAGAGCCGGAGACAGCAAAAGTGTTGGGCGTTGTGCTCAAGAAGCGGTTGTTGGACTATCTAGATCGGACAAAAGCATAGATGAAGCGGAGCGTGTCTTGTACAACTTCAATGCAATGACGTTTGCGACGGAGTACAAGAGCTCTACTTACTGGACCCGGGCTGTTTGGCATGCTCTTTCTGTCTCAAAGACTCGATATACCTGCACTTTCCCGTCCTGTTCCAGTTGTCTCACCACCCAGCCACCCAGCAGGTATGACCTGCATCACCCTTTGCATTCGAATGTTTCTCAGCCCAGGCAGTGTTGAAGACACCCGTTGAACCACAGAATGCCTTGTCTTACCAAGAACAGGCTGACCCGCCAGGAATTGTGCGCAACTTACAACGCGTACGTGTTGCCTTGACTGGACCCCATAAACCTAACAACTTTGCAAATGTCGCCAGGCCTTCCGATGCTCTTGATCCGACTCCGGCTCTCGCATCAACACGCACAGGCGCGATTACCTACTGTGACATTATGTCGACTGCTCGCCCAAGCTCATACATGGAGCCCCTAGATGACAGGGAGGGCAGACTCTCCAACGACACTAACGATCGTGAATCGGGGAGCATTCGCACATTAGAACATGAATATTACCCTGTGAGCGACGAAGAAACTGTTGATGAGCTCGAGAACACCGACGACAACGAGCCTATCCACGATGCTCAGCTCTCCCCTATCATCGACGCGACGACAGATCTCGAACCTGCCACCAACCCCAATCTCGACATGGCGCATATCAACAATGAAACGCCCTCTTCTTTGCACCCGCGACCGAGAAATAGTAGTGCAGCGGAAGCTTGTTGCGAGCCCTTGCTGAGCAATACAGCGTCTCCTCAAGACCGAAAAGAGGAAGAGCTCCGACAACCTTCAGAGAAGACCACATCAGTCATCTGGAATCCGAAATGGCTGCGAAGCGTCGTTCTAGCAGTTTTCGCCGTATTGTTCCTTTCTATGACAATCGTACTTCCTCTCGTGCTGTGGTACTCCATCTGCAATGATGGCATTGCCAAAGCGCGCGAAGGGCTCACGCCTGTTTGGCGATTCGGTCCAACAATCGGTATGAATCGCGCACGTCTGATCATCGTCTGATTCATATTTGCTGATGGATGGCATAGTTCTCACCATCCTAGCTGCTCTCTGGGCGCGGGTTGAGTTCCAAGCCTTGACCTACATGCCATGGATTGCGATGAATTTGCACGATGGAGCGCCGTCCGAAGAGGATTGCGCGCTTGACTATGCATCCATGTCACTGCCGACCATACTATGACAATCCTTCCGACGAAAACATCACCTAGTTTATCTTACTGCGTTCATATCGGTACTACTCAAAGTCCAAATCGCTCTAGTGCCTGGCTTGTTCAGTCTCGTCGATATCCAGGTCATCCACACAACCAGCGTTGAAATTTTGGACTCGTTCAACGTCAATAGCAATTTCTCTGAAAGTTACAAAGAAGTACTCGAGGACAAAAGTGCCTACTACACTGCGCGGGCAATCTATGAGTTTCACAAGTCTTACCCCTTCGGAGCCAGCGCCGAAGCCGCCTACCAAACTTTTCACATCAAGGACCGCGATACCACAACTTCTCGTGGAAGTATTGAAATACCGTTGAAAGTCGTCGTGGAAGGCGTTTTTGCAGATCTTCAGTGCATCAAGCTGGAAAACTACACAGTCACCGAAAGGCCGGACAAGGGGCCTCCGGGTTGGCCCTTCTGGGTCGATCTTGAGTTCGAAGGATGCAACAAAGTCATCAAGAAACACCTGAAGTACATGAAGGAGAAATCATTCACAGCCGAACGAGCAGACAGTTGGGATACTGAAGGCCGCGTGTCTACCGAAGATCGATGCCCAAACTTACCTCATCAACATGATCATTTCATGTATTCCGCAATGCTGATGCAGAATTCGACGAAAAACTCTTCACTACCAGAAATACGAGCTCTGGCCGCCATAGTTTGCTCGCCTATAGCGTGGCTAGAGAAGGTGGAAGTCATCGATGACGGCGTGAATCCGGAGATCAAGTCGATCCCGAATCAAGAGCGAACGCCAATCGCTGCCAACATGTGGAACATGGTGTATCGTTCGATCCCAACCGTCGAAGGATACGGTGCAATTCAGAAAGACTGGGTTGGGGGCCATCGCATCGCCGACGACAACGTACACGATCCTTTGGTGTATGACAGCAACCTTTTGCTGAATTCCACAATGAACCTATTTCGGAGTTTGAATCCTCTCATCAGTCACTATTACCTTCGGCAAAACAAAAGCCATGAGGTTGATGGCTCTTCAATCTCCACATCAAAAAGGCTTACGGTTAGCCAGAGGGTCGGCTTTACCATGACGGCACTGTTTGTGATTATTACTCTCTCAGCAGTCTTCACCCAAGTCTCCCACTTTCGAACCAAAGACTGCGTCCAATGGCATCTAACCCCAACCACTGTGCTTGGGAACATTCTCTATCTTCACAAGCACCCAAGTCTTATCAACGCTACAAGTCTGTCTTCTAATAGGACCACAAACGATTGGACAGGGCCCAAATTCTCGCCTCTAGTTTCACGTACTTGGCTCAGAGTGTCATCGACCTTTCTAATCATTGGAGTCATCACTTGTCTTCTTGTCACACAGGGACTTTCGGATTCATCTGATGGCTTAACAACTGTACGCGTGGGACCAGACGACTACGATCATCTTCTGTGGACGACGGTCCCGGCCGTGGTCATGCTAGGTATCTCTGTCTACATAAGCTCCTACAGCATGGTGTTGCGGGCCTTGTGCACATACTGGGTTGTGTCTTCGAGGCCTTGCAATGCCCGACAGCTTGATCGGTCTCTTTCTGACATGCTCGGAGTTCGCGTTTTGTATCACTCTCTCCGTTTGAGGGCTTACACGTTGACGGCAACCCAATTCGTTACCTTGGCCTGCGCGCTTCTAACGACACTCGCTTCAATATTATTCACTACGGTAGATCTCATCCCACAATCTCAACCTATCCAGGGAACCCAAAGATCCTATTTTGGTACTCGATCTCTCGACGATATGGATATTTCTGAGCTTTCGGCCATGCGGGTGAAGCTGGGAAGTTTTCTCCTGCGCCAGGAGAACGCTACTTTCACGTATCCGCAAAGTTCCTACCATGACCTCCTATTCCCAAATCTGGAAATAGTTGGAGCCTCGAAAGATGCTGCTTCCGTTAAATCAGTCAGTGGAAGCGTACCGGCAGCTACACTGCAATCGAAGTGCATAAGGATGCCCGAGTCTGATTACGACTTGGTAGACCCGGAGCGTTCTGAAGACAAGGGAATCATCAATTTTCGAGCAACTTGCCCAAACGGCTCAACAGTTGATCAACCCATTTACAAATTCGGAAAAGATATCCTTCTGGCTCTTATGTTTACGTCAATAAACGACCCAATTCCATTCAACAGATCATGTGGGCTTGATACGAATAGCAATGCTTGGAACTCAGCAACCACACGTTCTTACAACTACTTATGGGGAGACTATTCTAAGGAAAAGAAGGGTTTCAGACACCTGTCCATCTGGACATGTAGTTACACGTGGTCTGAGGTCGATACCCAGACACATTTGGCCGCTGTCAACGGAGCACTGACAATAGATCCGACACAGCCCCCACGACCCAGGCTCACCACAGCAAAGCCGTGGGATCCGCCGTTCCGCGTGCCGCCACTGTATTATGTCGACAAGAATATGCGGACTCTTACAACGTACCCGTTCTTCGACAGCCCGATCAAGGACGTCGAATCTGGAGTTCAGGCGAACTTCATGACACTCATTTTTGAACCCTATGGCAGCCTGCCTATCAAAGCTCTTGCAGAGCCTACGATGGAAGAGGCTATACTGCATGCTCTGGAACAGAAGCATAGCTTGCTCGCCGCGCAACTGGCCAACTTCGAAAGCCGCCTACCAATCAATGAAGGTAACAACGGCGGTATCTCCTCGAATCCTTCGCAGCTCAACTTGACGGCGACTTATCCGGCCCGGCCACGGCTCATTCAACATTCAATACCGACCTACATTATTGTGACAATTCTTGCAGCGGTTGTTCTTCTTAATTCATGGAGTCTGCTATCGGCTACAATGCGACGTTTTGGGCGACTACGTCGAGGATGGTTGCTGGACATGGACGTGAAGAGTCTGGCACCGGAAGCCTTCGGTAGCTTGGCGGCTATCGTTAACCTCCTGCGCGGCTCAAATGCCTCAGAACATCTACCGGTTAATACTCAAGAACTCTCGGAAGAGGAGCTTTACGCCGAACTCTTCGATCTGAAGTTTTGCTTGGGTTGGTTTCGAGACATGAGAGGCCCAGAAGATAGCAGATGTTTCACGGTTGGCGTTTTGGAGGACGAAAAGTTCGTTTTTCTAGGCGGTCGAGAGGAGAGTTGATATACCATTTGGATATCATGTCAACCAAACACGATCAGCAACTCGTTTGCCATATCCTTGAACATCAGAGATCAACATATTGATCAGCTACAGGCTCACTCAAGAACTCATTACTGGAAAAACCGCATTGCGCAAGCCCGCTCGGACAAGGAAGGAAGATATGATTAGCGGCTTCCTGGGTATTACACTACGAGTTATTCTTCTCACCGTCGAAAAACCACCAGATTCTCATATTATTCACGTTATCATTAAAGAAAGTCGGCTATCGTGGACACACGCCGTTTTCGAAGCGATTCGACATACTTGCCTCGTCGGAGACGAGGTAGGGTGGTACTTCTCTAGAGCAGTTGAAATTATTTGCGTTGCATGGAATGGACTTAATATTTCAGAGACGGAACATTTCATTATCATACACACTATAAGACATTGTGACCTGAGATGTCTTTGATGACATCTGGATCCCAATATCAACGGCTTCCGTGGTAGACCTATTCGTGGAAACACATCGTGACTACCGCCTTAGTGAGGTTGGCGTTCCAGATCTTCCAACAACATCAGGACCCACTTCCCCGATAGTCTAGTGGTGAGGATATCTGCTTGTCATGGAAACACGATTCGCAGGGGACCGGGGTTCAATTCCCCGTCGAGGAGTATTTCTTTTGTCATTTGCACATTTTTGCATCGAATGCAGAATCACAATGATATTAAATGAGTTTGTGGCTGTACGGAACTACCTTGCACCGGAAGTAGCTACTGCTGCAGACGGTATATGAATACGAGCTAAGAACTTAGTGCAGTTCACCGCTGTAAGTGTGTTATGCTTGAGTGGCGCCGTTGCGGTTAATTTCTAGCATGATTGAAGCTTTCAGCTGTGATCGTTCTCTGTTTAGCTTCCTTGTGGTCCTGCGGCCCGAATCCCGGCCCACATGCCATATTTGTCATGGACGATCGCATACGGACTGAGCAGATGATCTTGGTCGTTCATTGGGGTGAGAATTCAAGATATGCCTCCATAATAGGGTCGTTTCATTATCAATACTTCACTGAAGGCTGTTACAGATTTCGAGAGTTACGGGCGGTTGCTACGCCGAGCTACGAAAGGACGAAATTGAGCGGATGTCGAAGCAAAATAACAAGTCCAGGATGCACAATAGCGGGTGACATATGCCATCGTGTATCGTCGATAATCACGTGTAAACATACCTAGGTTGACTTGGAATAGATTCAAAGCAGTGGTAACGAGAATGTCATCCCACAGTTTCTTGACTTTTCATTATCTGCCAGGTCGGTGTAAAAATCCTAAGTTCTGATTCAAAGCCGCCTTTCCTTTCATTCCATGAGGGCCGACATCTGATCTGTCCTCTATACAAGAAACGCGACCATAAGAAGGTGAAGTAGGGTCAGTGTATGGTACGTTCCTGGGCCATAACTGATTTATGTTCATTTTGTGTGATATAACAATGCCAATGGCAATCTTCTGTCACGCAATTAACCATCGAGTAGTGAAAATATTCTCAGCCTGATTGCGAGTGTCGTCCAGGTAAAAGTACCTGTAACTTAAAGTTTTCTTGGAAGTATATGTGAGCACGTGCATTTTTTCTTCGTCACTTGTTAACAACAAACTTAACTCAAGCGATCGAATATTCGATGGATAACAAGTAGTGGTTGATGAGAGTTGATAAGTACTTCAATAACAACTGGAACTGGTGCTCCGTGTTTCCGCGTCTACTTGCTGGCTCACCACATGAGCGACGAGTTCATGGCTTCAGCGGACCAAATCTGGCTCCGCAAGGATCCCGCGGCATCCATGGATCCTTATAGCCTCTTCAAAGCATGAGTCGAGTCGGTTAACAAGACTATGTGTAGTAGTCGCTCTCGGTCCCGGTTGTACTGTCATGAAAACGACATGGCACGACGCCTGGTCCAGTTTTATCCACGCGTGGCGTGTGTCCCATGGACCGGAATCGAGCTCGGAACGGACCCCGGTTCCGAACCTTCCATTCTCAGCGTCTTCAGCAGTTTCTATTTGTTTCCCATCCCCATGCTATTGTTGTCAGAGGAGTTCTAGAACCAAGATTTAAGAAGACGTCAGTGAAACCTCACAGGACCCAGAGTCTTTCGTAGTCAACGTGCTCGAGGCATTCTAATTTCGCCTCACACTGTAGGAAGACTTATGATGTGACCAGATTTGCATGAGAAAGCAAGGTCTCCTACCGTGTCATTATTGTTTGAAACCCCCCCTGAGCAAATCTCCATGCCCCCTATTACCCCACGTGGACCCGACTCTCGTCACAACAGAAGACCAGACTGACTCGTCTCCGTCTCGCTATTGGCTGTAGCCTCGGAAACCCCCCACCGCGTAACCTCCCCGTGACGAAAAAAGGAAATCCATATAACCATGACTAAGGCCGTTCGTTCTGCCCGGCGGCGCCTTCGACCCGGAAGCCCGGCATACATCACGAATTTTTACCCATCTAGGCAAGATAATACACTGCTCTTGGCCACATCCACGTTGATCCAAGAGCCGTCCCATCCCGTCGGAACCATCTTAACTCAAAATTCCATGTTATTTTAAGCCGCAAGCTGTCAGACTCGGCACATCAACGTCGGCAAACAGACCGAATGCCTACGCAGAACTACCGCCGTTCCAGAAACGGTTAGTCTGGTCCCTGGCGATAACCTCGTGTGCAGATGATATCGCCGATTGATCGACAGTGTTACTAATACCTGCGCAGGCTGCGTGACTTGTAGAACCGCACGCATCAAATGCGACGAGGCACATCCGCTCTGCAAGCAGTGCGAGCGTCGCGGAGTAGAATGCGGCGGTTACAAGGTCAAGCTGAAGTGGGTTGAAATCAGCGACATCAGCCCAGATACCCATGCCCCGGCCAAGAGCGTCATCAAGCCCAGGAGTTCTCTAGCCATATGTCCATCATCGAAGACGAAGAGAGCTGCTCAGTGCAAGAAGGTCAACCACTCCATCGCAGTATTACAGAACCCATCAACAGGGCCCCAGCTCCACTCTTCATCAGACGTCTTCATCTTCACACATTGGGCTCAGTCATTACCCGAAGTGGTCTATCCAAACCCGAAAGAATATGTCAATATGCGCGACCCTTATCTATCATTTGTCTGGAGGCAAGACTCCATCCTGCTGCCGGCTGTACTTGCAGCTGGGGCATCGCATCTCTATGCGCTCGGAGTCGTGACGCAAGCCGAGCTTCTGGAAAGGAAACAACGTGCTCTTGGCAAGATGGTGGCCGCTGTACAGCAACAACGAAAACTTCCGGCATCCCAAAACCCAACAACAGTACCGCTATATCTGACTGAAGAGGCCATCGCAGCAACGATGGCGTTGATCGGCTTGGAAATCATGCAAGGGTCAGATACGGCAGCAATCCGCCCACTAATACGAGGCGCAAGGGCGCAACTGGAAGAGAGGAGACGACTGCTAGAGGGGATGTCGGAAACCCTTCAACTTGACAGGCCAACTCCCATGTTGTCAGTCAACATAAAAATGATGGCTTACATGGACGCAGTATGCTGTGTTCCTTGCGCGAGGAAACCCATTCTGGACCTGCAGTTTTGGCAAGAGGTAGTTTTGCCACACTGCACCAACTCTTCAAAAAACGATCCGGATATCGTTTTTGGTTACACGACGGACATTCTTCGGATCATAGGGGACTCCGCAACTTTGGTTGACGATTTCTTCAGCGATGCAACAACACCAGAGGCCTTTGTCTTGTCTCGGTATTGCCTCGTACAGAAACTCGTGGATTGCTGTAGAGACTTACCTTCAGCAACACAACAACCCTTCTGCCAAGACAGCCCTGGAGATACCCCGGAAAGCGGCAGGATACAAACGTCGAACGCCTGCATCGCGGCAGCGCTTGCCCACGGCCTGGCAACACAAATCTTCCTTCTCAGGGCGGACGATGGAGATGTGAGGACGAACTGGACCGAGCGATCTTCGAAAAACATTGTCGCCTTGGCAGACAAACTGGCAGAAGCAGTCTCGGCAGTGCCGGTTGATACGTACGCTTCCACGATAATGATCTGGCCCACGTTCGTTTTGGGATGCGAGTCTATGGCGGTCAGCTCACGTCGACATCAAGTAGAACGGTTGTTTGAGAAGATGTTTGCGAAACATGGACTTCTCAACATCTCGGTTTGTCTGGAGTTGCTTAAGAACAGGATATGGAAAATTGGTGATATACAAAAGGTTGCCAGCCCTGACGATGGCTCGAAATCTCCGGAGGTTTCTCATCAATACTCTCAAAGCCACTGGGTCAGGTTGTGTTGGGAAGAAAAGTTGCAGGTTTGCACGGCGTAAGGCATGTCGGATGTCATCGGCAAAGGTTGGCTGGGAATCTTGTACTTTGAATCGAAATATCCACGGAGACAGACAAGGCATGGGATTTATGATAATGAATACTGTATTTTTTGGTGTCTAATTACATGATATAAACAAATTTTGACTGGTGGAATGTAACTGTGACTGGCACACGTTAAGTATAGACATGAAGGAAAAGGGGTATCTCGCCGGTTTCCGTTGTAGTACAAATGATTCACTTCCCAACCTTTTTCGCCTGCTCCTCCAAAGTCCGAATGAGTTTGCTCTTTTGCCGAATCTTCTTGCCCCATTTAAGAAATATGAAAGGGATGGGCATGAGCACGACTTCGGCAACGCCAATTGTGATACCCGCGATGCGCGGGGTGAGGGCGGCGTACATGCTCTTGCCCACGATGACCAAGACGGCGCCCAAAATTGATCTGAAAACAAGATTTCCGGCAGAAGCCGAAGTGGCGTACATGCCGAACACGTTCGAGATGTACCCAGTGCCGTAGATGAAAACAAGGCCGAAGCCGTATCCAAAGGGAACGCCAGATAGAATGCTCCAGTAAAAAGGAATCTCCACAGGAAGGGACGTGAGTGCGAACATGAGCTGGCCTACGGGCTCGAGGACCGCTCCGATACAGATGAGAAGCACGGTAGCCTCGGGCTCCGGCTTGCCCGTGTCGGGGTTCTTGGGCTGGCGTTGAACAAGCTTCCGCAGCAAAGGCTCGGTTGCGAGAACAAGTGCGATGCCGACGAACACACCGAGAAAAGCGAGTCCCGAGATCGACGTAGACCAGCCTCGTTCGCCTTGGAAGATGATAGGAAATGCGACGTATGCCAGTTGAACGATGGCATAGATGACGGAGATGTAGACGTTCCAGAATAGTAGTACAGGTTCGGTAAAGGACAAAATGAAAGGTCGCGAGACTGCAGTGCGGATTCTGCGAAAGAGCGGGACAGTGTCGTCGAAGTCGGACCAGTAACGAAGATCGTCTTCTTCCTTTCTCTTCTGCGCCGCCATCTTTCGCAAAAGCGTTGGGCGATATGTTTCAGGGATCGTCATAATGAAAGCAGCCCCCACAGCTGTTGAAATTAGCGACATCCAGTTCAGGGATCTCCAACCCCATGCCTCGACGAGGAAACCTCCCTATCTCACGCGTCAGTGGTCGATTCTATTTGATCATCGTCATAGATGCTACTCACGATGAGGGGTCCCAGCACGGGGCCATTGAGAGGTCCGAAGGAGTAAACGGATATCGCCAAAGGGAGGTACTTAGGGTCGGTGATGTCAATGATCGATCCAGCTACGTTGGAAAGCATGACACTTCCAGCGACGGCTCTAAGAGGCTATTAGCATTGTGATGCCAAGTAACATTAAGGGTGCAAGATGACTTACCCTAAGAAGCGCGCGACGATGACCATGGTGAAGTTTGTCGCAAGAGCAGCGATGGGAATGAGAGCCAAGAAGACGGTAAGACCTCCGATGTACATCGGCCTGCGGCCGAAGGTCTCACTGAGTGGTGCCATGATGAGAGCTCCCAGCGCCAGGCCGACAAGGTATAGTGAGATACCAAGCAGTGGCAATGACTGGTTGGTGATGCCCAGCTCCTCGACCATCTGGTTGATGCCACTCGAGTATGCCGTCGAGTAGATACCGGTGGCCAAGGTGGTGAAGGCGAACATGCCGACGACGAGCATCCGGTAGGCAACCGACCAGCACTTGGGGTCGTTTGGATCTCCAGGGTAAAAGTCCACACGGAACCCCTTCAGCGCTGTTGGTATATCGTCATCCTCGCTGTTGTCCTGTTGTTCGTATTTCTCAAAGTCCTTAACGTCGAAGTCGAAGTCGGGAACATAGAACGACCACCTCGGGGGCAGGTTCGTCTTCTCGTTGAAGACTCCATCGATGTACTCGTTGGCGACGGGGAAGTATGACAGTCGGCTTAGGCGTGGCAGACGTGAGAAACGGTCTTCAGAGGGAAGAGGGAAGCGTTGGCTTCTCCTCATCCACGAGCTTCGAGCATTGATGAAAGAATGCCGCGCTGGAGGCGGTCTAGGTGGAAGAGGAGCAAATCTGGTCTGCTTTCCCTGCTGGTTCGGTGGGAAGAACTGTAGCCTGTCCGGGTCAGGCACTTGCAGCGACATGATTGTTGGCTCATGGGGGGGAAAGAGGAGGGAAGCTCAGTCGACGATGGGCCTCATTGAGTGATAACTGCAGACACTAGGAATGGATGCCCGCTCAAGACCCGGTCCGGCCCTATCAGGAGGGGACGGCCGGTTGCCCAAGGGGCGAGAAGCGCCCATTTCGGCTCGTTTCTTGTGCAATGCATGCCTTGGACAGACAATGATAGCGGCTAATACTCAGCCTACCCACATGGGGGTACGTCAAATGTCGTCAACGTAGCCGCCCAGCTCGGGGTGGCTGATGAGCTCTCTCCTTGGGGACCCCGGCTCCGAGGATCAACGGGGGCCTCCTGTTCGCGGATCGGCGCCACAGCAGCGGTGCCCCGGGCATGATTAATTTCTCTGAGAGCTCCTGAATCAACTATACGTCGTGACCCCACCATCGGTCGACCGCAGCAGACCTCGTCCCTGGGACTACGCGTCAAACCCCACGTGCCGTGACAGCTGGTGTTATAATACTCTGTTTTAAGGACTGTGATCGGGTATGCCGTGGGTCTCGCTGATCGAGTCAATGCAACGGCGCCCAGCTTTCGAGAAGGGGGACCAGGAAGCCCCTGTCGGTCGATGGTCCGCGCCCCCTAAATTTTCCTTGCTCTGCACGGGCGATCCTCATGCAGGGGTGAAGGCGGCGGGATGGCAGCAAAGTCCAGAGTTGATACCTGTTTGACAGGACTGATAGGGAGGACAAACAAGCAAATAGCATCCCAGATGCCGTGTTTGGGACGCCGTTGGAGAGAGATTGCAGTGAGTTCATGGGAGTGGGGACCCTCTCTCGGTTCTGCAGGCAAGCCAAAACAGACTCATGGAGAGCTTGTGAGACGCTGGTGAGTTATCGATGAGATCTCTTGCAAAAAAAGCAAAGCTCTTTGCCCACCAGTCTGTGGCATGCTCCGCAAAAGAAACTTATCGTTTTGGATTTCTGGGGTTTGAGTGCTGTCCTGTCGGTATCACGGCACGTCATTGTGCTTCATGATGGCTTATCGGCATGGTAACACGGCATTTTCTAGAAGTCGCGGGGAACTGAGACGTCGTGAATGAGACAGTGAGACAGCAGCGAAAAAAGAAATGATGAGACGTATTGGGACATGTGGGATGTTTACCTGAAGGTTTGCCAAGCTGATTATCTGGATTTCGGTAGTCGGCTGAAAAGATGTTGAACCGTGTGTGAACTCAAATAAATTACATTCCGACACTGATGCCAAGCCTCTGGCAACGACATATGATAATTGGCAATAGCACCCATAACATCTGATCTACCTCGAAGGCGAAAAAGAATCAATAACGAAATTATGACGCATCGCGATATGAAAGCTCTCACATCATAGTACTTATGAAACCAATATGGTGGCACTCTTAGTCAAAATAACTGTTGATCATTGAATTTTGTGGTATCCAAACATCTGAAGAAAAGTCTATGAAGATATGGCAGTCCATGGAAACTGAACAAATGAACCCCGTCCAAAGCTGTAATGTAAATGTACAAGAATGTGGAAATCATGAGAGTTTTACACTCTGTCCGCTGCAAGAATCGAATCCTGTGCCCGAGAACGCCCCGCCCGTCAAGAAAGAACTTGCACAAACACCTCAAAAATCAGATCGCTCATTTTGTCTTGAAAGCCTGGCCAATAGCGCCGCCGGGGTGGTTCTTCGCGAACACGGAAGACACCGAGGAGTACATTTCCTTGGAGGCAACATATGCCAGGGCGTCACCGACGGCGATAGCCATGGTGGTTGAGGTGGTGGGAGCAGAGACGCCGAAGGTCTCCTTCTCAGACTCGGGGATAGGAGCAGGAAGAAGAATGAGATCTGGGCGTGCCTTGGCGATCTCGCAGGTCTCCATGCGAGTGGGCGATGTGAGGAGGATGAGAGGGCAGTTCTTGTTGAGGTGAGGGAGCAGGAGCATGAGCTCGGGAGTCTTGCCGGAGAAGGTGATCATGATCAGGGTGTCGTAGTCGCCGACGATACCAAGGTCGCCGTGCAGAGCCTCGGTGGGGTGGAGGAAGACAGCTGGAATTCCCAAGCTGCTGAAGGTGGCGGTGAGCTTCTTAGCAATCCAGCCAGACTTGCCGACGCCGATGAAGACCACCTTGCCGCGGTGATCGCGGTGGCGGGTGAGGGCTTCGATGGAGCGGAAGAAGCCATCACGGCAGACGCGCTCTGACGAGTAGAGCTGCGTCAGGGCCTGAAGGGCGTTGGCTTCAGTGCGGAGAACGTGGATGGCACCGTCGAGACGATCTTCGTACGAAGCGCGGCTAGTGCGATCTTCGACGGTGGTGTCCCTGAGAGGAGATCTGGGCATGGGTGACTTGGGGCCGCGAATCTCGTAAGATTTGGCGAGGCCGACGTTCAACTCTACAGGGCCGCGGCTGCGCATGCCCATAGCAGATCCAGAGCGAGGAGGAACCATTTTGGCTGAGTGTGATATGGAAGAAGGAAAGAAGAAACGAAGCGCTTGTGATGAGAAGGTGAAGCAGACGAGAGAGTCCCGCTCAAGCTGTTGAATCAATCCTGTTGATGTTTGAAGAAGAGGAAAATGTTGATGAGTTGAAAGCTGATGATCTCGAAGTCGATGATGATGATGATTAACTCTTGATGGAGTGAGGAGATCCGCTCTTTAATACTGATCAAAAGGGAGCTCGCCATACTGCTCCTCCCATTATTATTGATATCTCCAGTTCTGGCTAGAAGAGTTGGTCGTTAGGCGTAAAGCGGATACTCATATCCATGCACAGGGAGGTACCCAGCATGAGCCTATCATGGGCGATCTGCCGTCAAGTTCATGACAGTGGCGGTGGTCTTCGGATGAAAGCAACGGTGTAGCCCAGGTGAACCATGCTCACCGTCGGGGAGCAAACGAGAAGGCCTTCATTTACTCAGGACATGCACGTTTGGCCCGGGAAGGAGCTGACGAAGTTGCGTCTCGAAATAGTCCACAATAAACAACGGGCCAAGACAGAGACCATTTATCCAATGGCAACCTGACGCGAGGGCTTGTGCGCACCGGGTGACAGGCATATGCCGGGCTTAGCATGATCGCAGCCACCTCACTTCCGCGATTGTGATGTTGTTATCAGGTTCCACCACGGGCCTATAGCTCGATTTGTTCGAGAGAAAGACGTCAAGCCACAACCGACAAGGGAACGTGGGGTGTAGATTTCGTTCTGGGCCAGCATCTACTTGCGTCCCTGCATGCCGGCAGAGGAGACTGACAGGCTGCGTCTGCAGGCTTGGCTATCTTCTCCAAACCGTCTTCATCTCCGTCTAACCAGGAGTCACTTGAGATCTATGTCCAGTTGGACGGTCTAGTCACTCCCTAGTTCGAACTTTAATGGCCATCAATCTGCGCTAAACGCATGTCTCCGTAGATTGCTTCTGCAGTTTCTAAACGCCCGTCAAGTCCTGTCATTCGACGACGCCATGGCCGCGCCAAGTAGCCGCCTGTTGGACATAGAAGCGTCTACTGGGCTTCACATGTGTCTGCGGGACACACGTGGTGCCCACGAGCAGAGAGGGTGAGCGTCAACTCTGCCCTGTTACAGTCCCCTGACTTGCGCGCGCGCGCGCGTTAAACCTCATCCGATTCTTTTCGGACGATAACGTCTGTTCGCCATTTTGCTTTTGTCTTCTTCTAGAAGGAGTAAAATCATGTCCGTCTGAGACCGTTCCTGTCTCAATCTGCAGAGCTAACAAACGTTGCAACAACATATCAGCCGCACTAACGGTGGACGACGCAAGACAAATGGGTCACGTCATCCACTCGTCGATGACTAGGCGATTATTCATTGAAACGCGCATTTTCCAGCAACTTGCGTGCGCACGCTAAGTGCGTGTGCCGCCCTCCCCGGTGGGTGCATATGGGAGAAAAGGAGCCGCAATATGGATTTGGGGGTCCCTCCTCGCCGCCACGGGAAGTGGATGACGGAAAGTCAGCTCTGGTGGAGGCAACTAGAGAAGAAGAAAGTTACGACGGCGCAGCGCTAGGAACAATTTTCGCAGTTGGGCAGCTTTAACCGATAGATGGCGCCCAGAAAGCTACTCTGGCTGAGCCACAAGGTGATGTGCCATATTGGCATCCATCCCTTCCAGCCACAGAAGGCCAAGAAGGAAGAGAGCGAGCAAGAGTCAGTTTCAAGTCCTGGTCGAGTCGTTGGCCCAGGACCATCCTGACTGGTGCCGGGGTCAGGGGTATCGATGTCCATGGCTGGACCCGACCCTCTGGTCGGGAGGGGCCGTCTGTGCAGCAAGATCCAAGGGTAGGGCATCCCTGATTGCCCCGAGAGGTTGAGATTGCACACAATTGTTGTGCCTCTGCCAAGCGGTTGTGCCGAGGGACAGGCACTCTGGGCCTCAAGGGACAGAGAGCTGCAAACCTCGAGAACACAGCACATGATAGGTCAATCGAAGCTCTCCTGCATCTTGGCAGCTTGGCTGGGGCATCATTCAGATTATCTGCGCTGTTTTTAGTCGGCTGGGGGTTTATCTGAAGTGCTCGATCTCTTGCTTGGCACTGATTGCTCTTCGTCTGGTCTTTGAGTTGCAGATCGGCGTCAGAGTCGCAATTGGTAAATCTCAGCCAGTGCAACTCGAGACTTGCGGATTTCCCTTCTGATTGCCCTAACCTTCTCACTCATGTCTATCTAAGTCTGTACTTTGGCTCCTGCGTCACTCTGCGACTGTCAGAGTTGGACCTGCAGAGGAGCTAACAATATCTGACAGGTAAAAGCCGCACTAACAACTGCCGTCCCAAACTGTTGTCACAGCTCTCGTAACACGCCAGAAAAAAACGAGATGACACTGACACTGACATGGTGATGCGGTTCGGACGGAGACCGCGGCACCTCCGTCCGCCATTGCCGTCTGCTTCCACTGCGTGCCTTCGCATGCTCGCTGACGAATCAAACGGCCATGCTGAAGTCGGCCTCCGAGTCCCTCGGTTTGTTCACGTTTTGAGCCCACAAATGAGATAAGCCTTCAAACGGATTCAGAAAATTGGAGAAACTGAGCAAACCCCTATGCAGAGAAACCCAGCATATGCAGCGGCCATTGGTCAGGATTAGACGCCTCCCACAGGCAAAGCTGTAACGCTCCACCAACATCAGCATCTCCAACCAGGCCATTTGGGCCGCACCATGCCAACGGCCCAGTCTTTTTTCCTGCTCTTTCCCATGTTGGGTTCGACCGTTGCTCAACTGCCGAGTTGGATGAGTGGACCGAGTCCAGTTCTCTTAATTCCGGGGCAACGGGTCGGTTCCGTCAACTCCAAGGGCGCCGCTCCAGACGTCTCCGTCCGACTCCCCCGTATTGACCGGACCCGGGGCAAGACTCAGCAGCCCAGCTCGACGGAGCTGTCAGAGCTGCCTGCAAACCCTGATGAGTTTAATTGCGAATGCCTGTGATTGCAGAAGTTCTTTCCGGTGGGCGGCCAATGCCACTTTGACGGTAGCCCCTTTTTTGGCATTAAGACGTACTATTTTGAACACTGAAGTCGTGGTCAACCGCGTCAATATCCGCCACCGGCCGTGATAGTTGACGTATGGAGTTCATCTGACGTGGCCGTGATATAGAAAAAGCTTAGAATCTACGGTATTGACGCGGCTGGATGCTACGTTGGCAGAGTTTTTTTCTTCGCCCAGTTGTTTGTGCTAAGCCTTCGGTTAACCCGCTGAGTCGGGATGTGGGGGTTATCCCATGGGAAATCCTTTCGCCGTTCACAATGCATGACTGGAAACGCGGCTCAACTGCCAGTTTCACAGCTGCGGTCCACAACAGGCGCCAACAGCGTCCTCTTTGACGAGAAATTCCCACTTGTTCTGACCCTGCCAGGTCGACGTAGCGGCTCGAGCTTGCCGCGCGCCGCCGTCGCCGCGTATTTTCGTAGCAACCCGATCATTCGGATGTCTGCTATTGTCCAGGGAGAATCGAAATATTGCTGAGGCTCACGTCAACTTCATCGGATAACCCGTCGGAACGGGACAGACATGGCCTTGCGACATGCCCTGGAGATCGCTTAGCCCCTATCGCACGACGGACTTCCAGAATTCGGCAACACCAAGCCGGATCTTCATGCAACTTCTAGAATTCCATACCTTAGAGTTTACACAGAAGAACCTCTATCGATATGATTGCCATAATGTGTTTTGACTTCTCATAAAATATTATAAAGAAAACATCGACAAAAATAACATTGATCATCTGAAATGAGAAACTTCGGCGATATTTGCGGCAACGTGTTGCATATGCATATTTCTTTACTCGATCACGGTAGTCCCGGTCATATCAGAGATGACAATTGATTACTCTCAATAACTCGAGGCATTACAGCCTTACGGAAGTATACAGCTTCCAGTCTGTCGTGTAATGACTAAATTTCATCCCAACTCTACCAATAGAACGTCAGCGGCACGGGAGCCCTACTGAAAAATCAAGGAACGCAAGATCGATGAACAGTAGAACATACGAGCGGCATTGAATTAGCTGAAGATCAAACCTGGCGAATGCCGACCAACCGTCGGGCTGCAGTATCTGAAGCCCTCGACGTCTTCGCTTACTGACGTGCTTCGAGGTCCAGAAGTCTCAACTTTGTTTTTTCCCTTAAAAACTGAAGTCCAGAAGCCCAATTCCCTAACCAGCGGCCTACGAACCCATGCAAAATTAAAGGGCGACGATCCGAAGATCTAACTGGGGTGGGGGGGCTGCTGCATGCAACGCAAAACGTCTTTATCTCCTAGCACGTTAGATTTCGCCTCGACCCTTGTAAGGGGGGGGGACACCGCAAAAACACCGAGGCCAAGTCCGGAGCGACTGCGGGTGCGAGATTCCTGATTGAGAGAAAGCAAGCTGGAAGCCCCGGATTTCAATCTAGTTGACAACATGCCAAGCTGGATCAACAGAGAAGCGATCTTCGTCCTGCGTCTTGTCGGCGACCTATTCGGGGCAACGACGCTGTCGTTGAGATCTAGATGATGTGGGCAAGTGTTTTAGGCAGATTTATGATCAACGGTCTAGACATGTCGTCTTTGCGTGGAGGCAAGAAGTTAATGAATCTTGTTTAATCTCAGTCGCTTTTCATGAATAACAAGCAAACATGAATGCCGTCTAACGTCTAATCGCACCGCCTTTGCGCCAAATTTGCCCAGCAGATGCGGAAAGGGACAATCTCTCCTAAGTTATCCACTCAATTTCACTCCTGCTTCTCGGCTTGCGGGCGAAGGCCGTACACAGTAGTACCCCGACCAGCATCATGTCTTGTCCTCTCAACCTCCTCGAACTCGAGGGCAGGCAGGTTGGGAGCAAGGACGTGCTGACGGTGCCAGGGCCCAACGAACAAACCGTCGGGGTCCGCCTCATCGCGGACCCGTCGCCACTGGGTCAAGTCGTCCCCATACCACTGCTCGAGCTCCGTGTTCTTGACGGTAAAGTTCTTAGCCCAATGGGGCTTGCCACCAAGGTCGCGCATGAGCCATTCGAAACCCTGGAACCAGCGCTTCAGACCGGGAGGATCCAGGTCGTAGGGACGGTACATGGTCGCGTTCAGGTTCAGCGTCGGTCCGTCCTTGATGGTGCTGTCGAGCCACGGGCGGTTGCGCTGCTCGGCACTGGTGTGGACGTTGGCGTCGCATACGCGGACCTCGACGGGAGAGTGGATGTAGAGGCCCTCCGCGGAGTACGGGATGCCGTGGTCAACGTAGTAGGGGTCACCCGGCTGCAATTTGTTGATCCAGGATCCGAGACGCATGAGTGCTTCCGGACCTCGGTGGAGAGGGATGGCCCACTCGTTCACATACTGGCTATACAGACAGTTCATCCACAGAGCTTTGTCCATAGGTTGGATAGCTCCGGTGGTGTAGCCGTCGTTGAAGCCGTACTGCATGCCAAAGACAAACCTGGAACTGTCAGCATCCGTGTGTTCGCTTATCAGTCGTCATCTAGACTTACCATTCAACCCATGGCAATATCCGTGGGACGAAGCGCGACAGGTAAAGGAGATTGTGGTAGATGTGATAGCCGAGAGATCCATCATAGTAACCGACGGGAGGGTCACGGTTCTGCTCCCTTCCGGATTCGAGGTCCTCCTTCGTGACGATGTCGGCCTTCCAGACTACCGCTCTCCTGGTATAAGGCAGCCACCACACCCGCACAAAGTCGGACTGAGTCCACAGTTTGTTGTTCTGCTTCCAAGCATCCAACATGGTGGTATCGGCCTGGATGGTCTGTCTCCACTTCAGACTGAAAGCAGGGACGGCTCGGAAGCTGACTTCTGTGATGATACCCAGAGCTCCCAGGGACAGGAGGGCGCCGCGGAAGAGATCCGGGTTCTCATCCGGCGAGCAGTTTACCGTCTCGCCGCTGGCCAGGGTGATCTTCAAAGAAGCAATGGCCTCCGAGATCAGTCCGTATTTCAGGGTGCTGCCTCGGGTGCCAGTGCTGATGACTCCGGCGATGCTCTGCTCGTTCACACTCCCCAGGACAGGGAATGACAGACCGTGCTTGTTCAGCTCCTCGGTCAATTGCCAGAGCCGGATACCAGCTTGCATAACCACAAGTCCAGTCTCCTCTGTGCAAGGTCAGCGCATGACTGAGGTTGATTGAGCGGGCTCACTTACCGTCAATAGACAACACTTTCCTGAAGTCATCGAGGTTGACCAGCCAGTTACTCGTGCATGTCAGGTCTGAGGGAGAATGACCGCATCCGACCGTGGTGATGCGACGCCGACACCTGCGAGCGAGCTTGATTGCCTTCTCAACTTCCTGCTGCGACTGAGGCTGGATGTACAGCTCGGGTAATGAGGAGAACGTGCGAGCCCATGTGCTGTGGAAGTGAGCGGCGCGGGCCCGGAACGGGACGCCATCGGCGGCCGCATCCTCGATGATGCCGCGAATGTGCGGCTCGAGAGACTCAACAGCAGCCATCTTGTTTGACAAAATGCTAAAGATGCAACACAGGAAAGAGTCACATCAAAGAAAAAGAAGCCAGATATCTTGAAGATCAAGACGGGGGCTGTTTGTATGGCTCCTCGTCGGTGAAGGATGTGAGGGAAAAACCTGAAGCATGTTCGAAATATTGAGGCTAACGACGGATTATATTACAATCCTAGTTTAGCGCCCGTTATGGAGACTCACTGGATTCTGGTTCGATTCGCAGGGATCGGGGTCCAGAGTGGATGACGAGTCAAGGGCCCGTGGCTTGAAGTGGCTCGTCTCAGATGAGCATGGATCTATCATGTATCCCGACCGCCACTTATGCCGGCCGGCGAGGGCCGGTAGGAGACAGATTGAAGGCCGCACGGAAGCAAGGGTCATGATTTTTTCTCATTCGGGGTCCTCGTCACCCATGTTTATCAGTTGTGGCAGGTTGAGACGAGCTGACACGTGCAATCTGGCAGTGAAAGTCGACGGTTCTTGGCCTAACGAAGCCACGCATGAACTCCACACGCCACCGGCCTCGTAAGTATTGACGAGAGTCGAGGTCTGAGTCGATTCAATGAGTACGCGGCTTGGCCTGGGCAAACCAAACCGGGAGGACGGGTTCTGGGTACGCTAGAACTACCGGCCGCCGGCAAGCCCAACAACACGCCCACATATCGATTATGGTTAATAACACATTGTTCCTAGTCCAGGAGTTGGAAGACCCATTCAATCTTTTTAGACCAGACTCGCTCACCGACCTTGTCGTGACCCTCTCATATCAACTAGCAAACACCTCGATCTCTCGACTTAAGTCCAGCCACTGCCTGAGCGAGATCCCGTCTTCATCTTCGTGCCATTTCTCTCCCAACATCGAACCATCCTTCCCCGTTTCTGGTCTCATTTCCTATCATCCACATTCACATCATGGCCACCACTACAAGCCATAACCCGGCCACCAGGCCTAGCGTCGCCTCCGTTCTTCCTCCCCTCTTCCTAGGCACAGCAACCTTCAACACCCAACATGTCAAGGACCCTCTTCAGATGCCATACAGACAAATTGTCTCAAGGGCACTGGAGTTGGGAGTGAACGGTTTCGACACATCACCATACTACGGCCCTTCCGAAGTCCTGCTCGGTGATGCGCTGGCCGCTCACACGGCAGCCACGAACATCCCCAGAGAGTCCTATGTGCTAGTCACCAAGGCTGGCCGCATCGCCGGCAATGAGTTCGACTACTCCCCGGCATACGTGCGGTACTCTGTCCTCCGCTCCCTCAACCGCCTCAACACGACCTACCTCGATCTCGTGTACATGCACGACGTCGAGTTCGTCTCTCCGTCAGAAGTTCTCGCCGCTGTCCAGACATTACGACAGCTCCGCGACGAGGGCAAGATTCGCTTCGTCGGAATCAGCGGTTTCCCAGTCCACGTCCTCTGCAGCCTCGCAGAGATGATCCTCGCCGAGACCGGTGAGCCTCTGGATGCCATCCTCAGCTACGGCCACTTCACCATCCAGAACCCCACGCTCGGCTTGTCCGAAGTCGTGTCCGGACCCAACCACACCGACGACCAGAGCCCTCTGAGAAGGTTCCGCAACGCCGGCGTGCAAGTCGTTCTCAACGCCAGCATGCTCGGCATGGGTCTGCTTACTCACACCGGCATTCCCACCAACTCGGAACAGTCAGAAGGCAAGGCGGGTGTCATCGCAAAATGGCACCCGGCTCCCGATCAACTGCGAAGTGCGTGCAAGAAGCTCTCCGAGTTTGCGGATGAAGCTGGCGAGCGGCTGGAGACGATCGCTCTTCATTGGTCGATGGAGGAGTACGCCCGCGTTGGCGCCTTGGCTGGACTTGGCGTTCAATTGCCTGGTCAGGGGGATCTGCGCGTGGGTGGCAGTGTCATGGGTGTGACAAACGTTTCTGAGCTTGAGCAAACGGTGCTTGCGTGGAGCAAGGTGCTTGAGGGGATGGGGGCTAGCACTGAGGCTGGCTCGGCCGAGAACTATGAGAAGTTGAAGGCGTTGGTTGAGCAGAAGATGTGGCCGGCGCTCGGTGAGTGGAAAGGATACAGCTGGGCCAGTCCTGATGAGGGTTTCCAGAATGAGAGAAGTGCGGACATGATGGGCGTGATACCCGAGGAGGATGAGCTCATGAAGATTGTTACTAGAATTTCCAGCAACTTGTAAGCGGTGTTTTCATGAACCGGTTTCACTATCAAATGACCTAGCGCTCGAATTTCAGATTTCAATTACAAACGACTCCTCAACTAGATGAAATACAGTGGTCGTGAGCATGTAGACTTGCTAGCCTATCAACGACGTCAACGTGGAATACATGCAGTGTCATGAAGACTGTGTCCACATGATTGGACCACAATTGTCGCGCTGCGGCACAGCCTCTGATCAGGCAGATCTCGAGGCAGAGCCTCCGTCAGCTTTCGACCTGACGACCTACATCTCTTCTCATGCCCCCGGACCAAGTCTATACCGTCTGCTCACCTTCTTCCACACTTACATTCTTTCATTCACGACAGCTCGTATCAACAAACGGCCATGGCCGATCCATTTAGCCTTGCCGCGAGCATATTTGCGACTATTCAGATTGCCGACCGGGTCGTGACTCTCTGTAAATACTACATTGAGACAATACGAGACGCACCAGCAGACCTTCGTGCCATTCTACTAGAAATCTCGACGCTGAAGACGATTTTTGAAAACATCAAGTTCTTAATCGACTGCGACAATGGACAATCAGTGGCACTCAAAAGCTTGGATGGCGCGTTCGGCCCAATCGCAAGCTGCGAGAAGGCCATGCAAGAACTTGAAAGCCTGTTCTCAGTCAAGAAGATGCGAGATCGACCACGCGACAATTCCAAAAAACGCAAAGCTCAAGCTGCCCTTGCCATCGCTGCCCTGGCTTGGCCACTGAAAGAGAGCAAAGCAAAGAAACTTCTTGATGAAATCAAATCAATCAAAAACACGACTAGTTTGGCAATAACAACGGACACTGCGTTAGTCCTCCAACTCCACATAGCCGCTTATTTTGACATGGAATTTAGACATGGTATTCTCAATCTACGTCAAAAGACAGAGAGAATTCACGAAGTCGTCACCGGTAAGGCTCATGATAATTCTTCATCGTTTGGCCGCACGAAAATTGACTGAGTGGGCATTCAACAGAATCACAAAAATGGCAGGTATACAAGTGGCTGGAAAGCATTGATCCTTCGTCACTTCACAATCGGGCTCTGCGCAACTATGAGCCCGGTACGTGTGATTGGGCAGCGCGATTGCCCGAATGGTCTGAATTCCTCGGCGGAACCCGGCGGTGCCTTTGGATTCATGGAATTCCTGGTGCTGGGAAGACCGTCCTCGCATCCCAGCTAATCAAGAGGATTGAAGAACACTGTGCTGATTTGGGATCTGCTCAATATCTGAGTGCTTTCTATTACTGCCATTTCAGCCATAATCAGGACGAATCTGCTTCTTTTCTAAAGTGGGTTCTGAGTCGCCTGTGTCGGCAGGGAGATATCGTGTCAGATCGCCTCTGGAAACTGTTCAGATATGGCGGGACCCCGACTCTAACAGATCTCCTAGCGGCAATTGCTGAGATTTTGAAGAGCTACAGCACCGTATTCATAACGGTCGATGCCGTCGATGAGAGCAATCCTCGAGAAGATCTTCTCAAAATCCTTAGGGATCTCGCAACGGACTCGAGATTTGCTAAAATCCGACTGCTTCTTACTAGTCGAGAATACCTTGATATAGAGGTAGTTCTCAATGAATTTTCAACACCCATATCGATGAGGAATCCCGAACTCGACGCTGATATTGGGCTCTACACAAAGTCGCGACTGGGAAAGGAACGTCGTATGCGGCAGTGGCCGCAGGCCGTTCTTGAAGAAACTTACGAGGCATTGACCAAAGGGGCCAAGGGGATGTGAGTAAACCACTATCTACTGGAAGCAAGAAACATTGTACTGACGAAAAATTAGGTTCCGTTGGGTCGTTTGCCAGATCGATGTATTGCGGCGCCTTAAGTGCGATGCTACCATAATACGACGAGAACTAGGTCAACTTCCTCGAACTCTCAACGAGTCCTACGACCGAATTTTTCGACACATCCCGGATGAAGATCTTTTAATTGTCAATTCTGCAATGAGATGGATGTGTTTCGAGGTGAGAGTGGGAGAGGAAGAATCCATTCCTCTGAATGTCCTGGCCGACGCCGTTGACGCCGACCTCGAGACATCTCCTCAACAAAACTTACTTCATGACGCCGAAAGTCTCCGCGAACTTTGTGGGTGTCTTCTCACCATCACGCCATTAGCCTTGCCACATGGGGAACAATGCCTGATGGTTTCATTCGCTCACTACACCGTTCTCGAATACTTGACTTCCGGCACAAGGCATCAACCAGACGCGTATTTCTCAATGGAGACTAGCTTGCTAGTTCTCGAGAGGTCGAAAATCGTCCTCGTCGCAGCTCTTAGCGTCAACGAGAACGATATTTCGGAATGCTCAAAAATTTCGGATGGAAAGGCGTCTGAAATTCGGGAGCTCCCTACTTTTGGATCCCACTGCGCCTTCCTGGCGCTACGAATTATAACGAATTTCAACGACGTCCTCTCTGAGGATAATGAACTAGCTAATTTAGTATACGACTTACTTGACGAAGAGAAAGCTCACTGGCCAGTGTTCGAGAATGTCTTGAACTTCATTTGGGGTTGGCTGTGGGAGGTTTTGAAAAATGCAGATCAGGTATTGCAACCCACATGGGAAGCATTGCCAGACGCTAAGATCCACGTTCTGATGCGGCTACTTCTCTTAGGCTGTTTGGGTCTTGCTGAAAAATGGATGCAAACAGGGGATTTACGGGCAGTATTCCAAGCACGCATCAAGTTCAAATACTTGTTCGATAACCCATGGGATGAAGGCGACCTTACAGAGTGGAGTTTCCACGGCTCCATTACTGACTGTTTTGCTGTCGTTGGGCCCGCGATTCAAAATTACGAAGCCTTTAGACTGCTGTTCAACACCGGTGCTGGGATATTCGACCCACAAAGCACTCTGCTGTGTTTCATGGGCATCCACAATCGCGTCCACGCAGAACATTGTCAGGACTGGTGTGTTCTGGAAAGGCTGTTGAGTCTCGGCGCTGAACCAGACTTCGCAGGTTGTCGCGTCACCATGTTGCAGATCGCGGTTGCAACACTTGACGTAGATGGCACAAGAACTTTGCTCGAGGCAGGCGCAGACCCAAATGCTCGGGGCTGCCCAGCTGCTTCTCCTTTGCCAGTGACAAACGGCCTACGCGTCTTTGACTGCATCAGTGGCATAACTCCTTTGCGAATATGCCGCTCGAAAGAGTCACTTGAACGATTTGGGTATTTGAATTCGTGGTGGTATATCACAGTATTGGACAGCGACTATGATGCGCAATTTATTATCGAAACCCTGCTTCTTCAGTACGGAGCGGAGGAGTAGCCGCCATGTCCTGTTTGTTGGCAATTATAGTTTGTATGGCCCCCAGGCTGCCGAGACGAATAACGACGCACTAGCTCACTCAGGCGAATTAGACTTGATGTACATTATCGTATCCTCTATTCGATGAATGACTACGTCTACTACGCGACCCGATTCGCAAACTGGTGCAGTGTCGGAATGACCACTTCAGTAGACTCCCGGCAGGATTCTCCACCTCACAGTCTTCTTGTACTTCTCCCAATCCTCACCATACTTCAGTGAGCAAGCCACATCATCGCGTCCCTCGCGGTGAATGAGCAAGATGGCGAAGTACAGCACATAGAAGTATGTGAAAATCATGCCCCATCCACGCGCAGCACCTTGAACAACCTGAGTTCCGTCAAGCATCGTGATAGCCCCAGAGACGGCACTGCCAGCGGGCAGAATGATGTATCCCGCAATAGCCGTCGGGGCACTGAATGGAGATGCTTGAAGCCAGTCGCCAAAATAGTTAATGTGACGCGACATGCCCCACCAACCACCAGTAAGAAGCCTCGTGCCGCGCTTAGTCTGGATGTAGGGCATGCCCTTGACGCTGGGGTGGTCCGGCTGCGTGCGGAAGAGCTTCTTCTGGGTGTTGGCAGAGCGGAAGATGTACAAACCGGTCGCGAAGACGGCAAACACGGAAGCGATACCAGCCCAGCCCAGGTGAACGGGGTAGACGGAAAGATAGCGGGTCTGAGTCGAGTAGAGGAAGGGAACCCAGGCAATGTCACCGAACGACAGCATAAAGCCCATACCGTCGGTGATGATATCCATCATGGTGAGCACGCCGGCCTCGTAGTACTGGCCCTCGAGAACGTAGTACGCCTGCACCGCGGTCGTGAAGATGATGCTGTCGGACAGGTATCCGTAGTTGCGGTACTGCTTGGCGCAGAAGGCGAGGTTGAGGATGACCCAGCCGGTCAGGCCGGGGCGGAACTCGAACCAGGTCTTGATGTCGATCTCGCCGAACAGGGGCAGCGCGACGCGGGGGTTCAGCTCGCGGCCGATGTAGAAGTCGTAGATGAGGCTGCCGGTGTTGCCGCCGACGGCGAGCTCGCGGTTCTCGGCGTTGCCGGGCTTCACGCTGAAGCTGCAGACGTAGCAGTACACGGAGAGCAGGTAGCCGATGATGATATTGGCGGTCAGGAGCTGGAGATAGTTGTCGGAGATGAAGGTCCACACGACGAAGTCCGCGCCCTTGTAGTACGTTCCAGCGGCGAGGGCGGCGAGTTGGAGCACTGTGGCGCTGAAGGCTGGAGGAGAATCTTAGAAGCTGGTCATTTGAAATTCACGGAGAAAACTCACCATTGAAGCGGTACTTGAGAGGGCGGCCAGATTCCCTCAGCTTAGTTCCGAGAACTTCTTGGGCGGGAAGAACCACGTGAAGAACCAAGCTCAAGAAGTAGTAGGCAAGAGTCCAGCCAAAGACCTCCCAGCTGCAGAATCCCCAGATGCCATCGGCAGGCCAGGGAATCTCAGCCTTAAACTTCTCCAAGGTGAGGGTGCGAGGAGTCAAGGTGGAAGGCGCAGGGCAACCGGTCTTGTCATTACAGACGAAGTAGAAAGTCCACAGCAGGACGGGGAGTCCAAACACGATGCCAAAGGCACCCGGTCTGAGTAAAGCAGGTCAGCGGTGAGAAAGTTTTATGCATGAGTTGACGCGACTTACGGGCCTCCGAACTCGTATGTATGCTTCTTGGGAGCCATGATTGTCCCGAAAGTGTTCCTAGTTGAAACTACTCGAGTCAAACAATCATTGAAACAGCCGCCTTTTAAGTCTTGACGTGAGAGGTTGAAAAGACGTAAAGCGATGAAGCCACCACCGACGCGTCCGGGTACACCCCTTAATCCGTTGGGGCGGCGCGGAAGCAGATTTTTTGGCTCGTGCACCAACCAATTTCCCGTTGCTGGGGCGCGATCTCGCAGACGAGTGGTCCACGGCGCTCGGCGGGTGCGGTGCCCCGGTCTCGGCCCCACTCTTCCGTCGTATTCGGGTTCGAGCCGATCAGGCGATCCGGAAGACGCTGAGCCGATGCGGAGTTGGTGATTCGGAAGCCTCCTGTGCATGGCTTTTTGCGACGCATCATCTCCCAAGTCCCAATTCATGATGCCTTCCAAGGACTTGGCATTGCACTGCCTTCCATGAAAACCAAGGAAGCAGACGACATTGCCAGCCATGGAAAAGAAGAAAAGCCTCATTTCACGCACAGGTCTCTTCCAAACCACAGTAAGTGCAATTCCCAAGCACTTAACTCTATTCGCCATGGAAGGCTCTCACATATTGCTTTCTTTCTTGCATGACAGCTTCATAATCTTGAGCCGGCGCTCACATTTTCTCATTACTCATAAGTCTTTTCTTGCAACTACTGTACATCATCACAATCATCAACCTCTCATCGCGCCACAAACGCCTTTGGTATCATCCCCGTACCTAGTAAACCTTCTTCTCGTCATGGTGAGAGCACATCTTGCCGTGGCTAGAGGACTCGGACATCAGCTTCCAGCGGCGGAACTGCTGAAGCATACCGGCGCGGCCCCGGAGAACCGGGGTGGTGTCAGCGCGGGGAGGAACGCCATCGAGCGACAGGGCAAGCGTGGCAAGAGCGCGGCCGGCCGCCTTGGTGTTGACCGTAATCGCATCCCAGTTGATGTTGTCCAAGGTGTCGCAAGCCAAGTGGTAGCACGGGTCATTCTCGCCCTCTCCGGTGAAGATGGAGGCGGTCGGGATGCCCAGAGCGATGAAACCGGCGTAATCCGATCGGTCGTCGAACTCGGACCAGGTGACCGTCTTGCCGTTGGCCTCGAGGTAGTCGGCGAGGAGCTGGGGGCCGATGCCGCTGTTGTTGTAGCTGGAAAGCTCGTAGATGGGGTTGGGGGAACCGATCATGTCGTAGTTGAAGTAGTACTTGATCTTGTCCGCCTCCTCGGAGCTCAGGTTCTCGGTGTAATAGTACGAGCCCACTAAGCCGGCCTCTTCGGCTGCCCACCACGCAAAGCGGATCTTGTGGGGGAAACCGCTGTACTTCTTGACGGATCCCATCAGCTGGAGCAGTCCGGCGGTACCACTTCCGTCATCGTTGACTCCAGGGCCCTCGAGGACACTGTCGAGATGGGCACCGAGCATGATGACCTTATTCGGGTCACCTTCCTTGGTCTCGGAGATGACGTTCCAAGTCTCACGTTCCTCGAAGATAGCGTCGACAATGAGCGTGACGGTAACCTCCTCACCAGCAGCGAGCGAGGCAGACCAAGCCTCGCCGGTTTCCTCGGTAATGATAGCCATGGGGACGAGAAGACCAATGTTCTCCGCGCCGAGCGTGGGCTTGACAATATCGTCACCGGGAACATTGTTGTACAGGATCACTCCCAGGGCACCCGCAGCCTTCGCGATCTTAATCTTCTCCGAAATGGCACACACGCCGCGCTTGATGAGCGCAAGCTTGCCAGTGGCGTCGATGCCGTCGAGCGACCCGGGAAGGCACGCGGAGCCGTTCTCGTCGTCGACGGGGGTGTCGATGAGAGGAGCCGTGATGCCGCCGGGCAGAGGAGTGGCGGTGTTGTACTCGGCGCTGATGACGATGACATCCACGCCGTCGGGACCGGTCACGGAGATGGCGTTGGTCTGCTGGAAGGTGTGGTTGAAGGGCTGCAGCCAGGTGTCCATCTGCTTGGCGAAGCGAGTCTGCGCGCGCTCGAGTACGAAGTCGACCGAGGCCTTGTATCCCGGTGTGCCGAAAGCGCGGGTGCCGCCATTGTCGCGACCGATCTTGTTCAAGTTCCAGAGGACGCGCTCGAGTCTGTTACGTTGAAAATCGTCAGTTGATTGACCTCTTCGATGCATCGTCAGCGGCATGGGAAACTCACTCCTCAGTTTTGACGTCGGCCTCAACCTTGTCAGCGGTGAGAGGGTCGTTGGCTAGGCAGGTGGAAGCCAGCGCCAGAGCGGCGGCGGAGAAGTAAGTGGTCTTCATAGTGACAGACACTTGCTGGACTCAGAAACCGAAGATGAGACCGGGGACGGAGCTGAACCGGGTGAGCTTCAGAACACTCGGGCTCTTGGGAATTCATTCCCTCTTATAGAGATCGCCCGCCCAGGCCTTCCTGCATGCTCACTTTCTTTTCCCACTCACCATACACTCCAATCGCAATTCACTATCGAAGCGACGCTGCACGGCGCAAAGCGGGAGCTCTTCACCCCAAGCTCGTAGCTCGCCCTGATCTTGGCAGATGCAGAAGTTCCCCAGCCCCTGGCCGAGAACATGGATCGGAGGGCGGGGAAGACGCAAGACATCGCGAATCAGAGGTGTCACCGACTGATAAGCATCTGCCCAGAAGTTCCGCCCCGAGTCCCGACGCGGTCGAGTTTCCACATTAAGTCGTGAGGTCGTGAGGGGCAAAGAACGGCGGCAGACCGCACTTTGGCCACGCAAAAGCTGGTGCGGTGCGCGGCGAAGACGCGGGACGCAACATCTTGGCTCTCATGTACGGCGCGCCGCGATGTAACCTCATAGGGCAGGTGCCAAGACATTTTCATATCGCGGGGTGATGTGTTTGGGCCAACAAGCATCAATTGAGAAAATGACCTGCCAATCTGGCTCGTGTGCCGGGCCAACAACATGGGTCTTAATCAGCTTGATCGGTGTTTTCTGGAATCTCAATTGAACTTGTTCAGTCGGGGTTGCCGGAGACTGCACACCAATGCTCAATTTTGGATTCGCCTTCTTCGTTTTGTGCCTGTTGACTTGGCGTTTGCTGCATCATGCTTGCTGCCAAGACGTGGTATCAAGGGTAAATCGGAAAGCCGGCTCACTCTCAGATAACTGGGACGAATGCAGAGACATATCATAAGTAGACTGCTCTCGTTTGGAAAATAGTTGTCATGTCTACGAACATGGAGCCCTGATTCAGATAAATACTATATCGGTAGCAGGCTTACACCATCGTAACATCCGATCCAGCTCCTCACTCTCGTCACGCCTATCATACCAATAGATGCCAAATCTCTCATACGTCCGCTCTCGTCCAGGAATCGGCCTCAACACCAAGAAGTTGTTTCGGTCAGGCCACATGTCTCCCCAGTAAACAACCAAGACCTCATTAACCTCTCTAGCTTCTTCCTCTTCCATCATGTAGTCCATCTCAATCTGATAGCCATCCATGCCTTCCCCAGTTTCCTTGTTCGTGAGGGCATACGTCGGCGGTACTCCCTCAGACCCAGGATCAACCAACTCGGCACACATCTCGACGCAGCGCCCGTTGAACTTGATATACCCGCTGACCAAAGGCCCCGTCTCATCCGTCCCATCGGCAGTGACGCATTCCACCTCAGTGATTTCAACGTCGATAACCGAAGTCATGTCATAGTCCATCCTGTTGAAATTCCCAACAGACCCAAACACAGACAACCAAGACCAGCTCGGAGCGATGTACCTCGCTGGTCTCCGGTGAGTATTATAGATCTCCCAGCAAAGCTGGTGCGCAAGCGCCGACTCCCACACCCCGGCGAGGTAGCGGCCTCCACGCTTGGACCTAGCCGCCTGTCCCGCGATACCTGAAAGAGCGACGGCGCGGTCTTCGTCGAAGGTGAGGTCGAGGTTGGAGTACACCTCCGCGATGCGCATCCACTCGAACGGAAGCGGCGTCTGGCCCCGGAGCGCGGAGCCGGTGTAGTCCATTTTGAAGTTCCACATCGATACGATGCCACCGCATTGGCAGTCCGCTGCGCTGAAGCATTCCCACTTCAGTTCTTCCGTATCGAAGTAAACGACGCGTGGGGAGAGGAGACGTTCTTGGAGGACCCATCCTCTCTTCAGGAGAGGCCATTTGAAATGTGATGAATAGTTGCTGCCGAAGTCTCCATGTGTCCTGTAGGGTTGTTGTCGAACGAGGATATCAGGAGCTGAGGGGACGCTGTATGCTGGGTACTTCTGAGGCATGTTTCTTGTGACGAAGAGGCCGGCGTTTGAGTTGTTTCCGTGACTGGCTGCGATATTCAGATATGACTGTCCGTAGACCGTTTTCATCTGGACTGATTCTCTATGCCAATCATCAGGGTCGTCTTGGACGATACACAGAGTATCTATCCAAATGTAGTCTATGCCGAGTTGTCGAGTCACCCAGATTGCGTCTTGATAGGTTTTAGGGATGGAATCCCAGGGGATGTCTTGGCTTAGGGTGTCTGTGTTGGTCTTGGTCAAGACGAAGTGCTCGTGTTCTCCCCACCTGTGACTTAGCGTCGTGTATCGAGCTAAATGTCCAGGCCTGCTGATTACTCTGACTTGATTATCCTGTCAAGATACATGTGAGCTAAGACTAATGAGAGACGGGTTGGTGTCCTACCTTGACTTGGACAACACGTGTCGGTAACTTTGAGGCCGTGTCATCGAAGCAAGCGTGTTTGTGGTTGCAGGCGTCAATCCAAGCCTTTAGTTGACTGAGGGTTTCCGGCGAGTCGGTGTTGACAGTGGGATGGTAGTTCAGCGTGCTGATAGCTTTGCAGTGCGGTTCCGGCCCATCTGCTATTATAACGTGGTCATAATTAGTTCTTTCCCTGCCGCCAAACAGGCAACGCAACTTACCAACTGACGGTTCCCTCCACAAGTTGAAGTTCATCCAGTCCACAGCATTATCCGACGCCCGCGCTCGAATCACCCTCCGGCCATTAACAGTTTTCGGAGGGTCGAAGTCAAACTCGATGGCATCTTCGTCATGAGCAAGTTCCCGAATCACCCCATCCCGGCCGCCCTCCAGAGCAGGTGCTATGAGGGCTCTCCACGCCGTCCTGACCTCGGGAACCAGCATAGCGCTGACGACCGTAGCGCAAGTTTGACATCCCTGACCAGCGCTTTTGCGGAGGTCTCTGAGGGAAGGCGAGGGCGCGTGTTGGTATGAGACGTGCTTGGCCTGTTGACACGTGGACGGATCGCAGTCTAGGTGGAAGACTCGACAATGGCAAGGTTCGTCTGCCATAGTCTTGAGTGTGTTCGCAGGAAGGGTTGTACGAGGTTGGTATCAGATGCACCAGTGTCGGAATATCGCAGCTCTCTTGGAATCTGTAAAGGGTGGTGAAACGCACCACGAGGGAATTGAATGGGACTTTTTGACGCAGGTGCCTGATTTTCTAACTGGTAAGCGCTAGGCCGGTAGAGTTCTACTCTGTGGAGCTCGTCCATGTCCTCAAATCAGAATCAGTCTCGTGAATGGATTGAAAAGCTCCAACGATGGGTTTTAATCAGATAGCTTGACGTTTCGATGTCAGCCTAGAGCGTGGTTTTCAAGGTCTTGGGGGTTCAGACACGAAATAGTGAAGTAATAATGGGATGTTACTATGTTTCTGATATGATTCTGGATGAAAATCAGCCGCAATTCTCTATCAATTGACATTTTCCAAGCGACAATGTGCTTCCGAAACTGGTGTTTCGATAAGATGGTATCGCACGATTCACGAATGTGACCTCGAGAGTTACCAACACCGGCCAGGTTACTCAATACTCCTAACGGTATACTTGGTCATGTTTGGACTTGTAATCAAACCGCTATGGTCTTCGGTAGATTCAGCTGCTAGATCCAATCCTAATTCAAGTCAAAATTGCCCCTGCTGTTCGTGTCATCACTCAAGCAGGACATGATGAGTGGCTCACAGCAGCAATAACAACATGAATGCGAGCTGCAAGTCTGCCACTTTCATGACTATTGCTGGCCACCGAATCATGAAGCTTCAGTCAGCAAAATACTAATAGTAATATTGCTTTTTTCTAAGGCTGTCTTTGCTTCGGTTGGCTTGTCGAGTCGGACTTGAGATCTCAAGTATCGATGTACAACGCCTGCGCTTTTTTAAGTAGTACTTTCCACAGTTGTGAGGGTGGTGGTCAATAACCAAAACGACATTATTAACAAGAATACAATCAAAATGAAATTAGACAGGATGAGTGAAGTCCAATGAGATAAACTCAACATCCAAGTACCGGAGCGGATGGCGGCAGGTAAAAATGGGGACCGGCCGGGGCCACAGAATGACGTCGCGTCGGCGTCGGAGTCCACCATCGCAAATCGCGGCGCGGAAGCATCCGCCCTAGGGGATGTCGTCGGAGCGCGAGTCGGGACGAACGGCACCAAAAGCTTATCATTCCTGTGGATTTCGGGGGTTCCCTTAGTGATCCAATCTAGATCGAAGGAAAAAAAAAGTCGCCAAACCCGCCGAATTATCTCCCAAACCACCTTGGGCTTGGCTAGCGTGCTTCCCGAGTGCTCCGGCGGCGACTCCGTCACAACGGAACAACGACGTCATAGCGTGCTCAGAGCTCAGGCCCACCCCAGCTACCCTTGCCAAGGCATGTCGTCTCTTGCTCCTGCTCTTTAAGACCCGGCAACCAGCCGCATTCTTTTCATTGTTTGACTACACACGTTGATTTTCAGAGAGAGAAAAACAATACACATCACCAAAATGGCCGAATCAAAACCAACACAATCCGAAGTCCCGACCTTCTCACCAATCGACTATGCCAAGTTCTTCGGCGCGGGCGCCCTCGCGGCGACCCTCACCCACGGCGCCGCGACGCCCATCGACGTCGTCAAGACGCGCATCCAGGTCGACGACGCCATGAAGGGCCTCAACATGATCAGCGCGGGCCGCACCATCGTCGCCAAGGAGGGCGCCTCCGCCCTGCTCACCGGCTTCGGCCCCACCGCCGTCGGCTACCTCGTCCAGGGCGGCGGCAAGTTCGCCGGCTACGAGTTCTTCAAGAAGCAGTTCATCACCCTCGCCGGCGGGCCCGACAAGGCCACCGACAAGCGCACCGCCATCTACCTCGGCGCCAGCGCCACCGCCGAGTTCTTCGCCGACATCCTGCTGTGTCCGCTCGAGGCGACGCGCATCCGGCTCGTTTCGCAGAGGGGCTTCGCGAATGGTCTGACGTCTGGGTTCGCGAGGCTTGCGCGCGAGGAAGGGTTTAAGGGGTTTTACTCGGGGTTTGTCCCCTTGTTGTTTAAGCAGGTGCCGTACGCGGTGGGCCAGTTCTCGGTGCACGAGGCCGCGGTGGAGGTTATCTACAGGACGATGGGGCCCGAGAGGAAGGCGAAGATGACGCAGCTGCAGTCGACGGGGGTCGAGCTGGCGTCGGGTGTCGTTGCTGGTGTCGCCGCGGCGGTGCTCTCGCACCCGGCGGACACGCTGCTGTCGGCGATCAATAAGGGCGCGGGAGACCCGAAGCAGGGGGCGACGAGCAGGATGTTCCAGCTGGCGAAGGAGTTCGGTCCCAAGAGGCTGTTGTTGACGGGCTTGGGGCCGCGTATCGTCATGACGTGCGGTCTGGTGGCTGGACAGTTTGTCATTTACGCGCAGTGCAAGACGTTGGTGGGCGCGCCGGCGGGTATCGAGATTCACAAGGAGGAGTCCCTGTGATAGACAGAGACATCGGGTAGAGGGTAGATGGAGTTTTGGTTTTCGGCAGGGCGTTTGAGCGGGTAGACGAGACAATTGGTCTGTACTTTACACACATCTTTTTCCTAGTTCAGACGTTTTCAGATGATTCACTGGCCAACTGGGGTTATCAACCAACAATATTAGTCTTGATTGCGGCTGCACTGAGATCCGATTGCCTGCTCTGAAATCGCAGAGCCAGCCAAATGCGTCCCTCACACCAAGTTCACACCGCCTAGCTACTGCAACGCGAATAGCTTCCCTTACGTTGTATGGAAAGATTACGCGCGGACCGACCGTTACGTATGTCTTGAACCCTTCAAGTCTGGAGCATGGCCGGTGTCTCTCCTGACGTGTGACGAGTTCAGCATCCAGGAGAAGCCATGGCAGATGTCCCCAGTTTCCGAGTGATTGGTAGCGTATGGAAGGTATCGGATCCTGGACCATTTCCTTAAGGGTAACACTGCTTAAATTGAAGCTGACATCCAAAGCTTACACGTCCCACGTTGTTTCTTGACGTCCTTGGAGCGAACGAGCCTAGAACTTTGCGATCGAGACAGCGTGCTTACAATCAGGAAGTGACTGCCGTCCTGGTCGAACCGGGAGTGATTCAATGAAACAGATTCCTGGTCTGGACTGCTTCATCAATGGAAACGAGCGCACAAACACATCGTGAAGGAAGGCACGAGGTCTCAGCTCGGCAGGACCGAAGTCGAGTGGTCCCTTTCAAATTGAAGGAAGTTACAATGCGCCTTCCTCTTTCTTTCTCAACAGAGCACTCGCATTTCCATCATTGAAAAACTGCAAACATCCGCCATAACTTTTCTTTCAACATCTACAAAACCCCAAGACTAAACCGATCTCCCCTCAACCTCCCAAAACACCACCAAGACAGGCCACGATCCTCTCCCAGAGCCAACCACCACACCTCCCACTCCGCCAACAATGATCTTCACATCCATCCTCCTCCTCGTCCTCGCCGCGACCCTCGCAGCAGGCGAGTCATACACCCTAACAGCCCACGCCCCCGCGAACCGCGCCATCCACGGCGCCCGAATCAACGCAAGCGGCCGCCGCCTCCTCGTCGGCCTCGACGCCCCGTCCTCCTACTGCCCGGACCTCCCGCACATCGTCTGTCCCGCGGGGACCTCGACCACCGTCGACGAGGACCTCACGCACTTACGGGTACTATCCACGTCTTTCCATTCATTCTTTCAACCTCCCCCATCTCCACTTAAACCCGGTTGTCTGGTGTTCCATATCGTTATGATACTAGTGTTCCCCCCGACACTCCCCGTCCCGCTTTCGCTCTCGGAATCCCGACTAACTTCCCCCACCAAAACACAGGTCTCCACGCCCGGCGGCCAGGCCATCTACGTCGCGCCCGACGGCGTCGTCTCCTACACCGCCGCACACTCCGCCTACATGCCTCCGGGCTCCACGACGAAGGGTTTCTACGCGAAGACCATGGCCTCGTCGTGTTCCGCCGAGAGGACCGAGATGCTCGATTTCCTGTCCGTCGACGGCGCGGATAAGGGCCTGTTCGCGTGTCCGAACCCGGATCTCGCGGGGACGTGGGTGCTGGTCGCGGCTGGACGGGAGTCGAGGGCGTTGAAGGGTGATTGTGTGGTGTTGGAGGGGTTGGAGTTGAGGAGGAGTGAGGTTGAGATTGGGGCTTGGCAGTATTGAGCTCGTGGGCGAGTGAATGGCGTTGTTATTGTGTGATGGATTCTCATGTTTATCTCTGATAATGGGTTTTCGGCGGTACTAAGCCGGGGGAGGAACGTCACAGATTTTGGTAATTTTGGTGGATTCACTCGGTCAAACAGTAACGTGGTTTACAATTTGATGTTAGCGACAACCTCAAGATACAATAAAATACATCAAATACATCAGTCGAGCACGAGCTCGACGTCGAAATCCTTGGCCTTGAGCTCATACGCCGGCAGCGTGGCCGGCCCGCACGACCCCGTGCCGAGGCCGTGGTGCATCCAGTCCAGCCTCACGACCGTGTCCTCCCGCTTGCGCTTGTGCAGCTCGTACGGGTGCTTGCACTCGTCCAGGTCCTTGGTGGTGTAGTGCATGGCGGAGAAGGACGCGCCGTCCAGGTCGCCGAAGCGCGCGCGGACGAGCCTCTCGAGCGGCTTGTCCTCGTCCACCTGGCCGTTCTCGTCCGGCAGGCGCCCGCGGAACTCGACCCAGCGCACGTCGGTCCTGTTACCGCCGTCCTGGGGGAACTCGTAGTCAACGAAGAGGTCGTCGACCGTCTCCTCCCAGTTGCCGAAGGCCTGGGCGCGCTTCTTGTCCGAGTAGCTCTCGCCCGGGCCGCGGCCCCACCAGGCGACCTTCTCGACGCCCCTGATGCCGCCGGTGAGGCCGACGCGGGCGAAGGTGTCGGGGAGGAGGGGACCGTTGGGCTTGCCCTTGATCTTGATGTAGACGGCCTCGCCGTGGAAGGTGAAGGTGGTCCAGGTGTCGACGGCCCAGGCGAGGACGGGGGGCGCGATGCGGGAGTGGACGTTGACGACGAGGCCGTGCTTCTCCTTGCGCCACTCGACGCGCTTGACGTGGTGGCGGGTCTGGTGGACGCGGCGGTCCTCCCAGTTCTGGCCGAAGCGGCCGCCGCGGTCGTTGTCGGTGAGGGCGCGGTAGAAGTCCATGACGAAGGGCTCGGTGAGGAGCTCGAGGTGCGGGCGGGAGGCCTTCTTCCAGCTCGTCAGGGTGCCGAGGGTCGTGTCGAGGCCCCAGGTGGACTGGCCGGTCGAGGAGGTGATGGTGAGGGTCGATGCGTCGGTTTGCTGGATTGTCGGGACGGGGTCCACGAAGGGGTGGAAGAGGGTGGCGAGGATTCGGGCCATGGAAGGGGGCTTGGAGAGGGGGAGCTGGCCGAAGGCGACGCGGTGGCCTGCCTTGGCCCAGTTGGTGTCCTTCGTGAGGAAGAAGTCGACGTGGAGGTACGACTCAGCGGTGAGGTCCTTCGGGAGACCCTTGATCTTGAGGTGGGCTTTGGTGTGAGGCTTGACGCCCTTGGGGATCTCGACCTCCTGGTCGCTGCCGATGACGACGCCGTCGCAGACCACGTGCCAGGTGGCGGTGAGATGGTCCAGGTCGATGAAGTCGTAGCGGTTGATGATGGTCACCTCGTTGCCCTTGATGTCGAGGGTCTGAACTGGCTCGATGGCCTTGCCGTACTCCCGCAAGCCGGGGGTGGGAGTGTGCTCAGCGAAGCAGAGGCCGTCAAAGACGAAGTTGTAGTCGTTGGGCACATCGCCAAAGTCACCTCCGTAGGCCATGTACTCTTCACCTTCGGCGTTCTTGGTACGCAGACCCTGGGCTTGTTAGCTTGATGAATGCTTCTCAATGATCTATCACTCACGTGGTTTGCCCATTCCCAGACAAACCCTCCCATCAGGCGAGGATATTCATAAAAGGCATCGATGTACTCCTTAATGCCACCAGGTCCATTGCCCATGGCGTGAATGTACTCGCACAGAACCAGCGGCTTACTCCAGTTACTCTCCCGGGCCTGGTTGACGATATCGTCTACGGACGCGTACATGCGGCTGTAAATGTCCGCAGTCTGGGCTCCGCCGTCACCTTCGTAGTGAACGAGTCTCGACTTGTCGATGCTCTTGATCACGTCGTACATGGCCTGATGGTTTGGTCCGTAGAAAGACTCGTTGCCCAGAGACCACAAGACGACAGAAGCGTGGTTCTTGTCACGCTGGACCATCTGCCTCGCCCTGTCCTCGTAGGCCTCCTTCCAATCAGGGTTTTCGGAGGGAATGCCCTGACCGTTAACACCGATGACACCGAAGCCGTGGCATTCGAGGTCTGCCTCATCGAGAATCCAGATGCCGAGCTCATCAGCGAGGTCGTACAGCCGCGGATCATTAATGTAGTGCGAGGTGCGGATGCCGTTCACGTTGAAGTGCTTCATGAGAAGCAGGTCGTGTTTGAGGAACTCGTACGGCACCGCGCGTCCGGAGTCCGGATTGTGTTCGTGGCGGTTGACGCCGCGCAACTTGACGGGCTTGCCGTTGACGCAGAAGATACCCTTGATGAGCTCCGTCCGCCGGAACCCGATCCGCTGAACAAGGCTGCACTTTTGGAAGTTGAGAACCAGCGTGTATAGGTAGGGGGTCTCAGCTGTCCACTTGTGCGGGTTCTTGACGCGGACCTCGAAGCGATTGGTCCGGTCGAAGATCTCCATGCCTTTGGCGATGAGCTCACCCTCAGCATCGAGGAGTTTCATGTCAACGTAGGCACCGCGGTTCATGGTGATGTCGACGCGGAGCGTGGCGTCCTTGTAGTCGTCATCAAGGATGGTGTGGACGTGGTAGTCCTCCGGGTGGAACTTAGGGAAGGCGTGGAGGTAGACATCGCGGAAGATGCCACTCAACCACCACTGGTCCTGGTCTTCAAGGTAGGTGCCGTCGCATCTCTGGTAGACTTCAACCGCAAGAGTGTTCTCGCCGTCGACCTCGATGAAGTCCGTCACATCGAACTCGCTGGGGTTTCGAGCTCCCTGGGAGTAGCCGACCTCTTTTCCGTTCACCCAGACGGTGAAGGCGGAGTCGACGCCCTCGAAGCGGAGCCGGAGCTGGTGCTCTTCGAAGTCCTTGCTGACGTGGAAAGTAGTCACGTGTCGACCGCACTCATTGTCATCGTAGGGGATGTTGGGCGCGTCGACTGGCCAAGGGAAGTTGAGATTGGTATACTGGGGTCCACGTCCGTAGCCCTGGCATTGCCACATGCCGGGGACGACAATGTCATCCCATTCGGTCACATCAAAGTCGCGTTTGTAGAAGTCTCGGGGGCCAGCGAAGGGTGAGGATGTCAGATGAAATTTCCACTTTCCAGACAGGAGGAGGGACTTGGATTTGGTGGTGTCCCTGGTCAGGGCATCCTCTTCGTTGTTGTACAGGAAGAAATAGCTCCTAGGAGGGAGAGTGTTGCGATGGAGGACCTTCAAGTTGCTCCAGTCCGGAGTGTGCTTTGGGTGAACGTGGGTTGGAGGTCCTCCTCCTACGACAACGGTGGTGGTGGCGTTGCCGTCCTCGTGCTCAGTAGAGGTACCGCTGGATGAGCCCTCACTTGAGAAGCTTCCGAGGCGGCGCTGACGAGCCAACTTTTCCATATAGACGCTCAAATGGAGGTCGGTGGTCGGAGAGATATTGACATAGTCATCGGAAATGTCGGACATGGTCGAGACAGGGTCGCCGATGTGCCGAGGCGGAGACGAAGACCGGAAGGGATTATGGGAAAGTGGGCTCAGGTTCGGCGAAGGACGGGACAAGAACGGGGCAGTGGAGAAGCAAATAACGGAGACAAATTATTATTCCCGGGCATGTAAGTCGGTGCCAGCACACACACGGGATGGCAAGGCCGCTGAGGTATCCGTAGCGCGATGGTTTGGTTGTCGAAAGATAGCGCGAGATAACGGATCACGATAGCCCTTGTCATGGAGGACAGGAAGAGAGAACTGGAAACATAGCAACACTGAATCGAACGGGTGGTCGAACGACCAGAGCTGGCGCCAGGATCGGTCAGGAACGTCACCTGAGACGGCGCAGCGTCAGGGAAAGCGCGGGGGAATCACGAGGGACCCTTCCTGCCTTCTTGGGGGAAGCGGGGTAGCTGATGATTGGCTGAGAAGGGCCGAGGGACGCTTATGTAATGCCTCAGAATTGGAGTTCAAAGAGCTTAAACCTGGGTGCGGCCTGAGGCCAACGTCCAAGCTTGAAACATTGGTTTTGTGAATATTTGCCGTGCTCATTGCATAACCTTATGAGAGAAGTGCAGCAGGCCTTTTCATTTTTCTATTTACATAATCAATCATCAAAGAAGGAGCCAACATCGACACACGACTTGAAAGCTTCGGGTGTACGCCGACAAGCCCCGAGAAGGAATCCGGGTATCAACGGACTAAGATCGTTACACGACGGACACGGGGCTGGACGCGGCCACGGCAGGCGACACTCTCATCCCCAGATCGGCCGTCTCCAAAGGCTCCAAATATTCCCCAAACACCTCCCACACGAACCGTTCACTTTCCGTTCTAGACCGGTTCTCGAGTCAGTTCGGCCAGTGTCCGAGAATTTCTCCTTTTCTTTGTCCAATCACACCGTCTTCTCGTCTCCGTTCTCTCTCAGTACGTACCGCCACTGGAAACCCCCAGGAACCACAATTCCCCAGATGAGCCTAGCGCTTGGAAGCACCTCGGCTTTCGCCCCCGTCTGGGGATCGGGGATGCTCCGCACATGCGGACTTCATTCCTCCCTATTTTTCACAAGAATTTTCTCGTCAATTTTGCATCGTGATTTTTTACAAGGGTGGCTCTGAATCGCCTCGGCATCTTTTCCCGACATCATGCTGCAACTACTGTCTGACCGTCTTGGCCAATTTCCTCCCACGATCTCTTCTCGGCGGCTCCCGATTGACGATGTTGCTGCGCCGCATTGGCAATACAACTCGAAATTGAACGCAACGATTCGATGACCCTAGTGGACGGACAGAAAAGGTTGTGTCAACGCCGCATCGTCCCGGACACTCGATCGGCGCGCCAACGCCAACCGTCCAACGACCCGATGCTTGGCTGATGCCACTCGGTCGTCCAAACCGGCAACCGGCGCGGCCCCAACCAGCCATTCCAACATGCCACTGGCAACCAACCTGCTCTCGCCTTCGCCTGATTCCCCTCATCAGGAACCCATGCCGGGCCCTTTTGTGCATCTGATCTGAAAGTCCGCTAGTCACCGCGAATGAAACCTCGGCATGTTGGTGCTGGGGTCACATACCGGTATGGGACCCCGTATTTTGGGGTAAACATTGGCGAGGCAAAGAAGGCATGCGGAGATCAGTCAGGTTCGTCGCGAGTCTACCATTGGGTTTGGATGGCCTTTTGCGACTTCAGACCACTTGTCGAGAACTCGGGGTGGAAACCCGAGAGTCGTTATATCTTCCAAGTGTTGTTTATGCTAATCATACTAGTCTTTACACGAAAACCACGTGCTGCCGTTGCGGCTCCGTCTCCCCCGTGACAACCAGCCCACTGCCTGAATCCTCCGAAAAACGTGTGGGGATGTCAACGAAATCCCCGTACCACACCCTGGTCCCCAGGATGTGGTGCGAGAAAGATGGAGATGTCATGTAACCGTAGTCGCAGAGTCCCGACCCGGTGGTTGGACCGTCGTTCGCCGGGCGGGCCTGCCTGTCATTTGATCGGGGTTCTCTCGCTGCTCCGTGTTCGTCCTTAAAGAGGCTATCTGCCACTCGCGTTTGCGACGCGCTTGGGTTTCCTCTTGTTGCTGTTGACCCCATCGCCAGCTCAAGTTTTGCGTCCCTATCTCAGTCACCATGGCGCCTCTCGAAGAATCCAAGTCTCGCACCGAGGTCGAGCACGACAACACGCCGATGGACGAAAAGGCCGGCCATGCGGTTGGAAACGTGAAGGAGGTCAATGCCGCCTCGGTCGCTTTGGCGGCCGCCCTGGCTGAGCAGAAGCCCAACATCTGGTCGCCAAACATGCTGAGGCTCTACTTCATCATGGCAATCGGATACCTCGTCAGTACCATGAACGGTTTCGGTAAGTCAATTGAGATCTTGAGTGGTGTAGTGAGAACAAACAGGGGCTAACACCTGACCAGACAGCTCCTTGATGGGTGCCATCAACGCCATGCCGCAGTACCAGCAGACCTTTGGCCTCTCCGGCGTCGGATCCACCACCGGCATCGTCTTCATGATCTACAACGTCGGCCAAATCTGCAGTTTCCCCTTTTGCGGTTGGCTCGCTGACGGCTACGGCCGTCGCGTTGCCATCTTTGTCGGCTGCTTCATCGTCCTCATCGGTACTGCCATCCAGACGCCTGCGAAGACCATGGGACAGTTCATCGCGGGACGCTTCATCCTCGGTTTCGGCGCTTCTCGTGAGTTTCTCATACATCGCTTTCATGACGCCCTTCCAGTTATGCTAACGTATGGAACCGCAGTCGCCTCCGCTGCTGGCCCTGCTTACACCGTCGAACTCGCACACCCCGCGTACCGAGGCTTCATGGCCGGAATGTACAGTGAGTAAACCTAGGGTGGCTGCGAATATCATTCTGCAGTTCACATCATACGTTTCACTTCCGAGCAAACGCTGACAATTGTCAATAGACAACTTCTGGTGGTTGGGCAACATCTTGGCCGGATGGGCAACTTGTAAGGATTCGCCCTGCCACAGCACACTGTCAAACTGACCATCAAAACAGACGGATCGAACCTGCACGTCCAGAACTCTTGGGCCTGGCGCATTCCCACCGTCATCCAGGCCGGTCTGCCCGGCGTCGCAATGGTCTTCATCATGTTCTTCCCCGAGTCTCCACGTTGGCTTATCTCCCATGACCGCGCCGAAGAGGCCCTCGCCATCCTAGCAAAGTACCACGGCGACGGCGACGTCAACTCGCCCATCGTCCAACTTCAGTACCACGAGATCATGGAAGACAACGCCGCCACCAAGGACGAGAACCCCTGGTGGGACATGCGCGAGCTCGGAAACACCCGCGCCGCCCGCTACCGTCTCTTCATGGTCGTCGCCATGGCCTTCATCGGCCAGTGGAGCGGCAACAACGTCGTCAGCTACTTCATGGTAAGTTCCAATCACTAACAGCGTGAACCCGGACGACAGCTGACACGGCATCAGCCCGAGATGTTCAAGCAGGCCGGAATCAAGGACGACAAGACCCAGCTCCTCCTCAACGCCATCAACCCCATCTTCTCCATGCTGGGCGCCATCTACGGCGCCTCGCTCCTCGACAAGCTCGGTCGCCGCTTCATGATGATCGCCGGTCTCCTCGGCTCCCTGGCCGCCTACGTCATGCTCACCGGCTTCACCGCCGGCTCCGAGACCAACAAGAACCTCTCCTACGGCGTCATCGTCTCCATCTACGTCTTCGGCATCTGCTTCGCCTGGGGTTTCACCCCCCTGCAGACCCTGTACTCGGTCGAGTGCCTCGAGAACCGCACCCGCGCCAAGGGCTCCGCCGCCTCCTTCATGTTCCTCAACGTCGCCATCATGATCAACACCTACGGCATCTCCGTCGCCATGGAGAAGATCGGCTGGAAGCTGTACCTCGTCTACATTGGCTGGATCGTAAGCGCTCGCGCAACCCGTTTTGAATTTCGATGAGATGACTAACGTGCTTAACAGTGCATCGAACTTGCCGTCATCTACTTCTTCTTCGTCGAGACTGCCGGCAAGACTCTTGAGGAGCTCAAGTCCATCTTCGAGGCCCCCAACCCCAGGAAAGAGTCCACCAAGAGGACAAAGGTTGCCGTCGACGAGGCCGGAAACGTGATCAACGTCGGCGAGACCACGTCGGGCATCTAAGCGGCTCAAAAAGACTGAGAAGCATGTTGCCAAGTTGATATAGCCTCGCTTACATACTCGCCATGCAGTGATCAGAACCTTACATATATGATTAATAAATGAACCATACCCCCCTGTCACGTCATGTCATATGCCAGCAAATTTGGACGTCTGTCACGGCAGAAGCCACGCGGATGACAGTGGTCCTGATGTCGCATTGCACGATTCGGCGCACCCCCACCCCCGCGCAATCCCGACCAGGTCCGCCAATCGAAGCATCATATTCCCGCCTCTCTGGGCATTCGGATGCCCTCCACACCTGTCCCGATCTGTCCGACTTCATATGTTTCTCCATTCAGCCATTTGCCGCGTCCCCGTTTCGTTTCTTTTGCCCTCGTATGCCGATTGCCCATGGGGAAGTAGATCCCCCAGAATCCGACCTTTTGGTTCGGCGCCTGCACCAGTGACAGGCTTCGCTTCTTGAACTGACACCGAAACCGATATACATGAGCAGAAGAAGCCATCTTCACGGCAACGCGGGAGAGGTCTCAGGGTTTCCCCGTCACGGCAGAGAAGCGGATGGCCCGCCTTGAACCGAACATGCCCCTTGCATCACGCCACCCTTGCAATCCCACAAGCTCCTTGGCCTTCTTAGGGATGGTGGTAATGGTCATATGATGACAACGGATGCAATAACTCGATTTCCTAATCCGGCAATCACGATCTTGGAAGAGGTGGATGAAGGGGGGTCACTTCAGCTCCGGGACCTGCGTGCTCTAATAAGTCGCCCCTCTCCAAGCCTCCAAGCGGAAGCTTTCCTTCCACCACGAGAAGGCGGGAGAACTGCGTCCGTGCCGGCGGGAGGGATGCCCTCGCACCGCGAACTCATCCGACTCGACGGTTCACCTTGTAATTGATTGATGGAAATTCGAGAGTGGTGGGCCTTTGCGGGCATCTTTCTCAGGGACGGCGTTACCGAACCATGGTGAGCTCTCTCCACACCATGTAATCCGAGCATCCTAGAGCATTTGAAAGCAATGGTCGAAAAGCGAAGGGAGGGCTCAAGGCGGGCATTTATATTGCTACCATTCGAACCAACACCCCGTCGATCCCGTCTCTTCCCTTTCCCACCCCTCATGGTTCTATATCAACTCCAGATATAGACCCAGAAGCTGTCCTCCCTCTCCCAGCACAGAGCTCTCCTCACACGAGCAGCAGCCCGGTCCCGCAAAGATGAAGTACGTCAACTTCCTCCTTGCCGCTCTCGCGGCACCGATCCAGGCCGCCCTCACGTGGAAGAACGTCCGCATCGGCGGCGGCGGCGGCTTCGTCCCGTCCATCGTGTTCCACCCCACGACCAAGGGCGTGGCGTACGCGCGGACCGACATCGGCGGCCTGTACCGTCTCAAAGCGGACGACTCGTGGACGCCGGTCACGGACGCGAACAATTTCGCGGACGACGCGCATTGGAACCGCTGGGGTGTCGATGCCCTCGCGTTGGATCCCCAGGATCCGAACAAGGTGTTCATCGCCGTTGGCATGTACACCAACAGCTGGTGAGTTTGGGTTCCTCGTGAGAAGTTTGTGAAGTTTGGGGAACTTACGTGTTGCTATGTAGGGACCCGAATAATGGACAGATTGCACGCAGCTCTGATAAGGGTGCGACGTGGACTTTTACTGACTTGCCGTTCAAGGTGAGATGGAGATAGCACGCATAATTGCCATGATGCTAACGATCATCCAGGTCGGGGGTAACATGCCCACGAGAGGTACTGGAGAGCGTCTTGCCGTTGACCCCAAAAACTCGAACATTCTCTACTTCGGCGCCCGCAGCGGCAACGGTCTCTGGAAGAGTACCAACGGAGGTGAGTGAGCTAGCTTACACAACGATACAGGACCTGAACTGACAAGAGTCCAGGCGCGAGCTTCTCCAAGGTCTCTTCATTCACCGCCGTTGGCACCTACCGCCCGGGTCCTGCCTCGGACGAGTACAACGGCGACATTCAGGCACGTCGTTCCGTACGATACGAGATCGAAGAGCTGCTAACTCAGGACAACAGGGACTTACCTTCGTCACATTCGATGAGACGTCGTCCACCCTGAACGGCGCTACATCACGCATCTTCGTCGGAACTGCCGACAACACCACTGCCTCTGTCTATGTCTCCAACGACGCCGGTGCCACCTGGAGCGCCGTCACTGGACAGCCTGGTCGATACTTCCCCCACAAGGGCAGGATTCAACCCACTGAGAAGGTTCGTCGAGGTCTCGGATGTTCTCCGTCTCTTCCCGAACTGATGACGATGCATTCTAGGCTCTGTACATCAGCTACTCCGACGGCACTGGTCCTTATGATGGTACTTCCGGATCCGTCTGGCGCTACGACATCGCCGCTGGCACCTGGAAAGACATCACCCCCGTCCCCGTTGGTTCTGACCTGTACTTTGGTTTTGGTGAGTTTGCCGGTCTCTATTTAACTGGACACTGTGTGCTCATCATATTCAAGGTGGCCTCAGTGTGGATAGGCAGAAGCCCGGCACGTTGATTGTTGCTACCCTCAACAGTTGGTGGCCGGATGCCCAGCTCTTCAGGTCCACCGATTCCGGCACCACCTGGAAGAAGATCTGGACATGGGGTAACTATCCCGAAATGGTGTTGGGATACACCCAGAGCACTCCGAAGGTAACCATCTCTTCCTGATTAGGCTTGATCTGCCAAAACTTCCTACCAAATGCTGAGAACTGTCACTGACATGCCATAGGCCCCTTGGATCAAGACCAACTTTCTGGATACCGATACCAAGGACCTTGGCTGGATGATCGAATCCCTCGAGATCGACCCCACCGACTCTAACCACTGGCTATACGGAACCGGCCTGACGATCTTCGGAGGTCACGACCTCACCAACTGGGACACCGGCGCCAAGGTCACGATCCAGGCCCTCGCAGACGGCATCGAAGAAATGGCCATCCAAGAACTCGCCAGCGCCCCCAGCGGCTCCGAGCTCCTCGTCGCCGCATTCGACAACAACGGCTTCACCTTCAAGACCAAGAGCGCCCTCGACACCTCCCCGCAGACGACGTGGACCACCCCGATGTGGGCCTCCAGCGTGGGCGTCGACTACGCCGGCAACAAGGTCTCCAACGTCGTCCGCGTCGGCAACGTCGAGGGCACCCAGCAGCTCGCGGTCAGCTACGACGGCGGCGCCACCTGGAATGTCAACTCCGCCGCCGGCACGACCCAGTACGGCGGCCACGTCGCCTACTCGGCCGACGCCGACACCATCCTCTGGTCCACCGCCACCCTCGGCGTCCAGCGCTCGCAGAACCAGGCCTCACTCGCCGTCGTCTCGAGCATCCCCGCCGGCGCCATCGTCGCCAGCGACAAGCGCAACAACACCGTCTTCTACGGCGCCTCCGGCTCCACCTTCTACCGCTCCACCAACGCCGGCGCCGCCTTCTCCGGCGCCGGCTCCCTCTCCGGCGCCACCGAGATTCGCCACGTCGAGGCCCACCCGGCCGTCGCCGGCGACGTCTGGGTCTCCACCAACGCCGGCATCTTCCACAGCACCGACTACGGCTCGACCTTCACCCTCGTGTCCACCGCCCTGACGAACACCAACAAGATCGCCCTCGGCAAGGGCTCCGGGACGAGCTGGAACGTCTACGCCTTCGGCACCGGATCCGCGGGCCGACGCCTCTACGGCAGCTCGGACCTCGGCGCGTCGTGGGTGGACCTCCAGGGCTCGCAGAGCTTCGGGGCCGTCGACGGCGCGAAGCTCGCCGGCTCCGCGAACGAGGCGAACCTGGTCTACGTCGGCACCAACGGCCGCGGCGTGCTCTACGCCTCTGGCGCGATCGCTGGTGGTGGTGGTGGAAGTGGTGGGTCGACCTCTGCTGCTCCGACTTCGACTAACAGGGCGTCAAGCAGCAGCTCGACGGTCCGCGTGACCTCTTCGACTTCCTCCGTGAGGGTGACGACGACGACTTCTCTGGTGACTTCCACCCGGACTAGCTCCGCGCCTGCGTCGACGGCGACGGGCTTGGCGAAGCAGTATGAGCAGTGCGGTGGGCAGGGGTGGACGGGTCCGACGCAGTGTGTGTCGCCGTTCACGTGCACCAAGACGAATGACTGGTACTCTCAGTGCTTGTAAGCGCTTGTGGCAAGACTGTCACCGGAGTTTTTGCGAGAGTGTAACGCGGATCATTACATGTAAGCCGCTGAGGAGCCAAACGAAAACTGTATTTCCTATTGAGACGTCGTGCCACCAGTCGGAGCTGCCAAGTACATTTTGATCTACCCTCCGTAAGTAGGTTCAGTCGGATAGTCCACCGCTCCGCAACTACGTTTGTCAGATACATGCATACACAATCTGGGTGAGGCAAAACCTCAAGTCCTCAACTGGCAACCTACGGATCCTCTCCACGGTAACATGCTACTTCAATCACAGTCGTGCTACCATGGTAAAACAAAGTGGGCGTTGCCTTCCTAGCTGTCAACAATTATCAAGCACGTTATATGATAAACGAATACCAACAAGATGAGGCTAACCTGGGATGCCATGATGTCCTACCGCCAGCAAGGCTCGAGGAACCGCAAAATGCGATGGTTGTCTGTCACAGAATCTTCTGCTTCAACGGAAATGATGGATCTAAGGAATACTCAGTAGGTTATGGGTCGTGGGAAATGACGGATAGCGAAACGTTGAACACTGGTGCGAATGTCCGTCTTTTAAGGTGAAGCGGAACGAGGCCTGACGCCCATTAGTTTGAGAGTTGTTAGAAAGCTGGAAAAGCTTTCGGGTCATTGCATGTAAAGTTCGGTCAGTCAGCCCTGAAATGCGTCTCGTTGGGTTGACATGGGTTGTCTGCAAGCTGATGATGATCGACCGCCCTCGTTTCCAAACCATCCGTCACGTCTGGTCCAATCGAAACGCTGGACAAGGTGAAAAAATGAGCCCCGCGGTCTGCCTGACAGCTCAGCCTACAGGAGGCCCAGCGGGATGGGCCTAACGCGGCAGCTCATCACCACATGCAGGCAAGTCCAACGTGGCATGCAGAGCGTAAGATGGTGGTGGCAACCTGCCAGGCTGCTGCACACGGTTTAATTTATAGCAAGGTCGTGTCTGCGTGAACCTGGAACACTTCTTCACTCTTTCCTTTTTAGATACTTTGCTCTGCACGAGTTGGAAAATCAAGCAATGCAATGGAGCCTGTTAGCTTTGTTGCGTCACTTGTGACATTGATCGAAGTGGCCGGATTCGCGACCAAATCTGCTCGAAAAGTATGCTCGAGCTTCCAAGATGCGCCGGAAGAGCTGGCTATGATGGAACAAGACCTCTGTATGATACAGGCAGGCTTAAATTCCATTCGGCAGCAGCACACAGAAGACGCTCACCCCCTGATTGATGCGGACACCCACAACATTGTGTACACAACCCTCGAGTCGGCGCAAAAGACATTCACCAAGATCGAAGCGGCCTGCAGTCAATTCAAAACCCGAAACAGCCGACGGGCTCGAATTCGTTGGGCTGTCTTAGAGCAGTCCAATATGCAGAAGCAATTGGAAGAGCTCAAAACTTTACAAACCAAATTGAGACGGCTGTCTCAGATTCTAAGCTGGTAAGGGAACAACAATGACGATAAATGTTGTGGGAGAGAATTATGCTCAATATGACACAGCCAAAGACTAGGCACAATTCTCAGCAAAGTTACATCCATGAATGAGGTGCTTGAAAGCATCTCCGAGAAAGTTGGTCTTTCCCACACGGCGCCACGATCAATCGCCCACCATCACCATAACAAGCTTACTGCGAATGCGCAAAGTCACCGCAAGTCTCGAAAAGTTCTGATCAGAATGACCGTCGACCAAAATTGGCTCTGGTGGTCTCTATTCCAGTTTTCTCTTCTAGGCATCGAGGTAGACAGCGTAACGAGCCGTGTCGCTGAGTACTCATTGACCTTCCAGCTCCCCATCTTTCTGGGACGATGGGCTCTGGCTGGCCGGTTGAGGTTTCTAACATGCCAGTATTCATCCTCCTTATCGATTTTAGCACCTTCGAATTTTTCGCTGGGCCGAATCGTGGCCGAAGATTCAGTTGCCATGGCAGCTTGTTCACGAGGCGATCTCCCTACCTTGCAGGAGCAGCTTGTTCTTGGACAAGCTACGCTATACGATATAACTAGGAAGAACTGGAATTTCATGAAGGTAAATTTCACGTTTCATAAATATAGAATGCCGCTGACTTGTCCTTACTTAGCTTTCAATCGAAAGCGGAGAGTTGGAGCTGATCCAGTTCTTACTCGACAACGGCCTTCACGCTAATTTGACGTTTGGGATGTCTCAGACGTGAGCCACTTCCAGTCTTTTAAAGCCGATCTCGTTCACTAATATCACTTTACAGAAGTGCACTTCAGTGGGCTTTGCAGGAGAAGAAGTATGACGTTGCAGAGCTGCTGATTGCTAACGGAGCAGAAGTCAACCATGTCAGCCTACTAGGATGGACACCTCTGTTCTACTGTTGGCCCCGGCCACAGAGCAACCAAGACATTAGACTGCGAGAGATAGAACTTCTCTCAGCCAGTGGCGACCTTGATTTTGATCTATTGGACAAGGGCGGCTGGACAATACTTCAACGTCTTGCGGCTTTCGGGACCGGGGAGGAAGTCAGAAAAGTGGTTATTCTTGGAGCCGATGTAACAGTTCGGCAAGGACCTCTTGCTTGGCTCCCCATATGGCGTGCAGCCTATCATGGCAACTTCTCGACGTTTCTGGAACTGCTAGATCATTATCCCAGCTCCATTATCCGGGAGACGGATGAACGAGGTTGGACTTTGCTTCACATGGCTGCTTCAGAGGGTCACGAAGACATCATTCGGCATCTTTTCAGTCTTGGCTCGGATCTATGGGCTCTTTCGAGCCCATTTTTCAGCTACATTCCACCTACGATCTATGGCCAACGATGCACACCGGCGGAGGCTGCCGCAGCCGAGAGCCCGCAGCACCTGGAACTGTATGCAGGTATCCTCGAGGAACTAGGTCTTTGCGAGAAAAGAGCATCGGAAGAAGATGGCGCTGCTGACATGTTTTGGGATGCATATGAGACGTTCCCATGATGGCAAATAGAAGGCGACAAATTCTTCAGGTTGAATCCATCCTTCAACCGTCCCCTGTAGTTCACATGATACCAAAACTTTGTTACTTTCCGCGATTAAGCTTGGCATTGTGTGTGTGGTGCAAATTCAGCCGCTTATGCGCTTCATAGCGCCAAACCCCTCACATACTGCTGAAGGTTCTACGGCAGCGGACTCACAAATTTTCAACGGCCATTCTTCACTTGTACAGCGGTGCAGATCAACTGATCCAGCCAGTGGTCTATTGGTGATTAGGCTGGACAAGTGTCGTTGGCCTCCTGCAGTAGTCTCATACGGCGGCTGAAATGCCCCCATGACCTGATATCCGACGTCTCCCAACAAACTTCACCACGATAAACTACAAAAAGGACATGACAGAAAGATGATGCGATGAGATTTCCGGCACTCAATCGCGCAGCCAACGCGGTCTTATCATCTTCCATCGTCGCAAGGCTTCGAGAAGGATACACCATGATCCCCAAGAACGATATTGAAGAGGCCGCACGCCCAGTGTCCCCCGTTCCGGCGGACCACGACGACTTGCAAATCACCGCCGACCAGTCTCATAAGGACAAGCTTCATCGCGAAACTTATTCCGGCGCGCTCATCTTCAACCTCGCCGCCTTCATCCTCCCAGCCCTTTACGGCACCCTCTCCAAGCTCTGGGTCGCGAACATCGACTCCAGCCTGGTCGTCACCACAGATGCGTATACTTACATCGGCGTTGTGGCCGAGGTCATCAATGAAGGCCTCCCTCGCGCCGCTTGGGTCATTATCGGGGACAAGGCCTCGCGCTCCTTGGCCGAGCGTCTACAGCTTACTCACACACTCATCTTATTCCAATCGATCTTGGGACTTATCATGAGTATTGCCTTCGTGGCTGGAGCAGCGACTTTCGCCAAAGGCTTCGTGCCTGAAGACGTCCGTGACGTGAGCATCAACTACGTCCGCATAGGCGCTTTCAGTGCGTTTAGCAGCGCGATCGAGACAGCTGTATCCTCCGCCACGAGGGCCCTTGATCGCCCCGATGTACCACTCATCATCAGCTCAGTCAAGTTCGCCGTGAACATCGTCCTGGATTTGTTGATCATTTCTAAGGTCCATGTCGGGTCACACCAGCCGACCGTCAACATGCAAGCCGGAATCCAGCTTGCTTGCAACCTTGCATCAGCGCTGGTTGGACTGGCTTACTTCATTTGTAGAAACACGCTCAGGTTTGAGAAAGAGAGGGTCTACGATGCGGACGATGCAGGGGAGTCGACGCGGCCAAGCGCGAAGTCCTTCTTTATTCTACTGCGCCCTGGAATCCTCACTTTCATCGAATCTGCCGTCCGCAACGCCTTTTATCTCTGGCTCGTAAGCAACATCGTCTCCATGGGCTCGACATACGCGACTGCATGGGGCGTATTCAATACCATCCGATGGGGCCTCATCATGGTCCCAGTACAAGCCCTTGAGCAGACTTCCCTCGCCTTTGTCGGTCACCGATGGGGAGCTTGGAGACGGAAAGTTGGCATACGGACCAAGAATCCAACTGCGAACAAGTCGGATCTTCTGAATATGACACGACCGGCCCTACAATCTCTCGTCATCGCGGTCATCATCGAGGTACCCATGTGTTTGTTCCTCACGTACTTCGGAGCCCGTCCCTTTGCGCGGTATCTCAGCGGCTCGGACGAAGTTGCCGATGTCACGGAAATGATGTGGCGGACCATTGACTGGTGTTACATCTTCTATGCCATGTCGACGATGTTGGCGACTGTTTTGCTCGCTACGCGGCCGCGGTGGTACCTCTGGCAGAGTCTGGCGAGCAACTTGCTGTATGTCTTGCCATGGGCGATCGTCTGTCAGACTGCCAACCTTTCAGCCGAAAACGCCTGGACATATCATAGGCTTGTTTTCGGGGGAAGTCTTGTCTTCAGTTTTGTTGACATTTTCTTGTTCGATGGTCTCTGGGTTTGGAGGCTTTTGACCGGGAGGATGAAGCTTGAGCAATTTAGGGGATAGGGCGCAGCGCCTCAAGGCCATAGCAATCTGACCTTTAAACATCTGGCGATGACGTCCTAGCTTGTCTTGTTTGATATGCTTTGGATTCATGGACACTGAGCCTCGTGAATTTGTCCTGAATTATTTCACTCGTGTTCAATCGTCGTGAGTACCTAGCCATAAGTCCGTTGTTCGATGTTGGCCAACACTGCAGAATCCGTGGACGCTACACTATCTGGCTGACGGTTAGCGGGGATTGACCTGCTTCAACCCCACTGTACTGGGGGGACATGCTAAGATGCAAGTGTCCTGGCCCATTCTCTCGTTTAATTTCTCCTTTTTCATACATTTCCAACGAGTCGACCTCATCGCGCCCAGCGCAATCTCTCCATCATTCAAACGCGGAGATCCGAGGAGCGAAAATACCCGCAAACTCATTCGAATCTTCCATGGTCGGCCATGCCTGATCGCGTCGTACGCAGACGCAATGTTACTTCCCGAGACCGCACCGGCTGCGTGACCTGTCGCGCCCGGAGGCTCAAGTGCGATGAGAAGAAACCCAGTTGCAACAACGTATTACCCCCACCTGAATCTAGTTTCTGATGAGACTAATGTCTTGATAGTGTATCCGATTGAATCTTGAGTGCGGTGGATATGTGACACCGATCAAGTTCAAGGACCAGACAGAGCTGTGGAAGAGAAAGCAGAGCAAGAAGCGGGCAGCGAAGGGCGCCGCAACAGAAGCCGCGACAGTGGACAATGGGGAACCGTCGTCGCCTATTCCTCCCAGGCGTGGGGAGCCGACATCACAATCATTCCAACCCGCCGGGCAGGTGCTGAATACCGAGGAAGTCGCTCATGATGACACGTTCTTTTCAGCAGACAATACCCATGATTATCCGACGGGCTCACAAGAGCAATCTCTCTACGAGGCGGCGGCATCATTGGCTCTAATTTCAGAAGGGATTCCGCGCGATACTCTGGCCTTTCAAGATGAAGAGGTTGGCGATAGTTCGTCAATCTTACCCGATGCCTTCGACTCAACCCCAATCACGACTATCAATGACGGATCAGAAGGCCACAGTAACGGCAACAATGAGTCCGGTGGCGTCCGTCACGAGTCGCAACTCTCCAGCTGCACGCCGATATACCAGCCACAGCATTCGCCCCGCGTCTGGGATCGTGATTCAGAGGACGCAAACAAGCAGTTGACTTCGGTACCAGTTACACCCGCTGGGTTGCTCGAAAGCGCCAAATTCGCCGAGGACATGATCTACTTCTATCACCTGAGGGATAACTCACCCTACGGCATCCTATCGATACTCTCGCTTGACGATATTCTGGACGAACAGCAGCTAGACAAGGCCTTTTTCCACGCTGCTCTGGCTTTATCGGCCCTCGACATGTCACAGTCAAGCTCATCAAGCACTTTTGCTAACAAAGCGGCACTTCAAGCGCTTGACCATTTCGTCACCGCCCTCGGCACCGTCCGCATGGCTCAATTGAACGATGACGGTGTCGCCACGGGCTGCCCATCGAATCAAGACAATGCGATCTCATGGCTAGCAACAGTCCTCCTTTTGGCCAACTTCGAGCTTCAGCGAGGGCAAATGAAGCTGTGGTATATCCATAGCCGCGCGGCAGTCACCTTTCTCTCCCAGCACCTCAACCGGGTGCGAGAATCTCCTGTTGGAGAGTCACTCATCCGAACCTTTTCCCGCATCGCAGCCCTCTTGGACATCTTTGACCGAGCCTACTCCGTCCGATATAGCATAGTATCACCAGAAGTATCGGATTCGTTGACCACGTCGCTAGTCAACTCTCCTCAATCCGCCGACCGGCTGCTATACATCCTGCCTCGAGTCATTAAACTCGAAGAAGAATGGCGTAGCAATCCCCAACATGACCTACACTGGCGAGGGCAAGCCGAAGATCTCATACAAGAGTTGAAGGCTTGGAGAAATACCTTGGATGATTGCGATGTCCCCCTCCTGTATGAGCATACCGCAAACCCTTATGATGAAAACGCCACAGGCCCGGGACTCGCGATCCGTCCACTCAGTATCCCTCGAGCAAGACAGCCCGTCAAAGCAGCCACGACGTTCATGCACTACTTGATATCTCTGCTACGGTTGGAAACCCGGTACCTTCCTGGAGCAGGCAGAGAACTACCTCCGAACGCCGAGAAGATAATCCTCCTCGTGTGCAGGTTAGCAGCGGGCGTGCCCTACACCTCATGCGCCGCTGTCAACGCCTATGGCCATGGCATGCTGCCGGCAATGATGAATGCGTATTACATGGCGGAAGACCAAGACGTGAAAGACTGGGTCAAGAACTGGATCGCCGGGTTCCCGAGAGACAGGGAGGGTATTTGGCACGTCCGCCACGCGCATCGGGTGTTGAACTACGTGGACCAGGAGTATACCCGTCGCGGTTCACGACACAACTGGGAGATCATCAAAGTCCGCCTGGTCGACCTCGAAGATGACGCCACGCCACAGGATGACGATGGCGCCGATGAGAGGGATCCCGATCGGTTCTCGGTGGAGGTGTATTCGAGGTGCAAGCGGGGGTGGAGCATCGACTTTGTAGAAATACCATAATAGGAAATTCTGATGCTCCCTTCGCATTGTGGGCTGCTGATAGCTTACGATAGCGTAAGGCACGGAAGCGATGACTCAAGCGACTCGGTATGGATCTCGATATCCGACTTTTCCTTGAATTTCAGCGCCGAGGACCCGGCGCCGGCCGATTCTGGCCCCGCTTCTCCCACTTGCCGCGCTACGCTGGTGTCCGGTCACGGTCCGCGGTGGAGCGGTCTGGTTCTTGTCGTTCCTTTTTGCCGTTTTGGGTAATCTGAATCCTGGTCCTGCAGCTCGCGATGATTTTCTCGTGGATCACCTACGCTTAGTCTGCTAGCTTTCTGAGAGCGTGTGCATTTCCAATCACGCCATTCGTAGTCTTTGATGTGATTTTGGACGTTGTCAACTTGTAAACTTGAGTAGACAAATAATCGCCATAGTCTTCTTGATCGACAACGACTTTAGGAAGGACGTTGACTTCTGAGTTTCCCTCCGCAGCTTCCCCCATCTCTCGAGCTTCTTGTTATCTCCTGTCTCGATTTCAAATCAATCGTCATTATGAGTCCAAGTGCCACTACAACAACTCCTGGTACGGCGACGCCGAACCCTGGTGAGCTCGATCACAAACAACAGTATGCCGAACTCGATGCCTCGAGAATGATCAAGAACCTCGTTCCGGAAGATGAGCAAGACTCAGTACCGGCAGTCGACGATCCCGTCCGTCGAGGTCAGAACTGCACCACAGCTCACATGGTCCAAGTACCTTGGTCGATCGAGACGGGTTGGGGGACGCCAGTAATGAGTCCGTATGGCAAGATTGCTCTGGAGCCAACAGCAAGTGTATTGCACTACGCTACTGAGTCTTTCGTAAGTCCATTTCGATACATGTTTGCGCATCAAGCTTCCAATACGAGTAGTACTAACGTCTAATTCTCAGGAAGGGATGAAAGCCTACCGCGGATACGACAACAAACTCCGCCTCTTCCGTCCTCGACTCAACTGTGCCCGCATGCTCAAGTCCAACTCCCGAGTCGGCCTCCCTTCGTTCGACCCAGAGCATCTACTCGAAGTCATATCCGCCTTCCTCTCCACCGAATGCCCCCGCTGGCTGCCTCACCAAGGCTCGAATATCTACATCAGGCCGGCCATGATCGGCAGCGGCTCCGCCCTCGGCATCAACCAGCCCCCAGAAGCCCTCTTCTTCCTCTTCGCGGCGCTCTTCCCTCAGTCTTCCGGCCTGCCTCACCCCGGTATCAAGTTGCTCGCCAGCAGTCCGGAGCACATCCGCGCCTGGCCTGGCGGTTTCGGGTCTGCCAAGGTGGGCGCCAGTTACGGGCCGGCAATGGTATCCCACGCGGCTGCCAAGGCCCAGGGGTGCACCCAGACTTTGTGGCTTTTTGGAGAGGAGAGACTTGTGACGGAGGCCGGCGCTAGCAACTTCTTCGTTGTTTGGAAGAAGAAAGACGGCGAGGGAATTGAGCTGGTGACCAGTTCGCTTGACACCGAAGTCATTCTGGATGGCATCACGAGACGGAGCGTGTTGGAAATCGCAAGGGAGCGTTTGACGAAGGAAAACTCTGCCGAGTTTACAAAGTTGGCTCCTTTGGATGTCGTCGAACGCCCGTTCTCTATGAGAGAAATCGTGGAGGCGCATGCTGAAGGGAGACTGGTCGAGTCTTTTGTGACTGGAACCGCGGTAAGCTCCTTCTCTAGTTGGAAGTCTAAGTTGTTGGGACTTGCTAACTATTGTCTTAGATGTTCGTCACCCCGGTTTCGATGATTCGGTATGGTGACTCGAACATCAACTTCCCTATGACGGTGACGGAGGACGGCGAAAAGGTTGCTCACTCAAAATACTCATCTGCCATCAAGACTTGGCTTGAAGACATCATTTATGGGCGGACAGAGCACGATTGGGGATATGTGATCGACGAGGAGTAAACCATTTGAATACCAGTGTGCAGATCAAAATGCATGATAAGCAAGAACCATCTTAAACAACATGTTTTGTTTTTCCAATTTTAACGTCAAAATTTCTCGCTGTTTTCATGTTTGCGGCAGAGTAGCTGGTTCATAAGTTTCAAACTACAGTTGTCAGAGATATGACATGTGAAAGGGATATGATGAGTATTTTTCTTTGATCGAAGCCTTTCATACCATCAGACCGCAAATTTCGAGTACTACTCATTGTAGTTTCAATCTCATTGTTCATATCAGCCGAGAAACGGGATGGATAATAGAGCTAAATTATCAGAGTGAAGACTCGTTCGTCGTTGATGATTTCGCGATACGTCAAACACCAATTCTTAGCGACGTGAGATTATCTCTTTTGTTTCTAGGACGCATATCTCAAGATTTGCCAACACCCGTGACTTTAATCATGATGTCTGTCATTTTGTCTTGCACTTAAACTCTTCATGATGTAGCCGCCGCAGTAAAGAAATCATCAACTCTCTTCATTGCCATGAGGGCATGATTCTGTGAATCCAAATTCGTCAGCCTAGCATCTGCTCAGAGTTATTTGTTGATTGAACCGTGTCTTACCTTCATAGAATCGTGTGTTAGTCCTCCGAGATGGGGTAACATCGTGACGCAATCATACTTAAGCAGTCGTTGGTTCACCTTCGGCCTGATAATCGTCAGTTTCGCCAACTTGGCCGATCAAGAAATACGAGTACTTACTCGTTGTAATGAACATCCATGCCGACACCTGAGACGATGCCACTTTCTATTGCATCACAAAGCGCCTCCTCATCTATGCACTTCCCTCTTGCAACGTTGACGACTCTAAGTCCTCTCTTCATCTTCGAAAAGATATCCCGTGATAGCAAGTGATGTGTCGCTGGAGAGTACGAACAAGTCAAGATTAAGCAGTCAACCTTCGCAACCAGCGTCTGCAGATCTTTATGAAGAACTATCTGCGGCAAAAGACCTTTCAGATAGCCATCCTCATGTTCCATGGCATGAAGAAGTCTCCTCAGGCTTGGTCGGTCAATGCAGTGGATCTCCATCCCCAAGGCCGCGGCCTGGCGCGCAACCGTTTGCCCGATCGAACCCATGCCAATGATGCCTAGGCTCTTGCCGTAGGGATCGACAGCATTCTGTGCTGAGTGTCGCAGTGCAGGTATAAATCGGTCGTTGCGAAGCATTTGCTCGTATCGGTTCAGCTGACGAAAAGCAGAAATGATGAGGTATGTCGCGACGACGGCTGTTGCTTCGCTGCCGCCTGTTGTGTTGAAGAACTCTATTCCCCGGGCATTGAGGCCGGAGACGTCCTCTTCTTCGAAACCGTGACCGAAATTGACAATCATTCTGAGTGAAGGTGGAAGATGCGGCAAGGCACGTTTGGTCCAGCCTAGGCCGACTTTCTCTATTTCAGCGGGTAGGTTGAGGCCAATCCTCATGATTCCTGAGATATCGTGACAGTTGCCGGTTGTCATTGACTCATGAAATTCAGCGACGGTTGGAAAGTCGTATTGATAAGTATTGTATCGTGTGCGGAAGTGTGCCCAAACTTCGCGAGGGACTACGCCGTCCGGGGATCCGATGACGAGGATCTTGTTGTTTGCCGCCATTGAATTGTGCTTTGGGCAGACGTGGTGAGAGTTGTCAACATACCGAGAGCTCTCATCTAGAATTCTGATTGGTATTCAAATTTAAACTGCAGGCAACTATGCCATATGAGCACGATCCTTCTTGCTTCCATGACCAGCTCGAGGAATGACATGGTTCCCTCCGTCGTCGTAAAAGACTTCCTATTTGGGTAAGATCTTTTATGCGGGTCCGATCTGATAAGAGATTTATCGCCCCCTGCATCTCCCCCAATCCGATCTCGCTTGACGTGGAGTTGCATGGATTAGCTTCACCTGGAATCTGTCAGCTTCCCCTCCTCTCGCGTCAAAATTAGCGCCGTGTTTGGGTGAAGCCGATGTGAGAAGGACACTGATCACATCGCGCACTTATTCTTTAAGTTTCGATACCAAGACCTGCCAAGGAAATACGGCTCCAGGATGGCTTCGATCAAGTCAGGCGCCGCTGGCGACGGTCTCGCTGCCTTCTACTCAAAGCAAGTTTGCCACTGGAAACAGACATGAGGAATATCAGCAGCTGACAGCTGGGCCATCAGGGTTGACGAGCTTGAAAATCTCTTCATTGAAAGTGAGCGACTTTCGAACTGGAAACCTCACTTTACCAGCCGCTAATCACTTCAATCGTGTAGGACTGGAAGAAGCCGTTGAGATCCCTTCGGTTTCTGCATATGCAGAACGAAGGGAAGATGTGTTCAGAGTATGTACAAGAGCATTGATGAAGAAGAGTTGGCACTGATTGAGTAAACAGATGAGCGAGTGGACTGCCTCCAAAATGAGGGACCTTGGAGTGGAAGTAACTCTCAAACCGTTGGGGAAACAGGAGGACAAACCTGAGCTCGAGTTACCACCCCTGGTATTGGGTCGCTACGGTCGTGATAGTGAGAAGCCTACTGTTCTTGTTTACTGCCACTACGATGTCCAGCCTGCAGCTCTCGAGGACGGTTGGAAACACGACCCATGGGTACTCACGATCGAAGAGAACGGACGCTTGTGCGGCCGTGGAACTTCAGACGACAAGGGCCCTCTGATAGGCTGGCTCAACATGATCGAGGCTTTTCAGAAGGCCGGTGTGGAGGTTCCAGCGAACTTGGTCTTTTGCTTCGAAGGCATGGAAGAGAACGGCTCCTTTGGTCTCCGCAAAGCGCTGGAAGAAGAGGCGACAAAGTTCTTCTCCGATATTGACTGCGTCTGCATTACTGACGTCGTTTGGGTCAGCGATGAACAACTCAGCATCCCCCAAGGTCTGAGAGGAATTCTCTTCTACCTGCTCACCATCACCGGCGCCGACCAGGACGCGCATAGCGGTGGTTTTGGTGGGCAGATCTCGGAGCCGATGACGGATATGGTTAACATCATGTCTTCACTTGTGGACTCCAGTGGAAAGATCTTGGTACCCGGGATCTATGACAATGTGCAGCCAGTGACGGCAGAAGAGTATGAGAGCTACAACAAGTTGAATATTTCTGAGGATTCTTTACTCGGAGGAACAGGCGGCAGAATCCTACACGAAACGCAAGCTGATGCTTTGATTGCGAGGTCAGTTGAAGACGCCTTCCTATCTCAACTTTGAAAGCCGACTGACGAACGGACTAGATGGAAGAAGCCGTCCTTGAGTCTGCACAGAATCGAAAACGCAAGACCTGGCGCCGGAGCAGTCACCTCGATTCCCGCCAAGCTAGTGGGAAAGTTCAGCATACGAACCGTGCCAAACATGAAAGCCAAGGACATCAACAAGCTTGTGCAAAAGCACATCGAGGACCGCTTCAAGAGCCTCGGAAGCAAGAACGACTTGGAGATCAACTGCGCTCACGAAAGCGACTGGTTTTACGAGAGCTCCGACCACTGGAACTATCAAGCTGCGATCCAGGCGACCCAGGAAATTTGGGGTGTGAATCCTGCTCTTACATGCGAGGGCGGCAGGTTAGTTCTCAAGCATTATGCTTTACTCGACGCAACATAAGCTAACGACTTGCTAGTATTCCCATCGCGCTGGATTTCAAGGAGATTTTGCAGAAGAACGTGCTTTTGCTGCCTGTTGGGCGCCCAACAGATGGCGCTCACTCTATCAACGGTTTGTCGAATTCATGTCTCCATGTTCATTGTGCCAGAGTTGCTGATCAGTCATGGGCATTTACAGAGAAGCTGGACAAGAACAACTAGTAAGCAGCATGATTCATGACATGAGCCGGCCCCTGCTAACAATATGAACAGCATCAATGCAATCAAGCTGTATGGCTCGTATCTGAAGGAGGCACGGGCACTCTGGCAGCAGAAAAGGCAGGCGTAGGTAGCCCTCATTCTTCTCAATGCATTCACACAAGTACACGTACACGATACTGCGGTCGAGCTTTGTACATGTGCGCCGAACGCGGCGTCCTCGCTAGAGTTACATGTAGCACTTAGATGCAAATAGCATCAATCCCTCGTTCACATCATTTGTTCAACACCAGATATCGCGACTTTAATTGGTTAGTTGGTGTCATCTGCAGCTCAGGTCGACAGATTTGCAGGGGTGAGACGTCTAGACAGGAAATTACCCAAAGAGGAAATTATGAACGACCATGATGAGGGGCAACACGCTGCGGGGCACCACGACCAAGCAGGCAGGTGCAAAAACATGGGAGAAGTTAGCATCGCTTGCACGACAGACTTCTGTTTGCCATCTTCAACTTTTCGCAACTGCTTCACTGAACTCCTTCCCAGAGCTGGAGGGGACAAAAGGAACGGAAAAGTCTTCAGCTTTTGTGCACTACTGGCCACTCGACACCATTGCGCGACAAACTCTTCCATCACAATGTGTATGAACCACGCCGTCACGGACGTGAACACCCTTTCAAACTTCAAAGATGTCGTCACAAGGCACACTAAACTTGAATTCACCATCGACTTCGATCGCACCATCCTTGTTGGATACACAGCAGTAACCCTCGAGCCAAAAGTCGGGAGTCTTCATGAGGTCATTCTCGATACAAGCTACGTGGTCGTGAAGGATGCCAAGATTGGCGACAAGTCTGTTCAATGGACATTGAGAGCTGATAAGGATCAGAACGGAAGCCCTCTCCATATCCAACTTGACCGGGTTTACTCACTCGGTGAATCGTTTGAGCTTGCCGTACGTTAGAAGGCCCCCAAAATCTGACACAGATTACATCTAACGTGAATTTCATAAAGATTAACTTTGAGACCACGACGAAGACGACTGGCCTCCAATGGTTTGGTCCAGCTCAAACAGACGACAAGAAGTTTCCCTTCATGTGTATGAACCTCCGTCACACTGATGGTCCAAGGCAACGTGGATTAACATTGCCCAGTTTCGCAGGGAGAGCCTGTGCATGCTCGCTCCATGTTTCCGTGCCAAGACACCCCATCTATCAAGACAACATTTGATATCATCATTCACTCTACGCTGCCTGTTGTCGCGAGTGGTGTTCCCGAGGACGAGCTGATCTTCCCTCCAGTCAAGTTGCCTCTGGACACGAAGACGTACAGGTTCAAACAGGATATTCCAATTTCGAATTATCTCTTTGCTGTGGCTAGTGGGTATGTGATAAGTAGTCTGTACCTCTCACCTGCAGTCCCACTGACTGATTTCTACCAGTAACCTCGCAGGCGAGCAGATTGGTCCAAAGAGCTACGTCTATTGTGCGCCGGACGACATCGAAGCCTGCAAAGCGGAGTTCCAACCGGATCTTCATGCCATCATCAAGTCTGCTGAAGTAAGTAAGCTTATACAAAAGGAAAGCATTATTAATCACTGACGAGTGATTCAGAACCTCATTTTCGAGTACCCATGGCCGCTGTATAACCTTGTCGTCCTTCCGAAGTCGTTTCATTTAGGAGGCATGGAAAACCCCATCTTCAACTTCTACAGCGCCACTGTGGTCTCGGGAGACAGGGAAAACATTTCGGTCGTGGCTCATGAGTTCGCTCACAGCTACAGTGGCAATCTGGTAACCAACGATTCTTGGGAGCACTTCTGGTTGAACGAGGGCTGGACAGTTTACATCGAGCGCTGCATCATCCGGGACCTTCGTGGAGAAGATGCCGTGCAGCTCGACACCATTGTTGGATGGCAAGACTTGCTTTACAACATCGAGGCTTATGGCGGCAACGACAGCGTGTTCACCAGCCTGGTCCTTCAGTTCGATGGCAAGAGGCCAGACGATGTCATGTCGAAGATTTCATACGAGAAGGGCTACACCTTCCTGTGTCACCTCGAACAGAACGTTGGAAGAGAGAAGTGGCACAAGTTTGTCCCTCATGTAAGCCCTCCAACCCGCTAGGACACAAATCACAAGCTTTTGCCAGGAATCTAACATATGTTCTCCAGTATTTCAGGACTTTTTATGGGAAGAGTGTCAACTCTGCGCAATTCAAGGACTGCGTTCTTGACTTCTTTTCAGCAGACAACGATGCAGCATCGGCGTTGGCCACCGTCGACTGGGATGCTTGGTATCACAAGCCGGGACCACCGCCGAAACCAGATATGAACTCCAAGCTCTACGAGGACTGCATATCGCTAGCAGACAAATGGAAAACGCTCACGCAGGGTTCTTCATTTGAACCCAGCGCCGAAGATGTCAAAGACTGGACTGTTGGCCAACTTCTGGTATTCCTCGACCTGCTGATCGACAGCCCGAACCCTGTGCCTGCAAGTCACACCAACTCCCTGGGTGTAGAGTATGGTCTGCGAGATTCCCGCAATTTTGAGGTTGTCAGCCGATATCTTCGAGTCGCACTGCGAGCAGGCGACAAAGGAGTATTGAAACGGACTCAAGAGGTCCTTGGCCAGACTGGACGGATGAAGTTTGTCAAGCCGCTGTAAGACTTCCCTCTCCAGCAACTGCAAGTATGGTACTGACTTCGTTCTCAGCTTTGAGGGGTTGATCTCCATAGATGACAACTTGGCACTCGAAGTTTTCAATAGGCATCGTGGCTTTTACCATCCTACATGTCTGCGGCTTTTGAAAACGGTGCTTGAGAAAAACGGGATCAAAGTCGAGTAACGCTAGGTTGGGTTTGTATCGTTAGCGCGTTAACTGGTCGATGCGACTTTTTTAGAGAACAAAAAAGAAGAATGAGTAGCTAATTGCTTTGTCATGCAACTCGTCATTGTAACTAAGTCTTGGATGGTCGCAATTTCGGATTTCAGCATGACTGTGATGCTCCGAAGCAAAGCCAGCGAAGCCTTTCTCAGAAGTCTGGACTAGGGAATTGACGGAAACCTTAACATTCAGTTCCATAACTCCATGTCTGTCAATTGACTGGGGTTTCTCCGCAGTACAGACTCCGAACTGGAGTAGCGCCACTCGGCTTTACTTCTAGGTAACTGATGTAAACCCGATTTCTGCTTACCTTCCCAGGCGCGACCGTCCGACCGTCCGGTGCCGATGGATCGCGCTAAGGCCGGTCTTGGAACGCCTCACGGTCCGGTCCCTATCTCCACGCCCTGCGTATCATTCGGCATCATGACCGCGGGACGCACTTTAGCTTTGAGACGCACCTTGGGTCAGGGCGAACAGCATATATAAAGGGTTCTCGACGACTTCATCTTGGCGAATAACAACTCAACAAACCTACAATCAGTATCGAAATACGCATCAGTACACTCTAAATACTTTACTTCAAATCAGTCAGAATGTCTTTCCCCTACAAGCAGGTCCTTCTCGTCGGCGCCACCTCCGGCATCGGTGCGGCTATGGCAGACAAACTCATCAATGAGGGCGTCAAAGTCATTGCCGTCGGTCGTCGTCAAGAGAGGCTTGATGCTTTTGTTGAGAAACATGGGTCTTCAAAGGCAGCTTCGGTCCGGTTTGACATAACGGATCGGGCTGGCTTGGACAGTTTCGTTGACGGGTAAGCTACTGCATGCAACTTTGAGCTGCCAGCATCAACAGGAGACAGAACCGCCTAACTGACATGGAAACAGAGTCATTCAAAAGTTCCCAGAGCTCGACTGCGTTTTCATCAACTCTGGCGTTCAAAGCCAAATTAGGCTTTCCAAGCCCGAAAGTGTAGACTTGGACGCATTCCGCAGCGAAATCAACACCAACTTCCTCAGCATCGTCGACCTGACCATCAAGTTCCTCCCCAAACTTCAGGAGAAGCCGCACCCTACCGGTTTGATCTTTACCGGAACGCATCTGGCGCTCATTCCGGGCGTCGTAATGCCAGCCTACTCGGCCTCGAAAGCAGCTTTGAGCTCTTTCGTCTACAGCTTGAGACAGCAACTCCAAAACTCCAGCACCAAGGTCACCGAAATCTGGGCCCCTGCCGTTCAAAGTACGTTTATCCTGATAACTCTGTGTTTGACAATAATACTGACTGTAGCAGCCGAGTTGCATGATTACATGGGAGAAGAGCGCGGCCGAGCCATTGGCATACCGGTCCAAGAGTTCACCGACAAGACGTATGCCCAGCTCGTTGCCGGGTCTGAGGATGTGCTCGTTGGCTCTGTTGGAGCCGAAGGCCCGTACCTTGAGATCTGGAATGCCCGGAAAAAGCACTCAAATGACGTATCAAACTTCCTCTTGTCTCACTTCCAGCTGTAGAATTCTCGTGTCCCAGGAAACGAGCATCGACTGTCAAGCGTTGATAGAACATGGATGATGTGCAAGAAACACGGCAAAGTAGCATTCAATCAGACTAGATACTCTTAGTTGGTCTCAAGAAAATAAAGTTTCACTTTGATTAGCTATTCAACTCTTGGTATTCACAAGCTTTGATGATGAGTTGACGTGCGCTGTGTTATTATCGCAAATCCTCGAACCTTCTGAGATTCCATGTCGTAGCTAAATCAAAGGTGCTCATCATTTCCCAAAGCATAACATACTTAAATCAGAAGGCGCGAGTTCTGTAGCTGAATGTATTGAGGTGAGATTGATACTAAGTCGAGTTGCGGTATTTAAAGTCATAAATAACAGCGGCTGAGTCTGGCATGCTCTCATACGATGGCGCGAGGTTGCTTGAGGCTCCTCACCGCCACTTTTTACCCTTTCAGTCCAATGACGACAACGCTGCTGAAGACCCAGGGGAAGGGTACGAGGTCATCGGCTCCCACAGAGATTACCACGTCCCATTGCAAGTGTTGAGGCCTCCTTCGTGATTGGCCCACTGGCTCACAACGTCAGGCAATTGATTCTTGGACTAGGGGAACTGAGAAGCCAAAGCCACGAGAGTTAAGGATTGCGGGTGGACAGTCAGGGGGAGGCTCGGTGGGACCGAAAAGACCTCTCAACGGGACGGAACCCCCACTGTGAAGCATGGCAGATGGAAGATTCAGTTCAGCCCAACACGAGAACAGGAAAGGCGGTGATGCTCGCGGCTCCTTGGGAATTGTTGCCGGCGACATTGACCAGGCAGATCATTTTAGTGAATGGGGGCCCGTTATTTCCATCAAGATTGAGTGGTCTAACTTGACGCGTCGGCGCCAACCAGGGGTCCAAAGCGAGAGGATTGGTGTGGGCTTAGATGACATCAGCGAAGCAACTGAGATGATGATACGCCATCCCGAAACTTCACATCGTTTGAAATGCGAATGTGCTCTGAATCCTAATGATGATCTATCAGTGGGCTTCACCGCTCTCGTGGGGGCCGGTTCAGAACTTCAGTCAGAATTCGTCTTGGATTGCAAGTTTGCGAACCCCATCCAGTCCGGCATTAGTTCGTGGCTTTAATGATGATCTTCCGCGACCCCGGTCAACAACTGCGGACCCGCAGATCAGAATTCTCCGAGCGTCAGAACACCCACGCAATGTTTCCGAACCAAAAGATTTGGTCAAATTTGAAGTAAGCTTAGATCGGCATGTCGCATTCTTGGAAGCACTTCTGTCATTTTGCTTCTGGAGTCGTTAGCAAACATATCGACGCTGGTATTTTCGCGCTCAACTCAACACTCAGTGACAGTACGGATACCTTTGGTTAGCCAAACAGCAAACAACGTTGCTCATCGGGACAGCGGGCCCTCATTTTGAGTTACGAATTCGCACCAAGACGGCAAACCCGGAGTCGACCCCGGCTCGCAAACGGGAGCCTTACGCAGGGGTCCTGGAAAGCTAAGTGCCCTGTCAGACCGAATTGGTCATGATGGGCATCCCAAACGGGAAACCTCGAGTGCGATCCTCGTCTTCGGCATCGTGATGAGAGTCATGAATCCCAGTCTTTGGACATTGCGTTCAGCGCAAGAAAGCTGGGGTACGATTGTTGGATCTCCATGCCCCTTTATCGGTCGGTGGAGGAGGAGGAGGGCTTTTTCAACACCAACAACGATAGTCCCCATCATCGCATACTTAAGGAGTGGTCTTGGTCTCCTCCAGAACACCATTCTTCTCTCATCATCATCAGCATCCTCACCCAGTCACTCCTTTTCTGGTTTCCAGCGCAAGCTCGTCATTCTTTACTTTACCAACCAACACCACATTCATTCCTTCTAATTCATATTCTTAATCCAAAACCGCAACCATGAGATTCTCCAACATCTTTGCTTTTGGCTCCATCTTCGCCTCCGCCCTGGCGGCCCCCGCCATCCTGGGCGATGCCGAGAACACCGTCTCCAAGGCCGGCGGCCTCGTCGGCGCCGAGGTCCCCAAGGTTCCCGAGGTTCCCAAGGTCCCCGTCGTCAACGACATCCTCAGCACCCGCGCCGAGCAGGTCGTCATCACCAAGATGAAGACCGTCGTCGTCGACTGCAAGAAGCACACCTCCGTCATCAACTCCACCGTCGAGGAGGTCTCCACCTGCAACTCTTGCGCCACCGCCAAGAAGGCCGACATCATCAAGACCGTCAAGAGCGAGGTCACCATCATCATCAACCTCATCACCACCCTCATCAGCGAGGTCACCGACCTCCTTGAGGACACCGTCGAGATCGTCGAGGAGGACAAGCAGCAGATCATTGGCCTCGTCCTCGAGCTCGTCTTCGAGATCATCTACACTCTCCAGCACGTCGTCAAGGTCCTCTCCATCTCCATCTTCGAGCTCCTCGGACCCCTTGTCTTCGCCCTCCTCTCCGTCATCGTCCACCTCCTTACCACCCTCAACGTCATCGTCGAGAACCTCCTCCAGATCGTCTTCGCTACCCTCGGCGGTGTCATCAACCTTCTCACCGAGGTCCTCTCCGGCCTCCTCCCCACCGTTCTCGGCCTTGTCGGTGGTGTTCTTGACAAGCTCAACCTCGGCGGCCTCATCTGCGGTCTCCTTAACTAAGTTCTTGCATCTTCTTTGCAGAGCCTAGGCACTTCGATTGGCGATGGGAGCATTAATCCGTAATTGTAGATGTTGGAGGAAGATGAACATGCTTAGAACATGCCATCAAAGGTCAGGATGCTCCTCGACACTACAATCACGGCCCATCTGCCTTTCACTTCTTTTGTATATGCAGCTTAGATATTGATACCAATTGAACAAGTTGTCTTCACATTAACCGACCGAATTGTGACTGCCTCACTGGCCTTGTGACTCTTGATATGAAACGAGCTTTGTTTGTAAACTTGATTAGTTGGTAATGAAGACTGCTTCTCATTTCCAACAAGTGACTTGTAAAGGGCGCAGTCCCTTTATGTTTGATCGCGTAGTCTGTTTTGTGAAACTAAACCGATATGTGGTCATCGCTGTGAAATGTCAAGCATTGTAGTACTGCTAAAGTAACTCGATCTTTTTCAATTGGTCTTAAGAGGATTTGTCTTTCGTGTTTGCTTCTAATGAAACTTGCCTCGCCTTGATTATCTGAAGTACCGTCCCTGCCAGCTTCACTATATCCGACTTTAGTAAACGTAGTCTACCATCCCGATGCGCGCACCCAGACATCCACCACCTTAGCACGGTCGCCGTCCACATCGGAATCAATCACCAGATACCATCCATACATCGCGCCTGCCACACATGCATGGTTGGGGTATATCCACACAGTCTTGCCAACATCAAGGGGTACTGCCGGCAAGCTCGCGGCGCTGTCATCCGAGCTGGTGTCCCACGTCAGAATCGAGTGTTCTTGGCTGATTCTACCGACTACGAGTCGATGCTTCGTTTCAACTTCCCTGGCGTAGGACTTGCGGCTGACGACGCCCCAGCCGCTGTATGACGGACAAGGCTCACGCCCAAGGCCAAGTACACCAACAGCAGCAAGAGCCTCGGGTTGTTCCCTTTCGCCGTTATTGTACACGCTGCAAACTTCAGCCGCAACGAAGACTGCGACCTCATCTTCGGCGTCGCCCAAGAAGGTCCGGGCGTGCGTGGAGAGTTGCTGGTTGTCGAGCACGGGGTAAACACCGGCGTGCAGCTCGAGGTTGACTCGGAAGCCGAGGAGCTCGCCCTTTGTGACTTCTTGAATGGTTCGGCGGAGGTGCTCGCTGTCGGGATTCTTTGACGCGTTCGCTCCTGCGATGTTCTGGACTGCGGTCACTTGCGGCGATGCCCCGACGCTGATGGTCAGTTGTTTCTCTTTCGAGAAATACTGCGAGTTGGTCTGAAGAGCATCGACGCAACCCCTGATTTCGCCGGCGAGGTTGTCCATTGCTTGCTTAGCGGTCGTGTCGGCATAGCTGAGACTGCTATGAGAGTATAGACCAATCAGGGTGGCCTTGTCATCAGTCTCAAGTTGCATGACCTTGCGAACTAAGTCGTTTTTGTTGAGACCTGCGGGTGGCAAGCCTGCCCGGTGGTATCCCGTATCAACCTTCAGGTAGACCCCTGCTGCAAAACCAGCCTGTTGAGAGAAGAGAATTAAGGCATCGAGCTGGTTCGGGTGATCGATCATGAATGTGATGCTGCCGGGGCTGAGCTCGCGTGCCAAGTCTGCAACGCGGCTTGCCTGCGATGGCGGCAGAGGGATGCCATAGAGAACGTTGACCTTACGGCCCTTCACTTGAAACTCTTTGAGAAGTGGTAACAAGTTTTGTAGTTCAGAGACAGTGGAAACTACAAGTTTGACATCTGTGGAGTCTTCTCCTACTTGCAGGCGAGCAAGCTCAGTTGTCTAATCTTAGAGAGTCAGCCATGGTTATCTTACCAAATGCCCCCATTTTAGACAGCCGCAGATCATAGATGACTCTTGTTTTCAGGCGACAGGGGACTTTCGCACCTTGTGAGTCTTAACATGAGCGCGAAAGCCCACTCCCAGAGCCTTCACAGCATCGAGCATGGACTTGCAATGCCTGCGAGTTTTCGCAACATCAAGGACCACCGCCGGCTTCGGGACGTCGTCAACATCTTTTCCGACATAGAATTGCCGAAGTTCATCCACCGACGGCAGCAGGCGTTGTGGGATGCTCATGGTTGCGGTTGGTTTCGGAACCAGAAGAGACAATAAGTTGCTTGTATGGCGTAATGGCAAGGGTCGGTCTCGTCCAATCGGCTTGATCAATTGATAGTGCACTTGTTATCAGGCCGGTTCTGGACTCTTTTTACGATCATTCCGTCGGGACTGGCTTGATGATATATCGCGCCCTTTGTCGGCCCTACTGTCGGAAGGGCGTGTTTGACGCCGATGTCAACAGCGGCATGTAGAAGCCGCGGGGGATACTTCTACCGCCGGCGGCCGGCCGGAGTGGTTTAGTGGGGCGACATCGGAGACCGACCCCGCACTTGTCCGAAAGCGGAAGTATTGTACGGCCAATTGACGAAACATGTTCCACGGCACACTCAACGGTGTTACTGGCATTCAGGGGTCTCAGGTAAGGTTATGATATCTTACACAGATTCCCGAGACATTCTACTTGTGGTCAACATACATATACAGCTTAAGAACAGCCAACTCCCGTAGCATCCAACGATGGATTTGAAGCGACTATTTGCACGAGCTGCAAGATAGCGGACATGCCGGACGTCACGTGTAACATTGGACAGGCGCCAGCCCCTCGGCCGGCGCCGGCGCCCCGCTATTGCCACCCACCCCGGCCATCAAATTTTTGTCTGACAAAAGGATCAAGCGCGTGGGTCGAGCACGCAAAAAGGCCTTCGGCGGACCTCTGTTCCTTTCACTGATCAAAGGTGCAGCTGCTGCTGCCCACTGCAACCGTCTCCAGTCTCCGCCGCTGATTTCTCGTCAATCGCTCGTCCAGTGAGCGATCGTCGACTTCACTTCCCAAAGGCCCCTTTCCGTGACCAGCAACGCGACGAATATGACGGAGAGCCAACCGCTGCTGGAGGACCCTCTTTGCGAGGAAGATGTCGCGAAACACCTGCTGGATTTCGATCCCAATGGCGACCCCGAGAACCCGAGAGAATGGCCGACGGCGTTCAAGTGGACCATTGTCGGTCTTTTGGCATGCATGGCCTTCACCGTGTATGAACTGCTGCCCCCGGCTTAACTTTTAGCCTGCAACTTGACTTTCCAGCTTCAAATGCTAACTCGGTGACAGAACCTTCACTTGCATCTCCGTCGTGCCGATCGCCGCTCACATCATCGGTGACCTCGACCACGATGACGGCACCAACTCACCCGCGAGCGCTCTGCTCGTCACCATCTGGGAGCTGGGTGAGGCCGCGGGACCTCTTCTCATCGCGCCCCTCTCGGAAATCTACGGTCGGAAGCCGGTCCTGAACGCCGCCAACATCCTCTTCGTCACGGCTACCGTCCTGGCCGCCCTCAGCACCAGCACGCCGCTTCTCATCGCCGCCCGCGCCCTCACCGGACTCGCTGTCGCCACCAACGTTCTGAACCCCGCCATCATCGGGGACATGTTCGAGGCCGACCAGCGCGGCTCTGCGATCAGCATGGTCTCCCTCGCACCTCTCGTCGGAGGCGCCGTCGGCCCCATGATCAGCGGCGCAATCGCGCAGACTGTGGGCTGGAGGCGCGTTTTGTGGATGAGCGCGGGACTGGCTGCTGCTTGCGAGGTTCTCTTCCTGTTCTGCTTCAGGGAGACCTACAAGATGACCATCCTTAGACAGAGGGCTGCCAACGCGCAGCATGAGTCCGGGGCTCCGCTTCACCCGGCCGGCGTGGATGACCACAAGAGCATGATCAAGCTCTGGGAATCCATCAAGCGGCCCGGCACCGTTCTGATGAAGTCGAGCGTCTTGCTTGCCATGTCATTCTTCGGCTGCGTTACCTTCGCTTACTTCTATGTCATGTCAATCACACTGCCGACCATCCTCCAGGACGTATATGGCTTCTCCCCAGCGATGACGGGCCTTTCGTTCATGTCGTTCAGTACGTTCCCCTACTTTCTACCCCGATGACGAACCCGGTCTAACGAAATATAGGTGTCGGTTCCTTCATCAGTGTCCTTGTCAGCAACTTCAGTCTCGATCGGATCTACATCAAGCTCCGTGGCAACGATCCAGTCGGACGCCCGGAGTATCGACTGCCGCTTCTACTTATCGGGGCTTTCGGTTTACCCCTGACCATCATCGCCTACGGCTGGATCACGCAGTTGCAGCTGCATGTTGCGCTACTACTGCTGTCCGTCGCGATGCAGGGCTTCATGATGCTGATTTGCTCTTTGCCTCTGTCCGCCTACGTCGTTGACGCGTGCGGCATCTACTCCGCATCCGCCATGACCGGTGTCATTGTCACGAGATGCTTGGCAGGCACCTTTCTGCCTCTTAGCACGGGCCCTCTGATCGAGTCTTTCGGACACGGCTGGGCGTTCACCATCCTGGGAGGCGGCATCATCCTCCTTGCCCCCATTCCCATTGTCGTCATGAGATACGGCCACGTTTGGCGCCAGAAGTCCGAGTACACGAGAGACGCTTAAGATGTTACGATGTAATGAGAGCACTATGACGCACGTATTACAGTCTTGGAACGGGATCATGCTCTACGAGGAAAATTTTTGGAATTCTTCATGTACTAATGACTCAACTCATGGCTAGGTGCATTGCCGGTTGGTACCTAAAATATTCGTTAGATTTTTCATAGGCGTTAATGCCATTATCTGCTTCGGGGTTCATTTCACCACCCTCTTCATCGCCGACACTGTAGACATCAGCAGACCTCAGGTCCGAGCCGCATTCCACTTCTCAAACGCCTCGACAGCTTCAGCGACCGAATCGTGGCCCAAAAGTTCCCTCTGGTAGTCCAGATCGATCCACCGCCAGCCCGTGGGCGACAATCCATCTGCGAGCTTGGCACCTGCCATCTCCGCATCTCGCGCCCTTTGCTCGGGTCCGTCCGGTATCTGATACCATTTCTGATTCGATTTTGCGCCTTGGACGTTGACGGTGGTCCGTGACTTTCGCAGGGACTCGTACAGCCGCAGCACCTCCGGAATCAACTCCGTCGGGTTTCCTTTAGAAGAGGCTTTAAGCAGGCCCAGGAGTTTCCCGAGAACGGCCCCGTCTTCGACTGCCATGGCTGCCCCTTGGGCCTGGTATGGGAGACTTGGATGACAGGAGTCGCCTAGGAGGGCCACGCATCCCTGGTTCAGTTAGTAGGTGACTCGACGGGCTTCCATGTGTGAGGACAGCCGCAGAGTAGGTATAGATCATACCTTTGTCCAAGTCTCCAACTCAGGATGCGTGCAAAGCTTCCACTTTTGTACTCTCGATATGCATGATATCAGCTTGGTAAGTCTGCAGCGGTCAGTCAGACGTGACATGCAGTAACCGGTATCTCCGATCCGTGCTGAGAGACGCTAAGTGGTTCGGAGATTAGAGGTGAACCTACGTCTCGTCCCAACCTTCATAGCTCTGTCTCATCTCACCAACATCTCCTTCGACGTGTCTTTGCCCAGGCGCCATATCATCGGGTCTGAGCAGAACGAGATTGAACTCCTTTCCTTCCCTCACAGGATAGAACACCGTATGCTTGCAAGGCCCCACCCAGACGGTGACTTGCTTCCGAGCACAGAGTTCGTCGATGCTGGGGTCTTTGAGACTCTTGAGGTATTCCAGTGGGAACGTTGCTCGGTACGCCAGATCTCCCGTCTCGACTGCCGGTGACGGTGTTCCAAGGAGCTGGTTTCGACATATTGAGTACAGGCCTCTCCAAATCAGCACACGTAGTCTAGGGCTCGAGGCAGAACAACTGATACTCACCGTCAGCACCAATGATTACGTCTCCAGAGACATCATCACCGTCCTCGAGCCAGACGGTGTTAGACTCAAAGTCGATTCTCTCAACATCCATATCCAAGCACAAGTCCACACCGAGCGATCTGCAGGTGTTCCACAAGACGGCATGGTAGTCGGCCCTGTGGATGACCATCCACACATCCCCGTACTCCTCCTTCGACTTCTTCGCGGAAAGCGAATAAAGACGTTTACCGTCGGCGTACCGCCTCAGCTCCATCTCGTCGATGACGACAGCGCGCTGCAACACCTGATCCAGGAACCCCAGCTGGCGAGCCACCCTGGTCCCGTTCGGGGGCACCTGGATACCGGCGCCTATCTAAAATCCCAGTCGGCACGTCAGCGGAACAAGCTTCAATCCCACGGAAGAAGCCGAGCCACGGCTCACTCTCGTGACTCACGGGCACAAGTCTGTTCGCCCTCTCGAGGACCACGACCTCCAGTCCCTCCCTCCTGCACGCAATCGCACAGGCGAGACCGCCCAGCCCCGCTCCGATGATGAGGACCTTCATTTTGCGTCGGCGATTTTGGCGCAATCGGTTTCCCGGGAGCACGGAATTTTCCCCGGGTTGGAAGATGCGGAGGAGAGATCTGGCGTATGTGGCACTACGAATGCGAAGAGGAGGAATACGCATGCGAGATAGCGGCGCCGCGCTGCCCCGCGCGGCCCGAAACCCACATCGGTAGCGTACCCGCTGCGCAGCAATGTCATCGGGAACTCTAAACCGATCTTCCTTCCCCACCTCCACACCGGTAAGACGTGGACGAGAAGACGAAATGAGGTAGCGGAAAGACCAAGATGTTTGCCGAATTCCCGTGGCATGGAACCAAACCCGCCTCTTGGAAGGTCTGTGGCTCGGCCGATTCGGGTGGCTTGAACAGCCCGAGTGTCTGTTTCTAAAAGCCTAATTCCGATCACTTACACAATGTTAACGAGATAAGACTCTGTTTCTTCTCTTTGTTCTTTTGCTTATTGAAGGGAAGATCAGTCGAGCTGTACCACGCTCTGGCTCATGAAGCTGCGACCCATACTGTTCTATTCTTTTGCGACATGTGTTTGCGGGAAGCAGTACGACCTATCCGGCCAGATGGCTTACACGCCTGGCCGATGTGAAGTCAAGGCAGCAACGACATGAAGACAATTCAGACTAATCTCAACGTAATAGTCAATTCAGTAGGTTAATTAGCCCGTATACTTCTTTCATACCTCCTCTTCGCAGGTTGCGTTTCGGTCCGCGGACCCGTGTGTGCAGCTCAGGGAACTCATGACTTCCCCAACACCGTGATGTTGAACCTGATTCGCAGATACTATGTGTCACTCCACTAAACTGCTAGATCCCCCTAGGCTTTGGCTTACCGAGCACAGATCTGTGTATATCAGATGGATCCAGACGGTTCTGCGCGGTATCTGCCAAGGCCAGTGACAGCTACTAGAAGCCACCGTAGCTTCAATTTAGGTGTTGAGAAATAGGATGGCATGAGACGCACATCACTTTAGTAGACTGTCGTCATTTTCTTCAAAAAATACGCACACGATGTCAGCCACTGGTGGTAGAAAGATGTTTGAGGGTAACTCAACGACATACCCACGACAATTCCACAGGTTGCTAAGGCACTCACTTGAACATACATCGGAATTGGTGTAGCCCGTAGCGAGAAACCGTTATGGCGTACTGCGACGTCCTCGAAACAACAAGTTCGGACTTGTCATAGATCAGGTTGGGAGTGGCGATAGATTACAGCATACAATCCATAATCCTCCATCTCCGTCGCAGAAACATTCTGGCGTCGGCAAGACTGTTACACCGACTCGTTATCAAGTGGCCTCCAGCAGAGGTATAATCGAGATTCACAATGTGCCACGGGGCTTACAAAAGAATCGTTGGAAGTCGCTGCGATTTGCTTACAGGCCGAGCTCCGGCCCCGTGTCTCTCTAAGGCTTGGTATCCAGAGCAGTTCTCGTAATGTTTACTGAGCTTCGGAATCCGAGGAAGAAAGATTAATTCGGAACTCCGAATACGCCGTACCTGGATGCCGCAGAACCTCCGCTCATATCGAGATCTCACGCCCACCATTCCCAAAGAGAAATGGGAACACATAATCCATCCAGGAACAACGGTTTTGGGAATAGCCACAAGACTGTATGATGACTGATTCTTGATCACAAGAGACGGGCTCCTCGGGGTGGCTTGTCGGGGTCCAGAGTCGTGGAGGCATAAATCCAGCCCTACCATCCCTGCGGCTGATCCGATCTTCCCGTAGCCCTTGCCCCTCGACGTCACGCCACACAACGCCCGCGGGAAGTGGAGGTTTAACTCTCTCCATATATCATATTCCCCTTAATCCCCGGCTACCTAATCGGGGAATCGAATCACCTTCAGACGAACGTCGCCGAGCGCGGGCGTGCGTGCGGGTGCGGGCACGCGGCTCTTTCGCACCTATCTCCAGTCCGTCCTGTCCGCGGGATTCCACGATGTCCAACAACCCGCCGTGGCCCCTTTTTAGCCCGGGGCACCCGACGGCTTGGTCGGACGCCTCTGCAAGGCAGGCACACTCAAATCAGTAGCTTTGATTTCTTATCATACCGCTTATGTCCGTTCCATATAGGCCTTGACCTTCGGATTTTATATAACGTTTACGTCTTCGTTCTCGTTACCCTCCAGGATTGGCCCTAAATGCCGTTCATCGTCGAGAAGAGAGTGGCTCTACCCCGTATGGCTTTCCAAGCCCTTGTGCGATACAATCACCACGGACAAGTTTTCTATGGCAATCTTGTGCGGAGAAGCAGGAGCGGTTATGTGATCGAACGACTGGGAGGGAATGTTGATGATGGCTTCATTAACACCAATGTGAGGGACACAGTGACGAAGGTGAGAGCACAAATTGAGATTAAAAGGGCAGAATTTGAAGGGATTGAACATGGAAACTAACAGGCGTCGTCAGCTCCTGTGCCCTTTGGATAAAACTCCAGGAATTGTTTGTCTTGGCCTCAACTTCATGCGTTACGCAGAACAAGCAAATGTGAGGAAGAGAGGCCTGCTTTCTATATGTTGACTTAGTTCATAGCTAACAAACCTGAAGCTCCCAATTGCCTCGTACCCAATAATCTTTACGAAACCTCCAGACGCCCTTTCCGGGCCCAACGATCCGGTGAAAGTCCACCCCGATGCTCAAAGTCATTTAGACTACGAAGGAGAGCTTTGCGTGGTGATTGGCAGAGACGCGAAGAACGTATCAGAAGCCGACGCATTAGATTACGTGCTGGGTTACTCCGCCGGAAACGACCTCACGGCTCGCAACTTCCAAGTCCCCGACGCTTCTGGGGGGCAGTATTCATACTGCAAATCATTCGACGGATTCGCGCCGATTGGGCCAGCCATTTGGTCGCCTACCGTTGTCCCCGACCCGCATGCGCTGCGCTACCGTACGACTGTGAACGGGAAGGTGGTCCAGGAAACATCGACCTCGGACATGATTTGGACCGTGGCGCAGGTGATTGTTCACCTGTCGCGTGGCACGACGTTACGAAAGGGGACTGTCATAATGATGGGGACGCCGGCAGGTGTGGGTTACTTTCAGGGGAAGTTCCTGAAGGATGGAGATGTTGTGGCAGTTGAAATCGACGGGCTGGGGAAGATCGAAAACAAGATTGTTTTCGAGAAGCCAGAGGAGATGGACTTATGAGGATCATGCTGTGTCGATTTCAGGCCACGGTAATGTGACCGTGACTTTGATGATGATGAGAAACGACGGCCTCTTACGTCTTATTTTTTGGATGTATGATGAATTTTTGAATTGGAGGCGTCTCAACGATATACGAACAGACATGAGGTAGGGATTGGAAATATTGAGGGGGTCTACGTACGACTTTGTAACTTATCACAAGGTATAGATTTCTTTGTCAAAGAAATGTTAGGAACTTCTTGTTTTGTTTGTAGCATAGTTTCTAGGTTATGCACTTGGGCTTTCGACCCTTTGCACCACAATACACAGTTTTGCTTGGCAATGTCGGTATCAAATCATTTGATGTAAGTGAAGCTGTCTAACTGCATAGTATGGCTGTTTTACAGTAGACCGACATCTCTTTTAAAGTTCTGCAACCACAGAACTACATCAGCGGGTGTCTGATTCCACGGGTCGGGCCTATTTCATTAGTATCCGTCTCGTTACGGGCCATATTTTAAGTTATAGATGTCAAGGTCTTTCGCAAAACACCGTCGGAATGCGCAGAACCTTCAAGAACCAAAATGGCAAAGCGAAAAATAACTTACTCGTCATAAATAATCCACCTAGCCTGGTGTTTGATCTCCTCGTCAGTTGGGACGTGGCAGTTAGGGTTGTTGGGAGACATCGTGCTCTTCACGAAGCGAGACAGCTCCCTTGCAAGATGCAGATATCTGTTGTGGTCGTTCAGGAAGAACGGCATTCCGTTCCCTCGGGGGCGTTCGTACTCTTGAAGCGACTGGCCAGACCCCGCAAAGAGTGTTTGTGCCATTTGTTGCCGCAAATACAAATCCTCCGTAGCTTCTGGGGAGCCTTGGGTTGAAAAGATGGCAGGTGTTTGCAAAGAGGTCTTGTGCGAGGTAGTGGTCTGGAGAGCCCCATTCGAATCTAAGAATGGCGGCACTCCGTCCGCTTCAAATCCCATCTTCTTCAGACCCTGCATATCCCCATTGAAAAAGCTCATTAATTCACTGGGAGAGTTTTCTGAGAGTCCGATTGGAGGCTCCCCCGCAATATCTTCGTATGACGACTGCGTGCTCCTTCGGCGAAGAGGACCGATCCATGTTGTCGATGATTGTATCGTTCGAGTTAGAAAGCCTACAAACCTGCTTGAAGGGTTTCCGGAGAATTCGTCAACGCGGCGTAGAATAGCGCAGGCTTCTTGCTGGATCTCCTTATCCGAAAGAGGCAAGCCTATGCCATCATGCAAACCGACGTGGCGGCATAATTGGGACTCAAGCTGGCACCCTTCAAAGATGTCGGACTTCCCGTTGATCTTGAGCTGGCTCAGGCGTATGTCAAGCAGCTGGTTCATGGGGCGCAAACGAGCCCGCGCCGTTATCTCGGTCGAACTCATGAAAACATCCCTGAGCCAGGAAGGCGACGGAGAAGAAGTGGCCGCGGACGAAACAAACTCTGCGCCGAAGATGATGCTGCATCCCTCGTGAATGAGCTCGTCATCGGATGGCAAGCTGTCCCGGTTCTCGTAATAGTTACGAACGTAGTACTCCACTTCAAGCTTGAGGAGCTCGTAAGCGCTCGAGGCCGTGTCGGCTGGCCCGACGCTCGCGGTGAACGGGACGGGACCGCATAATTCAAACTGGATCAAGTCTTGTGTCGACAATCATCAGCAACAGATCCAAAAAGAAACCGCAAAGAACTTACATGGCGGCATGGCTTTATCTAGGATCTCCAAGACTGAAGGCTCGAATCCCCAGTCTCCCTTCCAATCTCCCACCGTACTCCCATTCTTGAAGTGATCCGCAAGATGATCCCCTCTGTCTGCCCAGGTCTCGAACTTTGCGTCGCAAAAGCCGCATCTCGAACGAATCTTACTTTTCGTCGTCTTCCACTTCTCCATCAGCGGAGTCATCTGCTTCGACCCATGTACGAGTTTCAGATGTTGCCGGAGATGATCTTTGCGGTAGAACGTCCGGTCCTGGAATGGCCGCTCTGAGCAAGCAGCGTGGTTGTGTTCGTCGACATGGGACTTGCTGGGACCAGGCTCCTCGCAGTAGACGCATATCTCACCCTTTTCAGGATGCTCTTCTGTAGCACCATTTGGACAGCAAACCCACTCTTCGAGCGAGAGGTGAAGAGACTTCTCGTGCCGCTGCCAGTCGTATTTTGTCCTGAACGTCTCCGTGCAGAAGGTGCACTGGTAAGTGTTGCGTACTCCTAGCAACCGACCACGCCCACCCTGTTGAGCCTTCGCAGTCGCACGGCGTCTCCGCCTGCTTGAGAACTTGTTCGAACCTTGTGATCCATCGGATCGTCTTGTTCGGTAAGAATAAGCAGAGTTATCCGAGCCCCTGCTTGAGAGAGACGTTGCGGCGCTACTGTTGGAAGAAGCGTGTCCGGAGGACCTTCCCGGAGACCGAGAACGACTCGAAAGGCCCGAATACCCAGATGATGCCGCTACGGCTCGACTAATGTCGGAGACAAGTGCGGGCTCGTGCTCGGGCGGGGAGTGCTCCCATCGCTGCATGGGGTTCATGAGCTCCAGAGGCATCGGCGTCGGCCGCCGGGTTGGGATCTCGACGGCTCCGGTTGTCGTCTCGGTCCACGACGGGACTTGCGCGGAGGACGCGGCGTACGACCGAAACTTCCTTCGACGGCGAGTGTTGGCGAACCAGTTAGTGATCTGCTGCCTTTCCAACCCCGTCTGGTTTTGCAACCTGTCGATGTCTTTCGGCGTCGGGTAGGGGTGTCTTTCATGGTTATCGAACCAGGTCCTCAAGACTTTGATCGCGCCAGAAGTAAATCGGCTGCCGATTTTTGATGGCAAGGTCACTGAAGGCTCCCGCGGTTTTGTAGTGCTCGCCGCAGGCACTTCGTCGTCGAATGTCTCGGACAGGAGAACGCCGCCGGATGCGCTTGATGCAGGGGACGCAATGCCGCTGTCGAATTCGTCCTGGATCCCACCGGGCAAATCGTCGAAGCCGGGATCAAGAGGCAGTGAGCCAAATGGATCAAATCCAAAAGCCATCTCTTCGCTGTGCTCCTGTGCGGAAGACATTACGTTGAGTCCGGTGAACCGGTTCTGGTCACGTCACTGAGGCAATCACTCATGCAAAGGCGTACGTCTCAATTGAAGAGGCAATCGGTCGCACACAGTTGCAATCATGAAGTTCGAGAATGAGAGCAAAGCGCAAAAAACTATCTCCAGGCGAACGTGATCAGATGAGAGAGAGCCAATACCGGCCGATGCCGGATGAGCGGGGTTTTTTGGGGCTTGTCACCGAAGGGCGGAACAGGAACATGGGGGCTTGACATTGACATGCAAGATCCTTCCGCCCTGAAATGACGCGCTAATCAGCGGATTGGTTAATTAGACACAACGGTCTTATCTCTAAATGATCTCTTCATACAAGTTTCAATTCCTAGTTTTTTGGCCCACTCTCAGACCGCATGTTACCGAGTTATTCGAAAGTTCAAAGAGCGTTCTGCCTAATCGTGCTTCTTTTGCATCAATCTCCGTGAGGTCCCCGAGAGATGGGGCCGGGAGGGGCCGTTGTGGGTCACGGGGTAAGCCCGACGGTCTGGGTGTTCCTGAGTGATGGACAGGGCGTCTATGAAAGAGCCCGTCATAGAGTTCCATTCCCCTGAGAGCCGGTCCCAGGCATTGCGAAATCGCCTTTTAAGCTTTAGCGTCCTATCTTAAGATAACTCTTCCCCGCTGATGAACACCAGACATTCTTCATCGTACAAGTCCGTGTCGGAGCTTGTTCCGCGTTTTAAGCACCAACGGCCCCTCATCGCCGAAAAACCTTACCGGCAGATAGGTGGTCACCGAACACTCCATCTCCATGATATAGACCGGGGTTTAGTATTCAGACCTCAGTATCCGGCGGGGCGCCGAGGAGCGCCGGAGAACACCACTTCGGACGGTGGCCCAACAATCAATCATCCCAATTCTCACAGCATGAATACGACGTATACAGACAGAATTTATGGTACTTCTGCGCGAGTTTTAGCAGCGCAACCGACATGGCCTTCACGAGCTTCGCCGTCCTCGGGATACAGAATGCGTTTCCATGAACGCCGAAATCGCAAACGCTCCCGGGAGTTACAGTTTCACGATTTCAGAATATTGAATGTTAAATGTGTACTCGCTGGGTATGGCCAGATATCAATGACCAGATTATAAGGGTGGCTGCATTGCATTGCGCGGCATATCGCATTTGTTGTATTTGTTATAGTTTCACGATGGATCCGATCTAGCACATCTCCTTCCGTGATTTCCGAATGAAGACGAGGCCGAGTTTTCCGAGACATGACCCGAGACTTCCGTTCCGTCATCGCGAAGCCCGATCCCGATCGGCCCCGACCGGCGCCGGTCTCCTCGGACTTGTTTGTTTCACCTTCCAGATCGCGCGCCGCAGCATGGATATTCATCGATCAGGATAAAACACATGCATTTAGAATTTGAATAATTGACAAGCTGAATTCTGTGTAAAAGAGAGATAGCGGGTCAAGAGAGAGAAGAATAGGGTTTGGGAAGCAGGCCCAGCACGATGTTTACCGGTCCGGGCAATATAGACGCGGAGGGATTTGAAGAGCGGGAAACGATTCACCCCGTAGTCATGCCTCGATGTGAGGTGAATAGACTGGTCAAGCAACCGAGACGGTGTACCACATCGCCTCCATCGCCCACGCGACGAAGCACTCAAAGATTCGGGGCATACAACGGCACCCGAGGCGACATCCTCTTGGCCGAAAAGCCGTCGGGAAGAGTGTTGTTGTTGCGAACAACCTTGAAGTCTCTGGTATAGATATCCCAGTGATCGCTTCGCTTAGGATCGCCAAAGGGGATCAACGCAGCGACGCGCATCCTGTCCGCTGCAGTAAGTATCAAGCAAGGAAGACATTCTGCGAAGGAGTACTTACGTGTAATTGCCAGGTTTGATTTTGAGGCCGTCGGTGAGTCTTCCGAGCCACCAGAAACGGTAGGCCGTGTATCCGTAGACGTCCCGAGACAGCTCGGTCAGCGGGCCCCTGATGATGTCCATCTCGCTGTGGAGCTCAGGGTCAAAGTAGGGGTAGAACCACTCATTGTCCTTTGGGCGCGATCAGCTTCAAATCACCAATGATGTGCGGAGGTTTCCCATACCCAGGGCGCAGCCATGCCGACGTAGCCTTTCTCGCCTGCAACGGGCGGGTAAGTCCAGTCTTTTTCCTTCCAGCCCCTTTCGAAGATGTCCCATCGGATGATTGGAGCGCCCCAACGGACCGTGATGAAAAGTCTGGGGAAGTCTTGCTTGGAAGGGTCGAGATCGAAGGAGAAGCTATGGGATTGTCAACTGGCTTGCAGACAGACTAGTGCCAGGGGATTGTGGGAGCATACGTAGGCTTGTCCTCTATCCTGGTCATGTTCTTTGAAGACAGTATGTAGGGGAAGTCTTCAGTGAACATCTGTCTAAAGTTCTTCTGGATGTCAGAGCCGACACCCATGTACGGGACCGTGAGATTCTCGCCATTGGACCCGCTGATGAGGATCTGGCCACTGTACACCGGCATTGCCGTCTGATTGAGGCCTTTAGGGGGCTTGAAGTGGAAACTAAGTAAGCGGTCAGTCACTAGCAACAAAATTGTGGATTCAAGAAAGAAAAGAGAGGACGTACGTTGCCTCCTTGGTCTCGCCAGGCCCAACCGTAAACTCGCCCTCGGGAAGCGTGACATCAGGGACCATATCCATCGGGGTATAAGTCCATGATGCTCCCGGGCCCAGGTTGAAGCCCTCAAAATCATTCAGCGCCTCAAAGCCTCCAGCCGCTTGAAGGGTGAAGTTGTACGTTATGGGCGTTGTGCAGTTGTTGGTGATGTTTACCCGGTGGCAAGACTCGAAGTGAGCGGTGTCGTTCAGCGCAAACTTGGCGCCCCAGGAAAGCTCCGTACGGTAGTCCAATATCTTGGTGGCATTGACTAGCCCGTTGCCGAGCTGGAAGACCGGGGCGAAGGCGTCATAGTCGGAGCTGTTGAATCCATCGTGCCAACGAACGGCACTGCCGCTTGCCATGATCCGGGCGGACAGCTTCTTGCCGAAGCCGCGGCCGTGTTCCCATCTTCCGCCGTACTTGCTGATGTAGAGCGCCGCGATACCGGCCACGTAAGGGGTTGACATCGACGTGCCGGACTTGACACCGAACTGGCCATCCAGCACGGTAGAGAAGATGTTGCTGCCAGGCGCCGCTATGTCGGGCTTGATTTCGAGGTCGTAGAGGCCGCCCAGGGATGTGAAGGCGGAGGCAGCACCGCGAGGGTTTTTCAAGTTGATGAGAGGCGCCTTGGTCTCGTTGAAGAACCTGACTGTGACGTTGACGCCGTCGGCGATGGCCTGGGTAATCGCGACCCCCTCCTCGTGTCCCATGACCCCTTCGACACCACGGGACAGCCAGTCGTTGGGCATCGGGTAGAGCTTATCATCGTTGAAGAACAAGACGTGTTCAGCGCCTGCAGCGTACAGGATGTACCGCTTCATTGATCCATTGCAACCGCCTTTAGGGACCACCACAAGGCGACCAGCAAGGTCAGCATCCGGGGGAACAAACCCGCAACCGACCGTGACATTGTTCGGGTCGTCTGATATCGTCACTACCCGCAAGGTTTCGTTGGTGGGGAAGTTGTGAAGAAGAGATCCGTGGAAGAAACCCCAAGTTGAGGTACTGGTATGGTTGCCGGTGTCGAAAGTGACCTCAAACGGCATGCCCGGCACATAGTCTGGCTCCACGGAAGCCACAGCGAGGACGTTTCTTCCGGACATGCCGTTGTCGGGGAAGAAGAGACCACTGTCTCCGTCGTTGCCGGCAGATATGGTGACAACCAGACCCTGATCGACCAAGCGAGAGGCAACTTCAGCCCAGGCGTTCGAAGCAAAACCTCCCCGACCTCCAATGGAAGAAGTAATAACATCAGCCTGGGGAAATGTCAGCAATGATCTCTTCAATGGTATGGATGGACACATACTCCATCGGCATGCGCCCTGAGGAAAGCATCGATCAGCGTTTCCTCATCCGTAGAGCCGCTCTGTAATTTTGTTAGCGTGCATCTCGAACATGGCTCGAGAACTCACATCGTCATCACCAAACACCTTGTAGGACAAGATGTTGGCTTCGGGAGCAACTCCTTGCCAGCTAAACTCACGTCAGCGAAAGCCCGAAGTCTATATGATATTTCTGCCAGAACATACCCATCTGTCTTTCCTGCGATGATCCCGCAGACGTGGGTTCCATGGCCGATGCTGTCGATTTCCATCGGATCGTCGTCCGGGCGCTTGTCAGATCCAGGGTCAGGCCAACCTGGGACGAATGTTAATAACTCCAGCAAATGTGATGGAGATTCATGAGTCTCCTACCTGATCCACCAACCAAGTCATATCCACCGAGGATCTTGAAACCGGGCCCGATACCACCACCAAGCTGCATCGTAAATGAGTCCGATGTCCCTCAAACGGGGGACCATATACCAACTTACCGCGGGATGGTTGTAGTCTACACCGGCGTCCACGATAGCCACAGTGACGCCTTTGCCGAGAATACCGGCCTCGTGCAGCTTGTCGACTCCGGTCATGCCGTGGATGGAGTAGTTCGCAGCGGACGTGTGGCTGTCGAACGTCTTGCCGTTCATGACCGACGCCATTTGGACTTTTCTCGACTGCCACACATTGCCGACGTTCTGCAGGATCCTGAGAGTGTCTGCGTTGTCCGTCGTGGTCTCGACACTGACACCGGTGAAGACCTCACTCTCGAAGGTCTTGAACAACTTGATGCCCTCATGATCCGCTAGTTCTGAAGTCAATCTGTCCAAGGCCGAGTCCTGTGTTGTATATCATCAGCATATCGTGAAACCCAGTCTCAATTAACAACAAATACTCACTTTTGAAAGCTCAAGAATGAATCTCTTCGTGCCGCCAATGCGAGACTCCTTCGGCGAGGCTCTGGGCACGTTGAAACCGGCTGCGCCTGAAGCCAGCAGTGACAGAACCCCCAGAACAGATTTGAGACTCATATTGACAGGAACGAGCTTGGTCATGAATCTGCTCTGTGACATGAACGGAGAAGAACACAGAATCACTTGGATGCCGTGTTTACATATGGACCGACGACTTGGCGGATGTTGGCCCCGACGGATGCGCCGCGTCAGGAGGCCGTGTACGATTCCAGGGTCGAGGGAACCTGCATTTTCCCATCGTTCAAGGACCCATGTAGTAACAAACAGCAATCTTAGGACACCCGACAAACAAAAGACTCAGGGCTACTGCAGGTTAATACTGCAGGCTGGCGGACCCGGGAGATCTTCATGGCGATTATAACAAGACGACGAAAATGACCGGGGCCATTGCAATGAATTGATATTCAGTGGGCTGACAAGCTCTCCGCGCGCCAGACTCACTAGGCGTCTTGACGACCTTGCAGACTAGTCTGTGATTCGAACCGTTGAGATTGCGTAAAATAGAGACTGCGGTGGCTTTCTGCATCCGTTCCCGAGTTTCATGGCACTAGTTCCCGCCCATGGCTGACGGAGATGCCGTCGGACTCGTCAGCAGCTGTGGAAGCTGTGAGCCGTTCCAAATGATGATCCACGAGACGGGGAAGCATGCGTTGTCTAGATGGACAGAGATCACCGCAGGAGAATGCGAGTGTCGAATACATACTCAGATGAGGACGAAGAGTATGACAGATCCGGTCTCGCGTTTGCTGGCTACGGGATGGGCAAGGAATCGGACGATGTCGACGCCGAGAAATCTGTCGCACACGTGCACTTGGTACACGACGTGCTACGTGATTCCCGTCAACTCGCGGCCTTCATCCGTCTGCCAGGAAAAAAGTCGGAAACGGGTTCGAAGCAGTACCTCGTGCGAACTTGCGATTTCCCGTAAAGATACCCGAGACATAACGTGGTCCCTGAGACGCGCAGCGGACCGTTGCAGTTGTCCTTGATTTCATAAAATTTCCGAGCGGGTTGCTAAATTAGCGGAAACAGCCTACGAAGACAGTCCCGTCTTCGAGAAGAGAGAGGCACGCGGCAGGAAAGAACGAAGGGTCGCAGCAGCTGTATGTAAGCGAGATCAACGATAAAAAACATGCTTCTTTATTTCTTTCCCGAAACTCTTCCCTTGAGTTTGCCCAATAATCTGCCCAACTTGGCTTTGAGCACAGGGCTTGGGCCTTCGTCGGCGCCGACGAGTCTCCGAACTAAGATATTGTACATGCCGCCGAAAGCGAGAGCGATCGCGGTTGACGTGAAGATGATCACGTTATAAGGCATGCTGAAATCCGGTGTCGGGAGGTTCAGCAGCAAAGTGGTTGTCCGCGTGCTCTGGATACGTGGGCTCAGAGTCGTAATCACTGCCGCAGCAATATCGAAGCCGCGGTTTGCGTCAGGGGGGTATTCTGTGTAACGTAGAATGGACTTCTCGAAGTCATATGTGAGGAAGACGGTGGAGGCGGGAGGGATGCGCATGCGCAGTTCCAGTTGCGTGCCCCTGGCTCGGTCGACGGCAGGGCGGTAGTAGATATCCTCGATAATCGAGGGCTGAGAGCCTGATGAACCCTCGATTCGGGCGTTCAGGGTGTGAAGGTACACCCTCATGAACCAAGGCAGAGACTCCATGTAGATGAATTCCACTTCGGTATCTTTGCTAGGGTTGGTGAGGATAGCCTGCATGCCACCGTGTTCTTGGCCGTGCCCGGTAAAGCTGCGTTCGGCGTAGATGAGAGGGGTAGAAGGCGCAACAAGCTCGTTGGCAGCGTCATGGCCTTCTTTAGTCTCCAACGGAAGAACAATCTCCAGCTCAGACTCTGGGTCGAACTTGAAGCACCGCGATGCCCCGTTCGGGTTAAGGAGCTCTTGAGCACCGCCAGATGTAAAGACGCCTCTGGAATGGGGAACCTCGATGCAGACAGGCGGCACGTCGCCATCAGTAAGAGGGCAAATGCCCTTGACGGGCTTTCCAAACAGTTGGGACAACGTCCAGTCTTGACCGAGCGTGTAGCTGACAGGATAGCAGGTATCATCAGAATGGTAGGGCTTCGATGTATCGCACTTGAGCTCGTGACCGGGCGGAGGACGGGGGATTGGGTTGTCTCTGGGGCGCTTGGAGCGGTCGATGTCCAGAACCATGTCGATTGTCTGCTCAATTTGCAGCACGCACTCCTGGCCGTCGGGGCAGACGGGCTTGATATCGATAGCCATGCTCTGGAAGGAGGAGTCGAATAGCTTGTGACCGTCCAACAAGCTCGATATGCCCGCCTTGCCCTTGCAAGGAAGCAACTTCAAGAACGGAGTGAGGTTCTCGGTGCAAACCACTTCTTTCGGAAGGACGCCGTGCAGAAGCTGCATGTTCGGTATGGAGGCTTCCGGGTGGTCGCCCTCGGGTTGGAATGACATGACCGGTCGTGTAGTTCGAGTTCCGTCGACGAAGTTCAGCGAGGCGCAGAAGAGGCCCGAAAGGGCATTGGTAAGCGTCAACCACTTCTGGTCAGCCCTGTCAATCCGTTAGCATCAATTGCGCCCCGTGTGAGGCGAGAACCATACTCTTCATCCGTCTCTGCCTCCAGCCAAGCCCACAGCTCCACGCCCGTTCCGCCCTCACGTTGGCCATCCCACGGCCTGCTCCCCCAGCTCTCGGCGTCCCATCGCCCCAGACTAAAACGCAGATGTAACTCGCGGGTGCCGGCGTACTGCAAGATCTGACCCAGGGACCGGGGGAAGTAGCGGAAGTTTTGCGACTCGAAATCGGCCAGCGAGGTGTTGGACCGGAAGTTGAAGCTCGCCAGCAGCGCGGAAAGGGGCAGCGGTCGGAGGTTCAGCTGCTCGTGGTAGTCCGCGGCCGTGCCAAAGGCAGCCAGGCACAAGAAGACGAGGCCCGCCAGGAACTGGCGCATTTTTGGAAAAGGAATCGCGGCCCCGAACAAGAAAAGAGAGTGACGTCTGCTGGCTTTCGCTCTCCCCTGCTCGGCACAGCGCATGGATGACCTAGGTGTCGAGTCGCGAAGGGTGGCTACCTGGAGGGACCGGAAGAGCGGTGGATGGCGGCAGAACCCGCCCTTACGTAACCCAAGCTTCGGTTTACCCTTGAATTCAGCATGCAGCAAGCTCTCCACATTCCGCCCCAAATTCCATTCCCGCGCGCGTCACGCTTTCTTCAGAGCTTCGCGATTCTTCTCAGCCTCGACAACCCGATATCGCTTCACCAACTCCATACACACGACCGACACGAAATCATGGCCGCCGAACAGAGGAAGCTGCTCGAGCAGCTCATGGGCAACTCGGCCACCACGCGATCAGCCTCGCTATCCATGACCGACCCTAAGGTTTGCAGATCTTTTCTCGTCGGCACCTGCCCTCACGACCTCTTCACAAATACCAAGCAAGATCTGGGCCAATGCCCGAAACAACACTCGGAAGCCCTGAAGGCGGAGTACGAAGCACTCTCTCCCCAGGAGAAGCAAAAGCACGGCTTCGAGTACGACTACATGCGCGACCTCCAGAAGTACATCGACGACTGCAACAGAAGGATAGATTCCGCACAGCGCAGACTGGAGAAGACTCCTGACGAGATCAGACAAACCAACGCTTTGGTATGTAAAGAATCTGACCCCTTCTTTCTCGTAGAAATGTGACTGACATTGGGCGCAGCTAAGAAGCATCTCCGACCTCTCCTCGACGATCCACAACGGCACCCTCGAAGTCGAAATCCTCGGCGAGATGGGCGAGGTCTCCCGCTCGATCGACGAATTCTACCGCGTGCGCCAGGCACAGCAGACCAAGCTGGACCGCGAGAAGGAGCTGAAGTCGCTCTCCGACAACTCAGGTCCCTCGGGTCACCAGAAGCTCCAAGTCTGCGACGTCTGCGGTGCCTACCTTAGCAGGCTGGACAACGACCGTCGCCTGGCCGACCATTTCTACGGAAAGATGCACCTCGGCTACGCGCAAATGCGAAAGACGTACGAGGCGTTCCCGAAGGAGTTCCGGCAAGGAAGGCGGGCGCCTGTAGACGACGACAACATGGGCGGCGGACCGAGGGGACCTCGCAGTGGCGGCGGCTACCGCGGACGCGGAGGCAGGGGCTACCGCGGTGGATGGTAAAATCCCGAATACTCTCAATGCCAGATATCGGCTTAAAAAGACGCCCCATCGAGCTGCCTCAGGACTCGAAGATATGCACCCGCCGAACGGCAAGAACAGAGTGGCCCGTGGAAATGGAAATACCGCCCGCCCCTTTCGCGACGGCATTCTTATCATGGGCCAGTTCCCGACTTCGAAAACCGTACTTCGGCCCGACTGAAGACGTAACTTGCGGTCTTCTTCAGCATTAATCAGTATCAGAATGCACAGCAACGTGGGTGACGAACCGCCGGAGTTCATTGTTGTCCATACTAAGTCTTTTAGGCCTCGAATTCGGCGTCGCAACATAGCGCAGGCCATTATGGCCAGAAGGTGGACATGCGTTCGTGTTTGAAGGAGCTACGATCAGACAGTCCTCGGCACGTCATGAGTAGGTTCGCTGATGAAGATGAGAGGGCGACTTCATGTATTTTATGCTCATAGGGGGCTTCTACATTTTGAACTACCAAGTGCCAACTCTGCAGGACGCAACGCTGAAAAGGCGCACAATAATTTACGCCAAAACTTGTGCTTTTCCCCAAGCGATACCCAAAATGCCGTGTCGCTGTGTTGTAATCCAAAAATCGCTCCTAGGACACCGCATTCCTCCTGGGCTCATTTGATCTTCCCCCAGTAGGCCTCCTAAGCCTTTTCGTCACTCTTCATCCTCGCATCAAGTGCCTCCATCTCGTCATCCCACCTGCCGAGAGGTGACAGGACAGGAGGCGAGGTCTCTCCGGCCTTGCCAGTGCTGGGCAGAGCAGGAAACTCGTCGGTAGTGATGGCTGGCGCCTTGGGTTTGGGAGCGGGTGGCTTAGCATCGCGGGCGCCGTTCGACGCGGGGTCTCTGGGCTCGAATTCGCCGCCGTATCCACCACGACCGCCTCGTCCACCCCGGCCCTGGCCACGACCCCTGCCACGCCCGCGACCACCCCTCCTGTCATCGCGATCATACCTGTCGCCGTCATCGCCCTCATCAGCATACCTGCTACCAGAGAGTCCAGAAGAGCGCGCTCCCCTGATACCACCGTTCGCGCCACGGAAGCCCCTTCTCTCCTCTTCCGCAGCAAGCGCCTCCTTACCCTCGTCCCAACCGCCCTCCTTCAAGCTCATCGCCTTCAGCTTCCTCTCCCTGTTCTTAGCGCGCTCGTCGTCCATTCGCTTCCTCTCCTCCTCGCCACGCTTCCGCTGCTCGGCCTCGGCCTGCTTGCGCTTGCGCGCCTCCTCCATGCCCCGCGCGTAAGCCTCGGCGTGGCTACGCTCGTCCTGCTCCGCCTTCTCGAACTTGCGCGTCTTCTCCGCGTTGAGAATACGCATCTGCTCCATCTTGGCTGCCAGCTCCGCCTCGGTCAGCTTGGTGCGGGGGTTCGCGCCGGACTGCAAGCGGGCCTCGGCGTTCAGCGCCGTGTTGCCGCCACTGGGTGCGGAGGGCGCATGTTGCGTCTTTTCGCGGGGCGCAGCGGCGGCGGGCGCGGGAGAGCTGCTCTTGTTTACGGGCGCCGCGGTTGCGGGAGGAGGGGCGGGTTGTGACTGGGCGGCAGGACCGGTCGGCGCATCGGGAGGTGCGGTGTTGTTGGTGGTCGCGGCAGGAGCAGTCGGCGCCGGGGGTTGTTGGCGGGGCGCACGCGGGGCAGGCGCAGGCTTGTTATCTGCGAATCTCGAGTTCGCAAGACCACCTCGAGGGGCGGTTGGAGGCCGCGACTTGGGTTGTTGAGGCTGCTCGACGGGCTTTTGGGGTGCCGGTTCGGGTTTGGACTGTTCGACTGGTGGCGGTGTCGCGACTGCGACGGGAGGGGGAGGGGGTGGAGGGGCGACTTCGACTGTCTCGATGGGTTGAGAGTCAGTTACGGGCTCGAAGTCGTCGAAGAAGAGGTCATCATCTGTGCGGCCACCAAATTGGTCGTCCATGTTGAAGGTAGTAGATATGGGTATCAATGAAACGAAAAAGTAGTTTGCAACTAGCAATTGGAGCTAACAAAAGGATGGTGATGTTGACTCGAAGAGCTCTCTGTGTTGGATTGGAGGACAAAGAGCTATGTCGAATTGGGCAAGTGGGGTTCCCTAGTGCGGACAGGATTGGCAGGGGATTCGGGGCAATCCCGGCCCGAGGAAGCTACAGTTCCTGCACGGCTTCTCGCACTGCTCTTCCCAAGGTGAGATACATGTCCATTTCTTCTTCAACTCAGCTGTCCAGTATCCAGTCAACAAACCCTTTATATCTCTTGGACTAGTTTTCCAAGCGACGAATCAACTCGTCACGCAGAGCTTCATAGCTCTCCAACAACGGAATGCCAAACCTGGAGCACACCACCTGAACGTTTCCCCTCTTCTTGTAGCCCTCAGGGCACGCAACGATGACCTTCCCTGACCGAGCGCAGAGACCCAGCTCGAGTAAGCTGATGTGAGCTTCCGTCCCGGCTTCGAAGTAGACAATGATGATGTCGGCTCGTTCCTGCATCTCCAATTCCCATTGCGTCTGCTCCCTGAACTTGGTGTCGGATATATCCTCCCTCCAGGTGCTGTCCCAGTCGGGCCGGAATGGGTTGAAGATGGTCACGGGCAGGTGAGATATAGACTCGGTCAGGCCCTTGCGCCAGTCGCCTTTGCTGGTGGTTCCGGCGAGGAAGACGCTTTTCTGTGTTGAATCTGTTGCAGGCGGCTTACTCAGAGGCGTGATAACTTGGCTCGGCGGAGATGAAGCCATGATGCTGATGTGCAGGATGATGATGAGGAAGATTCTCGGAGTGATGCTTGATGATGTGGATAGTTACAATCAGAAGTAGGTAACTTGATCTTAGCAGCGAAATAGCATTTGATGCTGTCAAGTCAAGAAAGCAGCCAGCCTTACATCGACCGGCGGTCATCAAGAAGCGCCTCCATTGGTCATGACCCGCTGCGGGCATTGCCTAACCCAACTTATCGAGCCAGTCCAGCGTTTCTTAGTGGCCCAAACTCACGACCAACATCGCTCATGTCCGCCTCTAAATGTGAGCTAACGTTCGCCGTTTTAAGTTACCTAATCGCAGCAAACCTCCGACATGTTAGAGTTCCGAAAAAAGTGTTGTAAGGATTGGAACCGACACATTTCTTTCTGCTTTTCTGCTTGCTTCAGGACAAATTAATAACGGAGTCTAACCAAGACTCGTCAGGATTCAAGCAAACCAGCGAGTGGCCTATCGGGAGTTGAGCGGAAGACCACCTCAACAAAGACCCCTGCGCCGCTTGAACGGCGCTCCGTTTGCGTCCCCCGGAGCATGCGTGTTTCCCTCCAATAGGGCAGACGCCGGTGAGCTTCTCGGAAGATCACCATACGCACCCTAGTTTGGGGCGCACTGCAGCCGCTATCTTGCGGTGAACCGGTCCAGCCACGCGGCTGTCTTCCCGCCGTTATTCGCTTTTCGTGGGAAAGGAAGGTCCCGAGAGCTGTCTCAGCCTAGGGTGCCACTTGGATCCAACGTATGAAGACGAGAATGAAAGGCACCTTGGCGTCCCAGGCGGGCGTCCAGATATTCAGTGGAATCACGCAACCGATCTCGGCCCTGCGGATGACCCTTAAGTCGCCCTGGCCGCCATCTCCTAATCTCGTTTCTGAGCCAGATCATACCTCGTTGTGTTTCTTTTCGAGCCTATTTTGCTGGTTGACTCGATTCCGCAGCATATGATACCATCCCCTCCAATGTTGCGTCATGAAGCGGTGAGGGAGACAAAGCGTCCAGAGCTTCCGTACAAATAAAGAGCTCTCCACCGAAGTGAACAAGAATAGCTCAAGGAGCCACCCATCGATCCAACTGGCCCCATCACCGACGAACCGCAAGAGATTAGAGGGGAGTCATCATACGCAGCAGATGGCCGTGGTTATTGAGTCGGGAGGGCATACTCCGGGGGATGACTGTGAGGGCTGCCGCAAGATCCAGGAAGACCTGGTTGAGATATCGGCTGAATCTGAAGAGTCTTCAGAATATGAAGATGGTAAGTCAAGTTCCCAATCGTCTTCATTTCCTTCTCCAGTCCTCCAAGATCAATGACAAGTGTCATCGCGAACCTGAAATCCAATGGGTCACGCGATGCTTGATTTTGGAGTCACGATGGTCCCTGAAAATACAGCAGTGGACCTGGTAGCAGCGGGAGCTAAATCCCAAGAACCCGCCTGCATGCTGCTGCAGCGATCCACCCCTCCTCCTCCTCACCTGCTCTCTGGGGGATCCACGCTAGGGAGGGAGTCACCACCGACCTGGAGTCCCCCAACCCTTAGCGCATTTCGTCATTCGCCATTTTCGTTGCAACACCGCAGCTTTGGCATTTTGGTCCGGCGTTTCTTCCCTGGCATCGACTTGTCTCAATTACCATTCCTCCCTTTGTACGATCGTTAGAAACATCGCCCGTTGCTAACGAACCCTTCTTCTCCCGCGACAGAAGACACGATGGCCTCCGCCGTCGCGGCCTCCGATCTCTCGACGAGCCTAAGCGACACCGACGACTGCCCCCAAGTTGCCCCCGATCTGGTTCACAACCTCAAGCACGACAGTTCCGTGCTCTGTCTCGCAGTCAGCGCAGAGCAAGAACGTATATACGCAGGCACACAGGATGGCGAGATCGTCGTGTGGTCCTTGGCCACCTTCCACCAAGAGCGCGTCGTCCAGGCGCACAAGCGGAGCGTCCTGAGTCTGTTCCTCTCCCAAGATGGCACCATGCTGTTCTCCAGCGCAGGCGACCCGTTGATCAATGTCTGGTGCCCGAAAACGATGAAGCGATTATACGAGATCTACAGCACCAACGACGTGGGCGACATCTTTTCCGTCGCCTACAGCGCCCAGCACGAGACGGTGTACGTTGGGGCGCAAAACACCTCGATACAATGGGTCAGCTTGTCCGACCCGAACAACAGAGTGACACACGATTCTGCTCTACACCCCGATCGCCGAAACCATAGGTTCTTCGACTCCAGGGCTGTGGGAGGGTCCACGACACCCCGCCGCAACGACGAGAGATGGTCTTCGATCCCCAGGTCAGAAAAGGTCGTGGAGATACCTCCAGGTGCTCTGCAAATGTTCGCCCACTACGGATACGTATACTCGATGGTCATGGCCAAGGGGCCGACCGTACTGGTGGAACCCGAAGAAGAAGTACTCATTTCGGGTGGCGGCGACGGGACAATCAAACTGTGGAAGCTTGGTGCCGAAGGGGACACGCAGGCGGCCGAGGCTGATCGCGAACCCGGCCTCCAGGAGTTGATGTCTCTTGGGACAGATGACGCTGAGTCGGTCATGGCACTTGCCATTGACGGCTCTTTTCTGTACGCCGGCAAGCTACATGGCATCATTGAGCTATGGGACTTGGATACCAAGTCCAAGCTGAGGGTCATCAAAGGCCACAAGGGAGACGTCATGACACTACAGATGAGCTGGGGATATCTGCTCAGTGCTTCAAGGGCAGGATCCGCGAGCGTACGTCCCTCCTCAGATTCTTTCGCTGAAATACTAACGAAAAGCAGAAACACACCACTGTCCACTACGGCAAATATCAAGATACTCAAGCAGTCAACATCAGTCAAAAATACCAGTGCATAGCCCGCTGGAAGGCGCACGAAGGCAAAGTTCTAGCCTCAGCCGTCACGACCTACAAGAACAAACAGTACTACATTACCGGGGCGAACGACAATGATGTGGCCATTTGGCACATCGACTGTACTCCATACGAGCAGCAACGAGAGGTGGATCTGGCAGACGATGTCATGATCAAGTCTCTTAGCGACTTTGTGTCGTACCGTACCGTCTCATCACGCCCCGAGTTTGCCGAAGATTGCCGCAAAGGAGCCACGTTCCTGGGGTCCTTGTTTAAGCGCCTCGGCGGTCAAGTTGAGATGTTGAGCACAGAGAGTAACCCCCACAACCCTGTCGTTCTGGCCAAGTTTCAAGGCAATCTTGAGCCGGCAGAAAAGCGGAAGAAGATTCTCTTCTACGGTCATTACGATGTGGTCCCAGCAGACACCAAGAAAGGCAAATGGCAGACAGATCCTTTCAAGATGAAGGGCTTCAATGGCTACCTCTACGGCAGAGGTGTCAGTGATAATAAGGGACCAATCATGGCCGCCCTGTTCGCTGTTACCGACCTTCTCCAGGCAAAGAAGCTTGCCAATGACATTATATTCCTCATTGAGGGCGAGGAAGAGTCGGCATCACGCGGTTTCAGGGAGATAGTCCGTACTCACAAGGATCTGATCGGCGACGTCGACTACATCCTGCTAGCCAACAGTTACTGGCTTGACGACGAAGTTCCCTGCCTAACATACGGCCTGCGGGGTGTCCTCCACGCCACCGTCTGCGTCGACTCCCACCTGCCTGATCTTCACTCTGGTGTTGACGGTTCGTACATGAACAACGAGCCGCTGTCAGACCTCACTTCCACGATGTCGAAGCTCAAAGGACCTAAAAACAAGGTCCTCATTCCAGGCTTCTATGACAACATTCTCCCCGTCACCGCCGAGGAGGAAACCCGCTACGACGAGATCGCGTCGACCCTAATGCGGCAGAACCCGGAGAAGGGACCGGAAGATAAGCTGAAGACTGCGCTGATGGCTCGCTGGAGGGAACCCAACTTGACGATCCACCGATATAAAGTATCGGGACCGGACGGCAGCCTGGTCTCCAGCCACGCAAGCGCTAACATCAGCATGCGTCTCGTTCCAGGCCAGGAAGTCAACGACGTCATCGCGTCTCTCACCTCCTATCTCGAGTCCGAGTTCCAGTATCTCGAGTCTAAGAACAGTCTTACTATCAAGATCGACAACAAAGCTGAGCCATGGCTCGGCGATCCTAGCAACGAGATCTTCCAGGCTCTGGAGGAGGCCATCATCAAGTCCTGGGGACCCGTCTTCGACGCCGGAGAATCTACCAACGGACACGAGAACGGCGAGGAAAAGAAGAAGGACCAGAAGCCCAAGAAGCCGTTGTACATCCGTGAGGGCGGGTCCATCCCCGCCATCCGCTTCCTCGAGAAGGAGTTCGGAGCCCCCGCGGCCCATCTTCCCTGCGGCCAGTCCAGTGACGGCGGTCACTTGGATAACGAGAGGTTGAGGGTGCTAAATCTCCTGAAGAGTAGAGAAATCATGGGCTCTGTGTTTGCGCGTCTGTAAGTTCACACATGGGGGGCGTTTCATAGATGTGGAAAAGCATATTGAATTGTACAACATAGAGGGATACCCAAAAAATCAAAGCATTTGTAGAAATCCGCAATCATACCAGAGCGTGAGTTTTCGTGCGTGCGGTCCTCATAGCGAATGACTCGTTGGCCGATGTCGTCTCCAACCTCTCCCTTGACGTGATCCGAAGTTCGGCCTGTCGATGCCGACGGGAACCGGACAGCTTCCCGAATTGGCTCCCCGGCTTATCTTATCTTATCAACGACGTCCCCCGACGTCGTGTCAACCTACAAAGACACCACTCAAGCTCATAAAGGACTCATTAGAACTCAAGACACTTCTCGTTCACGGCGGGTATTGGATACAGGTCGGAAGTCAGAAACATCATGGAATACAAACGCCAATCCCCGACGGCCGTCAAGGTCAAACCGCGCCTCATCATCCACGGCGGCGCGGGCAACATCAAGCCGGCCAACCTCGCGCCGCCGCAGTACGCAGAATACCGCGCCGCGCTCCTCACAATCGTAACTCACCCCTCTCTGCCAGCTCTCAATCTGCTCGTTCGATACTAACACGAAAAACAGGTGAGCAAGACGAACGCTTACATGACAACCCCACTCACCACCACCACCACCACCACTGGCAAACTCCCCACCGCCCTCGAGACGGCAACCCACGCCGTCACCCTCCTGGAGAACAACCCCCTCTTCAACAGCGGCCACGGCGCCGTCTTCACCCGCGACGGCATCAACGAGCTCGAGGCCTCCGTCATGGTCTCGCGCGGCTTCAAGAAGCGCGGCGTCGGCGTCACGGGCCTCCGCCGCGTCCGCAACCCCATCCTCCTCGCCAAGGCGATGCTGGAGCACGGCGAGGAGGACCTCGGGGGCAACTCCCACAGCGGACACCCCTCCTCTTCCGTGAGTGCTGACGCCGCCATCGACGCGCCCTCCGCGCAGGGCCACACCCTCCTCCACGGCCCCACGGCCGAGGTGCTCGCGCGGAAGTACGGCCTGGAACTCGTGGACCCGGGGTACTTCTTCACGCAGAGGCGGTGGGACGAGCACGTCGCGGCGCTGGAGCGGGAGAGGAGGGGCGAGGGCCTCGCGACGTGGAGCCGGGAGGAGTTCCTGCCGCAGGGCACCGTGGGTGCCGTCGCGCTGGACGAGGAGGGCGTGGTGTGCGCCGCGACGTCGACGGGCGGGTTGACGAACAAGCTGACGGGGCGGATCGGGGACACGCCGAGCGTCGGGGCCGGGTTCTGGGCGGAGGAGTGGGAGGAGGACGGGGACCCGACTGCGGTTTTCGCGAGGGGCGGCGGGTGGGGTGGCGGGGCGGCGGTCGTGCTCTCGGAGAGTTTGAGGGGGTTGGTGGCGGATTGTCTGCCGTCTTTGAGCGTGTACTCCCCCGTGCCGGCGGCGGTGCGGACGACGCGGTCGATTGCGGCGTCGGGGACCGGGAATGGGGACTCGTTTTGGCGCGTTGCTGCGGGTAGGACTGTTGGGGCCGTGGCGCGGTTTAAGCCTCTGTCTGGTCGGGAGGCGGTGTCGTTTGTTTCCGGGCCGGGCGGCGAGTTGCAGAAGAGTGCCGGAGACCGGTGGCGCGTAACGGGCGAAGGAGAGGGTGGTATAATCGGTATCGAGGTTGCGATTACTCGGGACGGGGAGGGCGCGGTCGTGGGGGTGCGGTCTGAGATCCTGCAGGACTTCAACTGCAATGGGATGTACCGGGCGTGGATCGATGACGACGGTTTGGCCCATGCGAAGATCTACCATGACGATGTGGAGGAGGGCGTTGATGCTCGGTTGTTTGCTGAGAAGTGGTGAGGGCCAGACTAGAAAAGAAAGTGAGCTCCGAGACGTGGATTCGAAGATTTGGAAAGTAGCGAATGTAGAGCGAGTTGCATATCAGTACAATTCCTATCAACACAGATTAAATGTTCGCGTCAAAAGAGCCATCCGCCGTGTCCATTCTGTCTCGACTTCCAGCCTTGGCTATCCCAAAGAAGCGGGCAACCCTGTAATCACCACTGCCAGAGCTGCACGTGTCGGGCTGCCGGCACTATTGAAAGCTTATCCATTCTTCCAAACCACTGCTGGAAAAAACATTTTTGTATACTACACGGAACGCCGCTGCCACCCCTCGTGGGCGTTCCTTGCCGATCGACAACACACTTCGCCGGTTTGTAAACGAATACAGATGATCGTTGTCGGAGCTTCCCGCGGGAAGAGACGTCGAACTGGAAGAGTAGAGAGGAGTGGTTGTTTGTTCTTTCATTCGTGGGCGGCGGTCATGCCGCCTCGTTTCGCTTAGAAGCTTGTCTGGACTCGACATGGTTTACACCATGGCGCCGTCTTGGGGAGGAGGCTGAGGCATCTGGAGTGGTTGAAAGTTAATGATGGCTCGCGCAGAGCGCTCCTGGAGAAAGGGGGCAAAACTGACCTCCAACTTGGTTGAGCCTGCAAACATCTTCTGGAAACCAATACCCACACCCTCAATCACGGCGAGGAGGACCGCACAGCCGATGGCACCGTTTCTCGCCGCCTGGTCATGATTAGATTACGTTTTATTCGCGCCAGCGCTGAATCGACCCACCTTGTACCCGCCACGGATCGCGAGACTGCCTCCCGTGAAGAAACCAGCGATAATCTGGCTCAGGTCAGTAAATATGTTCCGCCAACGGTTTGTTCGGGTTACCCACGGCATTCCACGGATCTGAGAGTTGTCAGTAAGGATGGTATACTTTTGCCAAGTCGTCAACGCGTACCTTCTTTTTGCCTGATGCCCTTCACAGAGCAGTCGAATGTGCTACGATTTGGTCAGACAATGCATACTGAGAAGGCCACTTCTTCGGCACCCCTTCCGGGCTATTCTGCAACCCCTCTGCCATACGGCATCCGCTCCAGCCTCAAATCTTCTGCTGGGATGTCTGGTTGCTGCTTGGGAGTCGTGCTACTGGAAGACCCTGTGCGTAGATGTAAGGGCATACGCGCACTGAGGGCATAAGTGTAGACAGAAGGCTTTCTACGTAGACGTGAGGAGATGCGCAGTATAAGGGCATCTACGCATGTATGCGCGTGCCCTTACAGTGCGTATACCCCCACTACGGCTGTGCGCTCGTGTATGTGCGTATGTCCTCACATCCGCGGTGAGGACTTCCCAATAGTATCGCCCCAGCCAGAATTTAGAGATCTCGATAGTCCGTTGCCGCCGCGCCAGGCTGGAGGGGGTGCATAATAGCTCGAAAGTGATGTCGAACATGTGGTCACATGCTGAACCGTCGTTGACGGCATGGAAATACACACCTAAAAAGTCCTCCCCTTGGAAACGTCAGTCTTAATCGAGGATCCCAGGAACTGCGAAACATACCAGACTCCAAAGTTTCCACCCAGAACTGGCGCACGCATCTTGATGGCGGTGATGGCACCAATGCGACGCTCTCCATAGGGGCTGTTTCTAAAACCCTTCACTCCATGCCAGATCGTGCCACCTGCAAGAATATGAGCGTCTAACTAATAGAAGAGAGAATTTAGGGGACATAACAATGGCTCCCATAGAAAAAGCTCCCCCGAAGTCTCGAGACACAGTGTCAGTAAAGCCAAATGGATTGTAGAGGTCAAGATCAATACCATTGAGAATAACCCAGGGGCAGGGGTCGCGAGTGTGATCCATGGCGAATATGTGTGAAGTCGTTGACTACGAAGGGTCAGAGGAGGAGACTTCGATCGAAACTAATCGAGTGTGAGGTCGTTGGCTACGTAAGGCCGGAGGAGGAGGCTTCGATCGAACCTGTTCGAATGTGAGGTTGTCGACGACGTCAGGTCGGAGGAGGTTTCGGTCGGTCGTGGCGGGGTTGGCGATGGGAGAAGCTTGAAGAGCGCAACGGAGCAATAAAGTCGTTCGAGGCTCAGAGTATCGGAGTGCGAAATCGTCGACGCCGAATGGTGGGAGGGGAAGGCTTCGTTCGGTCGTGGTGGAGTTGGCGATGAAAGCAGCTTGACGCGCGCGATGGTGGATGAAGTGACGAACCCGGACCAAGCTCGGAGTAAAGATTGATGATTTTTTTTTTTGGAATGCGCGGGAAATCCCCGGCTGCCTTATCTTATCGGGAATCAGCAGGGGTCCACCCATGGCCACATCCACCTATCACGTCATCAGACGAAAAAGGCAATCTGCCTCCCTCCCGTCATCTTCCCAAGGGTCATCTCATCGTGGAAGCTGCACTGCGGCAAGCTTTGCTTCTGATTGATGCAGCGCTGCGACTTATTCCACCGTTATCATTACTAACATACACTCATAAATCATTGTGTGCTCCGCGTCATTTTCACGCTGCCGAAGTTAGTATGCTGCCCTCAGGTACTCTCGATGGTCTGCCGTGACTTCAGGCCATGCGGGAGGCCGACAATTGATGTCAGACTTCAGACAGGAAACATACCAATTGGAACATCCGCCTGCCTAGCCTTTCATCAGAAACTCATTGATAGAATTCGGAGCTTTATTTCCTAGTGGAAGAGCAGAGTGTATAAAGTTACCTCGTCCCGCTCCCAACCATTCTACTTCTCCTTACCATCCACTGCTAGTCAACTCCTTAAAATTGACTGACCTAATCCAAGCTCGTCGACAAGAGTAACAGGTCTTTCATGATATTCCTATGCTACCGCGAATTTTCGTCTGCCATTATTGGTCTATACTCTGCGTAGCATTCATCATGGAACCCCATGTCCATGAATGTGGATGTAGTCCTTCCGACAACCGATCGACGTGTTCGACTTCGACCGATTCCACGAATTTCACGCCAGCGACCACGATGATCGCCTCGCCGGCGGAAAAAAACACACATTGCCTGTGGAGCGGACGCGGAGAGGTCCCCTGGCCTGGGAACACCTTCCAGATTGTCGAAAAACACACCAATCGGGTAATCACTCTCAACGGAGACCAGATTTTCATGGAGAATACCGATCATGTCGATAGCGCCGATACACACTGGTTGTGCGTAGAAAAAAACAACTACCTTGGCTTCTCCCATCCGAAGTCGGGCAGATACATCGGCCACGATGGCGGATGGCATTTGCACGCCAGGCAGAGGCACTTTGAGAGTTGGGAGTTCTTCACACTCAGGGAGCATCCTGAGGGCGGCTACCAGATTCTGTCGCCTTTCTGGGAGCACACTTTGAGGATAGTCGGAGTGGCTGAAAATGAGAAGAACGTTTGTCGAAGAGACCATAGCACTACCCTTTGAGAGTTCGTGAGGGTGTGATCATTCAAGATCACGTAGCCGACTTCCCAAGCTTCGTACGTATTCCAAGACTATAGTTCATCTGCTGCGTCATGGGAATGGAAGTCTGATGCATACAGATTTATGCCCCCAGGACAAAAGAAAAAAATGGCCAAAGGTGGCAAAAGGTTCGGGATCGAACCTGCGGCACGCGGGTCTTGTCACCCTATCAAACAGCTATTGCGGTAACCGGTTTACGCTTACTACCTTACCGCTTGGCAGCGGGATCCCCGGTCATGGACTTGCCGCAGGTAAATTGTTGGAACCTAGAAGCAGGAGACACCGCTGGTGCCTAACGCTCAAGCGGCTAGAATGAAGAGCTTCCCATAGCTCCACAGATGGATGGAACAACGCAATATCACTAATTCGACAGTGCGAGCTTGGAAGCTGGAGAAAAATGAGAAAAAGTCTACTTGAGTTCCGCCTTGGCTGTGAATTTCTCCTGCTGTCCCGGGATGCTATCATTCTAAAACTCAGAGGAGAATACCGATAGACTAGATCCAAGAAAACGCACAAGGGTCAACTACCTGAACTGAGATGTTGGTTTTGGTCGCTGTTGCTGCTGTAATATTCTTCTGTTGCAGTCGTTGGTGTCACTGTCGCCATTGTCGCTCTTGTTGACGTTATCTTCGAAATATTCGTGCTTTGATACACGCAGGAGTGTGAGTATAATTCCTGCTTTGCCACGATCGATTCTGCTGGCCGGAACCGCAAAGATGATCGGTACCGAGTGTCGGAGCCGGTGGACGGAACCGACATGACCCACTCCAGAGCGGCAGCCGGAACCGACAACGATGTGTATCTCAGGACCGTAGATGTAGAACAAGGGGGCCGAAAGATTGATCGTTCACTGAACGAATGATAACGTTATCCATATCTGAAATAGAATCCTCGCCTCTGCTTACAACATGCAGCCAATTTGTGAAGCCAATGAAGTATATAAGGGCAACAGTACGCACCCGATTGACCTCGTGGAACTATTCAACCTCCTCGATTCATTGATCATACACACTTTCTCAATACACAATGGTTTACTCTCGCATCGCGCTGGCTGGTGCCACCGGCAATCTCGGCGGCCCCATCCTCAAGGTTCTCCTCGAAGCTGGTTTCCACGTCACGGCCCTCACTCGAAACGGGGGAAACTTGTCAAGACTGCCTATCCACCCAAGCCTTGAGATAGTGGAAGTCGACGTCAACTCTTTCGAATCCCTTTTACCTGCCTTGGCCGGCATCGACGTCGTCATCTCATGCCTGGCCACGCTGGCCATCGGGGGTCAGAAACCATTGATCGATGCCGCCGTCTCTGCCGAGGTCAAGGTCTTCATCCCAGCCGAGTTCGGTATGGATTCCGCCAACCCGCTCTGCGCACAGTTGCCCGTCTGCGCCCCAAAGGTTGCCGTCCAGGAATACCTCCTGAAGAAGTCACGGGAAAACCCAGCTTTCACCTTCACGGCCATCGCGAACGGACTTTTCCTCGATTGGGGTCTCCAGAACGGCCTCATCATTGATCTCAAAGACCATACCGCTATACTGTACAACGGCGGCGACGTGCCTTTCAGCGCGACGACGCTCGCTGATGTCGCGACGGCCGTGCTCGGCGTCATTCGAAACCGGTCTCAGACCGCGAACCGCGTTGTGTATATCCATTCTGCTTTGGTGACTCAGAACCAGCTCATTGAATACGCGAAAGACGTCGACGGGATGGACTGGAGTACGTCTGTCAAAGATACAGAAGAGCTCCGCCGAGAGTGTCTCGCGGAGCTTGCCAAAGGGTCAGATGCGGACGTCGATGCTGCGATGTTGGGATTCTGCTTTTGCGGGTCGTTGAGTCGTGATTACGGCTGTGATTTCTCTAGCAAGCTAGACAACACTTTGTTGGGTGTAAAGGGAATGAGCGACGGCGATTTGCGCTCAATGATGGTAGGCTACCTAGGGAAGCTGTAATCTTAGGGAACGAACTCTTTGAGCACCGCAGGGGAGCCAGAGCATAGCGTTCAAGACGTCATCCATGTTTTCGTTTTGATACTCAGTAATATGTTTATAAATGGCTCCAACCTTTCACCTTACAGTATGAGACTTTCCTCGCAACCCTGAAGCTTTTTCTTACTTGGAAGAAAAGACATGTTTCTCAGGTATTCGAAAGCTATATCGACCAGGTACCAAATACAGGAGTCAGAAGCGCACGAAGACAATGTTGATGCCAGGTTTACTTATTGCTTGGAATCAAGTAGTATATAGAGGAGACAAAGACGGGGGAAATAATTACACAATCAGACACACCAATGACTCATTTCTCCTAGTCGGATTCGTCAACCAAGAATCTATGTCTCTCTTCGCCGATGTCACCGCGGTCCTCTCATCAATGCCCTTGGAACTCATACTTAAGACACCCTGCCCGTCTCCAACCTCCGATGCCTCCATTGGAAGGGCCTTTGGAATATGTCAGAGAGGGATCAGAACCTGCTAATAATGGAAACTTACAGTCTTTGAAATTGCCCCTGAGAAGGGAGTAACACTCTGCACCATCGACGGGCTTCCGCGGATTCTGCTTGTCGGCATCGGTAATACAGCCGTCGATCCAGGAAATACGGTACGTCAGTAGCGCCTCGCTCTTCCAACGCGTTGGCGTCCATTCAAGCTCATCTCGAGGGCCGAATTGCTTGTTAGTAGAATCCTGCTCACAAAGCCATTTGGCCCCCCGGTCCTGGTCGTTCGGATTGATATCGCCGTGTTTGGGTACATCCTTGGACGTCCAACACTCCTGCTTGCTGTCCAGATCCAGAGGTTATTTATTCTTCTCATGCGGCGCAATGGTGTAAGAGTATACGCCACATTCGTTGTCTGCTAAACCCTTCAGCGTCATAGCATTCGACTAGCCACCTACGTGTCCGCCTTTTTATCAAAAGAAAAGCATTTAGTATCTGTGTCAGCCCCTACTGTGCCTTCGCAGCCGCTATGACTAGATCCAAGATCAGCACATTGCAAACCTCCTCGGCAATTTTGACGGCATTCTTCCACCGTCCTTTGTGCTTCACACGAATCGAGGGGTCTGCGCCGTTCTCCAGTAGCCATGCGACCAGTTGTTGACGCTGGTTAAGGATGGCCGCGTGGAGCAAAGGATAACCCTTGCGAGACGGCGTGTTGATGTCGAAGTCCGTGGCATGCTGTAGAATCCAGCGCGGAACGTCGCCATCGAAACAGGCTTCCCTGCGGCCCCTGACAAGGGCAGTCTTCAGGACATTGTAGTCGAGCACCGCCCCCCGAGAGACGAGAAGCTCCATCGCTTCTATGGCTATGTCGGCATAGCTCCCGAGCGCCTTTGCAACGGCGTTGAGGGGTGTCAGATCCCCAATGCAGCCGCTCATTCCACGTTCAGCAGGCAAGTTGGGATCCAGCCCGTGGTCGAGCAACCACTGCAGCGCCTTGACGGAGCGGACCACGCTCAACCTAGATTTGGTTATTATATTTTTCTTTCCCTTGGAGAGACCTTCGAAAGGTCGTTTGTTCTTTCATATCTTACAGATGCTCGTAAGGTCTGCTGAAGGAAGCATTGATCTGATCTTCTCCCCAGCCATTGTCGTACATCAACTGGAAAAGCTCGGTGTCCTTGTTCCTGCAAGCCGGCCCAACCAAAGAACCGCAGAGGGATGCATCGCGATCCAAAATCAACTTGATCGCAAGAAGGTGTTTCTCGTTGGCGGAGTTGGCTATTGAATATGCAGCAATGCCCAACTCTTCAGTGGTTGGGGGAGGGGTTGCGGCCAACGCCTCCTTGAGTTTCTCGATGTCATTCTCGATAACGGCCACCATGAGTGGCTTCCTGGGTCCGGTAGACTCTGCACTCATCTTGTCGGGTTTTGAGCTGAAAGGTTGAAGTTAATTTTGGGTGGTTGCAGCAGGGAAATGTAATTTATGGCCGTCGTTGTTGGTCGCGTCAGGTGACCAACAAGACCCCAACTTGGCACAACCGTGGAAAAGAACAAACAAGCCCAGGTGTCACCCAATGAACCGCTTGCACACATCAACCTTCCGGGCCTCTCCCCGAACTCCTGCTCTGTCTTGTAATCTGCAGCTCAGGTCCAACGGCGGATCATAGTGGGGGCAGGTATACGAACTCGCATACACATGCGGTTTCCTTTTTGGGGGCTGCTATCATTTGGCACAAACTCACGAACACGATACAATGCCGTGTCAAAAACAAATGGTCCAGATCTCTTGATCTATCGAGCCTGGGTTTGTTGGCGCACAATCAAGAGCGCCGAGCCTGCGCAAATAGCAACTGTCGCCCCCAAGTAGAAGCGAAGCGAAGGATGAGAGACACTGGGGGCTATGAATGTCCAAGGGGCCGTCCGGGGGAGAGGCTATGTTGCCTTTGCGTTGATAATTAATCATTTCTTGACAGAAGGGCGAGCGTTGATGTGAGTCCGTGGTGTGGAAGATACCTATATTATAGCCGGGTTGCCTCCAATACATCATCTCCTGAATCACTGTTTGTAGTGCATGTTCCTCAGACACAAACAGGACTCTCACTCTCAAACTTACACGTCTCCAAGTCGTTTAACCCTTCATCTACGAATTAAACCATGAAGATCCATCTATCACTCTTTACCCTCTTGGGGACACTGTTGTTGAATCCTTTTGTCTGGGCAACTCCTCTCGGTAGGACTTCCACCTCCTTGATCTAGTTCTATTGCTGACCGAAATCAGACGAAGCATCATGGGTGAGAATTCACGATGATACTCAAGACATTCATCGTCGAGTCTCTCCTGGCCATGAATCCGGGAGGATTTTTCGACGGGCCACGAGAGAATCCTGCTCCCTAAAATGGTTTATGACATTGGCCAAGGATGCCAACTCCAAGCGATCCGATGATTCGGATATCACGAACTCGACCATCTTCCCCCGGACAATGACTACGGACAAGGACTCCAAATCAGTCGAGGAATTCATGATAAAGGAGACCGAAAAGGCCACTTTGCTGTGGTGGAGAAACGCCGACGGATACGACGTGAACAATGCCCGCTTTCTCAAATTCAAAGATGACGAAGCATTCTCCTACAGCATGAGGGGTTTGGCTGGGTGTACTGGAATGGTCATCGTTAGTAAGAAGGGAGTGTACCTGGCTCATTACTGGGAGAGCATCAGCTTCAGCCAGAATACTATAGACGAAGACTCTGATCAGACGAGGTACACGACCCAAGATAGGGCCTTCCACTACACCATCATACACGCTCTCCGCAACGGCATCAACAGACAAGGGATTGTGGAACAAGACTCTCTCAAAGCCCATGCAGGCGAGATTGACGACGACTCAATCCAAGGTTACCTCATGATCCCACGAACGGGCTACGCTGTAGAGGGCATTGGTCCGCAAGACCCGTACCGCACGTACTGGGAGAAGCTGAAGAAAGAGGTTGGAACCATCTTACCGAGGCTGAACCCAGACACGAACCCGAACCGATGGCATGAGTATAAATACAGGCCTGTTGAAAAGGAGGAAACAACCGAGGATTTCGACCCCTTGGAGAAAACGGCTCGCGGCCGACTTCTTTTCAAATACGATCCCGATCACCATGGCCGTAAGAAGACCTTCCTGATGATGGAAACAGAACTTCAGCAGGACGCGTCTACGGAATGGGACTGAAAGTGGAGGATTTCCTTTGCCCGAACCGAGCATTAATGGCTCCTTCGGCTCAATCCCTTTTCCTTTTGCCAAGATGAGGTTGCCCAATGTGGAGAAATTTTTGAGGTGTTCATTTGTCGATTTCTTTTGTACGGTGCTTTGCCGAAAATGTATCTCATGATTTATTTACTCTATCCGACCACGAATACAAATGCATAAATGCGATTTTCCACGACCACGGTTCCAGTTAAAGACCTTGGCCGCATCCCGAAACAAGTTCGACACCACTATCATTTACTGCTTGATTTGAAGATTCCCCAATCTCTCTGATCAAAGATTTCCGGGGTAGTGTAGGTGAGGCGTCATATCAGAAAAATTAGAGACCTTTCTCGGAACTTGGCACAACTTGGCGGTATGATTATTGGTCCGTCATTTTAACGGCATGGCCCGTCCCTAGGCTTTGAGGAGAGCGATGCAAGTCTTAGGCTTGAGCCTTAGTTGATTAGAAGTTACTGGAGGCGAACGTGCTTGTTGTTGTTGATGTACTATAATGTGTTGCAGAGTTTGAAGTATAGAGAAAGTTTGAAGGCATTATTCTGAAGCAATGTGTGTAAAGCAAAATGACATCAAGAAAGCATAGCGATACGTCGGCTGACAAACATAATGGGTCTTGCTTGCGTCTGACGTTGCTCTGGGCTGGTTGTATTTATAAGCAACCAAGCGATATGGAACGCCGCCCTTGTGACTAAATGTCAATATTACCGAGTCGGAGCAACATGAAGCTGTTTTTGTCTTCAGCGCCACCACATACTTCTCCAGTTCAGTTCAAGTAATATATCCCCGGGGATTGAGCGCCAGAATTATGTCACCTTCCAGACGAAGGAAGCAGTATTCAAGCTGCGACAACTGTCGTCGTTCCCGAGTTGCATGCAACGCCTCGAAACGGGGTTATCGACCAGGTGATGTAGATTGGCGCGGCTCGTGTTCGCGATGCGCCTTGAAGCAGCAATCATGCACCTTCAACGTAAGTGAACATCGGAAGAGCTGTGCGCCTGCAGAGGCTGATATCAGACAGTGGGTGAAGGACACCAAGAAAAGAGTTCCAGGGCCAGAGTCTGCTAAGGTATTGGACATGGCAAATGTCCCGGCAGCCAGACTGAGTGAGCCGGATACGAACACAGCATTTGACGCACTCATCAAGCAAGTTCTGGAACCTTCTCTTGCGCTCTTAGTATATAGCTGTCCGCTTGTGTAAGTTTCACTAAGGAGCCACCAAGGCGATGTTGGACTCGGAGACTAACAACGTTAGCAAGAACTCCGGTGAAGCCGGAACCACACCGGTTATCGAAATGTTCAGGGCTCTCGATCGTGACTTGAATCAGGCGGCGGTGCCTCAGACTCGGGCGAATGGACAGACACCTGGCCGTGGAGAAGCAGAACTGGGTGACCAAATCGAGTGCTCTTTACGAACCGCCATGAAAGGTTTCGCAGCACGCTGGGCCCCTCTGATCCTACAAGACCATGGCGGCCTTCCGACGAAATCGACCGGAGACTTTGTCAGAGAAAGCTGGCGCGCTGCCAGAAGAGACATGCTCAAAGTCGTCAATCGAGTATCCTATCGATCCGTGTTAACCTTGTATTTGTTCTCACAGACCCCGGTTCCGACTGACATCTCCCATGACGAGGTCATGGACGGAATCGACGGGTTGACTTGTCTTCATACTGCGCTTTCCCAGATTCAAAGACTACGGGAACGAAGGAGTCATGATCACCTCGGGGAGCCGGGGTCAACGGTAGAGCTTAGCTCTTCGCGCCATTCTGTCGTTGCCGAGCAGGTCTCAACCAAGTTTCTAGACCTGGAAACCAGAATTTACTGGGCGGCAGTGGTGTGGGATACTGAAAGCTCGTTGACGTCAAACCTGAGGGCTTCACTCACATCCGGGTTAAAAGGTGCTTGCTTAGAACCTGTTTGGCTTCTGGTCAGGTCTTTCCTCGTCGGCTCGTTCCTCCCCCAGTCAAAAAGTTGGCTTACCAACGGGCTTGAAGTCTCCGACAAGACGGCGACTGAGATACTCTCATCGGCTTCTGTTGCCAACATCTACTTGTGGAAGACAATTACGTCGTTGAAAGAGGCTTTGAGGGAAGGAGTGGATGAAAAAAGCCTTTTGTCAACTTGGGAGGCTGTTCTCGACGCATTGGAGATCTACACAATCTCGATACGCCCGCTTCTCGGCCGTTGCGAGAGGCAGCTCAATTTCCTGAGCCAAGAACGTCGACTAAACTGGTTCGAGGTAAATTTACAGCACTACCTTGGCATTCTGAAAATGGCAGAGGCACTCGAAGCAGCAGGTCGTTCAGACTTACTCGCTCAGATAACCGAGACAAGGCTAGATGCTGAGCGCGAGATTGTCAACGTGCTCAAGTTTGGGACCGAGAACAGCTGTACCGTACGCCCGCCCGCCGCCACGGCTTACAGAACACGCGCCAACCGCTTGCACGACGATACGTCTTCGGAAGAATCTGTCGTCTCAATGAGCCCTTGGATCGCCCGGATAATTGATTCTGTTCGGATTTTGAGGAACATAATCCACACCAGGTATCTCGAGAAGAGCATGGAACACGACGCATGCACTCATCTGCTCAGACTGGCCTCTGATGTTCTAGACTGTCTTTCGAATCACGTTCTCTGCGTCGGCGATGGCCAGAAGCGTCTGCAAAAGCTAAGAGAGGAGATAGCATAGGTCTTCTACCGGGTGTTTCCGAGATACGTCGTATCCATAGCAAAGATGCTGCTTTTGTCTCTCAGCCTCCTAGAGTGATATTGGATTTGTTATAAAATTCAAATTCGACGCGCAAAGAAAACATAAGTACATTCTCATTAGTAGTGGAAGTAGTTATCTATTTAGGGGCAGGCTATGAGGCATCTCGCGGTTTCCAGACCTCGATACTCGTAGAAATTGCGCCAATTCATGCCGGTCTGCCTGAACCCAGTGAACGGAGTATCTACTCGGTGCGTGTTCCATATACGTGAACGTTCAGTCTCACTGGAGACCCGTCATCTTTATCGATTCTTGCGCCCGCTCGTATGATCATTCTCTCGTTCCACGTTTCCCGAATAGTCTTCTCTCCCGTTTCCAGACCCATTGACGCCAAATTGTACAGAACTTATATTCCAACCATGTCAATCAACAGACTTTAATAAAGTCTCGGTTTACACTTGGTAGATCATAAGTGAATCTTTCCTACTCGAAAGAGCACAGAAGGATTTCACATGCAACTGCTGCAGCCTTCTTGTCAGCTAAGATGGTGGTTATCTAAATGAGAGCAGCCAATAGAAGAGCACTAAATGGAATCGTGGGATTCCGCTTAGATTTTGATACTGTTTTCGTCGTAGTCTCTCCGTCCGCATCATTTGGAACCTCATGCAGACCAAAGTGAAGATGTGGATACTCCGGTCCGCGTTCGGGGCCTCCGACCGGAGACCCACAATCACGGCCCCCCTTCGCCCGGATCAATCGCAGGAAGCCGAACATCAAGCCGATACATAACACATGGGCAGAACCCGACCCGCGGCTTCACAAGCTGATCAGAAATGTCTCGTTCCTTTGGTGTCTTGAGCCGCAGGGGCTTCCCCTTACTGCACACCGAGCCCAGCTGGAAAAATTGCCTCGACAGCTGGTAGAAAAGAAGCCTTCCCATCCCTAACAAAACTCTCCGTTTTGAAACGGCTGCGTTCATCCCACAAGGGTAACTGAGCTGGCCAACGAGGAGAGGCGGTCCGGAGCCGGGAGCCTGGGTGTTCTCGAATGCCGATCGCAACCACCCCCGCGCTGGAGAAAGCTTGGCTGCGCAGGGCGCTCCTTGGCAAAAGCTTGCTGACCTGTAGTCGTAAAGAGACTACCGAGGGCCGTTTGACGACCGTCAGAGAACTCGTGGTCGTTTCTTTTTCCCCAAGGAATGTCGGCGCACAAGGAGCACCGGCGAGTGACACCGACGGCTTCGTATTACTCGTATTGGCGTCATGGTTTGCGGGGTGGAGGAGGCGGCTTCAACTTTCATGTCATCATCACATTAGTGACCCGGAAATCTCTCATCAAGGTCCATCACAAGAGCTGCGAGACGAAAGCCAGCGTTCTAATAGTGACAAGGCTCGGATGCCGTGGCGTCGTCGAGTCTGTCACTTGAGGCTTATCTGCTAAGATCAAACACCGTCACTTATTCGGCTTTTTCTCATCGGATCATCAATCGCCGTCTATTCAGATTGTCGAATCCAATTACCAATGGTGAAAATCAGAGAAGCAGCTCGCGCCGCCATCACAGCCTACGGCCTCGCCACGGAGAAAGGCGGAAACGCGTCGATCCCGCTGCAAGACGTCGCCGAGTCCCTGGCAGCCTTCTATCTCACCAATTTCACCGCTTTCACCCTTGGTAAAATTACAGTGCTGCCGAACGATCCAGTGCCGGGTGTCTTGCGGCAGCTTCGGCTCTTGAACGAAAGCGGGATCGGTACAGACATCCGGCCTCGCGGCGGCAAGGTGGAGGTCGTATCCTCGGAAAGCGCGATCTGTTGGGTCACATTTGAGATCTTTCCCAGGACAAGAGCGGTCACAAGATGGACGTGGACGAACGTGTACGGTTTTCGGCTGGAGAGAGGAAGGAGTAACGGGCTTGAAGGCGGATGGGAGTTCACCAACCCGGACCAGGAATTCCAGACATTACTAGAGCGGGTGCCGACTTTCTACACAGGTGGCAAGGTCGGATAGAATGGTAGTTTGGTTTTTATATTATTTGATTACAATTTTGTCTATCACAAAAGGCGAGAGTCTTCGACTTATATGGCGAAGATCTCTCGATACAACCATCTACCAAATGATCTACAAGAGAGCGGCCGCGCCGAGAGCAACGCCGGCCATGAGACCATACATGTTAGAGACACCGGCGGCCGCAGCGTTGGGGACGCTCGTCTGAGAGCTGGTGCCGTTGAGTCCGTTGCTGCCAGTAGCCCGGCTTCTCGAAGTGGTCGTGGCCATAGTGCCATTGCCAGCCGCGGCCGTCGGGGCGTCTCCAGCGGAGGTGCTGACGGTCATGAGGGTGTCCGAACCGGTCTGGACATTGTAGTCGCCAGACTGGCTGCCACTCATCGAGCTGCTGTCGGCCGCGGCGGAGGCGGAGGCAGTCGCCTGGGCCGAAGGAGCGGCCGTCAGGCTGATCTGGGTCGTCTGGTAGCCGCCGGCCGCGGAGGCGGTCTTGAGGGCGATGAAGGACGGGGAGTAGGTGTCGGTGCCGACGTACGCGGCGCAGCCCGGGACGGTGGTCTTGGGAGGGGCACGGCCGCCGCCGCAGTCGAGGGGGGCGCAGATCTCGCCGGTGCCGGGGACGAAGTAGACGCGGGTCGCGTAGGGGGTGCCGCCGCCGGACGGGGTGACGACGGAGTCGGAGGACGTGCAGCCGGTCAGGTCGGTCTTGGCCAGGGCGGCGGAGGCCATGACGGCCACGGTGGCGAGGATTCTGAAAGACATGTTGATGATGATCGGGTAGACTTGGGATTGTCGTTAGTTTTTTGGTTTTAGAGAGCGTGTTATTGTTTGAGCTTTAAGTAAAAGAGTGTACTGATCCAAACTTGGCAGTGAGCAAGGCCTCTGGAGTCGGTTGCTTGATTAAGGGATGGATAGGAAAAGAAAATGCACAGCTCTTGGCCGCCGTTCCAGAGGTTCTCTTTATCATGAAAATTTCAAAGATCCAACGACTGCCCTACGCCTTAGCCTCAGGTCCAGCGGGCGCCCCCTAGGCGGAGCTAAGCGGGATCTGCGACGGCATTCGCACGCCACTCATCTCGGAAATCGTCCTAGCGGTCATTGAGAGCATCCTGTCACGGACACCTCAACGGCTTTCCGTGACGACGTGGCGTGGATGATCTGTCTCAGGAGTTTGCCGAAAAATCCGTATTCCCGTATTCACGGGTATTTTTGGCTCTCATTCATCAACCGACGGGTGAAAAAGCAACTCTCGTGTGACAGTCCAGCAAACCGACTAGTTTGGGGGCTCTGTATCTCCGTATGCGGAATTCCGAATATCGCGAGGTGATGGGACTGTGCCTTCACCCCTGACGGGATTCCGCCGGTCCAGAACGGGCCAAAGAGGCGGGTACCGGCGCCGGGATTTCGATCCCTGCGTGATGTTATTTGCTGGCGAAATAATACTCTAGCGTGTTGTCTACTTTAATCAGCGAAGCCAATGAATTCGGGTCTTATGGGAAAAGGAAGCAAATCGAGCGAACTAGGCATGGAGACGTTGTTGCCTGGCTCTGCCCCTGAATGAAGCAGGATTAGAGAGCAGTGCGCGACTAGCAAAATAGCTTGATGACGAAAATCGAAGTTATCTCGTCTTTTGAAATACCAAAGGGAAGAGACATAACAAAACGAAATGGCTGAAGTGTTTCCGTGTTCATCTTCTTGACTTCATACGGAGGTAATCTTTGGCAGTTGTACGAAGTCAATGCATACAGGCTCGTTCATCCTCTCAGGGATGGCTTCGCAAAGAAGCATGGTGTCCGAAAACGTCCTGGACGATGGATCTCTGTTGATCAAAGGATTGCGTTTGATAAAATGTATCTAAGAGCATGACAAACGTCCTCGCGAGCAGTTGTGTATGTTTCCAGGTAACCGAAAAGGGGGTTATCTCGGCCGGATCAGCCGACCGAACTTCGGAGAGTGTGGAGATGGACGGTGATAAGCGCAGCGGCAGAATTACAGGGGAGCTGTTGCTGCTAAAAAGCTTCGCTCAGTGAGTCAATCGCTATCGGCTCCGCCTATTTCTCCTCCCGCCCCTGTCCTAGCACCGGCATCCCTCCCGGCACCGATAAGCCACCCCGCGACTTCCCCGTGTCTTGTCTTTAACCTCACTTCCCCCGCATCCATCATCATCGATGCCGGATCTGACGTCTTGGTACTGCCATTCCGCTTGTTCGTTGTGATTCCCGTCCTACACCAGCTGTCAATATGGCAACCCATACTCTTCCCGTCCGCCTCAACCCGGCCAATGCCTCTTCTGATGGCGATTGGGTTGACGTGGATGATAGTCAGCACCGTCCAGAGGCATCAGTTACGACCGAGTCAGAGTCAATGACTGAGCGCATACAGCGTGTTAGCTTTGATGAGAAAAACCTCTCCAAATTCTACAACATCAAGTTCTCCCCCACTCGGTACCATCGACTAAAGAAGTACTACACCGAGGAACTCGACAGCTTATTCAAGGCCCCCTTCGATACTTACAACCAGGAGGACAAGGTTGATTTCCTCCTACTTCGTAACTATCTCAGAAGAAACCTTCGTGGATTGGAGCTGGACCGTCAGAGAGATGAGGATGTCCGCCCAATTTTGCCTTTTACCCAGACCATCATCGACTTGGTCGAGGATCGTCAGCGGCTGGTGCCAGTCGACAGCAAGCAGACGGCCGTGATCTTGAACAACACCACCAAGAAGGTCTTCGAGGCAACCAAGGCCATTCTATCAAACGAAGTGAAGGCGAACGTTTCCACCTTCTCCAGGGCCATAAGCACCATCGACCAGCTCAGAGGTCACGTGGACGAGCTCTACGGCTTCTACTCACCCTACGACCCGTTATTCCCATGGTGGAACGAGGCACCCAAAAAGAGCTTCGATGACGCCCTCACCGGCATCAAGTCGGCACTGGAAGCCAAGCTGGACGAGAAAACTGGGCCCGGTTCCATCCGTGCCGCGGTCGAGCCGATCGGTCGGGACGGCCTTCTCAACGAGCTCGAAGCGGAAATGATTCCCTACACGCCAGAAGAGCTCCTAAAATTAGCAAAAGAGCAGTACGATTGGTGCGAAAAGGAAATGAAAAAGGCTTCCCGCAGCCTCTCAAACGACAAAGTGGGCTCCATTGGGCCGGATGGCAAGGCATCGGTGTAAGTGGCGCCGACGTCATTACTGGAATAGGAACTGACCTTTCTTTTTAGTCTTAAAACTGGCGACTCCTCTTTGGGGTTCGGAGACAACTGGAAGGCTGCTCTTCAACATGTCAAGGACACGTACGTCGAGCCCGGCCAGCAGCCGGAGCTCGTTCGACAACTCGCTCGCGAGGGCGAGGACTTCGTCACCAAACACGACCTCGTCACCGTCCCCAGCGTGGCCGCCGAAACATGGCGCATGTTCATGATCTCGGCTGAGCGCCAGAAGGAGTCTCCGTTCTTCCTCGGTGGCCCGTCGATTATGGTTTCTTATCCCACCGCGGCCATGGATCACGACCTGAAGGTCATGGTGATGCGCGGCAACAACCCTCACTTCTCCCGCGCGACGGCGTTCCACGAGCTCATCCCGGGTCACCGACTCCAGCTGTTCATGGCTAAGCGTCACCACCCGTACCGTAAACTATTCGAGACACCATTCTTTGTCGAAGGGTGGGCCATGTACTGGGAGTTCGTCTTTTGGAATAGAGGCGACTTCTTCATCTCGCCGGAAGACAAGATCGGGACTCTGTTCTGGCGCATGCATCGATGTGCCCGTATCATCTTCTCTCTGAAGTACCACCTGGGAGAGATGACGCCGCAGGAATGCGTCGATTTGCTCGTTGACTGGGTCGGACACGAACGTTCCAACGCAGAGGGAGAGGTAACCAGGTCATTCGGCGGCGAATATTCACCACTTTACCAAGCCGGCTACATGTTGGGAGCATTCCAGATGTATGGTCTGCGGGAGGAGGTGCTGATGAAGGGACTGATGGGCGAGAAGGAGCTTCACGACAAGATTCTGCGAGCAAACACGATGCCGATCGAGCTGCTGCGGGCGTTGGTTCTAAACAAGCCCCTGAGCCCGGATTACACTTCCAAGTGGAGGTTTTACGACTGAGCTCCGACCTGAGAATGTTCACGGCGTGGCATCTGCCGCGCGATCTTGTACGTTACATTCGGCCGATATTGAACAGCTTTAAAAGACCAAAACAGTCAACCTGGGCCCACCATCTCCTTCTCTCCGCATCCCCGGACTGTCTCCCCGCATAGCCGCCGATCCATGTGGCTGGGAATGCGGGGGAGCCAGCGGGTCCCCTCGGCCCTTCGGTCCATCTCGAGCGGCGGGCGGATGATTGTCCGTGGAATCATATCTACACCAACCTCCGCCCTACATCACGCGCGGGCGACCGCCCAGAACCCCCAAACCTGTGGCTCGGTACCAGCCAATGTCATCCCATGGATAACGGAACAGAGCTCGGCCACCAAGGCGAACCCACCGACGCGGGCCACGACGACTCCGGCGGCGCCGAGGCCGCGGCGGCCCTCGCGTGCAACTGCTGCCGGCGCCGCAAGCTGCGGTGTTCCAGAGAGGTCCCGACGTGTCAACAGTGCCGTAAGACAGGTGGGTCTGCTCAGGATCAGGTCGCTTCCCATCTTGGTAATTGACTCGTCGCAGGAAGTGAATGCGTGTATGAGTCCAAGAGGTCTAAGCCGGGAATGAAGGCCGGGGCGATTGAGAATCTGCATCGAAGACTAGGTTCGTCCGACACGTCATGTCTAGAACTGTCTTTCAAGGCTGACCCATGGTTTCAAGATGCTTTGGAGAGAACAGTACACCAGCAACGGGCTAACCCTGCTGATCGTGACAGGCGACAGTCCAGGACGGATAGCTCGCCCAACCAAGATAGTCCCCATGGGAGCAACGCTGAAATCGAGAGAAATGCCTACAGTATCATGTCTTTCTTCGCCAAAGAACTTCAAAAGTTCAACACCAAGGCATCGGGCTCGCTAAGCAATGGAAATCATATCCCTGGGGCTGGCGAGGATGTACCACGAACGAAACGGCGTCGCTTAAACGACTTTGAGGGAACTCAATCTCCACTCGGTAGCAATGGCCCTGCTTTACTGGACGGCGATGTTCTTCAGGCCGTCCTTCAAGCCTACTTTTCACATGTCCATCCCTGGATCCCCATCCTGCACGAAGCCAGGTTCCGGCGACGGCTTGCCGGGCCCAATGGCTTCGAGGCGTTGAAGGTCGTATTACACTCCATGGTTCTTGCCGCTGCTAGGTACGTCAGCGATGAAGAGGCTGCTGCCGCCGCTTTCGGATCATGCCAACACAGGGTGAACGTGAGAGACTGGGTTGTTTCACAAGCGATGAAACACCTCACAGTCGAGAGTCTCCAAGCTCTCATTATTGTCTCCTTCAACGATGTAAGTTCTCGCCTAGAGAGGTCTTGATCACCACTAACCAACACCCCCAGATTGGTAGCGGCGATGCAGCTCAGGCATGGTCTCTCGTCGGCTCGTTGACACGCACCGTCGAGTATCTCCAGCTTACCGTGGAACACGACGACGCCGACAGGCCCTCCTTATCTCAGCCCTTCATCTCTCTCCATCCACCCGACAACTGGACCGAAGCTGAAGAGCGGAGGCGAGTGTTCTGGAACGTCTTCAAGCTCGACCGCCTCATCTCCGTCACAATGGGCTGGAACACAAGTCTCACCTCAGACGATGTCCGCTGCAGACTGCCGTGCGACGGCGTCCTCTGGCGTAAGGAAGACCGGGTAGTCACCCCGTACTTCGGGATCTGGGACAAGGCCGCCGGCAGGATAGGCAACCCAATCGCGTTCATTCCGTCTCATTACGCGCAGACATCTCAAATAGTCGCGGAAGAGGAGATACAGACTCCTTCGGAAGCTGGGACGTCTCCGGGAGCGCAGGCTGCGAGTGTTGACATGTCGACCGTCGGGGCTTTCGCTTATTGCATCGAGGCAACAGAGTCTCTGAGTCGAGTCACCAGCTACTTCCTTCAACAGAAAATCAACATGAGAGATCAAAGGGATATCAGCAGTTGGTTGACCCGCTTCAAAGAGCTCGACCTACGTCTGGTCCATTGGAAGATGCTGCTGCCTCAAAAGTGGAAGGCGAACATGGCTCGCCAGTCCACACGGATGGACCCCAATCTGACCCTGGCGCACGTCACCCACAACACTTCCATGATCCTACTACACCAGCTCATCGCCTTCCCGCCAAAAGAGTGGCCGTTCCGCGCCCGTCTACCGAGCGTTCTGAGCATCGACACGTGCCAGGCCGCGGCGGTGGAGATCGCCATCATTGCCGAGAACTACCTGAAGCACGCCCCGCCCACCATGCCCGTCTCGAGTCAATTTGCTTTCTGCATTTACGTGGCTGCCAGAGTGCTGCTGCTTCGCTGGAGACACGAGACTGGGGGTGATCTGATGCCTGAGTTCTGGTCTCTGGTGCAGATTCTCGATGAGATGGCTAGTCGGTGGTCTGGTCCGCATAGTTTCGAGCCGGCGAGAGACAACCTCGCTGGGAAATACTCTCGGAAGCTCACCGAGATGCATTCGAGATGCGGCGATGATTCACCTTATAACATCAACGTGTTGGGATACACGACGGAGATCGACCACACCAGCTCCAAGGACCCGCCAGCTTTCCCTCAACCATGTCGCAACGGAAACGGCCAGCAGCATGTTCCGGAAGCAAGACCGGGTATTATGAGGGGTGAACAAGACAGGGGTCCCGTTGTAGACCCTCAACGAGGCATGGGAGTAAACAACGTTGACAACATCGTCGTCGCTCAGCAATACACCGCTTCCCACCCAACTGTGAACCCGAATCCACCCCCTGGTGCCATGATCGTGCACCCGACCATGGAAATGAACGGGGTCGAGCCAATCACTCAGCAGACCATCTACCACCGTGGAAGTGTGGGAAGCGGCGAGCTCAGCAGCATCTCCCAACTGCTGCTCGACCAGCAGTTCGTCGACATGGACCGGATAATCAGCTTCGACGACGGCATCTTCGGCACAGAGTACGAAGGCGGGTGGTAAATACGTTTTTCTCCTTCGTCTATATAACAGGGCGGTGTGCCCGCTTGTACAACAAAACATACGATGTCTATACGAGATTCATATTCAAAAGCCTGTTCCCAAACTCCACGAGGTAGTAATCCCCGTACACCAGGCCGTGGTTGGCATACTGCCGTCTCGCGTTCTCGTTGTTATTTGCGGTGCCGTGCTTGAGCACGCCGTCGAAGCACTTCCCGGTGACCGTGTCTTCCACACTGATTTCCCCCTGGCTGCCGTTTCTGACAAGACGGGCCTCCTCGGCGAGAGAGTGATCGAGAGTGTCCGTGACTATTTCGATGGCTGCGTCGAAGAACCTCCTAGCCAGGGCGTGTTGCTGGATGCTTTTGAGAGCTTGGGAGAGGAGAAGCATCCCGTTGGCGGCGATGACTCCGGCGGACGAGTCTCTCAAGGGATCTGAAGCGTTCTCGATAGGCGCATCAAAGTCCCATAGGGGAACTCTGCGCCCCATGGTTCTCGTTGTAAGTGCATCGCCTAAAGTGCTGTTGAAATTCTCATCCCTGATCGGAATATCCACGCAAGCCGGTGCAGTGTCGAGCCTGTACAGGAAGTACTCCGCAACACCGCAAGCCGCCTCCAGAAACACGCTGTCCTTCGTCCAGAGATACGTCTGCGCGTATCCCAAGACCGCCCAAGCCTGCCCTCGGCTCCAGGTCGACTCGTTCGAGTAGCCCTGCGACGTCCGCCGCCACTTGAGGTCACCCGTGGCCGGATCAATGTTGGCGACGTGGCACGTTGAATACAGCTGCCCTCTGTACCCATCTTTTGCAAACGTCTTTGCGGATTCCGGGCGGAGGTGGGTGTGAAGTAGTTTTCGAGCGTGAGTGGTGGCGATATCTGCGAGGCTTTTGTCCCCCGTATGCGCGGATGCGTAGAAGAGCAGATCCAGGTTACACAGACTGTCGATGATGGCGAGGAGATTCGTGTTCATGTCCGTGACGGTGATGTCCTTTTTCAGGAGACAATCCCAGCTCCGGATGGCACCCGCGGACGGGATATATCGGGTCGCCAGACTCTGCGCTGCCCTGACAATCGAGTCGAAGCTTTGCTGGTTTCCCGTGAGTTCCCAGTCTCTCTGCAGAGCCGGCATGATGATGAAGCCGATGTCGTGGGTATCCGTCCTGCTGGCCATGCCGTGCAGCGGATCGGCCCAGATGCGGCACAGGTCCTGCAGGTGCGCGCGGAGACTGGCGACGTCGAGTTCGGACCCGGAAATTCGGAAGCTCATGGTTTGAGGGTACTTGACGGTCCGTTCGAGCAGGGCGTACAGGGTCCCCGGGAAGAAGCCGCAGGTCCAGAAGTCCGGATCGCGGAACTCGTACTGGCCGGCGCCGGGGCCGTCTTGGGGGACGATCTCCGGGAAGGCGACGGGTGTCTTGCGGACCTGGTTCGAGGGGTAGATGAACTTTTCCTCGAGCGATTTGGTGGCGGTGCGGCATATTTTGGCGGTGATGTTTTCTTCGAAGAGCTTGTGAAGGCGACTTTGGAGGGTGGGCCTTGAGTGGAGGGTTGGCCAGTCTTCGGGCTCCGCCGCTTCGGACCAGGAGGTCTCGCTGCTTCTATCCATGGATATGTCCTCTGGTGTTGGTGTCGAGATTGAAGTTGGAGGCTCGGAAGACATGATGTCAATTGCGGGAGCTTCAGTCTCTATCGAGGATGATGCAGTCAAAATGTGGTCTTGTTCGGCCATGGCGGGAAGTACTAGGTGCGATCGAGGAGAGCAGAGTACTCGAGTAGTACAGAGCGAAAGATGTAGAAAAGTGAAGCCATCGTTTTGTACTCTATGTCCCGAATCGTCAGGATCGGGCTATTGATAAGCAGTCTGGGTTTGAAGTAAAGGACGTTCTTACGATACACGGCCCGTCGGAACTTCGGCAGCAAAAGTCTCGAATCCCTTTGGTCGGGTGACGGTCGATCTCTCGGTCCAAGACTTTGGCGATATGGTTGGCTGACCCTATGTCATCTCGAGCACAATGGTCGGGGTAAACATGCCCCGTCACGCCGAGGACATTCCTCCGAAATGAGCGCCGTCCTATCGCGACGATCTTCCCCGGTTCTCCACACCCCGCGGCCGGGGTTCGTTGCTTTGTCCAGAGGAGCGATATGCGGGGGAATTAGCGAGAAAAGGTGAGCTTGCATGCAGCATGGGGTGTTTGTTTGCTCTATCTCGCGGTCTGGAGATGCCAACGGACTACTCCATTGCTACCTTACTGACGCAAGGCTGCTTTGGGGGGGCATGAGGATGGTTTGATTGATATAAAGGATGGTGTTGCATCGTCCCGAAACTTCACTCGAGAAGTCTGAACACCACCAACTCCTCTTCGGAACTCAACCCCTTCGATTGAGGCCTTCAATTGAGGGACATCGAAGCGCGAGATCACACGAAAGCCGCCGACATGGGAGACCGCGTCAGTCTCGACAGGACCGCCGGCGCCGCGGAGCCGGTCCCGATCACGAAGCCGCTTGACGATGACGCACCTGTGGTGAGCTCTTCGACGGGCAAGCCACAGACGAGATCGCTATGGGTGGCGTGGCTGTACATCTTCGACTGGTACCCTAGTCACTACTCGAAGGAGGAGAAGAAACTGCTTCGAAAGGTTGGCTCACGCGCCTTCTTGGTTCTCTCTGACTGCTAACAGTCGTTAGTTGGACTCTGTGCTGCTCAGCCTTTGCTGCTTGATGTGTAAGTCGCAAGTAGCCGCGTTCAAAGTATCTTGACTAACGAGACAAGTCTTTCTGAAATGGCTCGATTCTGCCAACATCAACCACGCCTACGTCTCCGGTATGAAGGAGGAACTTAACCTCAAAGGGAACCAGTAAGTTCTCATGAAGTCTTTCCCACACTTCAGTGCTCACCTTGCCATCAGATACTCTCTATTCGGCACCTTCTACAACATTGGTTACCTCATCTTCGAGATTCCCTCCATGATGATCATCTCTCGCCCCAAGATCACGCGCTACTACCTCCCGACCATGGAATGCCTTTGGTCTATTGTCACCTTCACCCAGTGCCGCCTGCGCAACGAATATGACATTTACGGCATCCGATTTCTCTTGGGTGTATTGGAAACCCCTGCTGCTACGGGAGCGATTTACCTGTTGACATCTTGGTACCGCGGTGACGAGCTCTTCAAGCGTGCGGGAGTGTGGTAGGTCTCGCATCCGATGGCACCCAACAACGTGATGGTTTTCTAACCGTTTTTCTCTCACAGGTATGTCTCGAGTAACGTCGGTGCGATGTTTGGAGGGTACCTTCAGGCGGCGGCATACAACAACCTCAACGGCGTTAGTGGAATGGCCGGCTGGCGCTGGCTATTCATCATTGAGTATGGTTACACGCAGACCTTGCATGATTTCGCAGCTAATCCGGGTTGTCAGTGGTATCATCAGTCTGCCCATCTCGATTGCCGGTTACTTCCTCTTCCCTGGTCTGCCAACAAGTCCCAAAGTCTGGTGGCTCACCGAGGCCGAACAAAAGCTTGCGCAGGCTCGGATGAGAGACGATGGAGTCAAGGAGAGCAAGAAGATCGGCAAGAGAATGCTCAAGCGCGTGTTCACCCACTGGCACTTCTACATCGCCGTCTTCACTTACATCTTGTAAGTCCTGCCTGGTTTGGAGAGTCATAAGCGATGGCGCTGACTTTGAATAGCTTCCAGTGCACTTCTTACGTCTCGGGGCAGATGGCTCTCTGGCTCAAGCATGAGGCAGACCTCAACGGCACCTGGACCGTCGCCCAGATTAACACGATTCCCACCGGTGTGCAGGCCATTGCAATCGTGGCGGGTGTCACGGCCACTTCGCTGTGCATGATCTACCCCATCTGGTGTGTCATGTGCGTAGTGGCTGCGATTCTCTTCTTTGCCAACGTTTGCCTCTTGATCTGGGATATCCCTACTGGTTTGCACTGTAAGTTTTCGTGTATCTCTCAAACAAGTGAGTGTGAAGCACTGTTACTGACTTCAGCCTCTTCGCAGTTGCCGTCTACTACATGCTTGGACTCACCAGCTGTGTAACGCCGATCCTGTTTCCATGGGTGAACATGGTCATGAAAGATGACAACGAGGCCAGAGCCTTCACAACCGGAGCCATGGTAAGTATTGCTAGCAACACAGACAACACACGCGGTCTTTTCTCACTGTTTTCTAGATGACATGCGGCTGGATCTTCTTCAGCTTCTACCCCATCACCGTTTTCCCTGTCGTCGAAGGTAAGTCCATCGAAAAGCAACATTTGAGAGTACTTGGGACACCGTTTCTGACGAGATGCGAACAGCCCCCAAGTGGCGCAAAGGATTCACCGTCAACACCGTCTTCGTGGCAACCTGGTGGATTCTCTTCATGCTTGGCCAGTATCTATGGAGGCGCGACATCAAGCTCGGAAAGTACAAGACGACTACCGAGACCAGCAGTGTTCAGGAGATGAAGAAAGACGACGACGATATGACGCATGTTGAGGTCTCTAGTGAGAAGGAAACTAGGGTTTAAACGGGTTGTCTGGTCTGAGTGCATCTTCTTGGATGGTTTGGAGAGCTGGCGCAGGCTTGCAAGCGCAATATAAACTGCTGTTAGGAACTAGTTTGGAGAGTTGCGGATAGACTTGTTGGAGTCGTCAAGTAACCCTTCCGCAATCTGACTACATGGGACCTCTGCAAATCAACATAATGTGGATACACCCAATTGAACCATTGAAATCCCTCAAAATAGCCAGCAATTGTCATCTACCACTAGTCAATAAACTGGGTATAACCGAGTCTCTCGGGTTACGGGTACAGTCGAAAGTCGGCCGCTGCCGACCGGTGAACCCGTCGCATGAAGAAAATGAGTCCGGGGTCCCGCACTCCGCGGAGGCCGCATCATTCATGCGGGCCTTCGACTTGAGAATCCGAACACATCGCCGACTGTACAGAGTAACTTCATGTTATTTACATGTTGTCCAAGACATTTGCACTTTATTTCAGTTACGGCTTACGATATTCGGAACAACAGCGAAAAAGTCAAGGGGGGAGATAAGCTCAATCTTCCCCATAAGCAGCAGTGGAGTCGCGAGGCCTGGTGCTAACAGGCGGGGATTGTAAGAGAGAGCCGGCTGGTCTACTTCCATGCTACAGACCATGCAACTTGAAGTGGGTTACTAGGGTGTTGATGGAGACCTGTCAGACTCGAACCATATAGGGGAGGATTCATTTCCTGGTCACCGTCTCACATTCGTATGGACTTTCAGCTCGGTGCACTGAACACATGTTCGCAGGGCCGCGTGGGCCCCCATGACGCTCGCTTGGCTAACGAGTTGAAAAAGTTCAATATTCCCGCGTCGGAGTCTGAGCCCATTCGATGTTCCCTTCGGTGCAGATTCAACAAGTATCAAATCCGGTTGCGTGCATTGCATCTCGGTCCCTCGGAGCTTCCAAAATGCATCAACCCCTGAAGCTTATCCGCATCCACTCCGAAGATCAACTACAACAACTTGGAGACCTGGGCTCCAGGATATTCTTCGACGACGCAATTTTTGAATGGTTCTGCCCCGACCGCCACGAGCTTCCCGACGAGTTCAGAGACCTTTGGCGTCTGCTTCTCAGAGGCGAGTTCTCCGAGCCGGGAACGGTTATTCTAGCTGCTTGCAAAGAAAGTTCCGACGATCTACGTAATGCTCTGGGCTTCTGCATATGGAGACGCCATGGAAAATCAGACACAGCCCGAAGCTGGCAGGGGGATAGTCTGAAGAAAAGTAGGCTCCTACTATCACCAGCAGCTCCAACTCATCGCCAAATGCTGACAATTTGCAAATAGAATTCATGCGAATCAGTCTTATACTGCAGTATGCATACCGCATAGTCTCTGGGCATTTGTCTCTTTGGAGGGTTTATGACCTGCTGTCATCAAAACACGATGTTGAGAAGGTTTATCCCACAGAACGATGGCGTCTCAGTTGGCTGGCTGTATCTCCTGAATTCCAAAGATGTGGGGTGGGAAAGAGAATGTTGCAATGGGGACTCGAACGAAGCGAGGAAGAGGGCGTTCCTGCAGTGCTGGAATCCAGCAAACCCGGAAGAGGGTTGTATGCAAAGGCTGGATTTGAGGAGATAGGATGGATGAAGTTTGATGGAGGCAAGCAGCAGCAACCAATAATGCTCCGACAAGCGCGCGAGGATAAGAAGGTGGTTTGATGCCTGGGATTACTAATAATGTAATTTTTCATTACTGCAGTCATGGCATTATACGAAGTATCATCCTTAACACTCCATTTTGGCTTACAACAATATAGATGACATGTTTTCAACGCAGAACCTACTCGTCTTCCTCCAGTTCAACACACGAACTGAACATGCATTTATCTCTGATATGCTTAGCTAAGAACTGGTTATTACGCCCTAGAATGATTTGGCTCAAGACTAGCTTCCACGTTGCCGCTTTCCCGGCACCATGCGGAAATAACATGAGCCCCAAATAACACTGGATGAACGGTCTGTCTTTGACCTCCATTTTACCCCGCCATCTCCGGCATTTCCATTAGTGATCGTCGTTTGCCACATGTAACCTGCCTCTTGATTGCTAGAGTGGTTTGATCTCCGCTTACCATTGACATTTACTGACTGCCGAAAATCCCGCCCGCCTGGTTAACTTCACGTCACCTTTCGGACATTGGCCGACTGACATTTCAGAAGAAAGAAGAACCGTCTTCTGGCCTTGAAATGCAGGAGCCTCCCCACGTTAGTGATGGGGACGCGAACAGCGGGCAGTCTCCTCAAGCATCCACCATGGCCACTCTTCAGTTAGCCACATGGGCAACTAACCTCACTTACGCCAACCTCTCAACGGGAGTAGTTGATGCTGCTGTCAAGAGTCTTTATAATTGGGCCGGCTGTGCCATTGGAGGTTACGTTCAGGATGCGCCCCAGATTGCGCAGAACACCACTCTCGCCGCTTTCAGCGGCCCTCCCACATCGAGTATCCTCGGCGCAAACGATTTCATTAGCTCTGGGTATGCGGATGCTCAGACGGCGGCGTTGATCAACGGCATCGCATCACATGTCGACGACTACGACGATACGCACCTCGAAACCATCATTCATCCTGCCGGGCCTGTGGCTAGCGCGCTGTTTGCTGTCGCTGAGTGGAAGGCTCCCGTTTCAGGCCACGACTTCATCACCGCGTTTGTCGCCGGTGTCGAAGCAGAATGTAAGCTGGGTCTGTCGGTCTATCCTGAACATTACAATGTGGGATGGCACATCACCAGCACCACGGGCTCGATTGGCGCAGCAGTAGCAGTCAGCAAGCTTCTTGGATCCGCTACTGTTACCATGCAAAACGCCATTGGAATAGCGGCGACGCAAGTTGTCGGCATGCAAGAGTACTTCGGGTCAGACACAAAGTCTTTCCATGTCGGACGGGCAGCGCAAGGCGGCATGCTCGCTGCGCTCCTTGCCAAGAACAACTACACCAGCTCTCTTCAGGGCCTTGAGGCCAAGTTTGGGTGGTTGCACGTCGTTAGCACGCGAGAAAACGCGACGGCATACTTCGGGCAGCTGGGTCAGATCTGGGAGATCGAGAAGAACACGTTCAAACCCTTCCCTTGTGGGATCGTCATGCACCCATCCATCGATGCTGCCATACAGCTGCATAATCAGACTATCCAAGAAGGCAAATCTCTCTCCGACATAGACACCGTCGAGTTACGCGTCAACCCTCAAGTCCTCATCCTAACAGGCAAGACGGATCCACAGACAGGCCTCGAGGGCAAGTTCAGCATCTACCATGCCACAGCCGTGGGCCTCATCTACGGTGAAGCTACGCCTAAGGAGTTCACAGATGCGGTGGTAAAGAATGAGACGGTGGTCGACATGCGGAAGAAGGTCAACGTGACGACTGATGCGAGCGTGGATAATGCGCAAGGGTACATGACGGTCAGCTTCAAAGACGGTACCAAACTCGAAAAGCACGTCGTGAACGCGATCGGGAGCCGGGAGAACCCACTTACAGTGGATGATTTGAAGAAGAAGTTCATGGACCAAGTCACGATGGCCATCGGTCAGGAGAGGGCCACGAAAGCGTACGATGCGTTCACTAATATTGGTAACCTGACCGATGTAGGAAAACTGCGCGGGATGTTTTGAGTAGCTCGGGGTTATGATAACTTCTACAAACAAATTCCATGAGTAACTTGAAGCTGATTGGGTCCGAATGTCATATATGTATAAACGGGCAGGCTGTGTACGTAAAGTAGCAGACCCAAGACAGCACAAATCCTCCTAAAGCAAACCCGGCCCGTCAGTCTTTGACCATATCCGCCGAAAATAAACGGATAAGCTCGCCCGGTTTCCGGGAGTTCAACCACGTTCCAACACGGCTTATGCCCGGTCGTGGGTCCGCCGGGAAGATCAATCGGCGCCGACGCTCCACTCGCCGAACCGGCGGGATGTTGCTGAGTGGTGCCGATAGCGGGGCATTGGGACGGCCAATGGGTGGAGGGACAATTTCCGATAGTTGGACGGACTGTGTGACCGTGTAAGTGGCACGCGGGGTTTGTCCGCCTCTCTATCCCCACAAGTCATTTCGAGCAACTTCAACGAAAAGTCCGAGTCAAGAGTAAAATGGGATATGCGTCTTCTCTAGTTGTGTTTTCTGAGTCTGAAGTCTTTCGAAGTCGGTCATTATCTGCAATTTTTGCCCTCCTGCCAGCTTAGTACGCACTCTTCAGAGCTAAGAAATCACTCAACATGACTGTCGTTCACATCGGTAAGAACCTCAAGACTACCTCACAAAACTTCCAGCACTGACACAGTTCAGTCCTCTTCAAGTTCCGCCCGGACGTGACGGACGAGCACAAGGCAACCTTCGTCAAGGAACTCAAGACCCTCAAGACTCTCCCCTGCGTCAAGGCACAGAGACTCGTCGTCGGCGGCCCGTCCATCACGGATCCCATCGAGCGCAGCAAAGGCTACCACTTTGCGCTCCTGAGCTTCCACCAAGACCGCAAAGCTCTGGAAGAGTACCAGGCCAGCGCGGAACATCACAGGTGAGAGCTAATGTTGAGATCTGAGACTGAAAATGTGGCTGACTGGGTTCTGGAGGGTTACAAGCACGTATCTCTGGCCGTTTAAGGAGGACGTCACGAGGTTTGACTTTGAAGTCGATCAGGAAGATGAGCATATGTGGGATTTTGTTGCCAAGGGCATGGTGAATGGTGCTGCGTGATTCTGAGTTCTTTGGCACATTGATTCCCGATACCCAGGATTGTCTCGATGCGTGTTGTAGACAGCGTAGGAGAAATAAATGACAGAGTTGTAACCAATTTCCCAAGCATCCTCTATCAAATTCCACACTCAAAAGAATACGGGGTTAAGATGTGCTCTACTTCGCTCTGGAATTGAAAGAAACGTTAGATGAGCGTTTCTTTTTTTCAAAAAGATGTCTTTTAAGCCGATGTTCATGAGTAAGTTGTAACAGCACAATAGTAACTCGACACCTCGAAGGAAGAGTGTTTCCTTTTGTATTTCGGTTCTAAGTACGCCCCGTCGACGAAGTAATCCCCCCATCAACCACAATCTTCTGCCCCGTGATATACCTCGCCTCATCCGAGACGAGAAACGCCGCCGCATTCGCGACATCCCACGCGTCCCCCATCCTCCCCATCGGCACCTGCTCGTCCCTCATCCGCTTAAACGCCTCGTACCCCCCCTCCACCGGAAACCGCGACGCCAGCACCCTCGTGTACGGCGTCTCCATCAGCCCCGGGACCACCGTGTTCAGCCGCACCCCCCTCGGCGCGTACACCACCGCCGTCGCCTTCACGAACTGCATGATCGCCGCCTTGGTCGTGTTGTACGCCACCTGCGGCTTGCCGATGTACCGCAGCCCCGCGATGCTCGAGATGCAGACCACGCTGCCACCGCTATCCTGCGCCTCCATCACGGGGAGAACGTGGTGGCACGCCAGGTACACCGTCTTGAGGTTCAGCTCGACCTGCGCGTCCCACGTCGCCTCGGACATGGTCGCGGGACACCCCGGCTGGGACTGGCCGACGTTGGCGAGGAGGATGTCTATCCGGCCGTGTTTGGAAAGACAGGCGTCCACGAGGGCTTTGACGGACTCGGAGGAGGTGGCGTCCGTCGCGACCACGTCGCAGACGCCGCCGATCTCCTCGATGGCGGCCCTGGTCTTGGCGGTGGACTCGACGGTGCGGTTGCCGCCGAAGATGAGGGCGCCTTGTTTCGCGAACGTGACGGCGCAGGCGGCGCCGATGCCCCAGCCTTCTGAGCCTGTTTGGCCGAGTCCGATGACCAGGGCGACTTTGCCCTTGAGGTCGAGCATGGTGGTTGGTGTAAGTGGTGACGGAAAAGGGGCGGAAAAGACGGGTCTTGGCCGGTGCCGGGCGATAGTGGTTAATCACGACGCAGATAAATAAGAGTGCCTTCAGCGGGCTCCTTGAAGTAAAAGATTCATGTTATATACGAGTATCAACTCGAATTTAGGCCTCTCAGACACCTCCGTTGACGTTTCAAACCCTCCCGCAGTGTATCTGGTGAAAGGTTGCCGCAATCTACCAGAGAACGGAGAAAGTCCGTCCCTCACGGACCGGAGCCCCGACGCCATCGGCCGTCCTATTGCCGGCGCGATCACGACATGCGGAGTCCCCGCACCTCCAACGGCACTCGGATAAGGGCCTCCCAGCCAACCATAAAAGAAGGAATACTAATACCCGGCATTGCGTGATCGAACTCACTAACACTCAAGATAACATTAACACGCAAAAATGGCCGAACAAAAAGCACCAACAAAACCAGAAAAGAAGCCGGTGACGGGCGACTACGACCTCTCAACGCCCATCGACCCCAACTCCACGGGCCTGCGCCAGGGCCTGACGTCCTACGGCGACGCGCACTTCTCGCTCTTCCTGCGCAAGGTCTTCATCAAGGCCCTGGGATACAGCGAGGACGCGCTCTCGCGGCCCATCGTCGGCATCGTCAACACGTACTCGAGCTTCAACCCGTGCCACGCCAACGTGCCGCAGCTGATCGAGGCCGTGAAGCGCGGGGTGCAGCTCAACGGCGGGCTGGCGATCGACTTCCCCACCATCAGCATCGCCGAGAGCTTTGCGTCGCCGACGAGCATGTATCTGAGGAATTTGATGAGCATGGACACGGAGGAGATGATCAAGGCGCAGCCGTGCGATGCTGTTGTTCTCATTGGAGGTAAGAATGTTGCTGGTGAGAGGTGAGTGTATGAGCTGATGCGTGAGTAGGATGTGATAAGACGACTCCAGCTCAGCTGATGGGCGGTGTTTCTGCAAATAAGCCAATTTTGCATCTAGTTACAGGCCCGATGATGCCTGGTAGCCACAAAGGGGTGAGAATTGGTGCCTGTACAGACTGCCGCAACAACTGGGCGGCATACAGAGCCGGAAAGATCGACATTGAAGACATCTCAGCCATCAATGATGAGCTTGCGCCGACAGTGAGTATCAATCGCTGCAGTTAACTCAGATGATTTCTGACATTTCCAAGGGAGGAACATGCGGCGTCATGGGAACAGCCTCGACAATGGCCTGTATCCTAGTCGGCTTAGGCATGATGCCCTTCGCAGGCGCAACAGCCCCAGCCGTATCCTCAGCGCGCCTCCGCATCGCCGAGCAGACCGGCGGCCTCGCCGTGGCCCTGCACCAGAAGCGTCTCAAGCCCCAGGAGCTCCTCACCCGCGAGTCGTTCCTGAACGCCATCACCGTCCTTCAGGCCATCGGCGGCTCGACCAACGCCGTCGTGCACCTCCTCGCCATCATCGGGCGCCACCCTACCGTGGCCGGGACCATCACCCTCGACACCATCGACGAGATCGGGCGCAAGACGCCGCTGATCGTCGACCTGAAGCCTAGCGGCGACAACTACATGACCGACTTCCATAACTCGGGCGGCATGCTGGCTTTGTTGCACGAGATTAAGCCGCTTTTGTACCTGGACGCGATGACGGTAACGGGGAAGACGCTGGGCGAGGAGTTGGCGACGACACCGTTTATTCCTGTTCCGAGGGATAGCTTGGTGAATTGTCTGCAGCCATTTAACGAGCCGCTGTATCCGGCTTCCGCTCTGGCTGTTCTCCGTGGAAACATTGCTCCCGGCGGTGCTGTGATCAAGCAGAGCGCTTCAAAGTACCGCCACCTCTTGAAGCATTCTGGCCCCGCGGTCGTCTTTGCTGGGTCTGCGGACCTTGCCCTCCGGATCGACGACCCAGATCTGCAGGTCACGCCTGATAGTGTTCTTGTATTGCAAAACATCGGCCCCGTGGGAAACCCAGGAATGCCAGAGGCGGGACTAATTCCCATTCCCCGAAAGCTTGCGGCTCAAGGAGTGCAAGACATGCTGCGCTTGTCGGATGGTAGAATGAGCGGTACTGCGGGCGGAACTATCGTGCTACACATCTCGCCGGAAGCTGCAGACCCAGAGTCGGTGTTGGGTATCGTAAGAGACGGAGATATCATCACCTTTGACGCAGAGAAACGAGTCATCAAGGTTGAAATCTCAGACGAGGAGATTCGCCGGAGGATAGACGAGAAGCTTCAAGCTTTGGAGAAGGAGGAGGCTAATGGCGGCAGCAAGGCGCCGTGGATGGCAAAGAAACGTATTAGGGGCTACCGAGGTCTGTACCTGCGCGAAGTCAATCAGGCCGAGGGCGGAGCGGACTTTGATTTCCTTACAGCGCATGGTCCATCATAAGTTTGAATAGATTTTATTATAATAGCTGTACCAAAACATCTTCATCTTACACACTGGACCAGCTGTTCTGACCGATTCTCTCAAGTAAAGTTTGGGTATGTGGGTATGAAATCGTCAAAAAGACCGCGCATTATGGTATCCAAATTTGATGCTTCACCCATTTGAAACTGGTCTCCAAAAGACGTGTTGGCGAGGAAAGATTCGAAAGGATCTTGGGGCAGAAAAGCCTCCGAACCATTGGCTGTCATCGCAGCCATGGTCATAGGGTGGGAAAGGCCTTCAGAGAACCCAATCCTGGATGTGTTTGCACCGTTTAATCCAGCATCATACGGGTTGATTGGCTGAGTCTGGTTCGGGTCCAGTCGTGATGATCGCCGTTGAGTTTGGACGTCCATGGATGCAGGCTGACTGGTGACATCTTTCATCCAACGGACAGTAGCCCGGATCATGTCGTCAAGGACATCCCGGCAACGCTTCGCACCAGACCAATGCTCGCCCGTTGCCGCCAACACTCCCAATCCGGCGCCGAAATCAGACATCAGAGAGTCCAGCGCTGTTTGCCGTGCAATCTCGGGCACCATCTTGATGCAGTAGAGCATGGTGATAATGCTCGAAACAACGGAATGCGGCGTGTTCCAGGCGTGCATCAGAAGGTTCTGCTTGTACATCTGATCCAGAAGACGAATGCTTTGGCAAGCAGCATCGAAGCATTTCTTCAGTGATTCGGGTGACGGGTTAGGTATCGCCGGGCTGGGCCGTAATAGAAGCATCCGCAGGCCGTGATATCGGGTCCGACAGACCATGTAAATGTACTCCATGCCGGCTATTTGAGGTATTGCGGCATACCATTCGTCAAGTTGTTGAAGCATCCCATGTTGCCATTCGTGGATATCGATGACTGCTGGGTAAGCATATCGCGGGGTGTCGCGAACAATGCTATTGGCAACATATTTGAACTCGGAGTTCAGCTTTGCGAGGCGAAACAGATGTATTGAGAAAGCCATGCGTCCTGAGGGTAGGGCATTAGGTAGCTGCGAGAAGCCCTGTAGGGCCATGTCATCAATGTTTTGCGGAAGCTGATCGTGTCAGTCTACGACCTTCGGCATTCGTTCTTCATAGGGACTCACTCGAAGATCACAGGCTTCATCGCGCAGCCCGATAGGCCGCCCCATCATGGTGGCAATCATCCGGTCAAGGGTAAGAACAACCCAAAAGATCCGCGTCCGCATTTCTTGCTCCAAGAGAGAGATACCTGCGTTCGTGTTGATGTCGCGCTGAAGTCCGAGGTCAAGGACTGCAGCGATGCACTGATAGTTGAGGTACCAAACGTCCAAACGCATGCAAGCGCTGTGCATGGTGAATATCGTCAGCAGCAAAAGACATTGCAAGCCACGGATGGAGTTTTCAACGTTGATACGATCAAAATACTGCAGTGCCGACAGGCAATACGACTCCCCTGAGAGACGTGCCCTCGTCCGCCGAGACAGCACAGTAGCTCCTAGCGCGAGGACCATGAAGATTTGGAAGGCGCCGATAGGGCCATGATCTGCCTCTAACCCGTTCTCGTAGACTTGGTCTAGCAGCATCATGAAAGTTGGTTGATGCAGGATGGGATACTGCACGTTGATGACATCGAAGTACATCTCCGCCAGCTGCCGTGCCTGCTCCTTCCCCGGCAACGGCAGCGGACCCTGCATGGCCTCGACCAGGGCTGTCGGAAACGGGCTGTTCTGCGCTGGTGTCTTGGACGGCCATGCCGACTGGTCTTCTTGGCGAGTAGAGTTCAGCATCAGGCGAGCCAGGAAGTACCCGCTGGAGGGCCCAATGTACTTGGGGTCTTGATTGCTGCCTAGGGATACCATCCCGATTTCATGCGATATGGCGTTGCTGCCTGAAGGGTCAATCACCCGTGTTTCTGGGCGGGTTGGTTGAGGATTTGACGCAGGCTCTGCGGAAACGGACTGCTGAGGTCTCGATCCATCGACCTCTTGTTGTCCCGGATGGTCTTCCGGTTGAACGCTGCCCTCGTCGATCGTTGACTCGCCGATGAATGTCTCATCCCCATCGACATCTATGTCGAAGTCGCCAGGCGGTCCTTGGGCTAGATCGACGTCTGGACATCTTTCTCGGACGATACTCTCCAGCCATCTGATGCGATCTTTCAGATTCGATATTTGCCTTGATTCTCGTCAGCAACGCCGGCATTGGTGGGGCCGACGGACAACGCTTACGCTCTTGGCAGGTCTCGGAGCCGGACACTCTCGCCATCGGTACAAGCAACGGAGGCTTTCTTACAGTTGTTGCATGCCGGTAATTGACCGTCGCACTGCGCCCAATCAGCATTCGGTCCATGAGACACGGCCGGAGGCTACACTTACACGGATCTTCCGCCTCTGGCAGCGGGCGCACGCCAAACGCAGCCGGGCCGTCCTCCGTGGCTGCCGGCTTGACGGTCGAGACGGTGTCGAGTCGGGCATATTCCGGGCGCATCGATGAGCGCACGAAGTCCGGTGACTCAGAATTCGAAAACGATTGATACGGATCGATGCTGGATGATGAAGGAATTCGGGAAATGTCCGATGTGGGACGAAGAAGGGAAGTTGAAAAGGGCAGGGGAATTGAAGGGCGCGGGGAAACCCCGCAGCAAGAGCTTTGTTGGGCTCGGGGTATTCCCGCACAGTCGAAAGAACTCAACGGAACTGTACACTTGAGCATCGTCGAAAGGAAGACTCTTTAGATGCCATTACCTGGAAGTCATTATCTTTTCGATCCCATAATTGCTACATTCTCAATCAGACAAAAGTTTTACAAGAAAAGATCCTGAAAGCTTGCCATCGAACGCCGCAACTTTCAACCCTTGACGACATCCAAAATCTTCACCGAACCAGACACACAGTGTCTTCAAGCCAGAGAAAATGGCAGACTCATCAGAACCCAAAATCCACGTCTCGGCCTCCGAGGCAAGACGCCTCGTTGAAGACATCCTCAAGGGCAACGGCGTGTCCCCCGAAGACGCCGCCACGGTCGCCCGCTGCCTCGTGGCCGCCGACCTCCGCGGCGTCGACACCCACGGCATGAACCGCATCCCGTCCTACATGGAGCGGATCCGCCAGGGCGTCCTCGCCGCCGACGCCAAGCCGGAGATGGTCCAGGTCACCCCGGCCGTGGCCCAGGTCGACGCCCACAACGGCTTCGGCTTCGTCGCCGCGGAGATGGGCATGGCCGCTGCCGTTGAGTCCGCGAAGGTCTTCGGCATCGGCATGGCCAGCGTCAAGCACTCGAACCACTTCGGCATGAGCGCCTGGCTCGTCCAGCAGGCCATCGACGCGGGCATGATGAGTCTCGTGTTTACGAACTCGAGCCCCGCGTTGCCGGTCTGGGGAGGCAAGAGCAAGCTCATGGGCGTCTCGCCGATTGCGTGCGGTGCACCTGGAAAGGAGAAGCCTTTTATTCTCGACATGGCCCCGTCGGTGGCGGCCCGGGGCAAGATTTACAAGGCGAAGAGACGTGGAGAGAAGATTCCCCTGGACTGGGCTCTTGATGCCGAAGGTCGCCCGACAGATGACCCCGCCGCTGCGCTCGGTGGTGTCATGCTTCCTATGGGAGGTCCCAAGGGGTCGGCTCTGTCCATCATGATGGACGTGTTTTCGGGTGTGCTGTCTGGCTCTGCGTTCGCCGGGCACGTAACGAATCCGTATGATCCGTCGAAGCCTGCGGATGTCGGTCACTTCCTGGTCGCCATCAAACCCGATCTGTTCATGAGCTTGGAGGACTTCCGGGAGAGAATGGACTACCTGTACCAACGCGTTGTTGGCTCTGACAAGGCGGCTGGGGTTGAACGCATCTACTTCCCGGGAGAGATCGAGCAATTAAATCAGCAGGAGAGAGAGAAGACCGGTATTCCTCTTGTACAGGCCGAGGTGGATGCCCTGAATGAAGAAGCTAAGCGGGTTGGCGCTCAACCACTATCGCCAATCTGAGTATCATAAATGTTTTCTTGTAACGAGTCCTTCTAGCACATGACGGATGTCGCAATATAACCACCGTGTAGTTTTAACAGAGATGACAACCGCACACAGTCGAGTCTCTCAGAGAAGAGAGGCTTGGACGATACATCTGGGAAGTAGAAACTTTGGTCACAGAGATGGTGTAAGGACTAAGCTCGCCTGAGACGCACCCGCGAGGAAAGGACTGGCACAAAGAACATCGTTTGTTGGAGATCCGGGCAACAGAGGCAGATTTTGATCATGTTCCATCCTGGTTTCTAGCATTGATTCCCACGAGGGGTGTCCCAACGTCGTAGAGAGCTGTCCCAGTTATGCAATCTGAAGGGGAAGAGAGGCAATTGCCAAGCGGGGAAACAACGGCTGGTAGAGAAGCCGTGGTACGGAGGATAGGTGCCTTCACGGATTCTTTCCCATTAGACGCCGGTGTTCTTGCATGATTTATACGACGCAGGCGCCGGTGCTCCATCCTGGCTGGTTACTGCCGTATCTATCTTCATGACTGCAGGAACAGTCCGGCACCTCAGCCTGTGGATTTGGCGAATTTCTCCTGCAGCTCGAGAAATGAAAAGCTGGTAATGGACGCTCTTTGGAAGTTGTCAGGCCGTCACCATTGCTTGAGGGTGTCACCGAATACCTTAGGAAGGTACCAGGGTAAGGTAGGTGTGATGCCTTCCTTCCATCTTGTGAACATGGAAACCAATGGAATCAGGTAAAAAAGTTTCCAGGAAGTAACTAGGTATCAGAAAATTCTGACCTCGGCCTTTCCTTCCAGATGTGTGGAAGGATCACCCAAGTAACCCATAGAATCATGGCAGTTGCGCCAGTTGAGGTAGCAACACCAAGACGACTCCTGCCCTTCGTGGTGATATCGGTAGCCACGCCTTCCGAGAAGTTGACGCTCCTTCACATCTGGGAAGGAAGTCTTTGGAAATTGGGCAGGAGGCACGTCTTCGCCGAGGGCAAGAGCTGGTGGTCTCTTGGGAAGCGTGTCCCCTTCAACCTATTTAACTCCCTCCTCGCTCCCAGAATCCCATTCCAACTTCAACCTCAACAACATCCAAACAACGAGGCACCATCATCACAACCAGTATTCCCACCCAAGCATCTCACGTTTTGTCTTTCATCACCCTGCTTCTTTGGAACTACAAACTTCCTCCTCATTCTTCCAAACCCAAGACACTTCTCAACGCACGATACAACGACACCATGCACTTCCCAGTCGCTCTCTCACTCTTGGTCATCTCGGCCTCCACTGCCATCACAGCAGCCCCCTCGGACTCAACCTTCACTTCAGTCTCCGGTGGTCTTGGTTCACCTCCTACAGAGAAGGATTGCTGGTTCACTTTGGAAGCCTTCGACCACAGCGAAGGCCAAGGCAACTTCACAACGGTCACGCAAAGCGACGATGGCACTCTCCTCCTTGGAGGCGGTTCTCCGGTGGCCAAACTCGGAAGAAAGAAGAACAGCATGCCTAATATCCCCTCGCTCACCTTGTGGGACGACAAGTCCCGAAAGTGCCACAACTCGGGCGGTCGTGGAAAGCAATTGACATGCAACAAAAACCACAAGGGCGACAGGGAATATCTCATCAAGCAGGCCGTTGTCAGAAATGGAACGTCTGAATGGAGCGTGCCGATCCTCGTTGGAAAGAATTCCGAGACAAACCACTTTTACGACTGCCCGATCCCAGGCATCCCAGGAGTACGCCAGATTTTCGAAAAGTCCGACCACTTTCTTTGCAAGCCGGTTGTTCTTGTCCCGAGGCCGCGCGAAAGCTCGACGCCCTGCGCTTGCAAAAAGGTTGGCATTTTCGAGCCGAAGAGAGAGACGCAACAGGTTTTCGTCTGAGCAACCGTGGGATGACAAAGGTCAGAGGAAACGGAGAAAATGGAGATGGGAGGAAATGAAGAACAGGGAATGAGGGCAGCAGTATCACTACATACATGAATACCAGAATCGATTACTCTTTTCAAAAGGTGCTTGAATTCGATGTGGCCACTAGATAAGGTACTTGTTCCCGTGGTTCTTGGGGCCCCTGACCGCTGTTGTCAGGGCTCATTGCGACCACATTTGTGCACAGGTAGAATGCCTCCAGAGACCATGTCCACCAACTAAGGTAATGACGCCCCCGACGATACTTCTCGGTCTACCTGCTGGTTTATTTCGTAAATGTGCCGAAAATGTGCGGTACGATTTGATACCACGGCTCGATCGGAGGCTGTGCGACGTCCACCTTATCCCAGGGACCTGCATTCATCAGCGTCTTACGAGTATCCCGGCAAAGCTCGCAGCCGTTCAAGGCACGCGGCCAAACGAGGTTAACAAGGCCTGCGGGAGAAAAGTGTCAGTGTCCATGTGTCTTCAGGTATCTTCAGGATCCAACCTACGTTGGTAAAGCCGCAGCGGCCAGTTATACGACACCTGAACGTGCTCGTACACATACCACCTCCCGCCCTTCTTGAGATACGAGTACAGCTCCGGAATGTTCTTCTCCGGCTCCGGGATACTGCACAGGCAGAGAATGGAAAAGATGCAGTCGACGCTCCCCTTCTCAATCTTCCCCTCCCACACAGTCGGGTCGTTCAACGACTCGATGCCCGCAGGGACGATCTCGTACGTGCCCTCCAGCCCGGCCTCCGCCACCCGCTGCTTCAACACGGGGTGCGCCTCGGTGTTGGGCTCAACGCCATAGACCCGCGTCACGCCGTCGGCGATCTTGCGTCTCAGAACTTCTCCCGCCGCAGTAGCGGGCCTGCTCTTGGCGAAGAGGTCCACCCACAGCCCGGAGCCGGGGCCGACCTCCAGTACGACGCCGCTAACGGGCGGGTGGACGGCTTCCTCGACCACCCTCGCGTTCGAGACGCGGCCCTCGAGGAGGGCGACCATGCGGTCGCCGTTGCCCACGCGGATCTTCGGGCCCCACCAACCCCAGAAGGCACCGAACCAGGCGTCTCGGAAGCGAGATAAGGAGAGGAGGCGCCCGTAGTCGCCGGCGCGGACGAGGCGGATGATGGTGCCGGGCAGGAAGGTGAAGGCGTTCCAGAGGAAGGTCCAGGGGCCGACGAGGCCCCAGAAGAGGTCGACTGATTCTGACAAGGACAGCATGGTGAGCGACTGGCTTGAACAATGGAGGGGTTGTCAGAGATGGAGGGGTAGTCAGGGGGTGACTGAGCGAGTAAGCGGGCGCGGGACGGTAGGTTGGCGAAACGCGCAGTTCTTGGAATTGGGGAAATTTGCTGGTATCCTTCCAAGAAGTCGAACAAAGTCAGAACTAGAAGCAAAAGGATAAAGCTCGAGGAACAACACGCGACGCCCGGGGGCCGCCGCTCATAAGTGGGAAAAGATGGATGACCTTCCTTGAAGAGAAACAGCAATGCTAAGCGCTTTTATGCGTATATCGGGGCTTCATCAAGAGCCCTATTCCATTATCGTACATTACGTTCCCCGCTGATCTTATCTGCGACCTTCAGCGGCCTTCAACTTATTCCCCGGGGTTACCTCCGTCATATCGACGCTGACGTCGCCATCGACACCAGTCACGCTTGCTCTGCTCTCTTCTCCAACGCCAAATACTTCTGTCTTCTACGCCCGCCTCGAAGTCGTTGAACTCGTCTCCTCTTGCCTCTTACATCGTTGGAATCGCCAGCGAGTCTCCAACCGAAAACTGTGCGCACCTCTTATCGCAGACAGAGTCGCTTAGGCCGAATGGTTCGCCAGGTCGCCAGAACGAGGCATCGTCTTACGCGCCTGCTCCGGTCAAGCGGCCTCCAGGGGCCGTCTCGTCACGATTGGCTCGCTTGATGCCATTGCATCTCCCATCCGGCAACTGCTTTCTGCGTCCGGCTAAGTCGGCCGGACGTTATCTGGCTCTTTGGTGGTGATGCTTCGGCGATATAGACGAGCCGGTCGGATAACCCCGAAGAGCTTCCACGCCATGTCTCCATCGCCGGCGCTGCGGAGGAGCTGAAGGTCCTAGTGGACATGTCAGCACACCATTTCGACCAAACCCTGGGAGGAGCGGCACTTACTGGCCATTTGATGTTGTGGCTGCGCTCGGAGCGGATCGTTGAGACATGTTCAAGACAAAAGGTAAGGGCTTTTGGTCTTCGGATTGGCTGACTTCTTCCAGGAAGCTGTGCTTTAATCGATTATGGTGATGACCAGGTTGACGATGCTGCTGGATATCTTCCCCACGCCGATTCTATCAGGAGGGCTTTTTCCGGTGATATATCATCCTCAGGGTACCGTCTCTCGTTGTTTGAGGTATTCGAGATCATCTAGTCCCCTTCGCTCAATTGAGGACTTTGGAAGGGCACGAATGCGCTGTTCTGTCGCCCTCGAGTCGTCGCAAGACGTTCTCCTAGCCTGCTCAAAATAGCTGGGGTCGACCATGCAGCTTTCTGCACGACGCTGCACGACGCTGCGCAATTGCTGCAGGCTACGCCGCGTGCCTCTCGTTTTGCTTCACAAGGCATCTCGTCGGTGGACAGCACCGTCGTCATTGGGTGCATCGCCAATGCGCCCTACCAGGCAGACGGCCTCCAAAGCGACCCCAGAAAGCGGCGCAGCCTGCGCGCAGAGAACAGCGCAATTGCGCCCTTCTACGATTTATGTGGAAGGCGCTCCCCAGAGCAATTCGAGCCCTTCCTTCCCTCGTTTCATTACGAATACTTTTTTCCATATTACGCACCTGCGAGTTTCTGAAAATTCCAATCCTTCAATATGGGACTGGGAAGCATTGTTGAATGCCGGCACATCAAGACCATGCCCGCCGACGAAGATGACGTCGCGTCTCGCAAGCTGTCTGTTGACGCATCGAAACCTCTACCGGATGAGGCCTCCATCGACCTCGCCGCTCAATTCCTCCGCATGAGTCGTGCAGCCCGTCGCGCCATCGCCGCGCAGTACGAACTCGACGACGAGACTGCCATGGACATGTCTTCGGATGAGCTTTCTCCCACCGCGGTCGATCATGATAGGCGCCACTCTTCGTTTGAGTCCGGAATCTTGACCACTCTACCGTATCGTCCCAAGGAGTCACAACACAATCCAAGGAAGCATTGTCGAAGCAGCCCCTCAATCGATGGCTTCGAGGGTCAACCGGAATCGAGCGTGGGGAAGCACTGCCAACGGATCTCGGGCGACTCGGGCTACGGCTCTGATACTCGCCGCGAACGCATTCAGTCCGAATACAGCCGTGACGCAGATGGTCGAATCCAGAAACGTCAGACCAAGGTGGTGAGGAGACTTGTGCCGAACCCGCAGGAGGAATCTCTTGCCCGTGTCGAGTACTGCGATTCGGACACCGACGAAGTCTTTCCTGAGTCTCGATATTCCGGTGCCTCCTTTCGCAGACATACGCTGGCTACCAATACCGCCAGCGCTGTAAGCTCGACTTCATACGAGCAAGTCAAGAAGCGACCACAGAGCAATGAGCAAGCGCACCAGGCCAAGTTGCTCAGAAGAGTCAGAGGCATCACGGCCCTACGACCAGAGCACAGCATCGGCCAAGCCAAGCCCCAGAGGCCCAGCATCCAGATACCTGCCAGACCTATTGGCACTTCCGGCGAACGTTGTCTGCCAGACCTGAGTCCGGAATTATCCCCCCGGAAATCAAACCCAGTAGTACCCCAAGAATCCCCAAGATCCGCCGCACACACCCAGCTCCGAAACCTCTCCGAACTCTCAACAGCCTTGTCCGCACACTTCTCTCGGCCCTCCTCCTACATCTTCCCTCCAATCCAAGAATACACAGAATCCGACGATGACGACGACTCCGCAGAATCAAGCGTCTTCTCCATCCCAGATTCCCCCATCGAGGACTTCTACCTCCACCCCGACGACCCCTTCTCGCCTCACCTAGAAGGCGCCGTCACCGCCGTCATCCGCCATTACCGCACCTGGCAGGCTCAACAACGAGGTGGCCAGGGCAGCCGCAGTCGAGCCCAGCGTGCCAACGCCTCAACCCCAGACTCAGCCCGCCACCCACGCAAGCGCTCCCACTCCGACGACCAGGACCAGATCCCTCCAGACGGCGACGAGGACGTCGCGCCGGACTACAAACGACCCCGAATCCCAAGCTCCTCGCCCCCGGGGAGAATGCTCGCCTGCCCCTTCTGGAAGAAAGACCCGGAGAACCACCGCCAGTGCTACAAAAAGGTCCTCAGCAAGATCAAATACGTCAAGCAGCACCTCTACAAGTTCCACGAGGCCCCCATAACAGCCCCCTGCTGCGGCGCCGAGTTCGAGGACGAAGACGCCCGCGACGAACACATCCTCGCCCGTCTGAACGGCGGCCAGTGCCGAGTCCTCGCCGCTCCGGCGCCCGGACGCAGACCCGAGGGCCTCACCCGCGCCCAACGCCAAAAGGTCCAGCGCCGCGCCGACCCGGAAAAGTCCGAGGAGCAGCAGTGGTTCGTCATCTGGGACATCATCTTCCCGGGCCACCCCCGCCCGGCCTCCGCCTACGTCGACAACGTCCTTTCCGAAGACCTCTGCAGCTTTCGCGAGTACTCCACAACCCACGGCGTCGACATCATCTCGGAGGTCCTGGGGAGGCACGACCCGGAGAGGAGGGAGCGGTACGAGCGCGTCGTGCTCGAGGAGGCGATGGAGAGGATCTACGAGCAGTGGGCGAACCGGAGGCTGGGCCGGGAACCGGACGTGTTGACTCCGCCGGAGTCGGACCCCGCGAGCCGCGCTGCCAGTCGTGCGTCGTTGGTGTATGCGGACGTGATGCAGGGGGGCCAGCAGGTTAACTATGGACAGATCTCGTATATGGCTGACGAAGACCTGCCTGTGCCGTTGAGTAACCTACAGGCTGGGGACGAGGGGTTTAATGGGCTCGGGGCCGCGGACGAGGTGTTTCTTGAGCAGGATCCCCGAGCGATGTTTTCCGACCTGGATAGCATCCAGTTTGCCGGTGGACAAGGACATTATGGTCCTGGGTATCCTGGGGCCTATGCATGAGGTGAGTGACTTGTAGAACACGACTAGGATGTAATACCAAACACGAACTGAAGCAACTGTAAGATGAATAGAATTTGCGGCGGTGACGCCTTGTGTCTAGTCTTAATTGTCCAAATATCATGTGCCGGGGTATCATATCCATCCCAAGCCAAAACGCCTCAAAGCTCATCATCATCGTCGGTATCGTAAATGAAAATCGACGTCTTGGTGGACGTCGCAGCCGCTCCATCCGTCGCAGTCTTAACGATCCCCTCAACCTTACCAATCTCTTCCTTCTTAACCTCCCCTCTAATATCACCATCCTCATCCGCCGTCTCATCCTCCGTCTCGGCATCCGGATCAACCACGTCCTCCACCTTCACCTTCTCCTCATTCTTCACTTCCTCCTTGACGGCATCCTCCTCCGCCTTGACCGTCTCCTCCGCCAACAACTTCCCCTCGCGAATCTTGTAAAACGTCTCGAGGCAGTTCCGCCTCTGCGCCTGGGTCCAGCTGCCCACGACGAGCGCGAACTCGGTCGAGGACTTAAACCCGAACTCCCTGGCCATGGAGCAGAACTGCCTGCGCATGACGTCCCGGGGCGGGTTGTAGACGTAGGGGAACCCCCTGAGCTTCTGCGCCTGCGCGTCAAACACCTGATCGTCGGCGAAGAGGGCGCCGTCGCCCGCCCCGGGGTCGTCGGCGTCGGGGGAGCCCGCGGCCATGGCGGCCCGGCGGGAGAGCTGCTCCTCGATCTTGGAGGTGCCGATGACCTCGGAGTTCTCGTGGGTGTACTCGACGCCGGCGGCGGAGAGGATGGCCTGGACGGCGTCGCTCTTGGGCTGGGGGGCGGAGTCGAGGTGGGCCTTTTGGTTTTTTGCGGTGAGGATGGCGGCGAGCTGGCTGGCGCCGCCGTCTTCGGCGTCCGTGGGTTCCTGCTTGACGGCGCCGGCGAGCTTTTCTTCCTTGACCAGCTTCTCCAGGTCGACGTCGGTCACCGTGATGCCGGTTCCGGCTCTCGCTTCGGCGATGTTCGTTTTGTTGACGATGTCGCGGATGACGAGTTGGTTCTCGCGGTACGTGAAGAGGTTTTCGAGACCGAAGATCTCGCCCTTGCGTTCGGTGTCTTGCTGGACGCCCTTGAAGTAGCGGCGCTCGGAGGAGGCTGTGTAGCCAATGTTGGCCTGCTGCTGCTTGTAGATCTGTCTGGCGTAGACGATCTCCTCGATGGTGCCGGAGGAGACGAGGCGGAAGACGTCGACATCGCGGACTTGTCCGATTCGGTACGCACGGTCTTGAGCTTGGAGGTCATAGGACGGGTTCCAGTGAGGATCGACGATGACGACCTTGTTGGCGGAGGTGATGTTGAGTCCGACGCCACCGGCCTTGGTAGAGATCAGGAAGACGAACTGCGTCGGATCGGAGTTGAAGTCGTCCACGGCCTTTTGGCGGTCTTCGTAGGTCAGCGAGCCGTCGAGGTAGGTGACGCTGTAGCTAGTGTTGTGGAAAAGGTGCTGGAGGATGCGCAGAAGACGGACGCTGTGCGAGAAGACGAGGACTTTGTCTCCGTTGCCGTGCCAGAACTTGAGAAGCTTCTTGAGGACCTTCCACTTGCCGCAGAACTCCGGGTTCGCCAGATTGACGATCGCGTCTCTGTTTTCGTACAGATGCTTCCACGTATCAGGACAACATGTCTGCAGTGTGCGCATCTCTCGTTTTTGTTTGTCCTCGAGATCAGTGCCCGAAGGGATCAGCAGAGTCAGGTGGTTCGACAGCTTCTGAAGAGTTGTGACGCACGGAAAGATGATCGACTGCCATGTGGTTCCGTCCTCGAGTGTTTTCTTACAGCACCAGCCCTGGCCCGTACCTGATCCGCACGCGCAAGGTTCAGAAAGCGTACGAAGAAGCTCCACTTCAGGCCTACTGATGAAGTTCATGTACGCTTCCTGCTGGCTGTCTGTGAGGGGGCAGAAGACGACTCGATCGCTCTTCTTGGGGAGCTGATCAGCAATTAAAGTCTTCATTCGGCGGAGGAAGAAACCGGGGAGCAGGTTGTCGACGAGCTTCCTCGCAGTGACACGGGCGTCTCTCAGCTGATAGAGCGTTGCATCGTGGGACTGGCCCCGTGTCAGCGGTTTGGTAATGGTGTGATTCCATTCCGCGAGCGTGCCAAAGTGGCCTGGATTTGTCCAGTTGAGGAGCGTCCACAGTTCTTCGTACTTGTTCTGAATGGCGGTACCCGTCAGGCCGATGCGACATAGTGCGTTGATGCTGTTCATTGCCTTGGTGATCTCGGAGCTCCTCTCCTTGATCTGATGGCATTCATCCGCCACAACTGCATCCCACTTGACGGTGTTGACCAAGCTCATGTGGTTTTTGTAGGTTGTGTATGTCGTGATCATGATCTCGCAGCGTCCTGACCTAGCTGACGACAAGACGTCTTCTTTACCGGCGCCGTGGAAGACGTCAATTTTCCACCAGCCCCAGCGGTTCAGCTCGTTCTTCCAATTCTCGATGATGGAGCCCGGGCAAATGATCAGCACCCGCGGGTACCAAAGATCAGGGTATTCCCTCATTATTCTCATGCGCTTTTGATCACGCTCGTCGGCAGTCTTGCCAAAGGCCGCCGTGAGGAAGCTGGCGACCTGGACCGTCTTGCCGAGACCCATGTCATCTCCGAGTATGCCACCTCTTTGATAGACGAAGAGCCTATGCAAGAACTTGACGCCGACGATTTGGTAGTCTCGAAGGTATTGCGCGATAGATGCGGGGATGACGCCCGCGGAGTATTCCAACTCAACATCTTCGTAGGGTCGGCATGGCTTGATCTTGGTGCTCTCCTCGAACTTGGGTCGCTCCTCCAGCCCTGGTGTTCTATCGCCATCGAAAAACGGAATGCCCGAGAAGTCGGGAGGAAGCAGAAGACCGGACTCTCGCAGCTTTTCGCGATTCTCGTCGAATTTCTTTCGGCGCTCCTTCAGGTAGTCGGGGACCTGTGCGATGTCGTAGTCATCGTCGAGATCGCGGCCTGCAGCGGCGGCCTTCTTGGCCGGTCCGCCCTTCGTCTGAGTAGTTGATTTGCCTTTCCCTTTTGCCTTGCCATTGGCGGCGGGAGCGCGCGGAGTCTTACGCTTCTTGATCTTGGGGAGCTCCTGATCCGAGTCGGCATCCCATACCTCCTTCTCTTCGAAATCGATGTCGACCTTGCGTTTTCCAAGAGCTTTGATGCTGGGCCTCTGCGGTTCGCTGATGTCCGTTCCGGTCTCGTCGTCAGATATGACTATGGCGGATGGCTTATTTGCGCCCATCGTGGAGACAGTCAGGCAGCACGCAGTTTCGCGGCATGACGGAAATGATGAGGGTGAGGGTGAGGTGAGGATGGCGGGGGGTTCGGAAGACGCGACGACGCGACTTTTAGCGCTGCAATGACTCTGGATGCGCTGAAGAATGACGGGGCCTCACACCTCAGAGATGCGACGGGTGCCTGCTGTGGGGCGATGCGGGGGTCGGTGACATTCCACGTCCCCCGGGCCTCTTTTTAAGGCTATTGCTGTCCAAAAGAATATCATGACTATTACTGCATAACCTTTTTAGTACTTCTCATTGTAGAGCACAATCTGGACAGCATCTCATCACATTTAAGAGACAAATGGTCAAGTCAACCCGTTTCGTAGTGATGTGTTTCCTCCTCTACCTAGCTTTAACCATTGTCTTTGTACAGCACGACCCCAGCACTACTTCAGCCATTGCTTGCTTGACAATCGCCACCATAAGCCGTCATATTGCAAGCGTGAACGTAACTCTCTCTCGCTCTGACTACGCCCGAGGTACCACAATGGAACAGGGGGGGTACTGTACTCTCTTTCCGGAATACCTGGACACAACTGTCTTCCATCTCCTGCCGAACAACAATTGCAGATACGGTGCGCAGTCGTCCACTGCAGAGTCTGAGTATTGGAATAGTTTGGTAAGTATTCTTATATTGTTAGCTGGTGTGTGCGGCAAGCATGGAGCGGAACGCTTACCTCAAGTTCTGTTCGGGATGAACTGGTCTCAAGCGGAATGGCGCCAGGAGCTCTCCGATTACTTTGAGCGCATTAAAGTTCCTATGCTCTACCCATCGTTGCAACATATTCTCATCGAATACAAAGGTCCTGTCATCCCAGCCGGGATTTGGTGTGCTTGTCATGTCCCCCGATCCGTCGCCCGAGGGTAAATCTGGTAGGTTGTATAAAGCCCATAGTAAGTCTTCCAATGGGACGTTGCTATGAAGGAAGTCACGCGTTCGGACCCATTTCATAAAAATGGACATTTCATCGGCGTCAGTGAGTAAACCGACTTCGCAAAGCTCTGGCCTCACTCCGATTCTCCTGAGCTCCTTGCTCAAATATTCGGCTTCTGCCGGATGTTTGACTGCCCATGCACGAGGAGCGAACTTTGGGAGCTGATGTACTGGTCCTATGGTATGCTGCAATAGCCCATGCATGCTGCGGATTGGCCCGTTCAATGGTCCTCTGGCGATCGTTCCACGGAGGAACGTTTCGACGATATCGGCAATAGGATGGGGTCCTGTCAGCGTCAAGACTTGAAACCGCTCGTTTTCCAGGCAGAACTGATCTGTGCAGCACACGGGCTCACTTAGGCGTAAACCGGTGAGTTCAAGAACCCAGTGGTTTGGGGTATTGAAATAAGGCGTTGATTCAGGTCTGTCGAGGCCGTTGAACCGGGAAATGACCTGCATAGACATGACGTTTTCGACAGGAAGAAAATGTTTAATGTAAAGCAGCGTCGTCTTTTTTGGCGTCGCCACAACCGATGTTGAAGTATGATGGGAGGATGTTGCAAAATTACTATACGAGTCTCGACGTTGTAGTTGTTTAGTAGAAGAAAAGGCGGTCCACGGCTTTCGTTTCTGATTGCAACCAGAGTCTTCCGTCAAGGTCCTGCCACTCGTTAACAAAATCAACAATATTGAGCCTTCCCTTGCTTCGTCCACTATCATCGCTGCTGCCATTTGTTACGCAGGCGAGAGACGAAGTACCTTTGGGAAGAGCCATCGACATCCCACTGCCTTCATTCTTGCTCATCTCGCTTGCTGTCTTCGTCGTCCTCGTTCTTGCTCCTTCCACCTTTTCCCAATTACCTTTATTGTTTCCACTTGATGGGTTCACCCCATGATTTTCTCGGTTTCTCCATCGATCAAGCGAGAAAAGCAAACGGACTGGCTCAGGCGGGGTTCCATACTTTATGACCATGACAGCTTCGAAGATACCAACGAGGGGGTTGCAGAACCGTAGCAGGTCACTAATCGATTGAGGTGACGTCCACGCCAGAATCTCGATTGGCTTCTGAGCCTCTAGTCATCTTGCGAGCTACACACTGCGCCAAAAGGGGCACATCCTCCTCTCCTTTCTCGGAACTTGCAAAAAAACCACCATCTTACTGAGTGTAATCATCTCGTGGAAGATTTGATAATCTTGCAATTTGAAAAGAACACTCCTAAAACCGTTTACAACTAGGGTATCATCAGTAACGTCATCATGTGCCCAAACAAGAGGGGTATGCTGTCCTGTGCACCGGCGCCAAAATGCTCAAAGCCCCTTTTCGTAACGTCGTCTCGTATCATGCCGGTTCAATGCCCGTGATGCTCTTCGTACTCGTCCCGCCGCTCTGCGTCTCCAGCTCATACGTCTCCTGGCTTCCCTTCCCAACAGAGCCCGCCCGTTCCGCATACTCTCCGTACCCGGCTTCCTCTAAAGCCTTGGCCGAGTCGGGCTGGCGAACGTCACCGCCTTCGTCCTCGTCGATGTAGCGCAGCACCAGCGTGCCCAGCCAGTTCCCGAATCTCGCGTTGTGGACCGGCGATCTCGGGTTCCGCAGCCGGTCGTAGTAGTCTCGTATGTACGGCCCTCTCCGCCAGAAGGGCCTGGTGGCTAGGGGACTCAGCACCGGGAGGGTCACGGTGATGAGTCCAACGCCGATCTCCCGGAAGCCCCAGCGGTTGATGTTGATCACGGACGGCGCTCCGCCGAGGGTGGATATCGCTCGTATTATCGCTGTGGATATGACGAAAACGCCCGACGACAGCAGGACGCCGACCGCGATCTTGCGTTTGACGGATACTCGGAGATGCCACAGGATCGGTATCGGTATTGAAAGGAGGGCGGCGTCGGTGATGATATTGAGCCACAATAACATCCAGAAGTTCTGGGGCCGAAACGTGCATTCGGGACCGGGCAGCGGTCGGATTGTCCAATTATCGGAGTATCTAGCCTTCTTTTCAGCACCTCGTTCAATTCGCGGCCCCGACAAGACGTACGGTTGGCAGCTCAGTGTAACCATCAAACACAGAGCTATGTATGACAAGCCACAGAACCAAAATAGTCCGTTCAGTGATCTTCGTCGCAGGATTCCGAGAGTAAGGCGTTTGTAGAAAAATAGGACGGTGAACTTGAGCACCCCTGCGCGCGATCATTAGATTGTGCTTTCGCAACATGTCTGACAGTAAACCCACAGATACAGCCTGGATATGAGTACCAGGAGATGAACTCCAGCTTCGACCCCAGCTCCAGTATCTCCACATCCTCGTTCGACAGCGAAGGGACTATGTCGCCGGTAATATCGATGTTCCCGCCCGTGTGGTATGTAATTTGAACGATATACACATTCAGGGAGTACAACGCCAAGTACTGCGACTCATCAGCCATAGCTTACACGTCACATTGGAGCTTCATATCAACATGCAGGCAAAGCCAACCAGTCGTCCCCGCGGAATCCGCTAATCCCAACAGTTCGTATGCGCACCGCAAATCGAAGGAGTATCACGAAGACACCGATGGCATACCACGTCTGCGCCAATTCCTCTCGTCAGTCTCCCTCCGGCCTTTTCGCGTAAAATACAGGAAAGCAACTCACCCAGACCTCCGGTAAGTAAGCGTCATCCTTTTCCAAGTGCACACTTGGACTTGGCTCCCGCATGATTTCGTCTCGGCAGAGTCGGACATCCGCATCGTCAATGGCAGATAGACGGCGATACGGGGAAATGTCGTCGAACGGGACAGATGCGCGTACACGAATAAGACAACACGCCGATGGGATGGACCGAGAGGGAGGGAATCTGAATTTACATCGAAGGGTGTGGCGGTACGGGAGAAGTAAGGACCGGCGGGTGCCTCCACGGATCGCGTATTCTAGCGAGGAGAAAGACAGTTCTCTGCGCGAATCCCGTTCGAACGGGACTTACGTGAGCGCCCGGACTAGAACTTTATTTCAAGTCAAGGTAACCCATTGATACCGCCATCGAACAAAGGACGGCGATTTGGAGTAAACTTGGAGCTAGGACGGCCCTCGGGCCCTCTGCTGGCCGCGAATCGGGGTCGACACCGTCGGCGGAAGCTGGGGTTGAATGGGGGCTCTTCCCAGGTTAGCACCAGCGCACGTACATGGCCCGTCGTGTTCGGCAGGGTTTGGGCTTGGTCCATAGTCTGGAGGTTTGCTCGGCTTTATATTGAAACGTTCTTTGTTGTCGGCCACCCACTAAAACAAATCTCGTCGATCAGAGGGAGCGTTCCGCGCAGAACAGAATTCAGAACGCCACGTGGGAGGATCAGAAAGACGAGCATCAGCGAACGTCTGTTGTATACAGTCAATATGTGACAGGCATCAAACTACAACTTTGCCGACGGCGCGCCTGTCCCTTCTGACCGTCCGTATACGATGGCGTAGTTCCTCGCCAGCCTCTCCCTGCTTGTGCCACGCGCCTCATCTGAACCCTTAACCGCTCTGCCGACGAGAGTCTCACCACTGGCACGGAGTCTGTAGCGGGAGAGTATATCAAATGCTGCTTGACTCTCATCCCTGCCGGCGTCGACGTGCAAGAGGACTCCCAGGAGGGCCTCGGCCACACCCCATAAAAGCCGCCTCGCGTCGCCGGCGAGCTCTTCTTGCGAGCTGCCGGTCAGGGTCGTCTTGATTTCGCGCCATGAATCGGCCGGGCTCCAATCGGGTACTTTTCCGTCGCTTTGCGCAGGCCAGTTGTTCATCTTGGTGAAGAACACGTCCAGGGCTTCGATGGACTCCTTTCCGGCTTTGGGGTGTTTGAGGGCCCGGAGGAAGTCTGTCGCGAGGACATCTGTGGTGCCCTCCCAGATGGATAGGACACAGCAGTCGCGATATAACCTTGAGATGTTGAGATACTCCGTCTCTTCGTTCACCATGTAACCGACACCTCCCAGAGCCTCCATGCAACTATACAGCAGCGGGATCGACTTCTTGCAGACGTACGCTTTGCAAAGGGGTGTAAGGACTCGCAAAAGTGGTGCAATGTGCTTTTGATCCGGCGTAATCAAGGCAAGCGCCGCAGACAGCCCTGACTTGTCGGCCCGAGGGTGCTCATCAAGTCCTAGGAGATAGGAAGTGAAGAAGCTGATAAGCATCAGGCCGTGATACTCGGCCGTCATATCTGCCAACGTTTCCATGTGCAAGGGGCTTTCGGCCAGTAACATCCGCTTCCCTCTCCCAGCACCAACCTGTCGGACCTTGGCATACGCCCTGGCGATGGCCAGTCCACGACCGACGTAGCCTACGGCGCCAATGGCAGAGTGTATCCGCGTGAGAGTGAGGATCGTGCTGATCTCGTTGACGCCGCGACCTTCCTGGCCCAGCAGCCATCCTCTCATGCCTTCAAGTTCAAGCTCGGCCGTAGGGAGAGACTGAGTTCCAAATTTGTTCTTGAGACGCTGGATACGGACCCCGTTCAACTCCATCCCGGCCGCCCCCTTAGATTTTCCAATCTGTGTCTTCGCGGCGGGGTCATGTCGTCTCATGGGGGCAAAGAAGGTGCTGATCCCATTCTGCGTCCTCGCCAAGAGTACACTCATCGCCGAGTCCGTTGCGCTGGAGAACCACTTGAAGCCAGAGATCGTCCAAGGGCCCAGAGGGATGTTCTCCTCGGCGTTGGCCAAGCCCGGCTGCGTTGACGGGTCGTACCGGGCCACGGTCTCGGTAAGTGAGACATCGCTGCCGCCCGTTCTCTCAGTCATCCACTGCCCGCTCGTCCACGCCTTTGCCGGATCTGTCGAGAGCAGATGACCCAGCGCGTTCTCGAACACACGCCGCTGCGTCGGATCCAGATCCTTCTTGGCCAGATGCAGCTGGAGCAGTCGCGCGGCTCCGTCCTGCATGGCCGACGGACAGGTCACGTTCGATGCTGAGCTTCCCCACAGGTGCGATCTGAGGAACTGCACCACGCGAGCGGACGATCCGAGAGACTCGTCGTAACCGGTGGCCACCACGCCCTTTGCGATGCCGAAGTTTTGCAAGTTGCGCCATCCTTCGCCGACGACGAGTTCCGACTTTGGTCTGCCGAAGGCGTCGCGGCCGCTGCCCTTCAGGTACGGTTTGTTCTTCTCAGACTCGGTGACCCATTCGAAGATTTGATCGGATAGGACATCTTCGCCGAATTGGGCGATTTCGACCTCAATACGACTAACCACATCGCTGGGTAGAAACACTACACATGGTCAGTGGTCTGGACTAGGAATTAACGAAAATGGAACTCACGTCTTAAATTCCTCTGAAAACTAGCATCATCGAAAAACTGATTCGGGAGCACTGGTAGCTCCTGGAAGAAGCCGGTATTGGAGCTAGAGGGTTTCATAATGAGGGTTTCTTTGTCGGTCTCACACGCGGCACCAGTGTCCCTTAGAAAAGTCACCACAAGAGACGATAAGCTTCTGGCCTTGAAAGCATCTTAAGCCTGTCAGAATGCGATGAATCCAGACTCTCGGGACTGCTCAAGACACGCGGGGTCGGCATTTTGTGGGGCTGCCGAGGAAGTCTGGGGTGCAGAACGGCTGCGGAATGCGGGAGAGACCCACAAAGTGCCGAAAAATGACCGGCGGACCGAGGTCCGCTCTCGGCCGAGCATTTCCGGAGCAGGGCCATTCCATCGTCGTATTGTGTGTTTCTTGACGCCAAGGTCGGGTGGCCGGCGGAACAGTATTTCCAGTCAAACCACTTTTCCCGTATCACACCACTGGAAGTCCGGCACGCTGGCTGCCATTTCAGGTCTTGGACAACATCATCTCCCCAATCGAACGCGCGGACACGATCCACCAGTCGCCGAATCGAGACCATGATCTCAAGATGGATCAACCCAAAGCCAGAACGGCGCGGACGACGAGCGAAAGAGAGCTTGGCCCTACGTAACGATGAAAGTGCGCCATCGAGACAGCGACGCGCCGGCGCCACAACTACCGACATGAAGGGGGGCCGTCTGCGATGCGCACTACACGACGCATCTTACTGATCAACTGCAACGAAACGATGCAACCACGACAAGAGGCCATTCAAACGAGCGCAGCCACTTTCTTATTTTGTCACCAAACCGGACGGGTAGAAATTGGTCTCATTTGCGGTTTGAAACGGGGCTTGCGAGGCTTGAGATCGTGTGGCTGAAGCTGGTTGGACGATCCGGAGATGAAGAGTGACGTCACACTCACATTTCTCATCTTCCAGGCGCGCGCGCCTTGATTCTGCACCTCCTTGGGACGACAGAATTTCTTCACAATGGGCGCTAAGCCACACGGATCGCCTCATTTCGGGGCCTCGTGATGCGCCCAACGCGGCCCCTTTCGCGCTGATCGGGAGATTCTAGCCTTGGAACGCCACACCGATCGCCACGAATTCGCGGCCTTGGGCCATTGTTGTGAGGCGCGATTGCATGTTGGGTTTGCCGGCATTCCGTGGTATTACTCATTCTGATTCTCCATGTTCACAGAGGATTGCGACGCTGCGAGTACCTGCTGCAAAATCTGTTCAGTATGAAGTCATACTGGACAGGCCCAGCAGGAGCAGCGTGGCTGCTAGCTGTGCTTCGTTTCCCTATACCTGCTCGACTGTCTCTCGGTCTCTGCGCTCCAGCCCCGGTGCCTACGTTTGCCCAGAGAACGGCGCGCATTGGCTGACAACATACGAATCGTAAAAATTACTCCTGAGTCCAACCTAAGCAGGCTGGTCTCCAAAAACGAACAAACGCCGCTTGAATTAAGGTGAAGTCCGTCTCCTGCAGGTCTGGGTTAGGGTGTGATATTCCCATCGCGGCCCCCGCAAAGGCTTGTTTCAAAGCATGAAGCCGACGCATCGCCCTATCACAGTTCAACGTGGGCTGGCCATCATCCTCCCGTCTCTGCATGCCTCCCCAGGCGGATGACCTCATGAGGAGGGCCAACCATGCAGGTTCTCGACTCCCAAGCTCCTCAGCAGAAGAGCGAACGGGCCTTCGACAGCGTGCCAACGCAGCCCGCGATGCCAGCCCGGTGACGTTGGCCAGCCGTCCTTCCCTCCTAGGCCCCTTGTTCCCTCCCTCCCTCCCTACGGACTGCAGGTGCCGGCAGTACGCGAGAGCGCGTTCTTGGCAGGGTCTACGTTCCCGCCGTCCTGCAGGGAAAATGGTCTCGGGACTTGTCGTTACACCATTCTTACTCACTCGTACGCTCCGGCGCGGTGTTCTGTCGATGTAGTGACACGTCGGGACCAAGGTAAGAAGCAAAGTTTTCGTTTGGGTCGCGTCGGCGCCGTGACGAGATGACGGCGCAGGTTTGTCTGGGCCGGCCGTTTCCCGCCCAAACCTGCTTTTGAACGAGGGCGTCATTTTGATGTGACTCCTGTTGGTTCGGTCTGAGACTCTCCCACACATTATCGTCTTTCTTTAGCTTCTTGGCTTATCCTGAAGTTGATATATAGACCATTCATCTCTTCCGCATTTGCCATTTCCTTCTTGCCCATCAGACCACACAGCCACAGATCAGCAAGTCACCAGCGCGACAACATCCTTCATCCTCATCTCACCACAATCAAACCCACCAATCCTCTTTTTAATAAGACAAAACGCAAACCAACACAATGGCGATCGACCGTATTGTCCAGATGGTGTTCCGCGCCGCGGAACTGGCCTTCGCCGCCATCGTCACCGGTATCACCGGCGCGTACCTGCACGCCCACGACAACGCCTCCTCGTGGGACAACGGCCGCTTCATCTACACCATCGTGGTGTCCAGCATCTCGATGGTGTTCGCGCTGGTCTGGCTGCTGCCGTTCTCCGGCAGCTTCGTCCACTGGCCCATGGATGTCTTCCTCAGCATCCTCTGGTTCGTCGCCTTCGGTCTGCTCGTCAACGTAAGTTTTACCCTGCCCTGAAGACGGTAGCATCATGTCAGTACTAACATATCGTGTAGCTCATTGGTGATGGCTGCGGTCCCGTCTTCGACTGGAGCAACATCAGCCCCCGTGGTGATGACTGCGGACGCCACAAGGCCAACATCGCCTTCGCCTTCCTGTCTGCCATCGTCTGGCTTGCGTCTGCTCTCATCGGCCTCTTCTGGGTTCGCCGTCGCACTGCTGTTGCCGACAACCGCGCCCCTGCTGTCCACCGCCGCCGCTGGTACAACTCTCGCGTCTAAGCGATCCGGTTTACGAATCATTATGCGAAGATTTATCCCCTTTCATTGTCACCTACCGCCAATGTGTTGTAAAACATATTGGCCTAATTTGACACCCTTTGTTTTGGCTTGTCCTTGATGGACCTGCCTCTTCGCGCTCTCCAGCTGCACTTGTACGAGAAGGATGATTGAAGCTTTCATCACGGCAGATTTGATACCCCCATAATACCCACACCATTGTAAAATAGTACCTTAATATACTGTTCAAATCATCTCAAGTCCCTTAATCTGTGAGCCATGCTTTGACACAAGAATCGGTAACTTTTGCTTCAACAACATTGCCACAACATTGAGATAATAATCAGTAATTGTGGAGTCACTTGGAATAGGATGATAATCTGCAGCAGCAAGGCAAGCAACTGCCGTCGTTACAACCATCACCCATATGCATGCCTCCGGTACCTTAAAGCCGGCGATCCATATCGGGACGGGCAGAGCTTACCGACGTATCCACTTCCCCGGGTCATCCGGCCGTCAACGCCGCGATGTGGCTTCATCCGCCACACCGGCGTGTTCTCTGCGTGAATGCTTCAGCAAAGCACTTCATTTGATGTGGCCGTTCGTTACGAAAATTCACCCACCGGGCTTCTTCAAGAAAGATATCTGTTTGCCGGCCTGGCGTACAGGGTACTTGAATATTGTAACAGTCCAGGAATGCTCCGTGACGTTTAGTCGGCTTAAGCTATTGACAGCCAAGTCATACGGAGACACAAGACCTGGAACTCATACTACCTAGGTAGCCTGAATAGCATAGTTGTGAAGCTCTAGATGGCCTCGTCAAGGAAGACCAGCAACATAAACATCTGCTCGAGCCGAGCTGCGGCCAGCAATCGAACTAGATCGATGTATGCACGACAAGGTCCTTCAGAATCCTCTATCTAATTTCACTCGCTTTTACCCATATCTCTTAATGACGTATTATTTGCAAGCATACACCCGCTTATTGTGTCCTTCAGAATCCCTGGTGTTTCTTTCTATGGTAAGACCAAAAAGCACGTAGATACTCACCAGCAATCATGAGCACCGGCCAAACAGGAGGAGACTCATCACAAGCTTCCCAAGCCCAAGGAAGTGCACCCTTCTGCATAGAGCATCCTACATCATCCGCAAACGCAGCGAGCTCAAGCTGAAGCCCGTCTCGGAGGCCGAGTGATCAGTATTTCCGCACCAACGAACTGAAGCGGCTATCGAGAAATGAAATGGCGTATTGAGGCTGTGAAACGCTGATCTGATGCCTGTGCCTCGGCACCCGCCACCCTCCTCGAATGACGTATGCGTAGCTATCCAGACAACACGACTGCGTGTGAAACGAGGGGTAAACAAGATGACCCAAAGGACGACCTCTCTCGGTCAAATCAATCGACACGGAAGCGGCAGCAAGCGAGATGAGGAGGAACAGCCGCTAGAGGGCAGGCCAGATTAGCCAAGCGAAAAAAGACTCCCAGCCAAGTCCTGCACCTCCTGCACGAGCAATTCGTTGCTTGCTGGGACTGCGATGCCTCGGTTTGCCTGTGCCTGGTTGGTGCCTCGTTGACCGCCTCGTATAGGTAACCGCCACAACATGGACGCCGTTTCCGAAAGCAGCCCCCGTCTCCGCGAGAACCACTCATTCTTTTCACGTTAAGTCCCGGGAGATCTCGTGACTGTTTACTTCGCATCGGTCTTTGTGAAGCGCAACTGTTTTTGGACCGCTCCAGACCGCAGGGGACCGGGCGAGGACCTGTCTCGGACGCTTGTCTCGCTGTCAAACAGGTTTCCCCATATTCTTACCCACGCGCTGTTACTAAGACTAGTAGCCCTTAGCCTCCCTTGCGGACCCGGAGCGAAGCCTTTTCTTTGGTAGAGGATCATTGTACCATTGCCAACGGAAATTACGTGGCATCCCGCGGCATCGGACGAGTTGAGATCTGTATAGAATTCCACGATCCGCGAACCCAGAAGAGGGTCCCCGCGGCGGCGGTTCTGCGGGCTGGGATGGTCAGTTGGTCAGGTACCAGACCGCTCCGAGCTACCGTACGGCTTAGCCTCCCCGCGGGCTCGGACTGGACTGGAACCGGACTGGGCTGGGCTGTTTTTTTGCTGGCAAAAAAGCGTGGTTTCCCGAGACCGCTCCTTTCGAAAACGTGCAGAGACATGCGGAAAACGGCGGGCGGCTTGCATCGTTTCGTCTTGGCAGTAACGAGAGACACTGGTCAGGCGGCAAAGATGATTGATAGAGAGGGAATGCGGGGTTCGGGTGAGACGAGAGACAGAGGGGTAGCAACAGATCGATGTAAGGAACGGCGAGAGATGGGAATTGCGCAGAATGCTGTTCATGATGACCCAATTTTGGGACGATCGCAGCACCTCACTGTGGCTATTTCTGGCAATCGATATCAATGGAGGGATGAACGTAAGGGTTCACTTTCTCCAGGGATGTGAGCTCCTTCGACATAAAGCCAATCCGAACTCAAGAGGAACGCCGATAACAGAGACCAGGTATCTTGGCAGATGAAATAGGTGGGCGAGATACCTTGGCAGCGTAAGCAGGTTGAGAGAGCGGGAGAGAGTGTCACCCCTCGTCAGATGTCTGTCTCATGAGAGCCGCATGGCGTAATGCCCCGCAAGGCGGCGTAGGCGGGGTCAGAGCAGGTTTAAGGCTCGAGCTGAGGATCCATGGATGTGAGTGAATGTGAGGTCAATGACCGCATTCTGTGGGGTAGGTGACGCCACAGTCTGTGGTCTGGATTGTCTCGTTTGGGGGCCAAGAAGTGTGTGATGAACAACAGTTTGTGATGGTGATCATGTCTCACTAGCCACATCACAATCTCTCGTCATAGCTGCCAAGGGTAGCTTACGCCACAGGCGGGGGGGCCGATCAACCGGAGTGCGCATCCGTGCTGCGTCATTGGCGGGGTTTCTTTCCGTTGCCTTGGTTCTGTGGAAATTTTCAATTTTACATCCGTAATGGCATCAGATCCGTTCGGCCCTTGCAAATCACCATCCGAACTCGTTCAGCAATGGAAGCACGCCTTTGCTCGTACAAACGCCGTCTTCAATTGCGTTTGTATCGACTCCGATGTCTTGCAGCTCGTACACAGTTCAGCCCCCGTACCCAGCTTGTGAGACACGACGCGCGGCGAAGGTCTGCTTTTCCTTGGAGGCCTTGCAAGTCTGCTTCTCCAATTCCTTCCAGTCTATGGAAACATGCCAACATGCCACCGGCTAGCCAGCTCATACGCTTGGACGAATGGAGGGATGAACTGCGATGAACTGCAGCCGGGCCAACAGCTGTCTCTGTCCTAAGGTGGAACGGTCGAAGCTCCCTCCCCCCTCCACGTGTGGGTAGCGTCCCTGATCGGAGGCAAGGTGCCCAGATGCCAGGCTTCGCGCTATTGCTTTCCACATCTACTTTGCCATCCATCTTCACGCCTTCCACGGCCCTAAAACGTCACTAGCCACAGATCTTCAGTCCTCTTCAACCATTGTGACCCGCCGTATGACGCTTAACCCTGGACTTCTTACGTCTGTCTGAGAGGTCTCGGCCACCTTGAGACCCCTCCAGTGCCACATCTTAGCCGGGAGACTCGCGTATCACACCATGTCAACTGAGGCTTGAAAACGGGAGCAAGCGCAGTGTTACGCCAGCCAGAGGTCCTGGTCCTGGTCCTGGTCCTGGTCCTGGGCTCGTCATCCCGCCACGGCAAACTGGGGCCTAGCTTAACCAGCGTCCCGCCCCCCAATTCGCCAGGGTCCCCGGTCTCTACCGGAGAGGAAGCACCGGCGTATCAACTCCCTGTCCCGAGTGGCTGACAGTTGAAGCTTGTATCCCGATGAGACAGCTGCGTCCAAGACCTATGACGATGTATGAAGTAACGGCGCAAAGCGGTGCTTTCTCACTCTGTGTTGTGTGTGTGTGGCTCTTTCTCCAACCAGTCAGTTGGCCAGCCTGGCTCGGCAAACAGGCAAGCAAGCATCGAGATGCAGCTTCCTTGGTTCGAGCAAGTCACAGCGTGAGCCGTGAGGCGTGAGGTGCGAGGCGTGAGGTGGGCTGAAGCAAGAGCAGCCACGAATGATCGAATTCTCATCTGCCATCCGGGCATCGGGAAAGAGAAGGCAAGATGCACCTTCTTCATGTGTCCTATCCCTCCTCTTCTACGTATATAACCTCCTCGAACCTCCCACCATCATCCTGTCTTCTCTTCTCTCATCATCACAAACCAAGATACCCAAACCCAACCAACAACCACACAAACAAACAAACCACCTTTCCTAATCAGCCTCTCTACAAATCTTTTCTTGATACCCCAACTGCGATAAATCAGCCAAAATGTCTTCCATCGTCAACAAGGTCAAGGACGCTCTCCACTCCGACAAGAAGCACGAGCAGCCCGAGGGCACCTCCGGACCCCATAACTCTCGCGCTGCCAACGCCGCCGACCCCAGAGTCGACTCCGACCGTGACCACCGCGCCAACCCTGCCGGCACCTCCGCCGGTGCGACCAACACCCACACCACCGGCCTGACCGGCTCGCACGGCACTACTGGCACCACTGGTACCCACGGCACCTCCGGTTTGACCGGCACCCACGGTACCACTGGCACCACCGGCTACGATGACCCCTCCGGCACCCACGGCCCTCACGGCAGCCGTGTTGCCAACCAGGCCGACCCTCGCGTCGACTCTGACCGTGACCACCGTGGCGCTCCTGGCTCCGGTTTGACTGGAAGCCACGGCACCACTGGCACCCACGGCTCTTCCGGTCTGACCGGTACCCACGGCACCACTGGCTCTTCCGGTCTGACCGGTACCCACGGCACCACTGGCTCTTCCGGCCTGACTGGTACCCACGGCACCACTGGCTCTTCCGGCCTGACTGGTACCCACGGCACCACCGGCACTTCTGGCCTCACTGGTACCCACGGTACCACTGGCACTCACGGCACTTCCGGTCTGACCGGCTCTAACGCCACCACCGGATACGATGACCCCGCCGGCTCTCACGGCCCTCACGGCCGTGTCGGTAACCAGATTGACCCTCGCGTCGACTCTGACCGTGACCACCGTGGTGCCCCCGGCTCCGGCCTCACTGGCACTCACGGTACCACTGGCACTCACGGCTCTTCCGGTCTGACCGGTACCCACGGCACCACTGGTACCCACGGCTCTTCTGGCCTGACCGGTACCCACGGTACCACTGGCACCACTGGCACCCACGGCTCTTCCGGCCTGACTGGTGGCACTTCCACCGGCCACTCCGCTGTCGGCCATGCTGGCGCTGCCGTTGGTGGCACCCACGGCACCGGCCCCGCCCCCAACACCGCCGGTCCCCACAAGTCCGATGCTCTGAACAAGGCCGACCCCCGTGTGGACTCGGACCTTGACGGCAGCAAGACCGTTGGCGGTAACAAGACCTACGCCCAGTCGTAAGCGATACCTATCCGAGAGCGATCTCAGCACCGATTTGTGCTCGACACCGAAACAGAGACTAACTTGCAACGCCAGAAACACCACTTCGGGTGTTGCAAAGGACCCTACCGACGCCGCTCAGGTTCCTCCGTCTGTTTTGGCAAAGCACATCGGTGAGCCCGTGATCGCACACGACGACCACGGCCACAACCGCGAGAGGCGCAACAGCAAGGTGTCGGCTCAAGAGCTGCACCGTGGACTTTGAATTGGTTATCATTTTTAATGCGAATGGGAGAAGGAATTGATACCTAGTGCTTGTTGTACCATAGCCTACGACCTAATGAATTAGCATCGTCAACCATTTTTCACTTCCTGTGACTTTATGATCTTCAGTGATTTTGTGATCAGGTGACTAAACTTTACAATCGTCAGCTCCATAGCCTTGATCATTGGACCCGACTTGGCGCTCAATTTCACTCACATTCGGTCTCCAACATGTGACTTCATAGTAAAGTTGTGTAACGCACCGTTCAAGTTCCAATTGTATGTGTAAAAAACTCCCCAACAACACACCTCCAGTGCATATTCAGTACAATCTGCGTCTACAAAGCGCCGCAACAAAGTACCACAGACGAACGAGGTGGCAGTTGTTCCGACCTTCTCATGATCATGAGTGTTCATCCAGCACACGGCAGACTCAGTCATGTCAAACATGGACGGAGTCCGTCGGGTTAGAATGCCCGTCGACCGCTCCCTCACCTTCATCAATCTGTGGACATGAAACGTAGACGGCGGTGGCAAGTTTTTAGGTAGACTGATAGAAGCCCAAACTGGGATGTTGTAAGTTGCAAGTCCCCCGAACACCTGCCTGACCAGCGGCGAAAAGTGATCGATATATAAAAACCGGATCCGTCTCTCGAATCGAACGCACATATAACATCCCGGCACAACCTTACTTTTCACTGTCCTTCCCACGTCTTGATAGCATTGTATGGAATTTGGAAATTCATCAAGGGTGCGAGACGGATTTACACACTATCTACCTACCTCTTTCTATCTTTTGCATTTCACAGACATAGCATACAGACCACACACGCACAAACGGCACAGGCATGTCCTGCAGGGGATGATCTCCCCAGCCAAAGATGCAGACATCGAACGATTTCGTGCCCCCCCTCCCCTCTCCCCTTCCCGCTTGTCAGGAAACATGTCAAGCGGCGTCAAAAGTGGTGTAGTGGTGTGGTGGTTCGCTGATCGCCACCATGGAACGCGAACCGGGGCTGAGAGGCACACCGGACGACGGACGTGATGGGTGGGTGCCCCCCGAGACCTTGGCGGGATGGGATGGGATGGGATGGGAAAGCCCGTAACCGCTCATCCTAGATGATTTGACGGCTTGGATTGGATCCCCCGACAAACAGCCGCTGACAGCCGCCGGCTTGCAGCTGCGACGAGTGCGAAATGCGTATGTGTGAAAGAGAGTGTGTGTAGGTGGTTAGTTAGACCAGGCTAGGCTTCCGCCTCATTCTCTACACACCATCCATCCATCAATCAAGGCCCGGCGGCCCCCATCTCATCACGTCCTCTTCTCCGCCTGTCAACGCCGTTCGTACACTTGTAAAAACTCCAGCAATTGGCTGATAACTAACGCTATCCCCGCGTTAGAAGAAAAAGGGACGTGATACGAGCGTGACGGGAGCCCGACGTGATTGTGATGGTGTACAGACGGCGGGATGATAGGCCAGGGCCAAGAAAAAACGTGACGGGACTCATTCCTCTCTGCCGGCAGGCAAAAAGAACAGGAATTTTGGGCGGTGGGATAAGCAAGGCACAGCACCTAATGCGGCGCGGCGGCGGCGGGCGCCACTAGTCGTTCAGTAACACCGACACGCAGGTTTTTGGGAAATTTGGCTGGCGTTTCATTTTTGCTTTATTCACTGTTTTCTTTCTGCTCGTGTTGGGTGGCGTTTTTGTTCTGGCTCGGGCCAATGTCGATCTCGAGTTGAAGCCTGGGAAACAGACAGAGACGGCTGAGAGATATGTGGTTAGTCGGACCCGGGGCCATGGCATCGTTCACGAGCGTTGCTCTGCCGGGGTGACGGGTGGCGGTAGCGCGTGCGGGCTTGAGCTAGGGCGTACGGTGGCTTGAGCCTAGACTGACGTGCTCTGTGTCAAGTGTCATTTTGGGAAACCGGGATCATGGACGGGACGGAGGCGGCGAGCTTTTGATGCAGGGCGCGGGAAGGGGGTGGTGTTGTTGTTGGCAGGACGGCGGGAGCCTAGACCGGAATCGTGACCGACGGGGACGGAGGGAGGGAGAGTCGGGGCCGGGACGGGAAGTTTCTGGTAGGCAGAAGGGGGGAGGGACCCTTGAGTGTGAAGATTTGAGGTCTCGAAACGAGCGGTATGGCGGTCTTCTGTCGTGTTCCTGAGGCTGAGATGGGGGATGACGGGTCGCGATTTTGAGATTCCCGACCCTTTGCGGCCATCGACTTGTAGGCGATATGGGGAACTTCCATGTGCGTCGAAGTGTGATGGGAAAGTGATTGAACATGGGGGAGGACGGGAAAAAAGATGGGCGTGTGTGCAAGATGGGCAGCGTCGTCGACAGGGGAGGGGGGGGGAGCAAAGCCAACCGAGTTGCAGGTTGAGGTGGTTGATTTGCGCACATGCATGTAATGGGGGCCTTCGCAGGTCGCACAAAGTCCTCGACAAGTCACTCGACTTTTGGGGTACTTGCTTCCCCGAGGAGCCTCAGAAAACGGGAGTTCGACAGCGAAAGAGAGACGGCACGGCTAACAAGGTCGCAGCGCAGCATGTGTGTGCTGCTGCGGTGTGCGTGAGGTAGGTAGCTTGGGATGCGCGCCGCGCTGCGAAGCCCATCTTGCGGCTTCTGTCAAGAATGAGAAGTGATATGAGGGAGGGTGTGAGAGCAGCACACACCATCGAGGCGGCGGGGGGCGGACATGACATGCCAGATATATCAGCGAAGGCGCGCCCAGCCGAAGCCGGGAGCCAAAAAAGCAAAGGTCGCAGTTAACGATACGTCCGTAATCTCATTGTCGTTGCGTTGTCGTCCGTCGCACTCCGTAGGGTGCCTAGCATGAAGCACATCACCGACAGGGATGCTGTTCTTCGCTGGGGTTTGAATCTGAGGATTTCCTTTCGAAATCTGATAGCGCGTGCCCGATTGCCGATTAGTGAACCGCGCTAGGGGACGCCTATTGTAGGTTGTTGCTGCGCTTCGCGGGTGTGTGTGTGGTATATCAGACGTCGAGAAATGATAACGAAATGAAAAGAATTTGATATGAAGAGAGTCGGGGGAAGGCAGAAACGCATGGCCCGCATCTTGGTTGGTGTAGCGTGATCGCGGTCGGGCACCGGCCGGGGGGCCGCCCACATCTGAGGCCGTGGTGGTTTGACCGCCGAGATGGTAAATGTGAGATACTGCAGTCGAGTCTGGCTTTTTTTTGCTGCTGCTTCTGTCTGTCTCTGGCCTTGCGCAGGTTCACCCATGCAATTGAGTTACAGCGGATACTGGAACACCCCTTCCATGCGGATGCGATGGCTCCTCGTCGGTCCTCGTGGTCAAACGGTTTGCTTGGTTGGGTGGTTCTTTCTTTCCCGTGTGTGGAGAGAGACGACCTCGTCTATGTAAGTCCATCCCGCCCCCATGTTTGACAACGACGGAGGACGATCACGGTTGCGGGTATGAGCGGACAAACTGGACCTCGAGAATCTCCCAAGACTGGGGTAAAAAAGGGGATCAGAAAGGAAGAAAAAAGCAATTGTCCCGAAAGAGTTGTCTGTCTTGGTAAGTCCGAGGAGAAAAAAAACGAATGTTAGACAACGCGGAGGTTTTTCTTCTCTTTCCACAGCAGAAGGGAAGGGGAGCCAAAGTGCGGAGATTGTGAGGTGTTGTTGGGTGTTGGTTGGCTGCGTCTTGGATCAGAGACCCTCGAGCTCGTTCTCGTGTAACCCAACCAAGACTGTGAGGTGTCTCGGAGCCCACAGCTGGGGCACGCGGCGTATTCTTGCTTTTTCTTTCCTTCTTGGCCTCTGCGTGTTTTTCTTTCGCGAAGCTGCGGTGTACCCATTTCCTGCGCGTGTCGCGTCGCATCGGCAGAGGGAGGGGGTGCGTGTGTGCGACGTGAGAGAGGTGTGTGTGAGTGTGATGTGTCCTGGGTGGATTGATGGATGACGCTTAGAAGGCGAGCAGCAAATGAGGACTTCTATCCAACTATCTTCCTCCGTGATGGCGAGAGCGCATTGTAAGCGCGGCCGTGATTCGACGGTGCGATATGCGAGGCGAGGGGATCGGCCGGGTCATGTGTGCGTGTGTCGGTTTGGATTGATTCGTGGCCGACGACGTCTCTCGGTCTTTGCCATGCGTGGTTGCGGCAAACGGTACGATGGAGACCGTCGAGAAGCGAGAGAAGCGATTGATAACAATGGCCCGCCTCATCTTGCTTGTTCGATGCTCCCCTCCCATCCCGAGGACCGAGCCGTTGACGATGGAACCGTGTCGCGCATGATAATAGGAGAGACCTTGAGATTATCACGCCGTGATTACGCCGCGAGTGATGCTGACGTTGAAATCGTGACGATGCCTCGGTCTCGCGTCCAGTCATCTCAGCTTAGCATCAGCAGTTGGAGTTGACAGAGCGAGGTTCGCAGTAACTCAAGGGATCCATGAACCCGAGAAGGATTCACACAATACCCCTTAATCGCAGCAGCAGGGCCTTAGTGCAAAGGGAAAAGCCGCTGTCAAAAAGGAAGAAACAGCCCGACGGCCTGGAGCTGGCAGCTGAAGGCACCACCGCCCACCTCAGCTCTTCTCAGCTCACGAAGCTACCTACCAAAGTACCATTTTCAAGCTTGAGAGCTCCAGGCAGCTAGAGCTCCAAGCTTTGGGGGTGTGATGGAAGCCCTGGACTCTGGATTCCCTGGACATGAGGGATGACGGATGAGGGGATGATGGGAGGGATAGCCCGGGTTCCCAGAAAAGGAAAGACGGCACCCCGGTTGCTTCGCTTACGTAAACGGTGGATCACCCTTCGGATGGCCCCACTGGGTCCACGTCCGCCGCTCCGCCGTCCGTCACCGAACGCTACCGAACTTCAGCCTTACTCCGGCGCAACCGCACTCCGCGAACCATCACGTCGATCCTCCGTAGAGCCTCATCCGTTCACGTCTCCATATTCCGGGCCGTCTCTGCCACCAGCCCCGTGGCTTCTCGAATCGAACCAACCGAGACAACGGGACTCACGATGACTCCCTGACCTTCGTCATCATCGACTCACGACATCTCATCTCATCTTCTTCCCTCACCACCACCTCAAAACCTCACACTCTCTCACAAAAACCCAACCATCACCATAACCAACAACGATGGACTCCATCCCCCAAACCCTCTGGAACGCCCAGATCCCCCTCCACATCCTCCACCCCTCCCACCCAAACACCCCCCTCGTCACCTCCCTCCCGCGCTTCTCCTACCTCGCCCTCCTCGTCCCCCGCTGCTCCGCCTTCTTCCGCACACCCGTATCGGCTTTCCACCACGAGGACCTCCTCCTCCGCAACCTCCCCCTCGGCCTCCTCGTCGACCTCTACCAGCCCTCCCTCCCCTGGCGCCTGACCGTCAGCGACGGCGACAGCTGGGACATCGGCGACACCTTTCTCAACTGCGTCAAAGAGGTACGTCCTTCGTCTTGATTCTCCCCCGCCATTCCACTTTACATGCCACTTCCTCCTCTTCCCCAGCCCGTCTGTCTCTCCCTCCCTTCCTTCCCATAATCTGGGAGCAAAGGGAGACCCAGACACCATGTCTCACCCCCTTCCAACCTCCAACTAACACCAAAAAAGGCCGACTTCGTCCGCTACGGCAACGCAAAACGCATCATGTCCCTCTCCAAAGCAGACACCTCGACCCTCTGGAACGCCGTCCAAGACAACGACTACGCCTCCTTCCAAAAGATCAACGCCCTCCTCCTCAACGCCCCCACGCCCCTCCGCCACGTCCCCCTCCGCGTCTACATCCCCTCCTCACCACCCGGCGGCGGCGGCGCATCGTCATCATCATCATCGCTAGCCGCCACCCCAGCACCGGCACCGGCATCTCCATCACCCACGACGACAGCAGGAGCGCAGCAGCAGCAGCAACAGCCCGAACCGGCATCAGGCGCCTTCAAAGTCCTGCAAACCCTCGTCTCCCCCGTCGCCCCGGGCACGCGAAACACCCCGCAGACCCTCGGCCAGGCCCTCCGCGCCCAGCTGCCCTCCCTCTTCCCCTCCAGCCGCGACCCCGTGCTCGCCAACGTCGTGCTGCACGGCAGCCCCGTGCCCTTCTCGGCCCCGCTGGAGGATCTCATGAGGGAGGCCGCGTACCCCGACGGGTGGCTCAGTTTGACTGTCGTGTTGTGGTGAAGTTCGGATAGAATGGGGGAGAGAGAGAGAGAGAGAGAGATGAGGCAAGGTTATGGGCGTTTTTGGGCATTCGGAAATGGGACATGGGGGGTGATCAACGGTCCGGCGTCTGGGAACGTAGGCTTGGTTTTGGTTTTCATGGGCTAGATGAGAAGACGACACGAGTTCGCGTAGAAATCATCGACAATTCACATCACTGGTCGTCTCCAATGCAAAAGCATTGAGAAAACTCCATCTGTATATACTGCGACTCGAAATACACCTCACGTACAAACGACCTCCTCCCCCATCCACGCAACGCTGACAAAACATCCACACCATAATGTATATCCCCCATCAGTCTGCCTGGTCTCAGACCCGCTGCCCATCCTCCGACCTCCACGTCCTTGGCCCTGCCACGCTTCCATCCGCCTCCACGACTCACCCATCACAGAACTACAACGCAAAGAAAACCCCAGCACGAATGAAACAACAACAATAGAGGAAACGTAGGCATCTCCCGCCTCGTGGTATCTCCTCCGCTACACCCCAGAATATGAGATATGAGTTTGATGGTATGATGGATATGATACGATAATGATAAATGACGATGACGATAATAGTTAAAATCCCACATGTGAAGCCAAACCCGAATTTCGTATCAAGCGGTCGCGTCCTGGTGCTGAGGACCGACGAGAATCAAGCGATAAGAAACACGCGTGCCCAGTTCTCCGAGATGCATGATGCGGCTAAGTAGCAGAAAAAGAGTGAAAAAAGCGAATAAACGTATGATGCCGTGTTGGGGCAGAGGACGTGAGTCCTCGAGGGGGTAAAGGAGAACGGCAAAAAGTAAAAAAAGAGAGAGGAAAATAACTAGACCAGAGGGGGGCGCGAACCCGACTCGTGAGTCGTCTTTTATATGCATCCTCCTTCCTCCCAACCGTCCGTCTCCTCCTTCCCGAACCCCGCTGAGCCCAGTGTGAAGTCGTCTAGTAACGACAATGCGGTCCTTTTTGCCGTGCCAAAACCTCCCCCTTGTTTCCCCAAATGCTGCCAGTCCTCTTTGTTCGTTGTTCCCGAGTGTTTGTTTTTTGGACGGGGCCGCTGCGCCGTGCCCTGGTCATATTGACGCCGGGTTCTTCGCGTGGACGTGTGCGTGCGAAGACCGTCAACTCGAGGAAGATTTGAACCTCGAGGATGAAGGGTCGGGCGCGGCCCATGTATCGTGTCGTGGTTTCGGTCGATGTAGTAGGTACGAGAAATGAATCGAATTCGCAAAACGCCGGTTCATGGATGTTTTTTGGGTATAAGAAGTGGTGGTCGGCAAAGACTCCGGACCATTCATCAGCTTCATCCGGTATTAGTCCCTTGACATTGATAGCCACCGCCCAATACGTTCAGTATTCCAGTCCTAGTCCTCCGTCGGATATCATTTTTCCCTTGCAAAAACCGATTCGGATCGGTTAACCCTGATAGGTGTGATTAGGTGTGTGGTTGTGGTTGGGAGCGTGATTCAGTACACGATGGCCGGCGATGGGGGAGTTGTGTGCGCTGCGATGGGGCTCCATCGCGTACGCCAAACCCATCGGCCCCTGATGATCGGTAGGATGGTGGTTCGGCGCGGACATGGGCGCGGGCGCAGGCGGCGGCGGTGGCGGCGGGAGCGTCGGGCCGGACATGCTTGCCGCGCTTGCGGCGCTGGAGAAGCTGATCGTCGCTCTCGGATCTTCGTACGCGCCGCCGTTGCGGAAAAGGTCTTTCTGAATGTGCTCGAGAATCCTCTGGTTAATCTTTAATGAGCTCTTCTCGGAGGCATGCAGGTGCAGCATCTGAATCGTTCGCGACAGGTTGTACTGGAGGCGTTGAGCGTCGACGAAAGGACCGAGACACGGGTCCTTATACGCCGCGGACAGGGTCAAAAGATTACCCCATTGCCTGTGAGATGGTCAGCAAAAGTTCCACGCAACACTCCACTATGCTCTACTTACGCCAAGGCCGTGCCAAAGATGTTGGTAACCAGCAGCCGCTCGTGGTCCACGTTGTGGAAAGATTCGGTGCTCTTGAACAGGGCTTCGATGCATCTCTTGGCGTACTGAATCGTGTCTGTGTTGACGAGATCCTGGTGGCTCTCGATCCCGTGTCCGACGAAGGCGGTCGCATCGCCCTTGGTGAACAGCCCGAGTCCACCAGCGGTGTCGGAATTGGGCGTGGCACCGTCAGTCCGCTGTTGCAGCTTCGCCGAGATATCCAGTACGAGCTTGACGAAAGGTCTGTACGTGATGACCTGGGTTCCCCAATATTTGGCCCGCAATCTGGCTTCCAGAAACGTGTTTGCCGGAGGGTCTTGTTCAGAGAAGCTGAGCCCTCGCGCCCATTCCATGCTCCTCAGTGTCTTGTCAAGCCCCGAAATTTTGCTGAGCTTGATGTCCATCGGCGTCACATCAGACGGCTTATAAAGCTCGCCGTGCAACGAGTTCAGCGCCTTTCGCAGGTAGAGCTGTGCCATGTAATGTTGTACCTCGTGGAAAGGCAGCTCATTTCCCATGATGAGGGCGTTGGGCCAAGGCACTGAGTCGTCGTATTTGTTGCAATTCGAGGGGTAAACACCGAGCTCGGCGATGATGTCGCTTCAAAACTGGTTAGCTTGCCAACGCATACAAAAGTCATCGTGGTTGACCTACCCCTGCAACTGGGAACATGACCAGAAGTTTATGATGATCATGGTGTCGCGTCTGTCCAACTCCGTCTTGACTCCTGTTTTGGCAAGATTGCAGATCTTTTGGTAGCGATCCATATCACTATCGCATACCGGTTAGCAAGAGCAAGCAACTTCAGTTGGTCATGCCGCCACTTACCGACGCATAAGGTGGTGCAAGGAGACATCGGCATCAGCCAAGCACCTGTAGCTCTCAATAGGCCTGCCAAGCAGGCCGTAGTAGAGTCCAGCCAAGATGTGCACCTGGACATGCTTGAGGGTGTTAGCCCCGCGTTGGTTGCCGATGATATCGCTAGCAACAGCAACATATTCGAGACCAGGAAGGATATCGAAGTTGCGAGCCGGTCGTCCGCCTTTTGCGCTTCCATGCAGAGATGGTCGTCGACTCGGTATGCCGTTGTTCTGTTCTTTCGGCGAAGGCAGTCCCGAGGATTGCGAGTGTGCGGAGTAGACCGGTGGCGATGCCTGTCCGCCTGGACCAGGAGAAGATGGGTGGCCGTTCCGATTCAGTGGTGAGTTCTGCGACGGTTCGACGGTATCCGGTGCTGGTTCCGGCAGTTTACCTTTCCACCTGCAAATCTTTCCTAAACCCATGACCATCAAAACAAGAGCAACCTCGATGGTACGGGCAGGCCTGCCCTGCTTCCGTGAGTTCTGCACAGGGTCATCTGGCTGGTCTCCGCTGGGTGAGCGCTTTCGCTTGTTGGAATAATCGGCGGTGGTGACTGCGAATTTGGCGGTGCTGGTGGGAGCTGGTTTCGGTTTCCCCGTGGTAACGTGTTTCAAGAACCGCTTGACAAGAGGCTTCAGGTCATTTGGCGTAATGATAGGATGCAAGGACATGACGTGTTTTTCAAACGATTCCACGTACGCCCAGACCTTCTCTTCGCTGTAATCCGGATGACCATCAGGCGTGAGCACACTGCCGGCCATCAAGTTCGGGGGGCTCAGACTTCCAACTTGACCCCACGCCTCGGCGCTTGGAGAAGGTGATGCGACTGGCTCTCCGAGATTGTCATCGGCAGTGTCGATGGTGGCCCTAATTGCCTCGGGGTCGACGTTGTTCTTGCTTGAAGTATCAAACTTAAGACCGTGGCCCTCCCCACACCCAAAAAGACGAAGAATACCTCGCGATTCTTCATAACCCTGGGGATAATCCTCCATATGCTTGATTCCGTTCTGTAAGAAAGCCCTGCGGGTGAGCTCTCTGATCGCCGGCCAGCGCAGTAAATGACCTGTGGTAGTGGTATGATTAACGGGAATCGCCGGTGCGCCGGGAGCCACCGCCGGTCCGGGAGGATGGTATTCTTCTTCAGGCTCTTCAGGCTCGTCTATGGGAGACATGATCGGGTCGCTAACGGGTATTGGCATCGTCTCTTCGGAGCGGTTGTCCTCGACGGACTGGTAATGATTCTCCGGCGATAGGTGTACTTTTTGTTTCGGGGGGGAGGGTGTCGTGGCCATGTGGTCGCCTTCCACCTTGACTCGCTTGTAAGGCGACGCATTTTCCAGGATCGAGACCCTACGCGAGATCGACTCATTATACTCATCAATCTTTTTCTCCAATCCGTTCCTCATTTCTAAGATGGCATCGAGAATGTCGGTCTGCGTCTTGTCCATCCTACGATAATAGTTAGCAAAGAAGCCAAGACCGGAAACGAGATACTAACGCCTTGGGCACAGGGTCACGATATTTGCATTCCACGCCCTTTTCCCTACAACTCTTGCAAGGCTTTGTTTCGTCGCATTTCGCCTTCAACTGCCGACAACTGTCGCAAGCCTACACCGTGGGTTAGCGCAAACCAACAAAACAGCTACAGACCGTCGCTTGATCGTACCTGGGATGCTCGTGTCGCCTTCCGCTTCTGGGTGGACGCGTAAGACGAGATATACAGGCTCTCGGGAGCCGGTTGAGGATGGTAAGGAGGCTGCTCATACTGCTGAGGAGGAGCGGGAGGAGGAGGTTGAGAGATGGGCGGCGGCGGCCCTGGGTAGCTCCTGTAGCCCCCCGGCGTGGGGGGCATCTGTGGCGGCGCGCTCTCGTAGCTCATGTGCGGCGGTCGTCGTGGGTCGTCGGAATACGGAGGGACAGGCGGCGGCGCGGAATGCGGGGGCGGGTGAGGGCCCGGCGGCGGCAGGCCGTCGTTGGGCGCGCCTCCCGTCGAATGCGGCCGTCTGGGGTGCGGTAGGCCGTCTTCGTGCGGTTCTCTCTTCACGCTCCCAGGGTCTCGGTGAGGAAACGGGTTGTAGGAAGGGTGCGCAGGTGAGGGAGAGGCCGGGTGTCGGTAGTGTTCCTGCATCGGCGTGTTGTACGGAGACTCTTGGTCATGGTGTCGTCGCTCGTCGGGATGTTGCTGGGCCGGGTGAGGAGGATGATGGGGTTCGGCCGAGCGAGGAGGAGGAGGATACGGCGGCGGCGGCTGCGATTGATGGTACGGCGGGATGGGAGGCGGCGGCCCCGGGTGGTGAGCCTGATGAGGCGTCGGTGGTAGCGACGACGGCGGGTGAAGAGGCGGGAGTTGATGTTGTGGTGCGCCGGTTGGTGACCACGAGTTGGTAGTCGAGAGACGGGGACGCTTGCTGTCAGGCTGCCCCGGATCCATGCTTGATATATATGTACATACGTACAATGCTTATGAAAAACAAGAGACGAAGCGAAAATAGGGTCAGGCCAGGTCCGAGGAGGAGAAGGTGGCGGCCATGGACAACCTATGGGCAACGAAGGGTAAGGTGTGAAAGCAAGACCGGGCCGGTATGGTACAGTCTACAATCCACAGTTTGAATGCTATGCTATGCTTGGTTCTGGGCAACGGCGCAACGCAACGCAACGCGACAGGAGGAGAGGAGGAAGGAGAGAATGGGCAAGCAAGCGAAGGGACCAAGCAAGCAGAGGCAATCAATCAAGCAGGTAGCCTGTGAGAAGCCGGAGCGGAGGTCTAGGGGCAACAATTGGGCCTCGAGTGTTTGGATGAAAGCATGGGGCGGTCCTATGGCGTGGCTGCAACGTACGTAGGTACGGGATGCGTCGAAGAAGGGTAAGTCGGTGTGAATGTCGGACAGGACGGTGTGTCGGGATGTGTCGTTGGGAGAGGGAGATGTATCCGGGTCTGTATCCGTGGAGAGTATGCGTATGCGTATGCTCAGTAGCTAACGGTAAGATACGACGGTATGCTATGCGATACGGCGCAGAGGGGGGAACTCAGGGCTCAGGTCGAGAAGGCGGAAGCGAAGCGGAGGCGAACGGCGCGCGCGATGGGCAACGAGCGAGCCTCGATGCTTGGTTGTTGCTTAGATCGAGAGAGATGTTCCCGGCTGTGTGGTTCTTTGAAACTTGCGAGATGGGATTTCCCACTCTGCGAATGCGCCCGGATGCCCAAAGGGTTCGGCACGGCAGAAGGGGGTAGGATCAGCGACGTTGGGCAGAGATGGAGCTTTCCTATTTTTTGCTCTCCGTGTGTGTCTCTCTCTCTTTCTCTGCGTCGCCCTTTTGGTGTTGCCTTGACTTTTTTGACGTGACGGGGGGTGGAGGTGGGAGCGAGGTGGGGAGGCCTTCGAAAGGGAAAAAAATGTCGAGAAACCGAAGGTCAAGACCAAGCGGCAGAGGATGGTGATGTCCTGGTCGCCATATACCTTGCCGCAAGAGGACGAGCGAGTGTACAACGTCTCTAGTGGAGGTGTCGGGATAAGGTACTAAGGCAAGAACTAAGGCAAGGCAGGATAGGTATGGGTACGGTACGGGTCTGCGAGACTGGGTATGATGTGGGAAAGGATGGGTATGAGCATGGATATGGTACGCAGCAAGTACAGTACGCCGCAGAGTACGTGCAGATGAGATGCTGGCAGAACGGCCGCTTCGAAGGCGGTCTGACTCTCGATCTCTGGAGCTTTGAAGGACCCTTCACCTTCAGCTGGATCAGGGTATTCCCAATGTAATAGTACCTCGGAGTTGTCTGTATGTACGGATACTGAGGCAGACACGGGCAGAAGCAGTTGACAGAGAGCTTGACAGACCAACAAGCCAGCGGAAGACGACAAGGAGTCGAGTAAGAGAGAGTCGAAGGACGGACAAAAAGAAGAAGAGGCGTTTCTACCCTTTGGAATCCAATCGACCCTGCCAAGTCAAAAAGTCTCAGAAAGAAGCAGGGCCAGGGGTCTCTGAGAAACAGCCAGGGCTGCTCTGCTCTGCGCGGCGCGGCGTGGTGGTAGTAGTGGTAGACGAGGAAGAAAAAAAAAATAAAAGAGGCAGAGGCGACACAATCTGGCTGGGATTGTGACTAGGACGAGGATCTTCGTGGGCAAACCAGGGGGGCCAGCAGCTGTCGAGCTTCGCGCTGAGTTGGAGAAAAAAAAGGAGGGGCGTGAGATTAACAAACACATCTCCGCCGTTTCTCCCACCACGCGCCGCCTTGGACACCGACAAGGACAAGAGGACCGCCGAGTGGAAGTGCGTGCGTTCCTGACGAGGTTGGAGCGTTCTGTCTTGCGTGTGTTGCGCTTCTGTGGTCTTGCCGGGCTGCGCTAGAATTCCACCCCATGTACACGCGCATGTACAGAACAAGGCACGGTACATTTGAGCTCCATGTACGTAGTGAACAAGGAAAGTGACCGGCGGTACGGTACGGTGCGGCACGGCTTTTCTCTAATCGAGGACCGTATTCGAAGATAATGAGAGATGAGCAGCGGCTCGTATGCTGCTGACTTGACGGCACTCTGTGTGGAAAATGTCCACTCGGCTCATGAGTGTGTAAACCTACAATCAGCATCGTGATATCTATCCCACACGTCGGCACAAGTCAAGGATAGGCGGTGACCGGCAAGCAGACCGACTCAGGCATTCCCCCCTTCGCGACACCGCTCCCGCGGCTGATGGCTCAAGTAGTTTATGCGCTGCAGTCAGCTCTCTGTCGGCTTCTTGAGGCGATGCCAGCAGGACGGGACGCGCCGCCCGGAGCAGCAGTCGGAAGAGGGGAAATTCCATGGAACGGCGAACCTGATGGGCGGGATTCTGGGTCATGCTCCATGCCGGACAGCTGGGGATGGCGGTCACGGGATTCGAGAAGGAAATTTGCTTTCCAGGAAACCCGAGCAAAGGAATGGAAAAGGTTCCGCTTTTCTGGGGCCTTTTCCCCCTCTCTTGTCTTGCTTTCAGTACCTCTGGTACAGTAATTACGTCGTGTCCAAAATCTGCTAGAGTAGTGAACTCATACCGCCAGACTGAGGACGTTTGCCCGCCACTTGCGGTGAGCTGTGCGATATGTACTGAAGTAGGTAGGTCCCGGACAGGTTGCAGAAACAGCCTGAAGGTTTCTCGTGGTTTGAGCGCCCGCGCCGAGCGATATGTATCCGACGCGATAGGGAGGGGAAGCAAACGAGTGCGGGCATCAAGCAGGCAACCATGTAGGAATATCTGTTTCCTCGACTCGTGCCCGGTTGACCACCGCCGCGACGAGCATCTCCGTCCGCCGACCATTAGACAGCACAAGGAAGACGGGTTGCGGCGGCTCGGTTGCACCTGGCTCGTGACTTGCGCTCCCAAGCTGCGCGGCTGTTAATTCGAGACGCCAAAAAAGCTGCTCACAATTCATCTTCGCTTGGTTTCGTGATTTCCTTGGGCATTGTACGTGCTGTACACATTTGCCGCACAGAGAGTTCCTCCCGCCGGCGGCCACTATGGCGGGAGGCAGAAGCGGCTGCAGATTGACAAATGCCTCCCTCATCTGGGGTCGAGCTCATTGGCGACAGAAGCTCGGCAGGCCCTTGTGATGTCGAAATCCCAACTGCTTGGACGAAAAGGCCCGTTCGTGGTTGATTACGTGACGGAACGCCCCGGGAAAGTGCTGCAAACCGGAGCTGTACTCCGTCGCTTTGGCAATGAAGCGGGTGGCATATTTCCAAGGGTATCAAACCAGACCGTTCGACTTGGGGAGCCTACGACTCGGCAAGGCAGAGGCGAAGCCAAAGCCAAGACAGGCTCGACATGGAGAACGGAAGCTCGGTAATGGGCTGGAATGCTGTGTTGGGCATGGTCGTCCGTCTGCGAGCGGCGATTCAGCAAACTGGAAGGAAGCAAGATGTGCGTCGCGTCGCTCCAACGGACCGGTACCTGGAAAGTACTGTTGGAAGGACTCGGCGCTCCGAGGACTTTGCTGGCTAGCTGACCGGGGTGTTTTCTAGACGGTCTGAGAGACTGATGAGATGTGGGATGAGATGGGATGGGAGGGGAAGACGAGGGGTGGGTGTGCGCTCTGGGCGAGGGGCAAGAGGGTGTGTGTCCAAACATGACAGCAGCCTCGTTTGCGAGGAGGGTGCTGGGCCACTGGTGGTGGCTCGTGGTGGTGGGTAGCCACGGAGTTGATAGAGGTGGTGAACGAACGAGAACTGCTTGCTGAGGCCGCGTGCGAGAAGCAAGGGAGCAAGGATGATTGCTGCCCGTCAGTCGTGTTTAGTTGCCGAAGTGGTGGTGAGGACTGAGGAGGATCGCCCGAGACAGAAGACCAAAGTTGTGAGTGAATGTGTGAATAGCGCAAGACTCGAGAGAGAGCTTGTTTCTGTCAACTGCAGCCAAAGATGTCGCCGGCAGTGGAGGAGGTAGTGTGTACGACGCGGATGTCGGGGTTTGCGGCGCAAATCGGGACGGAGGAGCTCAGCTACGCAAGTACTGGATACGCGGGATGAGCATCAGCCAACTTGAACTTGGAGGACGTTTAATTAAGAGGGCTGGCGGTCGCAAAGTACTGCGCAAGTCTCTTGCGTACCTCTCCTCCCGCCTTGCTCGCAACGTCTGCCGCGCCCCCATTTGCAAGGGAACTTGTCGGTACATCCTTCATCCAACGCGGTCCCACGCGTCCGGCAGCCAGCCAAAAAGAAGAGAGGCGGGAAACTAACAGAGGCGGTCTCTTCCTCGCGACCTGAATCTCAATGCAGCGTCGAGAATCCGCAAGTGGAATCGAATGAGTGCCAGAGGAGGGTTGGTTCAGGTGCAGATGGTTGGTGTTTGGGGGGAACGTCCAAGCGGGCGGCGTGATCTAGCTGCTGGTGTATCAAAATGAGGCTTTTTTTTTTTTCTACCTCCACAGTCTCTCTGGTTGATCTTCTCCCGCGGCACCATGTTTGCCGTTGGTCTGCTGACCCGACTATCCAAGTCTGACCATGAGTACTGCTGGTTTTGGCGTCGTCGCCAGCTCCAATCCTCTTCTGGCAACGGCTGATAAGGCCGGTGAGGACTTTGGGGGGAAGCTTGTTGGAGCTCTTTCTCCCCGTCCTGTCGTTCGTTCCCAACCCACAAGTCCCCGGTCATGTTCGAGATGGCCGCTGTCTGCGATTCGGCGCAAAGGAATTTCATCAAGGTGGGCCCTCATGGTGGATTTGGCCCAGGACGGTTTGAAATTTTCTTCCTTTTTCCCCCCTAACCTGAACCCCCTCCCCGTCCTGAGGTCGGTCCGTATTTCCAATGGGTGTCGAATTGTCAATGCTGCGCTGCGATGTTTACTTAGAAAAGAAGAGGCGCTGTCTCGTAATCCGGTGACTTGCGGACGCGGTCCCAGACGAAAAGAGGTTGCTCGCAATGAACCGATTCCCACCATCGTGCCAATCGCAGCATGCC